ATTATAAATATATTATAAATTTATATATATGTTCTAATGATAGTTATGTTTTTGTGATCAGTAAATAAAAAAATTATTATGTATTTACCTATCAATTACACCTGATTTCTTTTATTTCTTTTATTTCTTTTATTTCTTTTATTTCTTTTATTTCTTATATTTCTTATATTTCTTATTTCTTATATTTCTTTTATTTTCTTTTATTTTCTTTTATTTTCTTTTATTTTCTTTTATTTTCTTTTATTTTATTTTCTTTTATTTTCTTTTCTTCTCTTTCCTGTCAAAACATTCATGACACTTTCCTTTTAATAAATTGTTTTAAATGACATTTTAATAAATTCCCCAATTTACTCATATTAGGATTAAACTTTAGATCTGGATGATTTAAACAAGCCTCACAATCAATATGAATTGAAATATTTATAGTTTTTATGATTAATTTAACTTTTATACATTATAAGAATATTTTCTAAAAAATCATTCTTTTTCCTGGTTCTATTTAATGAACTTCTAAATTAAAGAAAAAAAAATATTGTCTTTTAGTTAAATGTTTTTCTTAATGTTTTATTTACCTTTGATGTTATGTTGATCTAGTAAACCTGTCATGGGGGAATATGGCCCATCATCCTTTAACAACCTTTTTTTTTTTACCTATCCACTTTTTCTTCTTAAAATCATTAATGGCAATATAGCATGTTTCATTCAAGGATTTGTCAATACTTGCATAATTCTTAGTATTCTTGATTGAAACAATTATGCTGATTTTTTTATTACAATTTAATAGGAAGATGAAAGAACAGATCAATGACATAATAATATTATTGGTTAATTCTTACTGGATTTTATTATTAAATTGTCGTTGCTATTGGCTCATTGCAATCAATTGCTTTGCACTTAACTAAACTATATGGCATTTGATTTAAAGTCAAGTCTTATTCTTTCGAGAACATTAAAATAGATTCTTTGTTGTTCATCTTTTTTTTTTGTGATTTGTTTTCTTAAAAGACAAAAACTATTTTCATACGCCTTGTTTAAATCATGCATTGAAATGTGAGTAGCATATTGATGATCTTTTTTTTTATCTACCATGTAAAAATAGAAAAAAAAGGTTTTTTGATTCAGAATATTAAAAAATATATAACTGGGAAAAGTAAGCGGAGAAAAATCAAATTTTGTTCTTCCTTTTGTCAAAAATGTAAAATTAAGTAGCCATTAACGGCATATTAACTGTCCTTGTTGTATTTCTATAATGGTGGTGGTGTTCTTTTTTTTTTTGTCGAATTACAGATTTTAACAAATAATAATTTGGAATTGTGTTCGAAAGACCAAAAAAGGGCAGTTGTTGCCTTCTTATTTCTTTTCTTTCGTCCCTTTTTCTTTTGTTAGTCCAACTTAAGAGTATAATTATTTAGCTCTTAGAACAACAAAAACGCCCTCAAAGTAACTCAAATAGACATCAATAGAGAGAAATATGCCGTGATCATTATCACTTCTAATATATTATATATATAAAGTTATTAAAAGAAATCATGTTGTTTTTAATACTCGTATTAACTCAGATGAATGTCAGTCCTTCTTGTAAATATTTGAATAAAAAAATAAAGGTCCATTTCTTTAAAGATTTAAGCATGTACTCCCTTATTAAATATATTCTTTATACTGCTGTCTCTATGGAATATATTAATTTAGATTGGGAAAATGTTTTTCCCGATATTTAGTTGATTTGGTGTTAGTCGCTGAAATCCACTCGGAACTTATGCTCGATATAACCGGTAATATACTACTTAGCAAAATTCATCAGCACGTCAATGGTATAAAAAATTTAAAAAACAAGGGCAAAGGAATGGATTAACAAGGGCGCATGAACCGCAGTATCAGGGTTCTCATGAAGTCGTAAAAATGAATTATCCATTAAAGTTTTGGGTTTTTCTTGTTGAAAATACCTTCTCGCATCGAAGTTAATCTAAATTTTATAACAAGGAAAAGATTGTCTTGAATTCTATTCTAGACCAGTGTATAAATGTCTTGGTATAACGCCCAAAAAAATAAAATAAAATAACATAAAAACTTCCCCCATGGGCATTATTTTTGAAAATGTTTGTTTGATAAAGTAAGTATGTGAAAAAATGATTTTCTCAATCAATAATTATATACATTTTTTTTTTACATTTTCACGATATAAAATAAATCCATGTTAATTGAAACCAAAATTAAAGCTGTGGGCTCGAAAGAAAAATAAAATTTCAGTGTTGAATACCCAAGACCCACAAAGAACTTTTTTTTTAATGAAATACGCAATTTTCCAAGTATCATTGACGAATAATTTGTTTTTTTTTCTTTAACAGGTTTAAGAAGTTTGCAGCTTAGTAAAACCCTTTACTTGATAATTAATCATATCCATTTTAGTACTAATAAGTTATAAATGATAATTTGAGCGGTAAAATAAAGAAGAAAGAAGAAGAAAGAAGAAAAAAAAGTCTATTTGATTTTTCTAGTAACATTTATCGAAATTACATCATTATAAAATATTATTACTTGGCAAATCAAAATCACTTAAATTTTTCACAGCTTTCAAACATGAATAAAAAATGTTGAATATTCAATTAACGAGTAATTCAATGGTTGTAATATATATATTAAATGAGCAAATCAATGATCTTTGCTATTTGTTTTTCGCATAATATTTTCTTTAGGAATATTATGTGCAGCTTTGTTTTTTGTTTTTTTGAAATATAATCCTTTAAAAAAACAATAGAGAATATAACTAAAAATGTGTCAATCGGTTATATTCATACTTTAAGAGAAAAAGGTTTTTGGAGAACCTTAGATATCTAAAGCATTTTTCTTTGGCCCTTATTTATATTATATTTTATACATATATATACTTTGTTCATTTTCGGTATATTATAACGTATCCATTCATAGAAAAATGTTGTTTTCCAAACCATGAAATTTTGATAGATGTCATCCACATATGTTACTGCGGGGTGTCAAAGGAGGGCGAGAATAGAAACGAGAGAACAAGAAAAAATGATGGTCGTCTCAAAGTCGAGTTTACCAACATGTAAGTATGATAATAGCTACTGTTTGTCTCGAATGTTGATAAAACGCCCAACATTTGGATTAGGGATCCTAATTATTATTTTTCTTATTATTCTTATTATTCTTATTATTCTTATTATTCTTATTATTCTTATTATTCTTATTATTCTTATTATTCTTATTATTCTTATTACATTAAAATTATGTTGATTTAGTTATTTGTTATTTGTCATTATTGCTTGCTTTTATTCAAAGGTTATAGAATTATATAAGATCAGCATCTGTTCTATCCTTCTATTTGTTATTATGTTAACTTAATGATTTTAATAATGATAATGATAACAATTAAAGAATAGTAGAAGAATACTAAAAATTAAAATAACAATTATCACTATTCCATTTCATAACTTTTTGATGAATTCTTCTTGAATAAACTTCAAAAAGCTTCATCTGAAAAACCAAAATATGGGATGATAAAAAAAAAACATTAAGAAGAAGTTGAATTGATCTGGATAAGTGCTAAATTAATAATAAATGTACTAATTTGCCGTCCCATTCTGGACTTGTATTTTTTTTTTTCGACATTATCAATAATCGCTTATTTTTTTTTAGTTACGTGGTTGATGTTGAGAGAACATTAAATAAATAAAAAATTAAAATGATTATTGAAAAATTTTAACTAAATTAAATAAAAATTCCTCGAGAAATCATTTTGATTTTTTTTTTCACACACTATGGTATCGCAAGATCTAATTTCTAACCCCTTGTACATACACTATTATTATACTAGCTCAGTTGTAGCATGTTTTTTGTCTTTCTTTTTTTTTTTATACAAAAAGCAATGTACCTAAAGTATAAACCTGCGTATTATCACCATATGATATATATAAATTTGTAAAAGTATAAGGTTCATTTATGGAATAATCAATAGCGGAATCCACCGGATCCTTATTTTTTTGTTTCCTGGAGAATATTTTTTTTTCTCACCTATTTTGAGAAGCATATTTCAGTAATAATAACCCTTAAAATAAAATAAAAAAAAAACATAATCCAGTAGTACTCTTGAGGGTAAAAAAAAATTTAAAACAATCCACCATTCAACTTTTCCAAGTCAAACTTTGAAGATGATTATAAAACTTTTTTTAAATACTTTTAGGTTGATACGTATTACTGGAAAATATTAGTTTTTTTTTTTTTCTTTTTCAAGTTGATCGATATTATAAACACAGGATAGTAGCGCTAGTAAGCATTGGATCGAAGTCTACTTAAAGTAACCAAGCGCATTATCAGGCCAAATTCCTCCCCTGTCTCGTGTTTTTTTTTTCTTTTCTTTTCTTTTCTTTTCTTTTCTTTTCTTCTTGTTATTATGGAATCCTTTAAATAGTAAAGAAAGAAAAAAAGACTTTTGACAGTCTATTAACACAGTATTGTTGCACATGTATCATATATATAGCTATTATTAATGGTAGAAATACTTTTTTTTTTTTTTTGGTTTGTTAAAATCAAAAAAATCTGTTATAAATAATAATAAATGCTACTGCATTGACATATATTAACCGGAAAAATTTAGAATTGAACAGAGAAAAAAAAAATTATTGACGAATATATATATATATAGATATGATAAAATATTTGATTGAGATTTTTTTTTTTTTGATTATCTACATCTACAAAACCATAATCATCGTTTTGTCATCTTAAGATCAATAGTATTCAAAAACAGAACAAAAATCCTTATGCATAAATACAAAAAAAAAAAAAAAAAACGAACTTTGACAAACTCTAAAGTCTACAAAATGCATCATTTATAGATTCTAGAATTTAGTTGAAATCAAACTAAAGTCCAATTCAAATAAAAATAAAAAATAAAATTTAAACTCCAAATACTTTATTTATTGTAGTTTTTTCATACATATATATTTAAAAAAAATTTGAAAAAAAATTAAAGAAAACTCTACTCAGGCTAGCCCTCTCCATAAAGACAAATCTGAATAAAAGTATGCAACATGATCAACTGGTTTAAACTCATTCAGTGAGCACACTTGGTCTTCAGGATTTAGAAGAATGAAAAGACGGCTCATATCCACTTGATATTTCGAGCTTGTGGGGTCCCTACCTCGGATTTCGGAATTAATGGACACTGGATAAACTGGAGAAGTTTCAGTCAAAATCGGATGACTATGAACCAGAGAAAAGTTCGGTTGTGGTGTCGTTATAACCGAAGTTTGTGTTGCATCAAAGCTCCCGGATTGGCCAATAATTCTTGGTAGCTGATGTTGTTGTTGTTGTTGAAAATTGTGGTGTTGAAGCCCCGTCAAAAGTGCAGGAACGGCAAAGTCGGCAGTTTTTGTGCTACTGTTACTAGTTGTATTACTGGAGTTGCTGGCATTAACGCTATTCTTGGCATTAATATTTAATGGTGTTGACGAGGAAGACCCAAATACATGAGTACTCCCACTACCATTATTGCTGCTACTGCTACTGCTACCGCTACTGCCACTGCCACTGCCACTGCCACTGCCACTACTAGGATTTGTAATACTAGGAGTAAAAGTTCGAGTTCTGTTATCAGCTGCTTCATCATCGGATGTTTTTTCAAAAAAAAACTTATTCACATAACTCATATCAGGCCTCCGAGAGCTAATGTAGTTTTCATAATTCTGTGTTCGGTACACCAGAACCAAGGACTCAATAACTGGGTTACGCTTCGCAAGCATAACAATGTCCATAAAATGAATACACGATTCCAAAACAGGAAGACGGACTCTTTTAAGATGAGAAAAGTTGTAAAGCTCTTGAAGAATACCACTTAGCGAGTCCACGTTAAGAAACCACAAAATGCCATTCATGGCATCCAAGTCGGAATCTGAATCTGTCACTCTATTCTCCTCGTCATCATTGTAAGATCCCGGCTGGTAAAAGGGGTCAGCAAGACGAGAAAGACGAAACCGAATGTGGGAATCCAGAGAAATTTCATCCACAATGGTTTGGAAAACACTATTTCGACTACCAGCAATTATAACGCTCATGTCCATGGGATGGACATAGTGGCATTTGAGTTTAGAAATCCGAGTGTTTCTGTGGATTAAAGTACGGATGGCATCGTAGCAACGTTTAATAGACCCTGACTGGTTTTCAGCGCGGTTAACACTTAATGATTCAAGATTGCGAAAGGGGAAAGGAACTACCGGTGGCTTTCTATTTGGGCTGCAAATGATGGTTAGATGTTTAACACCATCAAAAAGATCTTCCTTAATGTGAGGTGTTTTGCGCAAACTTAATACATTGATTGTAAGTGTGTCAACAGTTTTGGGTAGCCACTGTCGGTTAAGGGGGATACTCATGTCTTCACTGTAGATTCTGATTTCACGCAGTGAAACAAGCTTGTTGAAGTGATTGATCAACAAGTCTCTTGTCTTACGATTGAATTGATCGCGGTCATTGCTAATTAGTTTGTTATCAATTGGCAAATGAAGGAATTCCAGAGCATGGAGAGCCTCTAAAGCTCTGCATGAAGCCTTGTCAAAATGAAACTTTGTGCCCATGAGAGATAGAGAAATGAGTCTTTCGACAAGAATTGGAGAGTGACAAATTTGGCGAATAGCTTGACTATCTGGAATGTGAAGGCTCAAGAAAAGAGTGGGCTGGGATGGCAAAACCTGTTCAATATACTTTAAAACAGCCGTTTGATTTGACAGGTGCAAAACCATGCGAAGCTTTGTAGGAGCCATGATGGGAAGATTGATTATTTTGTAGATTTCTTGAGTTGAAACTAAGCCTTGGCCATTCAAGAAAGTGAAGGAGAGATCAGTATCAAAGGATAAAGTTTTTGCATATTGCAGTATGGAAATGGGGAATGGTATTTGAGTGTTGTTTTTAAACTTATGTGACGATAACAACAGGCTTTAAAAAAAAAAAAAAAAAATTAGAATTAGAACAAAACTAAAATCAAAGAATTCCTCAAACTTACCAGTACTTGTTTTTCTCAAGTTTAGCCAATCGTTGTTTTGACATTTTGGCATTTTCTATTGAAGGTATTCTAAGTTTATCGAATGGAGGCTCAAGAAATGACAAATCTAAGTTTGACGAATAAATGGCAATATTGGACCAGAGTTGAGTACAGACACATTTACGCAGAAAAGAGCACGTTGAAGAAAAATTGATGAGATCAGTTTGATACAAGTATTCCGGATTCAAGTAAAACTTTTGTCGAGGAATTGTGTATGGCATAAGAAGGGCGTCAAAAATCATGCCTTTAATATTATCTGGGAGAGATAAAATTGGGCATTGTTGGGTATAGGAATAAGTTTGTGAGCTTGAGGCACCAGAGACTGAAGTCGAACAAATGGAAGAGATTGAGCCATTATGAGATGAAGCAGAAGTTGCTGAGGACGTCGATGACGTCGAAGACCGAGATATGGTATGTGGGACGGAGTAATTTGGTGAGGTCGTAGGAACCGAGAAGGAGCCATAGCTGGAGTTTGGGTGGCCCGATGTAGTAGATTCTGGTTTAATGAATGTGGGTTCTGTATATGGTAGGGGAGGTAATTGTTTAATATTTGCCAAGGAAGTTGTATATTTTGGAGAAGAAGTCCCAGGAGTTTGTGTGACACATAATGAGTTGATGGTGGGGTTATTAGAATTTGTATAAGAAGGAGGAAGAGGAAGAGGGGGATTGGCCTCGGGAAAAAGCAGGCCAGATACTGGGATAGATGGTTTGTATCCTGGTGAGAGCCTCTCATTGACAGGGGGTCTAGATACAGGAGAGGGGCTGCTGCGAAGACGCTGATATACTGAAGGGGTAGAATGGAGGTGACTAGTACTAGTACTAGTAGGGACAAGAGTGTTATTGTATGGATGAGGGTTATGGGATTGTGGCAAAGGTTGTTGTGGTTGTTGTGGTTGTTGTGGTTGTTGTTGCTGCTGTTGCTGCTGTTGCTGCTGTTGCTGCTGTTGCTGCTGTTGCTGCTGGTAAAATGGCAGTTGCTGGGATGGTGGTAATCTTTGGTATTGCTGATGTTGAAATTGTAGCTGCTGATGTTGTTCTTGTGGTTGCTGTAGTTGATATTGTTGATACCGGTGGTGATGATGCTGACGATGATGCTGATCATGATGTTGATGATGTTGATGATGCTGATGATTTGGCTGATGATGTTGCTGATGATGTTGCTGATGATGTTGCTGATGATGTTGCTGATGATGTTGCTGATGCTGATGCTGTAGTTGTTGTTGTTGTTGTAGTTGTTGCTGTTGCTGTTGCTGCTGCTGAGACGAATGTATAACCCTTTGAGAAGAAGGGAGCCACGTTGGTAATGGCGGGAGGACCTCCGGTGCATTAGTGACACCGGGTGAAGAATAGGAATTTTGTGGAAAAGTGGTGTGAGGTGGGGCCGTAGAGACTTGTGTCTGTTGATGAGATTGGCTGGTGTATTGTTGTTGGATATGGGATTTGGGCAGACAATGATCGAGGCTTTGAGAAGGTCTGGTTGCATCATTTCTGGGGGGCCTTGAGTCTTTGGTAGGATCATAGGGATATGCTGGGAATTTTTTCATATTTTGACAATTGGCTTGTTTATGATAGATATTATTATGAGAAGTTCAGTAGACATTTTCTAGAATCCATGATGGTTTAAGAAAGAAATGTGGAATGGGGGAGTAGAGGGAAAAAAGAAAGAAGAAAAAGAAGGGGGGAGAGGAAAGAAAGAAATATATAAATATATTATAATAATAATAATAATAATAATAAAATAAATAAATGAATATATATATATATATATTTAATAAATATATACAATTAATAATAAAATATTCTCATATAATAAATGTATATAATAATAATAATAATAATACACGGAAGAAATGTAGTAAACCTAAATATCTGGTGCGGGTCGTAACTTGAAGTTTTTTTTTTTTTTTTTTTTTTTTAGTTTTTTTAAACTATATAATAAATGGAAGCTAAAAATGATGATTTGTGCAGAGCTCGGTTGATCAAAAAATTTGCTGCGAGAGGACATAATAAGCTGACTCTCTGCTTTGAGATAAATCAAAACCAAAAAAAATAAAATAAAATAAAAGTCATAATATATTTATATCTATAGTATCTATAGTACAAACCAATTTCAATAGTTCAATATGGTCAAAGTTTTTTTTATTTTTTTTTTCTAGACAGCCCAAATTAAAAAAAAAAAAAAAAAAAAGGATTGTTATTATTGTTGTTGTTGTTGAAATGAGCTTTTAAGCGAAGACTTAATTAAATCTACATTTGATAACTTGCTGTTAAAAAAAAGAAAAAAAAGAAAAAAAAGAAAAAAAAGAAAAAAAAGAAAAAAAAGAAAAAAAAGAAAAAATAAAAATAAAAAGGGCATTATGATAACGATCATAAAAAAGGACTTCACAATGTTTTACCAAAGAGAAACGAAAGTAAAAAAAAAAATTAAAATAAAATAAAATAAGTTTAAGTTTTATAAAAAGATATGAAATGGAAATGGATTTTTTTTTACATTTTGTGAAGTCAAAAAAAAAAAAAAACTCACATTTGTAATTATATATATTTAAATAATTTGATATATATAACAAATTTCTAACACGAGATTGTTTTTCACTTTTTTTTTTTTAATAGTTAATAAAATCATTATTTTTCAACTTTATTTCTAATTATAATCAGAATAAGATAATTATCTCATCATTAAAACTATATATATTACCATCATTTTATTTTTTTTTTCTTCCTCGTAATAATAAGTGATAATAATTCATAAATAAAAAAAAAAAAAAAAAAAAAAACAAACAAACAAACAAAAAACTTGATTTACGTCTTTGTCTTTTTTATGCAAACCATAATGCGACAGCTAATTCAAGGGCGTATTCTCTACTCAAAAAAGACTTAGCATAAACTTTATATATATATATATATATATATATAGAAAATAGAGTATTATATACTTTATTCTATTTTTCATCTTGGTATTTAATGACTTCATATTACTAAAGATTCACATTTCATGTTTAAACTTTACATAAAAAGCATGTGCTTTAGCCTATTTCTTAGATATCTTATCATCTTTCTTTTTTTTTTTTTTTTTTTCAAGTTGAAAAATAGATTTTATTCCCTCGTAGATTTTAGAAATAGAAGAAAAGAGCAAGTATGCAACTCCCACTTCTACTAAAGCAAAATAGAATAAAAGAGAATAAAATATAAGACCATATAACATTACTCCTACTTTAGCTATCATTATCAGAATATCTTTTTAAATAGTGATGCTTCCAATGTTTTTCTAAATAACCGAGTATAAAATCTGATGTTCTCTTTCTATCTTTCCATTTTCACATTCAAATATCACTTAGTAAGCCTTTGAAATTTAAAAAAAAAAAATTAAAAAATAAAAAAAAATAAAAAAAAATAAAAAAAAATTAAACTTCTTAGTGCTTATTAAGGGATAACTAAGATCTTATATTGGTCTTCCTGCATATAAAATAAATCATGGAAAAGTCTTTGAAAAATAATAAATAGGCGAGCGACTAATCTGAAAATAAAAATAAAATAGAAAATAAAAAAAAAAGAAAAGATAAATAGAAAAGATATAAACAAAAATTTCTAATTTAAAATAAACTAAAAAAAAAAAAAAAATTTTTTTCTTAGGCCGATGTTCTAATGTGTAATTTAATTAATATATAGATTGAAATTTTCAGCTTGAACTGAATGTCTTTTTTTTTTTTAACATTTGTCTAACCATTATTGACTTTTATTCATTTAAATGATAAATAAATAAATTTATTTATTTATTTTATTTATTTATTTTTTTTCGTTCTCCCGGGCAAGACTTGTACTGATAAATTTAGGAAAAAATATATGCGCGTTTTGTTATGTAAAGCGCTCGTATATCCAAAGCCTATATATGCACTAGTGTGTAATCGGAAATCGACTGGAACTCTTTAGCGGGATATCCGACAAAAAAGAAGCAGACCATCGTTGATTCAAAATCCCATTATTGTGGTAAAAATAAACTAGAAGTTATATCATAGAATTACTTTAAAGTGAGAGGCTAAAAAAAATATATATATATTTATATATACAGATAATATACAGATAATATATAGATACTATATTACTTTGAGATTTATCTCTTCAGCTCTTAAAGTATCCTTCTATTTAGAATTTTTTTTTTTTTTAGGTCTCGTTCTTTTTTTTTTTTTTTTCTAAATTTTTTTATATATGATAGAATAATCAAGCTTCTATTTTCAAAAAATAAAAATATAAAAGGTTTGTATTTCATCTAGGAGAACCCCGAAAATAATTAATGTCATTTGGTTATTGGAATTCAATTCTTTACATTGACCCTTAAAAATATTAATAAATCAAATAACAATCTAAATCATCATTCTCTTTTATTGCAACTCTTTTGATTATCTCATTGGGTTTTTTTATTGAAAAAAAAAATACTTCCCCAAAGTTATGAATAATCTTAATAAAAAAATTTTTTTTCTTCTTCTAAATTTGGTTTATTACATTTGAACAATATCTAGTAAAAAAAAAAACACAAGTTTAATGGACATATACAAATTAATCATAATAGCCAGTTTATTAAGCTGATCATTGGAAACAGAAATTGCATTTCTTTAACAATACTTCGAAAAAAAAAAAACAGTATACTGAAATTTCGGTATTTGTTCTTTAATAATAATAAACAGGAAACACAAAGAAGAGACAATAACATCGTAGTCCCCTTTTTGTGCTCAACCTATAGAATTTCAAAAGAAAAAAAAATAAATGTATACAAGCATTAATTTGAAGCCACTCAGGTTCTTCTGCTAATGCATGATACCCAATTCTCATTTTTAAGGATTCCAAGTTGTCTAGCTAAAATGAAGTTAATCACCAAAAAAGAAAAACAAAGAAGAAGAAGAAACAAAAGAAAGGAAGAAAAAAAAAGCCAATAAATTCAAATTTAAGGTATATAACTGGTTACACAATTATATTGTTTTCGTATTATTCATTATTATACGCAGGTTTTTGGTTACCCCTAGATTTAAAAAAATAAAAGAAAAAAAATACTCAAAAAAAATACTCAAAAAAAAAAAAAAAACTTTCTATGTCGTATATAATTTTATATAATTTTATTATTTAAAGTCAATTCTCATCTACATCATCTTCATTAGGTTGCATGCCATAACTTCCAGAAGAGTTATTATATTGAGGTTGCTGTTGCTGTTGCTGTTGCTGTTGTTGTTGTTGTTGTTGTTGTTGTTGTTGTTGTTGTTGTTGTTGTTGTTGTTGTTGTTGTTGTTGTTGTTGTTGTTGTTGTTGTTGCTGACTATAATGAGGGACTTGATTTTGAAGCCCAAGCGAGGCCAAAATGTTATTAGACCCTACTGCATTCATAATCAATGATGCTGCATTAGGTATGTTCATCGAGGGCATTTGATAACCCATATTTCCTCCATTATTTACATAATTAAGCCCAGAATTCCCATAATTGTATCCACTTTGCTGCTGGTTTTGAAGTGATGCTAATTGCTGTAATAATTGAAGTTGCTCAGGTGGTATTTGATTAGCTGAAATTGAACCATTAGATCCTCCAGCTGGGCCCCAATATGGACCAGGAGTTGGTTGTGGCCCATAGCCCATCGGTCTTCCATCATATTGTTGTTGATATTGCTGCTGAGATGAATATGGTTGTTGTGGAAAAGATCCCAGAGTAACTGGTTGATTGTACTCTTGCATTCGATTGGGAAATCCATTTTTATAGTTATTAGATCTTCGTTGTTTGCGATTTGGTTGCTCTTGAGAATCTTGTAAATCATTCTGACGCTTCTGGCTTGTTTGAGGTACACTGCTACCAGTGACATTGTCACTAGAGGTAACTGCGTCATTGTCTGCATCTTCAGGTAGCATACCATTCTTAGTATTATTTCCCTTTTTACTTCTTTTTTTCTTCTTTTTATTTTGTTTTTGTTTTTGTTTTCTTTCACGTTCCTTTTCATCATCGGAAAACTCCTGTTCCTCTTCCGGGATTTCTTCGTCATGAATGTTGCTTGCATCACATCCTTTTATTTTCTTGATGGTGTCAGTCAATATGAAAGATGAGTTCGAAACAATATAATAAACCTTTTCCCCAATCCTCGACTTAAATGGTAGTGCCTGTTCTGGGCTATCAAACTTAACCATATGCATCGGTGACTGAATGCGACCAAATGTTTCATAAAGAACACCAATTGGTGTTCTATCTTCAAAACAAAAAACTGAATTCTCATTAAGAATACGAAACTCGCCCGACACACCCGCTGAAATAACTAATGACTTTTCGGATACTGTAAAAACTGTACCGGCATACTCAATTTGTGTGTTTTCATTTAATACCAAACTTTCAGGTAGTTTAGGTGCTGGCTCATCAACTATTTCATTTATAGTCTTTAAAGGCTCATTAGAATCATAGTCATCTTCATCATCCTCAAAATCGGCTCTATCAGCATTTCCCTTTTTATTTTTCCGTTTATTAGTTTTGCTTTGACTCAACTCATCTTCAGCTTCAGCATCATCGCCATTGGAACCTGCCTCAGATTCGACCTCAGAATCTTCCGAGTCGGAATCTGAATCAGAATCTGAACTAGAGGAATCCGAAGAAGAATCAGACAAAGAATCAGTTTCTTTCTTTTCGATATTGACTTTAGAAGATAAATCATTTACAGAACTAGCATGTGGCAAAGAAATCCTACCTTCCTCATCTGATGAATATACAACATCCTCATTATTAAGTGCTCTATCAATATCATCCATGGCCTTTTCAGTTGGTATCGAGTTTTCTTGTTCATTATAATCCACTGTTACTTCACTAGTATTCTCCTCCGTGGATTTAAGGGTATTATTTAAGACTTTTTCACCAGTAGGAACTGTTGATTCCTTGGCCGCCAGTTCCTCTGTTAATTCGGGTGTTGCCTTTATTTCTGCTTGTGCCGGATCCCTATCTGAATTAAATGTAGATTCAGTCGTTATTTCAAGATCAGTCTTTTCAACAGCTTTTGCTCCTTGTTTATCCACTTCTTTTGTAGAATCATCACTAATAGGTTTTTCTGTAACTGATAGTGCTGGCTCCACGACTTCCTCCAAACTTATTGAAACAGATGGGACTACTGTTACAGAACCAGGTATAGAAGAAATGGCTTGATTTGTAGAAGGCTCATAATCACTATCATCTGTAGAATGTGGCTCAAGAGAAGGTGAAAGAGCTTCCGCAGCATCGCTTTTATTAATTGGATTGGTTACACTCTTGGGGGTTGTTTCTGTCTCGAGTTTTGACTTATCATTACTGTCTAAAGGTTTATCATCATCAGAAACAAAACTAGCATTTCCTTTATCAGAAACTTTTAAATTTTCACCACTTGCTTCGAGTGTAGTAACAATATCATCTGGTTCTTTCTTGGTGTTGGTAACTGCAGTTGCAGGCTCATTACTAGAAATTGCAGAGTTGGCATCAGACTCTGTCTGTATTGGAAGGGCCGACTCAAAGCTATTCAGACTTTGATCATCGACCGGTTTAATATTATCATTCATTTAATTATGTTCAAAATACTTCCATAAAAAAGGGTTTAGGTAAATGCTATCACAATTCCTTGAAATAGACATTTCAATTGAAAACCAAAGATTAAGGGTGTTCCAAAATTTTTTAATACTTAGTAATCAAAAATAATTAATTACATCAGCAATATTATAAAATTACATAATTGAATAATATTTATGTAATTACATCATCAAAAAAATATAGGCTTCCAAATTAGGTCTTTTAAAAGGATTTAAATCCAAATACTAACAATTAAAAAATATTATTATTTCTAAAATAACCAAATAAATATTAACATTAATATTTTGATTTTCTCATTTGTTTTATTCTACCAAACTTAATAATTTGGAAGTTAATGTCTTTTCTTCAACAAAATTCAAATGGCGGTAGCCAATTTTCAATTTCATTCAACCTTTTTCATTCAGAGCCGCTAAAAGAGCAATAGAAACTTGTGGGGTAAAAAGTATAATTTAAATAAATGGATCCAGCAACTCAAAGAGGGAAGTTGTGGAGAACACTTTTTTTTATTCTTCTTTTCAATAGGTAATAAATCATCATTTTCATTTTTTTTTAAAGCACGACCTTTGTTAAAAAAACATCAATTTTATTTGTTCTCTTAGAATTAGTGTTACTGTTTCAATGAAAAGGTTAAACATTTATATTCATAAATTTAATGATAGGTAATAACTTTGAATTAGATCATGGGTATTGCACTGCCCGATCAACCTCATTATTATTTAAGTTTTGCCCAAAAAGCCTTGAAGAAAGCATGCCTTTTCCCTTAAACGCCTCCATGCTTTCTTACATTTAAGCCTTCGGAAAAGAAGTACGACACAAAATCCTTTTGGCTTTGGATTCGGATTCGGATTTTATATACATATTTCTCAAATAGCAGTTTTCAACTCTCCGTGTTGAACGAGATTATGGCGAAAGACATTTTTCTGATTTTACAAATTAGTCTAATTTTTTTTTTCTGTTTTCAACATTTAACAATAAGAAATTCGCCTTTTTTTTCTTTCCAACAAAATGTCAATTAAATGTTCCTCAAGTTTTAATATTTTCTTTTAATGAAAATTCAAATAACTTTTAAACATAATTTTCCTCTTAGTTAAAAATATCATACCTTAATATGAAAACTTGTTGTCATGCTAAAATAGTTAATACAGCAGTTTTGTATCGATAGGCTAAATATGTCTTGAATGGGTTCTAGTAAACAAAACCAATTGGATTAAAAAAAAATTCATATTTTCAAATATTAATAATATGGATCTTCTTATTTTAAATCTGATGATTTTTTTTAATATTCTAATAAGTATTAATACTACTTTTATTTTGAATAAAAGAAATTGAGGTACCCAAAAAAAAACCAAATAACAAAATAGAGCGAGATGTTACAGTTTTTTAATATCATTCTGCTTAAAAAATTTGGGACACTATGACATTATTATTATCCAGCAAATAAACTCTAAGGATATCCTATGCGGTGTGATCATGGTCATCACAGAATGTATATTAACACATAAATTTGGGAATTCACAAATAAACTATAAAAATGTGACCTGCTTTAAAACCCAAATCAACTATTTGGAACGGGTCAGCCCAAAAAGCATTCGTTTTAGCAGTTTCCAGGTTTTTATTCAGAATCCGCCTACCAAAGGATATCTACACAGCCTTATTTTAGATCAAAAAATAACAATAATGAGGTTGAGTGATAATAATATTTATGTATTTAAGGGCGTTATTTTCAGTTAGCTTGATATGCTTTAAAATCTTTGAAGATAATCTGGTAAAAAAACAAAGTTTTTTCTTAATCGGTTGAACCCATTGTTTTGACGTATTTCTAAACTTTCTTCTTTAAATAAATCATAAAGTAATTAAAAAGAATTTAATTTCGCTCTTTTGTATTCAATTCAGGCTTTGGAAAAGAAAAAAAATTAAGGCGTAAAGATTTTAAAAAAACTTAACAAAAAAACAAACAATTTCTTGTTAAAGAAGTTTTCTTTTTTGTTCTGACTTAGCACTAAACCATTACAGATCAATGTCTTGGTTTTTCTCACCTTGACCTGTTTCAATGAGTATATTCCTACAATAAATGCACAGTGTGGCAGTCCTCTCAATATCTCATGTTTTGTTCTGTTCCAAATCTTATGGCTTGAATTATGTCACACATGACATAATGCCATATATTGCGTATTTGTTTTTTTGCTTGCCTTAGATAAATGGAAGTGTTAACGCCTTTCATTTTTAAGCAACCTTTCAACTTTCAAGAATAACAAATTGAGATTTTTCATATTTTTTTTTTAAAAAAAATAATTTCCAAAAATAAGTTTATTATAATGAAAGGAAAAAGAATACATTGAAATAAAGTGTTTTGGTATTTTACTTTACCTGACGGGTAGAGAGATAAAAACAAACTGCTTTAACCTTTCAAAAGTCAATTGATTTAAAAATCAGAAATATATTTGAATAAAAAAATTGAGAATATGGGAAAGAAAAAAATGATTTTTTAATGGCACATAAAACTTATTTATTAAAAAATTTACCATATAAACCTATTGAACCCATCCTAGTCAACCCAGCCAACCTTTTACTTAAATTATAGTTTGCTATTGAAAAATAGCGGTAGAAGAAACATTCTTGAAGAACGTGGGACAATAAGCTTTTGTGAAATCATTTTTGCGTTTTCAAATGTAAGTATAATGAGTATAATGTTTATTAAGGTCTTAAAACCAAAAAAGTCTATTATTGAATGAAAGTCCTTATTCTTTGTATAAATACTCCTCTAACTCCATGAGCCTTGATAATTTTAATTCTCCTCATTTTATTTCTTTATTATTTTTTCTTTTTTTTTATCCTATAAATAATCCGCTTGCACTTAATTCTTTACAGTAAATACAAAAAAGATAGAAAAAAAATAAATGATTTCAAATTTACCTCTTAAGAAAAAAGCACTTCTGCTTTTACTCACATCTGCTGTTTTACCAGTAACCTCCCAGCAAAACGTTGCTTTGGAAAGTGCATTCAGTGTTCTTGCAACAAACCAAGAAGCCTCAGCATATGTTCAAGCTTACAGTACTGCGACGGGTGTTGCTGCCCTAACCGCTCTTAATTCTCTAATTAGTGTTGCCGACGGAATTGTTCCTGGTTTTGCAGGACTATTTTCTGTAAACCTCATCCCAATAAACAGTCCAACTCCTACAGCAATTACCTCTGGCAATAGTGGAGCAACTGGAACAGGCAATACTGCTGAAAATTTAGCATCAAATGCCAACACAGCTTCAACACAAGCTTCTACCGCTGCTGGATCTAACGAGACCGGAGACGTAACTCTTACAACCACTGTTACACCATCAGGTAATTCTGGTTCAGCTTCTGCAGGGGAATCTGGCGTTGCTAGTACATCGGGTGCTTCGGGTGCTTCGGGTGCTTCGGGTGCTTCGGACGCTTCTGTTGTCGCTAGTGTTGACAATACCGCAACTGTTACAGAGACTGTCAGTGGCTCCAACGCTTCAGGTACTGTTTCAGCAAACGAAAATGGAAATACTGATACTGCCACAGTTACACAAACTATTAGTGGCGCCTCAGGCAGCGAAGGCCAGAGTAATTCTGAAGGTGGGGCTACTGAAGGTGGATCTGATGTTACTGCCACAGTCACACAGACTGTTAGTGGAACTAGTGGATCTGAAGCAGGTGCATCTGGTGCTGCTGCTGGTAATTCCGGTGCCTCTGAATCTTCGGGTGCTGCTAGTACATCCGGTACATCTGATTCCGCAGCATCTGGAACAGAGGGAGGCGCGGCTGGCGCATCTTCTACAGGTGAAGGTTCTAATGCTACTGAAGGTGCATCAGCCGCTGGATCTTCTTTGAGTGTATCTGGTGGTGAGGCGTCTGGATCTGCAACTGGTGCGGCTTCTGGCAGCAACGAGTCCACCGGCCTTATTCTTGCAACAACAACAGATGCCAGCGGTAACACTGTTACATTGACTGGCTCGGGAACCGTAGCCACTAGTTCTGAAACTGGTTCGGGTTCTGGTGCTGCTGGTGCTGCTGCTGGCGCTGCTGGCGCTGCTGCAGGTGTTGCTGCTCTTGGGGCTCTCCAAACTGTTACTACGACTGATAGCAGCGGAAACACTATTACCACTGTTGAGACTAACTCTGCTTCTGGCACAGGTTCTGCTATTTCAGGTTCCGCCGCTTCTGCTTCTGGTGCTTCTGCAGCCTCTGGTTCCGCCGCCTCTGGTTCCGCCGCCTCTGGTTCCGCCGCCTCTGGTTCCGCCGCCTCTGGTTCCGCCGCCTCTGGTTCCGCCGCCTCTGGTTCCGCCGCCTCTGGTTCCGCCGCCTCTGGTTCTGCTACTTCAGGTTCTGCTACTTCCGGTTCTGCTATTTCCGGCTCTGCTACTTCCGGCTCCGCAGCCTCTGCTTCTGGAACGGGAGCAGCAGCTGCTGCAGGTGGCAGAGTCGTGACTGTTACTACAACTGATAGCAATGGTAACCCCATCACTACTGAAGAAACTCAATCTGCTTCCAGCTCTGCTGTCTCTAGTTCTGTTGCCTCCGGCTCTGCTGCCTCCGGCTCTGCTGCCTCCGGCTCTGCTGCCTCCGGCTCTGCTACCTCAGGATCCGCTACCTCAGGATCCGCTGCCTCAGGATCCGCTGCCTCAGGATCCGCTGCCTCTGGCTCTGCAGCCTCTGCTTCTGGAACTGGGGCTGCTGCCGGTGGTCGAATCGTGACCGTCACAACAACTGATAGCAATGGTAACATAATCACCACTGAAGAAACCCAATCAGCGTCGGGCTCCGGTTCGGCTTCTAACTCCGGTGGTGTTGCTACTGTTACTACAGATGCTAATGGTAATGTCGTAACCGTTACTGGTGAATCTAATGAAAGTGCTTCTGGCAGTGAAAGCGGCAGTGGTGGTGTTGTCACAGTCACTACTGATTCTCAAGGAAACGTGGTTACTGTTACTGGAACAAGCAGCGGAAATGGATCTGCCGTTGAAACTGTTTCCACAGATTCTGATGGTAATGTTGTAACCGTCACTGAAAGTGCTAGTGGAAGTGGCAGTGGCAGTGGTGCTGGCGGAGCCGTTGTTACCGTTTCCACCGATGCCAATGGAAATGTTGTAACCGTCACTGAAAGTGCTAGTGGAAGTGGCAGTGGCAGTGGTGCTGGCGGAGCCGTTGTTACCGTTTCCACCGATGCCAATGGAAATGTTGTAACCGTCACTGAAAGTGCTAGTGGAAGTGGCAGTGACAGTGGTGCTGGCGGAGCCGTTGTTACTGTTTCCACCGATGCCAATGGAAATGTTGTAACCGTTACAGAAAACGCCAGCGATTCAGGCTCTGACTCTGGATCAGGCTCAAGTTCAAGTTCAAGTTCAAGTTCAAGTTCAAGCGCAACCGCTACTACACTTTCTCGAACAACTTCTAGCTCCGGTGCTCAAACTTCATCTCAAACATCTAGTGCAGTAACTTCCAATGCTGGAAATATCATTAGCGCCGGTCTGGGAGGTTTTGGTGCAATTGCAGTGATGTTTCTTGCTATGATTTAAAAATGAAATCTGAGAAAAAAAAATAAAAAAATTATACATTACCCACATAATACAAAATTTTACAAGTTGTTGATTCTAGTATGCTTAAATAGTTTTTAATATATAATTCCACTGATAATTTATTTGACAAAAACAATAACATTGTTTCGTTTAATAAAGAACTACAGAATCGGATTCTTCGTCTTCTTCGTTATAAATATTGTTATTAGAATCGCTGTTGTCATCCAATAAAATAATTGTTTCATCATTATTTGTTTTAGGATTTGAGGGGGAAGATGAGGAAACTGTTAATGACTCGTAGAAATCATTATTTCTTTGAACTGGAGGAGAGTTGGAATCTGGTGATGATGGAGAAAATGAATTCGCTGTAAAAAAAACTAAGGTTAAAAAAATACAAAATCTTAATTAGGAAAAAATAATCAAAACTCACTTTTTGCATTATCTTCCCAATTTTTGGAAGTAGCAGGTTGATTTTCGTAGAGAAAAGAGGATTTTGACCTCAAGAGAAAATAAGGTGTTTCACTCCAAGAAACAACATATGGTATTTCATTTTCCAACATTGCTACAAGTTGGATAACCAGTTTGCATCTTTGGCCATCTCCCCCAGAAAATTGAAGACGTTCAAAAAGAGCAACATAATGAATGCCTAAAGGATCTGGATAGTATTGAGCAAATGGGCCCAAATCCGTTTTGCGGTAAGAGATATCATGATCAATTATTTTGCGGCGCAAAAGCGAACGATAGGTTGTGTTATTTTTGATATAATCATGTGTCGGAAGTTTCCCAGGAACCACCGAAATAGACGGATACAAAACAGATTGGTTTCTTTTTGCAGATTGCTGAAAAATTTCTCGTTCTGTCAAAGTATTGTTGGAGTTAAGTTGAAATGCAACCATTCTTAAAGAAAAGTAGCGAATCATTAACTGGGTATTGCCTGCTTTAGCATAAATATTGCTCTTGGGAATAACACCATATTCAACTGGATTGGAAGTAGTTAGAGAGAAAGAACTTGAAACTGTGATATAATTGTGTTTGTACGTTAGCCAGCCCTCGTTCGTTAGTTGAAATCCTCGATCGATTCTTGAGTCCAAAATCGCATATATATTTTGGCCCTTTGAATCGACCATGTCAAAGTTTTGGCACGTTCTTTTAAACGGAGGGCCAATTCGGAAAAACAATTTGTTTTTTTGAGCGACCTGATTTTGTTCACTATTTCTGGGCTGACTGTCTTGGGAAGTGTGTATTATGGCACGTCGTTGTCTGGTACGTTTTTGGACTTCTTCTGGAATATAACTGCCTGCTAACCGAAAGGAAGAAAATCCACTATGTTCTTTTTCAAACTGGTGTCTACCCTTTCGTTTACCTTTGCCGGAGGATTGATTTGGACTTTCTAGCAACGCTTCTCCTGGCTCTATGGCTGGGGGTTTTGCTTGTTCATTGTGATCTGGTTTTGAAACAGATCGCCTGCGCTTTTTATTGGAAAATGTTGTTGGGGTCGAAGGCTTAGAAGATATGTTTTCTGGATGTACTTGCATTGTTTCTTTTGACGTGATGGTGATTTACGGGACTGATAGTTCAGCTTGGCCTTATCGTATATATATGGTGCGGTGTTGTAAGTAACTACCGATACTGTTCGAATGACATAGGACTTCTGGATACACCACAGTTGATATGGAATATCACAGTAACTGTGGCAGGCAGATATCTGGAAATATTGGCAGGTATGGTTTAGTGTTTTTGTAAATATTTGTATGCCTCTTGTTCAAGGTTTTGGATTGTTAATTCTGAGAGTTGTTTCGTGGATTCAAAAAGAAGGAACAAGATGGAAATAAGCAGAAGTGAAAAACATCAAAGGCCAATAGCTTGTTCAACCTGTATTATTTATGGAAACCCGGTAATATCTATTATATCGGAAGATAGAGAGTTTTGTATAAAGGTTTGCGTTTCTAAAAGCTGTTTGGTTGCAAACGGATATTTAATTTTGCGGTGGTAGTGCGAAAATATGCTTTAGTAACAGTGTCTGGAGAAGAAGAGGAAAAAAAGTCACATACACGACTTACACAAAAGTAGCAAAGCAAATATTGTCAATTTATTTCACAAACTAGGAAACCCCCGATTCGTTCACTCTTTTATTTCTAAGATACTATTCAATTTTTTTAAGTGAATCAATTTTTATTTTTTAAATAGGGAGAAATCCTATCAAATTTGAAAGAAGGGAGGTTAGAAAAAAAGGAGGTCATGCTTAGCATACTACTATATCAGGTTATATGATACTCTATTACGAACAAGGGACCACCGACTTAACCTCATTGATCAAGAAGCAAAATAGTTACTATAAAAACACGTAATATTGTATTTTGATATCGATGAAACGATAGTGAAATGAACCAAAATACAAAAAAAAAAAATATATATATATATATATATTTCCAGTAAGCCTAAGATTTCTTAAACAGTAGATTACGATGTCATAATTGGGGTCATTCAGGTTTTCATTAGAAAAAACATTACGTTCTGTATCATACAAATGGGGGTCATAAAATTAAAAAGAAAAAGGATCGATTCATGCTGCTGAAATGTAAATCACTAAAAATTTCTGTTAGTACGTTCATGTGCCTAGTAAAAAACTTTTAAGTACTTACCATTATGGCCTCTTAAAAATACATCGCCCCAGTCCATAATCTCTTTTTTGTTAATTACTTCCTTAGTGGATTCCAAAGCAATATTCATGAAACCATCCACGGATTGCAGACGTCCTAAAAAAGATCATTAGTTGTTTTTCTTTTTTTCTCTATCATAGTATTAAAATCTTGATCCACGTACCGTGATACTCAATGCCGGAATGCAACTTGACAATAACATTATTCCCAGTGATTTCGTGAAGAAATGACGAGGGATCGTAACGCTGCTTAGATTCGGGTTCAGCCTGAGAAGGTGGTGATAGGGGTTCTGACGATGACATGATGGTATTAACTTCTATTATGGTGATTTTTGCTGGGTGAGTAGTAATAAGCAGTGAGTTGGAAAAAAAAACTTTTGGTGGTTGTGGGCGAAGAGCTCGTGAATCTCCAGATTCCTAAAAAGGAATTTACGTAAGAAATTTGTCATTTAAGGAATTTGAAAATCTTTTCAACAGAGAAAAGCTCCGCTACACTGATGGTTTTCATGATTTAAAAAATATCTATATGAAAGAAAAATGAAATCTTTTTTTAAAATTGCCAAATGTTTTTATTATAATCTTTCAATATTCCAACTTTTTCTGTTCCTTGACCATAGCCAGAAATCTGTTGGCAACTCAAAGATAATCCAGTGAGGCTGGAAAACCCTAATATCAGCTTATATAATCTTTTTCAGCTTTAAAATTTTTTAATTTTTTTAATTTTGTAATTTTTTAATTTTTTTTCAACCCTTTAAAGATCCTTTAACACATCTATTATCAACATCAAATCCTTTAACAATGGTGAAGAAGGCAATTGATTCGCGTATTCCTGCGCTTATCCGAAATGGTGTTCAGGTATGCTTGATCCAAGCTATATATTTATTTTCAGCTAACCGAAATCCTAGGAAAAACAACGCAGTTTTTTTGTCATTGTTGGTGACAAGGCTCGTAACCAGCTGCCTAACTTGCATTATCTCATGTCGGCTGCCGACATCAAAATGAACAAGTCTGTTTTGTGGGCTTACAAAAATAAGCTTCTCGGGTTTTCATCTCATCGTAAGAAACGCGAGGCTAAGATTAAGAAGGAAATCAAGCGCGGTACTAGAGAAGTCAACCAGGAAGATCCCTTCGAGCTCTTTATCAGCCTTCAAAATATCCGATATGTTTACTACAAGGAAACAGAAAAGATTCTTGGTAACACCTACGGCATGTGCATTCTTCAAGACTTTGAAGCTCTTACTCCTAATATTCTTGCCCGAACTATTGAGACTGTTGAAGGTGGTGGTATTGTTGTCATTTTGCTCAAGTCTATGACGTCTCTTAAACAGCTTTACACTATGACCATGGATGTCCATTCCAGATACAGAACTGAAGCACACAATGATGTCGTTGCCAGATTTAATGAGCGCTTTTTGCTTTCCCTCGGCTCTTGCGAAACCTGTCTTGTTGTTGATGATGAACTCAACGTGCTGCCAATTTCTGGTGGTAAGAAGGTTAAAGCTCTCCCCCCTAAGAGTGATGACGAAGAGTTGACTCCTCATGCCCAAGAACTTTTGGAGATCAAGGAGTCTCTCCAAGACGTTAAGCCTGCTGGTCCTCTTGTCAACATTGCCAAAACTGTGGACCAAGCCAAGGCTATTTTGAGTTTCATTGATGCCATTTCTGAAAAGACGCTCAACAACACTGTCACCTTGACTGCCGGCAGAGGTCGAGGTAAGTCTGCTGCTTTGGGTGTTGCCATTGCTGCTGCTATTGAATCCGGCTACTCCAACATCTTCATCACCTCTCCAAGTCCTGAAAACTTGAAGACTCTGTTCGAGTTTATTTTTAAGGGGTTTGACAGCTTGGGTTATGACGAACACCTTGACTACGACATTATCCAGTCTACCAACCCATCTTTCAACAATGCCGTTGTTCGTGTCAACATTTTCCGCTCTCACAGACAAACCATTCAATACATTCACCCCTCTGATTCCCACGTTTTGGGCCAGGCCGAATTAGTCGTCATTGATGAAGCTGCCGCTATTCCTCTTCCTCTTGTAAAGAAACTTATGGGTCCTTATCTTGTTTTTATGGCTTCTACCATTAATGGTTACGAAGGTACTGGCCGCTCTCTTTCTCTTAAACTTATCCAACAACTTCGCAACCAGCAAACCGCCAAGAAATCTGCTCCCGAACTCAATGTTGTTGACAGACATGGCAAACACTCTGAAAGTTCGCATATTGGTGTTCGCTCTCTCAAGGAAGTCACTCTTGAAGAACCTATCAGATACGCACCTGGCGACCCTGTTGAAAAATGGCTCAACAAGCTTTTGTGCTTAGATGCCACTGTTTCTTCTACAAATAGACTGGGAAACAAGGGCTGCCCCCACCCATCGCAGTGCAACCTTTTTTACATCAACCGCGATACACTTTTCTCATACCACCCAGTCTCGGAGGCCTTTTTGCACAAGATTATGGCTCTTTACGTTGCTAGTCACTACAAGAACTCGCCTAACGATTTGCAACTGCTCTCTGATGCCCCGGCACACCAGTTGTACGTGCTGCTGCCACCAATTGACGAAAACGACAAGAAGCTTCCCGAACCTCTTTGCGTCGTACAGCTTGCACTCGAAGGTGAAATCTCCAAGGAATCTGTACACAACAGTCTTTCGCGTGGCCAAAGAGCTGGAGGTGATTTGATCCCATGGACTATTTCGCAGCAGTTCCAAGACGATTCGTTTGCTGGATTGTCTGGTGCCCGTGTAGTGCGTATTGCTACACACCCTGACTACATGAACATGGGCTACGGTGCACGGGCACTGCAACAACTGCAGGATTACTTTGAGGGTAAACTTACTGATTTGAGCGAAGGTACGGCCAAGTCTGAACAAGACTTTGCCGTCTCACGGGTGTCTGACTCTGAGCTGGAGAGCGCGTCGCTGGCTGACGACATTAAGTACCGCGACCCTAAGGCTATGCCACCTTTGCTTCTTAAGCTGAGCGAGATCTCACCCTATTACCTGCACTACCTCGGTGTGTCTTATGGTTTGACAACCGAGCTCAACAAGTTCTGGAAACGCGCCGGATACGCTCCTGTCTATCTACGTCAGACTGCCAACGAGCTTACTGGTGAGCATACCTGTGTGATGCTTAAGGTTCTCGAGGGCCGTGAAAAGACGTGGCTTGCGGAGTTTGCATCCGACTTCCACAAGCGGTTCTTGAATTTGCTTGCATATGAGTTCCGTAACTTTTCTGCCATCCAGTCGCTTAGCATTCGTGAGGGCGACAAAGTGGCAACTTCTGAACTCCCTCGTCCTGCTCCACTGTCTAAGACTGAGCTTGATGCTTTGTTCTCACCCTTCGATCTTAAACGTCTTGAGTCCTACGCTAACAGTCTTCTGGATTACCACGTCATTGTGGATCTTCTCCCCACACTCTCGTTCCTATACTTTATGGACCGGGTTCCCAATGCAAGTGTGAGCTTGTCTAGCGTTCAGTCTGCAATTCTGCTTGGCTCTGGTCTGCAGAAGAAGGACATGGAATCACTTGCTGCAGAGCTCAATCTGCCTGTGAACCAAACACTGGCCATGTTCTCCAAGACTGTGCGCAAATTCTCGTTGTACTTCCGTGATTTGGTGTCGCAGGCTATTGATGCCGAAATCCCCAAGCCAGCCAATGAGTCAATTGCATCATCGAAAGGTTTGGATGAGGCTTCTGCGACCAGCAAGTTCGTGCCTTTGAAAGCTACTTTGGAAGAGGATCTGAAGGAAGCTGGTGATGAGGTTGTGTCTGAGCTCAAGGCTAAACAGCTAGATTTGATAAACTCGATAGACATGAGCAAGTAAGTATAGAAATGTTGTTTTTCTTCAAAAAAAAAAAAAAAAAAAAAATAGAAGAATTATTTTTCACAACTAACCAGTGTGTTTTAGGTTTGCCATTCCCATGGATGCTGATATGGACAGTTCTTCTGTGAAGAATGCGGCCGCTAAGGGTGGTGTTGTTTCGCTCAAGAGCTCAGCCAATGGCAAGCGTAAGACTGCAGATGCACGCCAAATTATGGAACAGGAATTGAGTGCCGTTACCAAGAAGCGCAAGCGCAGCAAAGGTGCCAAATAAATGGTGAAGATGAAGGAAATATGATTTAGATTGTTGTAAAATGAATGCGTTGAAACAAAATAATGAAATACATTAATGAAATTGAATATTATCAAGAATTAGAACCATGTTAATTAATTTATTAAATTTCTTATTAGCTTTCAAAACACTTAAGTCTAAAAGTCATTTAAAAGGCTCTATATTTTTTTTCTTAATAGCTAACTTCAAGATGTATAAATTTTGGCAAGATTCGACAAAATTTAACAATAAAGATGGAATTTTTTTTTTTTTGATTTTTTTTATTTGCATGAATTTTGCAGACAATTTTTGAATTTCAAAATTGAAAATTAGGAACTACCTAGTTTCACACACTCACACTCACACTCACACTCACTCACTTAAAGTAGTTTATCATAGCAGCACAAGATTCATAAAAAATAATATAGATTGGATTTAATTAAAAAAGTTAGCCAAAAAATATTAACAAAAAGATTATCGACACCAGCAGGACTCGAACCTGCGCGGGAAATCCCAAAAGATTTCTAATCTTTCGCCTTAACCGCTCGGCCATAGTGCCTAATCAAAATTGTTAGTGTATTATATATTTACAATCTATTTAAAGAAATTATTATACAAAAACTACAAAAAACTAAAAAAAATTAATACAAAGAAGGATAGCGCAGATGCTGATGTTATATAATTCTATAACCCTTGAATAAAAACAAACAAACAATTAATACAAAACTAATTTTTTTTTTTTTTTTTTTTTCATATAATTCCAATCAGTTTTGCTCTAATATTTCAAGTTTAATTTCATTTTTTTTTATTATTAATGCTCATTTACATAATGGAACGTAAACTTAAGTATAGGGAAAACCTTAACCCCCAGAAAAAAATGACGTTGTAATTAAGCAAAACTCTGCTGCGTTCATTTTTTATTAACTATAACAAAGGAAAAAAGATATTTAATGAAAACAAACAAATAAAGAGCCACCCTAGATGTGAAAGAAGCAAACCAGTTTTTTTAAAAAAAAAATTAGCATCTAAATACTCAAACAATCCACTTATTAACAGACAACTCTGGTTTTCAGGAAATTTATGATTCCCAGATAAAAATACTTTATAAAGTATTATAAGTATATCATATATATATAATTATAATCATAAATATAAATATGTGTTATACTTATTTAATGGTAATTACGATTCAAGCTAAAAACTTTATCAACATTACTATTTGCAAAAGTATTTTTGCCCAGTATTCTCTAGTTATTTTAATTAAAAAAAGTTTAACATTAGAAACCTAATATACACATTATTACATCATGTTTTTTTTCATTAATAGTACTACACAAAAAAGAAAAGTCATTATCCTTATTCCAGTGTTTTTCAATTCCTTAAAAAAGTCCACCTGGAGTGCCGTTAACAACAAACCCTTCATTGGTTTTGACGCCAGTCGATTCTCTGATCATGAAAATGGGATTTTTGCCTTGAGCATCAAGCTCCTTAAAGATCTTGAGCGGTAGTTCCTCGAGCCCAATCATCCGCTCTTGGTCGTCGTAGCACACCACCAGTTCCACTTTATCACTGCGCACCTTGTGCTTCTTGGCAATCACGGGTAGAACCTTGTAGCAAGGCACATCAGGCGGAATGTTAAAATCCTTAATAGGCTCTGTTCCACTCCGGCTGCTGCTGCTACTGCTGCTCATGCCACCGCCACCGCCACCATTAATTGAGTTATTGCTTGGTACAACAGGCGTCATCGGCATGGAGTGCGGGATAAGAGTTCCTTCACTATCAAATTCGTGGATCCCAGGAGTCCCCTGTGGCGTGCTAGCATGTGAATGCCCATGTGTGTGAGAAGGGTATCCATGGCTGTGGGACGATGGATATCCCATGCTGCGAGGAGTTTGTGGGCCACCACTAGCAGACGATGCTCCCATGTTAACAACAGAAATCTGTGCCGGAGAGGCTGACATAATCGGACTAGGTCGGTTACCTGAGGATGCTGTAGCTAACGACATGTAGCTTGTTTTGGGAGCCGGCCCCGTGCTGCGCATATCGTGAGCATCGTGAAAGTAATCATCATGGGATCCCGGGTGTGGGAGACTAGTACTGTGAGAAAGTGGCGGTTTAGGTTGCTGTGATGGTTGGAAAGATGGCGAAGGTGATGCAGAATTGGTGTGAAACTGGGATGCTACTGCGGCAGCAGCACTCTGGGGTATTTGAAGCTTTTTAGAAAAGGATGCAGAGGTCGGAGTTGAAATGGAAAGGTGGACAGCAGAACTGCTATTGCTGCTGTGAGCCAGCAGCCGGTCGTCGTAATCATTTTCGTCCGATGATGAGGGGAAGAGTGAAGATGTAGCGGACCCAGGAATGCTAACAGGTGTATTTTTGCCTGTTCCAGAGGTTGAGGGCAGGTGTGCTTGGGTGATGATTGTTGTTGTGATGAGATTGTTTGATGGTGCGCTGGTTGTGATGAGAGCTGGCTGCGCAACGCCGTTGGAACCATAAAAAGATGTATCCAGCCAGTCCTGTGAACTTGCTGATGGCCCAGGGGCTTGGCCTGGGGCCTGGCTGGAGCTTGTTGTTGGTGAAAGGCGCATGTCTGAGGTTTGGGTATTAAGATGTTGTTGGCTTGCGCTTTTGTGTCGTGACAAGCCTTTGTGCAGGACCTGGGGCGTTGGGCCCAGAGTTGGCACAGGAGGCCCTGAAAATGTGGGTATCTGTTGTTGTTGCTTCGCTGAGGTACTTTGAGAATGCTGGTATACAGTAGGAGAAGGGGTTGCCGAGTTGATTGAGGCAGAAAGTGGTGGTGATATGGATTGTTGGTGATGCGACATTCGCGACGGTGAGTTGAGGTGGCCCTCCACGGGCATTGGAAGGGGCTATTCAAGATGTTAGTCTAAGACTTGTAGAAATTTTATACATATGTAAAAAAAATAAAAAAGGCATTTTGTAAAAACTTACTTTGGACTCCTTAGCCAAGCGGAAGATTGGAAGAAGTTCCTCGCGAAGCTTTGCATAATTTTCAGACAGTTTGGCATAGTTGTCAAAAAGGCTCCTGACCTCGGTTTCGAGAACAGAAATGCGTTCGTCACGCATCACAAAGAGCTCAATAATGTGTGGTAGTGCATTCATTTCGGCACTAGGGCCAGACGGAGTTTGAGGGATAGGGACATTAGAAGATGTTGGCGATGGTGTTTTCCCCGTAACCGCCGCAGCGGAAGCTTCGCGTGCTTCTTCCTGTTGAAAACACGCGACAGTTGGTGGAATATATCGGTCAGTGCTAGTGTCGATACCTTGTGCTTCAATAATATTGTAAATAGACTTAAGGATGCGTAGCCGGTGGCCAACAGAGTGGACCCCAATCTCAACTAAATGTCGCTGTTTAAGAGCAACAAGCGCCGCACCGCATATGTGGGCTTCGCGGAAGTTAGGCGTGTACTTAGCTAGCCCTAGCTCTGCAATCCACTTGCACACGCGATCAACGTCCCACTCTAAAACCGGAGTAGTGGTCGCAGAAGACGAATATGAAGATGATGGTAGCGGCAGCGGAGGTGCTGAATCTTGTGGGGATGAACGGGCTGACAGTGTAGTAGGTGTTGAAGCGGTCAGACCAGCCGCAAAGGAGTTGTTGACGGTAGCGGTAGACGAAGAAGATGAAGATGATAAGGATAGTGAGAGAGACGCCGGTGCCTGAGACGGCGGCGGCGGTGGCGGCTGCGCAGGCTGTGGATTAGGCCTGTCGACCATTGTTGTTAGCTGATGGTAATAGTGTTATTAATTGTTTATGGTGGTGGTGATTGTGATTGTGATTGTGATTGTGATTGTGATTGTGATTGTGATTGTGATTGTGATTGTAATTGTAATTGTGATTGTGAGTTTTCTAAAAAGGAAAGAGGCTGGGAGGCAACAAAAGAAACAAACACGCGGACCACGCCGGGGTGGGTTTTTTTTTTAAGGGAAGAAGAGATGGTACAGATGAGATTATTTATCACGTGGATGTCATGTGCTTTGTTACTTGATTTCATTAGTTACATAAATATGCTAGTGTGTCTGTGAAAAACAGAATAAATAAGATTCGGGACGCGTACCGAGACCTTACTTCTCCAGCTCCCGGAGCCGCTCCTTTTCAAGCTCTTTGCGCTGCTTCTTCTCCAACTTTTTCTTCTCCTTGCGCTGCTTGTCGTCCAACTTCTGCTGCTTCTTGAGCGCCCGCTTGGCCTGCTTATCGCCAACCTCTCCAGCAACATCGCCCTCTGCAACCACCAAAGTATCGTGCTTGTGATGCTTATGTGGTACCACATGGTGCCCGGCAATTGTCGGACCATGTAGTGTTTTAACACGATGGTTCTGTGCGTGCCGCTTAAGCTGCTGTTCGTGTTGCCGTTGTTCATGCCGTTGCTGCCGTTCGCGCTGCCGCAGTTGCTTCTTTTTAAGAATTTCAACCGTCACGCCCAGCCGGCTTACACTTCGCCATAATGCATCGTCAATCTTGTGTGGCAGCTTTCGCCCGTACAAACATTGATCCACCAGCCAGGTCCCTACAAGAAATCCCTCACGGTCTAATGTGCCGTCGTGGTTGCGGTCGACCAAAGTCCAAATCTGCGCAAGAGTTGTGTCCGGAAGTCTGCTGCGTCGCCACAAGTCGCGCACAATGAACCCATGAATATCATCTTTCGGGTCACGCTCAACGCGGTATACTTTTGACGGTGGAGGTATCTGTGACGCGCGTACGATTGCTGTAGAAGTAGGGGTGGTAGTAGTTACAGTATTAATCCCAGTGAGCTTATCCGACGATTCTGTTTTACTCGGCTTCTCCTTGGTTGACTTTTCGCGTTCAGCAAGCTGCTGTTGTCGCAGTTGCTGCTGCTTCTCAATTTGCTGCTTCATTTCTCTATGCGCACGCTCCTCAGCCTGACGTTGCACCCACTCTTCTTCTGCATTGCGACCACGTAGCTTGGGCGGTGACATGCTCCGGAATGTATTCTTAAGCCGTTCAATGCTATGGCTACTCGACGCGCGCTTGGCTCCAGGCCGCACCAGCACGGTGGCCAACGCACCCCCAGAACCCGGAGACGAAGTCGTTGTGGTCAATCCACCGGGGAACCGCGATGAACGCGTCATGCTCTCAAAGGGTACGTCCAAAACGCTGGGTGAGGCCCCACGTGAGTTATTGACACTTTGAATATACATGGGTGAAGGGCTTGATGCACGCGAAATACCATGGGCAGAGGTTAAAGACGGTGATGGTGAACGGCTCAAACGAGATGATCCAGCTGTCGCATGTATGGCAAGTGCTGCAGCCATGCTAGTAGCCTTGTTATTCTTTTGCTGAAGCGTGGGGCTGGCTGTTTGAGCGCGTGGTATAGCAGTACTGTCAGGTAGATTGTCAGAAGAGCTTCTGGAAGGGACACTAGCAGATGCAGAGTGGCGACGGATCTCAGTGTCTACACCTGTCTCTGCAATAGAAGGAGTAGGTGAAGTGCATGCAGTAAGATATTGTGAGCTGGCACTGCTAGCAACTGTGTTCATAGACGGAGCTGGGGCTGAAGCTGTAGAAGGAGCACTGGCAGCACGCGTCATTATTTCTGGAGCAGAAGTGCGACGCAAAGGCACATCTTCGACAGGAAGATTAAGAACAGGGTGAGGGTGGTGAACTTGGGGCTTGATTTCGTTTTCTTCTTCATCCTCCTCGTCTTCATCCTCCAAATCCTCATCATAACCACTGGTCATGCTGGCCATATCTGAAGCGTCTTCCTCGTCATCGTCATCTTCATCGTCATCATCATCATCGTCTTCTTCTTCTTCATCATCATCTTCATCATCATCATCGTCAAGATCTGATTCCTCATCAGAAGATGCTGACAACTCAGAATCTTCTTCATCTTCTTCTTCATAATCATCCTCGGATTCTTCTACTGGTTTTGTAGTCTGCACCAGTGTAATTATCTTCTTATTTTCTTCATTATTATGTTCTTCTTCTTCTTCTTCTTCTTCTTCGTAGTCCTCAGGGTGGTAAAGATATTTGAGATGCTTGCCACGATTGCTAGCCCAAAGACCTTCATATCGCCGCTTTTCGGAATCAGTGAGTGTCATAGCGTCAACGTGATGTTTCCATGGCTTGTCTTCATTAAAAGATTTCCGTCGACTCTGCTTTCGCATTGTCGTTTTGACCCGTGAAAGATTAAGCCCCCCATCATCGACATGTAGAGACTCTCCAATAATGCCCGAGCCAGATACACCGACACCACTACCAGCACAGTTTCCACCATTGTTGCTAGCATTATTGCTGCTGCTTTCTCCAGGGATAAGTTTACGCTTAACCAAACTCAGAATGCCATGGTTGCCACGGCCGCTTCTAAGCGTGGGAACGACGACGTTAGCGCTAGATGAAGTTGAGGTTAAAGATGAATTAGTGAGCACTGGAGGATTAAAGTGAGACATCTGCGAATGAGGGTATGTGGCCAGCGATAGAATACGGCCGGTTGCAGAAGAGTTGCTTTGATTGGTGGGTGTAGCATTTGCAATGGTATTTTGTGCAAGGGTGGTTGCAGTTTTCATGAGCCCACGCGTGTGATAAGTTGCTGAGTCTGTACCTGAGGTCGCGTGCAAAGGATTTCCACTTGGGGCTACAGACGCCATTGATGAAGAAGATGATGATGTAGTAGGGAAATGGTAATGAGGAGCGTGCGGCGCCAACGGTTTCTCAAAGTCAGGGAATGCTGCAGCCGCTGCCAATGAAGATGATTGTGATGGCAATGGGGGGAGTGTAGCTGAAGACCGCAAAGCAAAATTTTGAGCAGATGACGACGACGATTTAGTTTTGCGGTGCTGTCGCAAAGTCGTTGCTTTGAATCCAATGTGAGAAGGTGCAACAGGTGCAGGCGCAGACCCTGGCATGTAGCCGAGACCCACGTGGTACGAGAGTGGCCTCGAAGATTTAGTTGGGATGGTCACAGAAGTTGCCGCGCGTGTAACAGTTGGGTGGTGTTGTTGCTGTATAGATGTGGAGACTGGGAGAGTTTGTGAGTGATGAACACCCGGGGTAGGAGTGAGTTTCTTGGCCTTTGGTTTGGAGACAGCGATCGGTGCATGAGTTGAGGTATGCGTAGCAGCAGCTGATGCGTGGGGTTGGTGATCTGCGGCATGTGCATCGGTCCAACTGGACACAACGCTATCAACCGATTGCGCACTGCGTGGTCTTTTAGGAACACTTGGGGCTTTGAGATGTGTATTGTTATTGTTGTTATTATTATTATTATTATGAGAAATGCTGGTAGAGCTCTTATTATTTTGAGCCACACTCAAGGTCCGGCCATGGCTTTGAAGTAACGGGATATGGTTTAGTGCACCACCTTTAATTGGCGTTGGTGAGTAAAGAATGGCGCCACCTGATGCTTGTGGAGGGGATGTGGAGGTAGAAACAGAGGTCGGTACGCCTACAACAGACTCTGTTTCTAGGTTTGGTTCCAAGCTCGGACTCAATCCGGGGCTTGGTGAAAGTTCCTTTGCAGGTGCAACTTCAAGTGGATTTGCAGCTGCTATAATAGCTGCTGTTGAAGCGGTTGATATGGGTTTTGTGGCTGCTGTAGAAGATTGGGCAACTGCCCTTTGCTGTTGTTGTTGCTTTTGGAGATTGGCCACTTTGGAGATATACTTGGCTTGGTTCTGATCGAGCAATAGTTGTTGCTGTTTCTCATGTTGGATCTGTAGCTGAATCTGTTGCTGTATTTGCTGAAGTCTTTCCTGTTTTTCCAGCTTTTCTAGTTGTTGCTGTTGCTCACGAAGTTGCTCCTTGGCCTGAGCTTCCTGCTGCTGCTTCTGCGTCGCCAGCGACGCAGCCTTCATTGCAGTACGCTTGATGGCATTATCTTCAGGAGCTGCTATTGATGTAGTATCACCACTATTACCCGTTGTAGCTGAAGCCCCAGATGCCTGGAGAAGAGGTGATGGTGGTCCCATTTGTGCGCTGCGAGCTGCAGCTTGTTGCAAAGTTTCTTCTTCAATTGAATCCTCAGAAGTCGCAGAAGCAGTAGCTGTATTAGTAGTAGTTGCGTTCGTGTCACTCTCCGTGTCATTCATTGGTAATGCCTTTGCAGCGGCGTGAGCAACACGACGCTGCTTCGGTGGCAACTGGTTATTTTCGTGAATTAGCATCTCTAGTGCGCTAATTTCCTTGGGGGTTGTAAAAATGCTATGTTTGGCCGCAGCCAAGCTCGACGCAGCATCATGCTCTGTAAGGGTCACAATGGGTGATGGCTGACGAGCTGTACGAGCCGCATTTGAAAGCAAACTAGACGATGCAGCCTGTGCAGATGCTGGGTCGTCAAAGGAATGGTGGTTCTGTTGTGATTGATAATAGACAGAATAATCTGAAGTTGCACTCGGAGAAGTTGCTCGTTGGCCATGCTCATTGGTATCTGAAAGATAATATGCAAGGTGTTTAGACCCTGCAGACGGCGACGTTGCGAAAGAGGCTGAGGATGTTGATGAAGATGAAGATGATACAGATGCAACGGGGAGTTTTTTGAATGCTGCTGCAGCTGAGGCTGATGCAACAGAAGAAGGAGGATGATTATCAGGACGGAAAAAAAAGTAGCTCCCTGAAGAAGGAGATGCAAGCAATGGCGAATGCATTGTGGAAGGTGATGAAGATGAAGACATGGGAGACGTAGGAATGACAATTGGGTTTGAGGGGACTTCAAGATATTGTTGTGGTTGTTGTTGACTGGAGCCTTTTGTTGCTGATGAGATAGATGATAGAGTGGTTGATCGAGACTGCTGAGATTGTGTTTGGCTTGACTTTTTTTGTACAGGTTCTATTCGGGGTCGCGTGGCTGAAGGTGTTCTCTTCGAAGAAATCGAAGTTACTGGTAGCACAGAGTCATTGGCGGTAAGAATGGACTGTGGAGGTCTGCTGCTTGAACTGAGCATGCTATTTGAATGGCTAGCTGTACCAGAGCCATTGTTGCTATTATTATTACTGCTGCTGCTGCTGCTGCTACCACTGTTGCTGCTACTGTTGCTTCCACTGCTGCCACCATTGCCAACACCCACACCGATTCCCGGACATTTTTTCTTCGCGCTGGCAGCTGCAGCAGCAGAAGCCGTCACGGCCGAAGTAGAGAGAACTGCATTCTGTTCATTTTGTTGAGCAGTGCGAAATTGCTTGCGATATTCTTCTTTTTGTTTCTTGCGCGACCGGTTTGGTCCTTGTTGGCGTAGTGTGGAATTTGTTACTGAAGAGTGGTTCGGTGAATGCGATTGTAGTAAAGATGCTTGGGATGGTGGAGATGAGACAAAAGGTGCGATCGACAAAGGACCTACTCGTTTTGATGAAGTTGAAGTAGTACTAATGATGCTAGAAGCGCTGAGTGAGGTTGTTGATGGGGTTGGATGTAGCGCGCTGGAGGTGTTGTTTGTTATGCTGTTGATAGTAGCTGCTGCGGCTGCGGATGCGCTGGCAGAAGCTGCAGCAGCAGCCGAGATTCCTTGGCCAGAGGAAGGTCTGGCCACATGGTGGTTGTGGACAGAAGGCACTGGGGATGTTGAAGAGCCCGGAGCGCGCTGGGTTTTGGAAGATGACACGTCCAGGGCCGGCATCTGGTTGTGAATTTGTTTTGGTTAAGAAAGAGTAAGAAATATATGAAAGAGATTAGCGATAAATGGTGTGGTGATAGTAATAGTAGTAGTAGTAGTGAAGGTATATAAAGTATTTGTGGTAATAATACAACAAAGTATACAAGTAAGTAAGTATTTGAAAGTAAGTACGTTGTTGGAATCGCGTGTGGAATGAAGGACCAAAAGGAAAGGGGTGAGAGGAGTGGCTTTGAAGAGGCGTTTCGGGGTTAGTTATTAGGTGGTGGTGATTTGGTATATATATGGGGATAAAACTCCCAGTACAAAGTATTAATAATTATTATATTAGGAATTATGATTAGTATTATTATTATTTTTAGATACGAACGGATTAATATTATTAGAAGGTCCTTTTTAAAATGACCAAAATGGAATTAAAAAAAAAAAAAAGAGCAGTCAAAGTATTTATATAGGAGGAGTAAAAATATTGTTTGGAGATTTTTTGGTTAAAATTTTTAAAAAAATATTTTGGAGGTTTTAAATTTTTTTTTATTTTTGAGTTTCTAAAAGCAACAAACACATTTTATTTTTATTTTTTTTTGGGTTCAAACTTTAGCCTAGCCTTCCAACAAAGCTTAAGATCTTTTTTTTTCTATTTAAATATAATTTATTCGATTTTACTCTATTCTTTATTTCTTTTTAATTTTTTTGCTGCTTAAAGATCTCGTGGTGAACCGATATGCCGAAACTTAAGTGGCGCGAGGACCAAACTGGGAAATGCCGGCAAAACTTTTCATCAGGGCCCTTTCTTTAATTTATATTCTTTCTCCTGTTTGGCTAATTGATTTTTGAAAAAAAAAAAAATTAAATATATATTAATAAAACATTTACATCCCTTACATATATCATAGTACACACTATTTCAATTGCCAACTACAACTACAACTGCTGCTGTTACTGTTGCTGTTGTTGCTGTTACTGCAACTGCAACTGCTAGAAACTATGTACGAGAGTGGGTTTCTTTTTATAAAAAAGACTGGAGACACTCCGCGGAAAACGCACGTCAGAAATAGCGGCTCACAACGGTCGCAGTGCATCATTTTTTGTAATAAAAATGTAACAGCGGGGATACTTTAAAGACTTATTACTTAAGCTCTATTTTAATAAAATCTGGAGATTTTTTTTTTGAAACTTAAGATTTACACTTTAAATTTTAAGATTTATGACTAAACTCTATCGGATAACAACACACTACTGTACCTCTTGATTAAAAATAAATTACGAAGTTCAGTTAAGCTAGGCTGGACTCAATTCAAGCAAGGGCTTTGCCAATACATCGAGCACAAAAAAAAATCAATTCAGTTTATCCTTTTTTTTATTCCTTTTTCTATTAATAATTAATCGTTACATTCATATCATATACGGGGGAAACAAACACAAACTCTTTAAATGAAAAGAAGAGCAATGGTGGAAATGGCAGTAAGGCCAACGACGGTGTAACCAGTCTTGTAGACACCCTTGACAGTAAGCTCGTGGGCGGTATCCCAGATCAAGTGTCTGAAACCGTTCCAGAAGTGGAAAGTGAAGGGCAGAGCAGCGACACCCTTGATGGCGAGCTTAGCAGCAAGGGGGAGACCGCCAAAGGCAGCAGCCAAAGAGGCAGAGTCAACGTGGTAGCCGAGAATAGGGAGAGCAACGTATGACAGAGCGTAGGCGTAGAAAGCAAAGCCGAGAGCGACACCAGTAATTCTGTGGATACCGGAAAGGGTCATGGTGATACCGGGTTCATAGATAGTCAAATGGGGGGAGACGGGGCGGTTAGAACGCTGCTTTCTGAGGAGAGCCTCGGCCTCATCGAATGTGGTCTTAACAGTAGAAACTTGTCTATAAGATGAAAAAAAGATTAGTATGCCTTGAATAAACAATTATGGTGATAATGATTCATGGATATCAAGAAGAAAAAAAAAAAAAAAAAAGAAACAAAGATTGAACTCACCTGGCAAACAGAGAAGCGGCGGGTCTAAGACCAATGGCACCAGATCTGAGGGTGGTGGCTATAAAAAGATTACTGTTAGCGACATGAAAGAATTAAATGAAACATCGAGGAGAATTAATTGCATACCTCTAAGAGCGGGAGCAAGACGAGTAGCGAGCATTTTTGGAAAGGTTGGGTTGTGTGATTATGTGTTGATTGAATAGAAAAAAGAATGGGGAAAAAAAAATATAAAAAAAAAAAAGGAGGGGTTAGAACGATTGTTTTGGTGGAGGAGGTCCTTTTATTAAAAGAAAAAAAAAAAAAGACCCGCACATTGGGGAGAGGTTTTCGAAGCCAGTTGACCAATCAACATCGAAGCATTATTTATCTGGGAGCGGTCCGCGCACGCGGTTTTCCGCCGGGTGCAGCGTGCCATGGCTTAAGAAAAGTGCGGGAAGAGCAGTTAAAAATCTGGAGCTTAAAGGTGTAACTTCTATAGAGTAAGTTGTAACAAAAAAAAAAAATATAGATATATAATTATCGTGTTGATTATAAAATTATTAATAATTATTTGTTAATATATTTGTAATTTTTAATTTTTTTAATTTTTTTTTTTCAACTTTTGTAGGTAAATTTCTACTACTATAAATATAGAAAAAGTTTTCACCTCGTTTCTCCTTTTCTCTTCTTTTTTTTTTTTTTTCCATACACAGCCAATGGTGCTGTCTCTGAAAAGATCATGCAGAAGGCTTGTGCCGTTTTGGCACAATGCTCTCTGTGGCCCTGGTTCTTGTTGTCTGATACTTTCGAACGTTCTGTTTGGAGGTTTTTGGATAACTTGTGACTGGGGGTCTCTCTATTCTGCAGAAGAAGAAAAAAAAAAGTAGAGCTTGAGATTTTATATCTCTCTTGTTTTAACTTTTTCTTTTATTTTTCTTGTTTTAAACTACTGCTCTAGGGGGACGATTTTTTATAGAGACTAGTCGCTACGTGCTGGAGATTGACGTCTGTCCGTTTAATCGCCGAATGCTCTATTATTTACCTAAGGTTATTTGGTTTCATACCCGGTCAACATGATAAAAGTTGTTGTAAATATTTTTTTCAAGAAAATTTTTTTTATACATTCCATTCGTAGAATAGTAAAATGTCTTAATCTGAATCTCCAATATCTTCGGATGCTTCTTCATCTTCAGATCTTTCATCTTCAGATCCTGATCCTGATTCATCTTCTTCATCATTTTGGTCACCACCTGCTCCAAAGTCAGCATCATCATCGTCGTCTTCAGAGTCAAATTCATGATTTGCAAAATTGACTGAATCTGCACTCTTACCAGTCGGTTGCCGCTGCTCCTGTTGATCCTTTTTGCTTTCTTCGCGTGATGCTCTAATGAGCTCATCGGGGAATACGGCCTTTGCGTCGACCTTGGCGCGACGTTCCTCAGCAAGACTTTCGTTGCTGAGTCCATGGTAATCAACAAATCTATTGATATCCTCAAAGCTGCGTTGGTCAATCATTGAAAATTCTGTTTCTGTGACAGCCTCATCATCAACATCTCCCTTGTACTTGACAATTAGATTAAATGTAGAAGAGGTGATGGAGGAGTATGAGATGGCTCGGATCCCGCCGAGCTCAAACACCAACACGGGTTTCTTAAAGCCAAAAATCACGGCTCCTGGAAGAAAATAAAGTACACCATCTTTGGACCCTCTATGTGCACTCACGTGAACAAAGGTTTGGCCTGGTGGAAGGGTTTGTACAGAAGTTGGCTCTATGTTTTGGCGTTGAAAGTAGAGCAACACCATGTCGTTAATATCACCTGAGTAAAGTTCTCCGGCGGCTGCACCTGTTGGCTTAATAACAGTACGAGTGGCATCTGCTGTGATTGTTGCTAGTAATGGCTCAGAAGAGGCGGCTTTTTGGGTGATTAGGAGGGCCCAATGTGGTCGCGTTTTTTCAGGAATTGGCAATAGATATACTGCACGGATTTGTGTGGCCCCCAACACAAACTCTGGTGGGTCAGAGATGTGTGCACCGGGTTTTTGTAAAATAACAAGACCTCCAGGAGCCAGTATAACATCAAGACGTTTGCGGAGAGGAATTTGGACCGATACACCTGGGATGCGGAGACATTTGTCTTCATCGACATTCAAAGGTGAAGCAGAAGAAGTAGTTGCAGCGGCGGTTGTGTTGGATGAGCTTGGTGTAGGTGTTAGCTTACGCTTCTTTGATGTTGAAGAATCATTAAGATCCGTCAAGTGGGAATATAATGCAAGAAAGACATTGCGAGTTCCCGGGTATTGTTCAATTGCTTTTGAAACCTGTGCACGCAAATCATCCGGAAGAGCCGCAAAGGCTTGGTCGGTGGTCATTTGAAGCAAAAGGCTCGGTAGATAGGTATTGGGATAAGATTGGAGTGAAGAGATTGTATGTAATACCTGTATGTATTGATTGACTGACCATCAACAAGTAAACAAACGCCAGCAGGAAGTTTCTGGGTACATTAAAGGATGTACAATGAAGTCACACATGATGATTGTAGTAAATAGCTCTCATAAAAGAAATTAGAAAAGTTTGTCATGAATGATGTAATTAGACTTACGAGAAACACGGTAGGTATTTTCGGATTATCTAATTAAAGTTGGTTGCTATTTAATTTTTTTTTTTTTTTTTTTGCTCGTGTTGATCTTGTAGCCACGACAACCCATTTTTTTGGGGTTCGGTCTGGGTTCGCTATACATTTTATTTTATTTTAATTTTTTTTTAATTAAATTAAGCTCAAGACCCAAATCGGGACCCACTTGTCTAATCGGATCTAAAAAAAAGCCTCATACTAAAGCCGCATAATAAATTTCAGCCAATAGAAACTATTAATTGATTGCCCTAACCCATAATATTGCTATTACTAGAAATAAATTTCTCACTATATAGAGGTCAAATTTCTAAAGTAGCGCTATGAAATCTTTCACCATACAAAAAAATAAAAAAATACTAAAAAAAAAAAAAAATAAAAAAATTTCACTCCCAACCAACCAGCCCACAGACGCAGCCAACCAACCACACACAGGATTGGGAAAAGCACGCCAGCCATCAGCCGTACACCATACAGCCAACCAACCAGACTGTTTGGATGTTACAATATTTTGGTTTGTTACAACATTTCTGGTAGCCCAGTGGCTGCATGTGTGCTTAGGTATTTTTTTTTTATAGGTGTGTTAGTATATGTGTGTCTATGTATGTAGGTGTGTATATGTAAAAAAGTCTACAAGTCTATGTGTGGTTGCCCCAGTCAGCCAACCATTCAGTCGGTTAGCCAGCCAGTCAGCCAGTGTGTGCCAGCTAACTAGCCAGCCAGTGTGTGCCAGCCAGTCAGCCAGAGAGCCAGCCAGAGCTCAGCACCGGTCTAGTTGGGTGGAACCAAAAAAAAAAATATATACAGGCAGCAGCAGCAACAACAACAACAGTAGTAATAGTAGTAGTAGTAGTAGTAGTAGTAGTAGTAATAGTAATAGTAATAGCAATAGTAGTAGTAGTAGCAGCACCACCGCCAGCACTACCACTACCACCACCAGTAAAGGGGATAAGCCACGGCCTATTGTTGGCTGGCTTTGGCTGACTGGCCCGCTTATTTGTTTGTACTTACTTTATGGATTTTTTCCCCTAGCCCTCTCCCCTTTTTTTATTTTTTTTATTTTTATTTTATTTTATTTAATTTATTTATTTATTTTTTTTTCTATCACGAAAGTGTGATATTCCTTCCCTTCTCTCTCCTCTCCTCCTCTTTTTTTTTTTTTTTTTTCTCTCTCTCTCTCTTTTTTTTCTCTCCACCTCTCTCTCATTCTTCCCCTTCATCCATCCCATCCACCCCACCCTCCACACATAGACCTTTAACAATGGTTGCTCCTCGTCTCGTCCCAAGCGTCTCCCGCTCGGCCTTCCGTGTCGCTCAGTCTAACGCTCGTCTCTTTGGCCGCAGAACCATGGCCACTGAGGCCACTGCTGTTGGTACCGTCAGGTAAGAAAAACTAATTCTCAATGCTTGTTTTCGATGTTTTTTTTCACCTTTTTTTTTTTATCATTGAGCCCGAGTAATTTGTTTCTTTTCATTAGAAATATTTTCAATGGCACAAATTTAATTTCTTTTCAGCATCAATTGAGGAGTCTGTTCAATTTGGACTTGCTTTTGGGTTACAAGCTTGTATTCAGCTCTTGCGCGCTTTATAGCAATATCTACAGACAAAAATGCTAGCTTGGTCTTATAACTCGCTCAACAAACAAACTTCAATTGAAACTTCCACATTGACATTAAACATTATAACTTTTTTTTGGTTTCACTACATTGATTTTAAATACTAACTTTTGTGTTTTTTTAGATCCGTCGTCGGTGCCGTTGTTGTAAGTACTTGAAGTTTTGATTTTTTTTTTTGCCAGCCATTTTTTTTGCCAGCCTTTGAGTTTTCATTGGCCCAGAGTTATGGTGACCTACCACGAATTGGAAAATTTTTCATTTCTAGCCAATGAGCGTACACTAACCCAAGTTTCCCTTAGGACGTCCAATTCCACCAAGACAACCTCCCCGCCATTTACAACGCTCTCGTCCTCAAGAGAGACGATGGTGAGAAGCTCGTCCTCGAGGTCGCTCAGCACCTCGGTGAGAACACCGTCCGCACTATTGCCATGGACGGTACTGAGGGTCTCGTCCGTGGCCAGGAAGTCACTGACACTGGTGCCCCCATCACCATCCCCGTCGGCCGTGGTACCCTTGGCCGTATCATCAACGTTATTGGTGAGCCCATTGATGAGCGTGGTCCCATCAAGGCTACCAAGTACTCTCCTATTCACGCTGAGCCCCCCACCTTTGCTGAGCAGTCTACCTCTGCTGAGGTTCTCGAGACCGGTATTAAGGTCGTCGACCTTCTCGCTCCCTACGCCCGTGGTGGTAAGATTGGTCTTTTCGGCGGTGCTGGTGTCGGCAAGACTGTCTTCATCCAGGAGCTCATTAACAACATTGCCAAGGCCCACGGTGGTTTCTCCGTCTTCACTGGTGTCGGTGAGAGAACCCGTGAGGGTAACGATCTTTACCGTGAAATGAAGGAGACTGGTGTCATCAACCTTGAGGGTGACTCCAAGGTCGCACTCGTTTTCGGTCAGATGAACGAGCCCCCCGGTGCCCGTGCCCGTGTCGCTCTTACTGGTCTTACCATTGCCGAGTACTTCCGTGATGAGGAAGGCCAGGATGTCTTGCTCTTCGTTGACAACATTTTCAGATTCACCCAGGCCGGTTCCGAGGTCTCTGCCCTTTTGGGTCGTATCCCCTCTGCCGTCGGTTACCAACCCACCCTTGCCACTGATATGGGTGCCCTCCAGGAGCGTATTACCACCACCCAGAAGGGTTCCGTCACCTCCGTCCAGGCCGTCTACGTCCCTGCCGATGATTTGACTGATCCTGCCCCTGCCACCACTTTTGCCCATTTGGATGCCACCACTGTGTTGTCTCGTTCTATTTCTGAGTTGGGTATCTACCCCGCTGTCGATCCCCTTGACTCCAAGTCTCGTCTTCTTGACGCTGCTGTCATTGGCCAGGAGCACTACGATGTTGCCACCCAGGTCCAGCAGACTCTCCAGGCTTACAAGTCTCTCCAGGATATCATTGCCATTCTTGGTATGGATGAGTTGTCTGAGACTGATAAGCTTACCGTTGAGCGTGCCCGTAAGATCCAGAGATTCCTTTCCCAGCCCTTCGCTGTCGCTGAGGTCTTCACTGGTATTGAGGGTCGTCTCGTCCCCTTGAAGGACACTGTTAAGTCTTTCAAGGAGATTCTTGAGGGCAAGCACGACTCTCTCCCTGAAGCTGCTTTCTACATGGTTGGTGGCATTGAGGAGGTTGTTTCCAAGGCCGAGAAGCTTGCTTCCGAGGCTGCTTAAACCTGCAATCGGTAGTTTGTATTTGTCTATATAATAATCATCCTTATAATACCAAAGTACTATTCCATTTAAAAAAAAAAAATAAATTGATAATAAAAAAACGCATTTAAAAAAGAATTATTATATACTATAGTTAGTTCATTATAATGAATGAATAAATGAATTTCATAAATTATGAGATTTTCAGTTAATGCTATTGTTGACAATTGGAGTTTATTTATTTTGTGTGTAACGAGATTTTTAACATGTTACAAATGTTGTAACAAAGTTGATGACTCTTTTGAATAATTTTTTTTTTTTTTTTTTCGCCACCACCACCACCACTACTAACAATACTAACAACTACTACTGCAAATCCTCATTATCAAATCACCACAAAACCTCTTCACAACCACCCCCTTTCTCTCCATACCAGACACGATCTGTTTGCGATAAAACATCCCCGGGCTCTGTTTTTATCTATCTCCCTTATCTCTAAATCCATTTTGGAATTTAATTTAAAAAGTATAAATATCTCTTAATTTTCACTTTATTTATATTTTTTTTATTCTTTAATTTTTATTTTATTTTATTTTATTTCATTTCTCTTTCCATCTTTACTTCTCCTATATATCCACACCTTCCCCCCCTAGTTGATGCATTTCCCCCGGTCCATTCTGAGACCCTGTATCCGAATCCCATCTTCTTCTTTCCGCCACAGATCAACAATGTCGACATCCAACCTTACTCCAGAAAACTGGCCCGCTTCCAAGGTTAGAAATACTTTCCTCGAATACTTTAAGGACATTCGAAACCATACATTTGTCCCCTCTTCTTCTGTCATCCCCTACGATGATCCCACTCTTCTCTTTGCCAATGCAGGCATGAATCAGTACAAGCCCATCTTCTTGGGTACCGTCGAGCCCTCCTCTCCTCTTTCAAAGCTTACCCGCGCTGCAAACTCTCAAAAGTGTATTCGTGCTGGTGGCAAGCACAATGATCTCGAGGATGTTGGTAGAGACAGTTACCACCACACCTTTTTCGAAATGCTGGGTAACTGGTCCTTTGGTGACTACTTCAAGAAGGAGGCCATCCCTTGGGCCTGGGAGCTTCTTACCAAGGTCTACGGCCTTGACCCTAACCGTCTTTACGTGACCTACTTTGGTGGCGACGAGAAGCAGGGCCTGGAGCCCGATCTCGAGGCCAGACAGATTTGGCTCGACAATGGTGTCCCTGAGGATCACATTCTTCCTGGAGATGCCAAGGATAACTTTTGGGAAATGGGTGATCAAGGCCCATGCGGCCCTTGTTCCGAAATCCACTATGACCGCATTGGTGGTCGCAATGCTTCCCACCTTGTCAATATGGATGACCCCAATGTTCTTGAGATTTGGAACATTGTGTTTATCCAATTCAACCGTGAGGCTAGCGGTGAGCTTCTCGTCCTCCCTGCCAAGCACATTGATACTGGTATGGGTTTTGAACGTCTTGTGTCTGTTCTCCAGGACAAGCTTTCCAACTACGATACTGATGTTTTCACCCCTATCTTTGAACGCATTCAGGAGCTTACTGGCGCTAGACCTTATGCTGGTGCCTTTGGCAAGGACGATGTTGATGGCATTGACACTGCTTACAGAGTTGTTGCTGACCACGTCCGCACTCTGACTTTTGCCATTGCTGATGGCGGATACCCTAACAATGAAGGCCGTGGCTATGTTCTTCGTCGCATTCTCCGCAGAGGTGCCCGCTACGTCCGCAAGAAATTTGATGTTCCTATTGGCAACTTTTTCTCTCGTCTTGCTCCTGTTCTCATTGAACAGGTTTCTGACATCTTCCCCGAGCTCAAGAAGGATACTGAGACCATTTTTGAGATTCTCAATGAAGAAGAACAATCCTTTTCCCGCACCCTTGATCGTGGTGAGAAACTCTTTGAGCAATACGCCGAAACTGCCAAGAAGAATGGCCAGACCAAGCTTAATGGTAAGGACGTTTGGAGACTTTACGATACTTATGGTTTCCCCGTTGATCTTACTCGCTTGATGGCTGAGGAAGCTGGTCTCGAGATTGACGAGGCTGAGTTTGAGACTGCTCGTCTTGCTTCTTACGAGGCTTCCAAGCGTGGTAAACGCTCTGCCGGTAAGGAGCTTCTTAAGCTGGATGTTCACAGTCTTGCTGCTCTTGAACAGGAGCACAAGGCCCCTAGAACTGATGACCATTACAAGTACCTCCCTGGTGACGTTGATGCTAAGATCATTGCCATCTACTCCGACAATAAGTTTGTTGACACTACTGAGGGTCTTGCTGAGGATTCCCAGATTGGTGTTTTGCTTGACAAGACCAACTTTTACGCTGAGCAGGGTGGTCAGGAATACGACACTGGTAAGATTGTCATTGACGGTGAGTCTGAGTTTGAGGTTGAGAATGTCCAGACTTATGCTGGTTATGTTCTCCACACTGGCTACATCAAGTACGGTAACTTCAAACTCGGTGACAATGTTGTTGCTGGCTTTGACGACCTTCGTCGTTGGCCCATTCGCAACAATCACACTGGTACCCACATTTTGAACTTTGCTCTTCGTGGCGTTCTTGGTGATGGTGTTGACCAGAAGGGTTCCCTTGTTGCCCCCGAGAAGCTTCGTTTCGACTTTTCTCACAAGCAGGCTTTGACTCTTCCAGAGCTTGAGAAGGTTGAGAATATTTCCAATGAGGAGATTTCCAAGAATGTCCCTGTTTATGCTAAGGATGTTCCTCTTGCTCAAGCCCGTGAGATTTCTGGTGTTCGTGCCGTTTTTGGTGAGACCTACCCTGATCCTGTTCGTGTTGTCTCTGTCGGTATTCCCGTTGAGGATCTCCTTGCCGAGCCCGAAAATATCAACTGGACCAAGGCTTCTATTGAGTTTTGCGGTGGTACCCATGTTGCAAAGACTGGTGACATTAAGGAGCTTGTGATTATTGAAGAGAGTGGTATTGCTAAGGGTATCCGTCGTATTGTTGCTGTTACTGGTACTACTGCTTACGATGTTCAGAAGCTTGCCAAGTCTTTTGACGAGAAGCTTGATGCTTTGGAGGCCCACGAGTTTGGTGCTGAGAAGGAGGCCCGCTCCAAGGCTCTTGGTGTTGAGCTGAAGCAACTGACTGTTGCTGTTTTGGCCAAGGCAAAGCTCAATGAGAAGTATACCAAGATTCAGAAGAAGATTTCTGATGAGCTCAAGGCTCGCCAGAAGGCTGAGGCCAAGAAGGCTCTTGAGACTGTGACTGGTTACTTTGAAGAGCACAAGGATGCTCCTTACCTTGTTGCTAACATTGCCGACATTTCTGCCAACTCCAAGGCTCTGACAGAAGCTATCAACTACGTCAAGATCAAGGCGTCCGATAAGTCCGTGTACCTCTTTGCCGGCGAGGAAGGTAAGGTTGCCCACGGGTGCTACATTGGCAAGCCTGCGCTCGACAAGGGTGTCACTGCCCAGGATCTTGGTGCTGTTGCAACCAAGCACGTTGGTGGTCGCAGCGGTGGCAAGGGACCCACTGTGCAGGGTTCTGGTATTGACGAGAAGCAGATTGGTGCTGCCGTTGACGAGATTACTGCTCTTCTTAAGGAGAAGCTTTAAGGAGGGCAATGAAAATTAGAGAGTTCCTTAAAAGTTTTTGTGTATTAGTAGAAATATAAATATTATTATTATTATTATTAATTAATTAAAAAAATTCTTTGTTGACAGCTTTGACACTGTCGATTCTATTTTCAAAAAAGGCTGTAATGTTTGTCATGCACACGCCCTGCGCTTGGATGGCATTTTGGCGGGTAGATGAGCCAATGTGAGGGGTTATGATAACATCCCAGCGGTCCAATAGTCCTGGCTCAATCTGGGGTTCACCCTCAATCACGTCGAGCCCGGCTCCGTGAATACGACCAGAGCGTAGGGCCCGCAGCAAGGCAGCCGAGTCTACAGTTGCGCCACGACCCACGTTGATGACACGCGCGCCCTGAGGTAACAGAGCCAGAGTATCATCGTTGAGCAGGTGGCGGGTTTGTGGGGTGAGTGGGAGAGCTGCGACGACCAACTGTGCACGAGGAAGAATGTCAGCAAGACGCGAGTAGTGTTTGGCGTGGTATCCCAACTTTTCTGTGACACTGGCTGGAGCTGGGTTCCGGGAGTAATAGCATACATGCATGCCGATTGCACTCAAACGGGCGCCAATTGCGCGGCCAATAGGGCCAAATCCAAGTACAGCAACGGTATGGCCGCGCGGCTCCTCGACGGGTCGGTCACCTACACGGTCACCAAAAGAAGCAGAGACTTCCAAAATATGATGTTTCGAGTCGTCGCGGTATTTGAGATCAGCAAGCAGGGGACGGCCAGCTGAAGCATCCCAGGGTCTTCCAGAAGTGAGGAGCGCACGCGCGGCAGCCATATCACCAGAGAGTGCGAGGACACGCTCAAACGCTGGTTGTTGACGGTAGAGGGAAAGAGTTAAGAGGAGGGCATGGTCTGCGACAGGTGCAGCGGCACCTGTGCCTGGGGTGTTGCAGAAAAGAATTGGGGGTGAGCGAGCGGCCAGCGCGCGCGTGTCGAAATGGTCATAACCTACAGAGCTGGAAACAATGATTCGGAGAGACTGGGGTAGATGGGGGACGAGGTCTGCGGTCAAGCTGCCAATGGGCTGAAAGCGTAGAAGAAGTTAGAGAAGGAAGGAAATGTTATGAGTGAAATGTAGTTTTATTTTTTTTATTTTTATGATGATGATGATGATGATAATACTTACGTCGAGGCCACAGAACATACACAGAAAGGCAACTGTGTCGCTATGGACAGACTGCATGTCTTTGATGAAAGCATCGCGAGTCGAGAACTTGTAGTGCTATAGATGAAAGTTAGAGTCAAAAGAATTTTTTTTTTAAAAAAAAAATAAAAAGGCATGAAAGAATTGGACTTACCACACATTTGAATGTTTGTGAGAAGACGGCAAATTCTTTAGTATCTGCGTAGTAGTCGTTAAAGATGAGCACTTTTGGTTTGACTGTTAGGGGGGATTGAATATTATTCATATTGGGCACTTAAATTTGAAGGAAAAAAAGCTGAATTTAAACCTGAAGATAGATAAACAGATAGATAAATATTGAAATTTATTTATTCAAATGTACATTTTTTTCAAAAAAAGCCATTTTGGCGGATTTCACCAGTCTTTTATATAATTTTTTTTTTTTTAAATATTCCAAAGTCTTTTTCAAAGATGTAAATTCCTCACACACACATAATTTTAATTGATTGTCGTGATAATCGTTGAAATTTTCAGTTGCATAATCTGCGATTTTTCAACGGCCAAAAAATCTAAATTTAAATTTTTTTTTTTTTTCATTTGTAGCTTTTAAATCTTCAACAAAACTTTTTGTTTTATATTTCTAAAAAAACTTTTATATCTGAGATCTTATTTTTTTTAAAAAAAAAATTTGAATTCTTATTCTTTATGATGATTCAAAGCCATAATTTTTTTTTTGTCTTGGATGTATGTACTTGGGTTCTTTCACTCACTATTATTTGGCTCTCAGTCTTTTTTATGTTGTAATTCTATCGGCGAGAATTTCCCTTAGCTGACAAACTTTAACCTGCCTTATCAACCAACAATATGCATTTTAAACGTGCTTTTGAATTTGAAAAAAAAATGAAAAACAAACAATATATACTTTCAAATGCTAATATTTCATGCTAATGCTCATGCTCATTCTCATGCTCATGTTCATGTCTATGCTAATAAACGGCTCTTGTAAGAATCTGGCTATAGACGGGGTTTTTAATTCGAGAAACAATTATATACCCTTAAACATTCATGAACGGCTCCGGAGAATCTGGCTATGGACGGGTTTTCAAGGGACCGCGGAACTAATTAGCGGACAACTTCCCTTAGAGGCCAAACAACCATACTAACTAGCGCTTTTTAATTGTAATATTTCAATATTTCAATACTCAAACACTTTGATATTCATATCCGTTTTATTTAATTATTAAATATTTATTATAATTTATTATACAAAAATCTAAACTAAACAGATAAGACCATATCCATTTACCATTAATCATACAATTTCACGTGTGTAATATCTATCTATATGTCTCGCATTGTAAAATAGCCTAGCCATATCATTTTCAACCTCCACCCTCATGGCTTGTAAAAGTCATGCCGCAGAGGCTCAAGCCCAGGACCAAGGAAAAGTAACAACGCTCGACACCTGCCATTATCATTCAAGTATAATGCCGGGACCCGAGGGCGTAACGGGGCCTCAGAATCCTCAACAGACTTGCAATCTTTGTCTTTTTCCTCATCACTGTCATCAACTTCACCACTCGGCAAATCCGGGAACAAGTCCTTGTCATTAATAATCTCGTCTAAGTTAGAATTGCGAGGCAAATATAGCACAATGTTGTCGGAAAACGCTTCACGCGCACGGCGCACAACCTTTTGTATGGAATATGGCTGGCATGACGCCAGATCCCACACGTTGCTCTTACTGTAAGAAGTCCCGCCCCACGGTGGACTTAAGAAAATAACGTCGTTGCGAGTGAACCTGTTGTCTGTAATCACTGTTTCTGCGGGTGGATACTGAAATGTAAAGAAATCACCTTGGTAAAATTCGGTATGTTCGTTTTTAATGTACTCTTCACGGTTCAACGCTTCTCTACGAGCTTTTTTTATTTCGTCTTCCTCTTCTCCTTTTTCTTCTTTTGATTCGGACTCAATACTAACACCTGCAACCACTTTCTGACGCTCACGGGGCCAGTATACCCCGTAATTGTGACGAGCCATGGCCACGTTGTTGCCGTTTACATCCAGGTAAAGGACCTTGGTAAAGTCTCGTGCAAACTGAATCGTGTTACCCGCAGCTCCACCAAATGCATCAAATACGGCATGTGCTCTCGGATACCGTTGTTTAATTTGATCTGAAATGACTCTAAAAAAAAATTGCCAGTTAGTCTGTAAAAAAAAAAAAAAAAAAAAACAAGTGGGATTAAGATATAACATCATTAAGAATAACTCACCGAGCAATGGCTTCAGGAGTCACACTGTACCACATCTCCGGGCTTAACTCGATGCCCTCATCAAACTGTGAAAACAGCCGGTATCGTGAGTACCAGAACCTGCGCAGGTCAGGCGGCAAGTCTTCAGGCGGGTGCTGGCTGGAAGAGGTCGACTGCAAGTCTGTACTGGAGCTAATATTAGATGCAGCACGCGCTCGTTTCCCCCTGTTCCCAGCAGAATATTCAGAAGCTGTCTCCTTAGGTGGCACCCAGGGATCGGATTTGTTGTTTTGTTTACGCTTGCGTTTAGCCATTATTCTGGGGAAGATGGTATAAACAATCCCGAAGATTTGATCTTAAAGGGTATCTTTAAGGGTTGATAAGTTTTTTTTTTTTGTTTCTTTGCTGATTGAAAAATAATAACACTCTATGAAATTTTTTATTGTGACAGCTAAATTAGGTTTCTATATTCTTTGAGTTTTTCGTGAAAATGTAACTCACAGCCATCCGGCCTCTTTTCTCTGCCGTTATGACTTGAGCAAGTATCGCGTCCCCAATATAAATCTCATCATCAATGTTTTCATCATCTTCCGCAACCTCTTCCTCCCCCTCCTCTTCTTTTTCTTCTTTATCTCTCTCATTCTCCTCAACACTCTTAGAACTTCCAGAAGAACTCCCAATACTACTACTCCCACTGGATTCCAACCGAGTCTGTCGCTGTGCAAGAAATGCATCCACATCAATGTGCCGGTACTCAAATAATCCCTTCATCTTGCCTTTAGCCCGCTCCCGCACTACCTCGGGCACAGGTGCTGTGCCTTCGACCACATCACGAGCCGTTGTCCATCCGCCAAACCTTTTACTTGGGCGGTCCTTGTTTTCTTGCTCATCATCTGTATCGTCATCCTCTTCTTTCTCCCCACCAAGGAAACACGCGCTACTATCTGAATCCTCTGCAGCTTCTTTGGCATGCTGGCTCAGCTCCATTTGCTCGTCATAAGTCATGTTCCGTGTTGCAAGAGGGTTCCCTGTTCCATCTCCCTTGGGAAGTTTGCTCTGGCACGAGCACCCTAACAAATCGTGCGTATGACATTTTGTGTGCTCATGGAACGTAAACAAATCTTGCAATTCTGCCAAAGAAAATGAATTAGTGCTGGATGTACCCATCGTGACTCCAGCCGATGACTTTCTCAGAGTTTTGGGTCCATTCTTTTTCGTTTTATCAATCTCTTCATTTTCATGCCGTCCGTCCATAAAGCTCTCAGCCAAACTTTGCTTGGTAATCTGTCGCTGGAAAATCTTCTCGTCCATGGCACCCGTTGTCAACAGACGATACACATACACTGGTCGTTTCTGGCCGTCACGGTGTACGCGTGCCATGGCCTGCAAATCAACTGAAGGATTCCAGTCTGTGTCGAAAAGGAAAAGCCGAGACGCACCTACCAAGTTAAGTCCCGTGCCTCCTGATTTGGACGATAAAAGGAAAACAAAAGCATCTTTATTGTTTGCTGCGTTAAACTTGTCAACCAGTGGTTGGCGCTTGTTGGTTGATGTGCTGCCATCTAGCCGTAGCTGCGTAAAGTGTTCTTCGTTAAGGGCATCCTCAATTACGTCCAGAGTTTGAGTATACCCTGACACAATGACGACTTTTTCTTCTGTAGTTTGATACAAAATGCGCAGAAACTGGAGCAAGAACTGGAGCTTGCCACTACTAAAGGGCAGAGTGGGTGGGAGATTGAGAGCGCCAAAGTCTGAATCTTTGAGAAGCGCTGGAGAGTTGCACAACTTCTTGAGCATTGTGATTGCACGTAAATGATCTACAGCAACATTTGAGCCCAAACACTTTTTAATGGAACTTGATTCAACAAGCATTTTGTAGAGCTCTGCTTGACGCGTTGTAGGTCTGCAGAATATAACGGCATCAGTTTTAGGGGGGAGATATTTGTCGAGAGTGTCTGCAGTTCTTCGAAGAGTGAAAAGACGCGTAAGCTTGGACAATTCTTCCGACCGGACTCGACCCTTTTCAATATCTTTTGAGAGAGCCTCCGGTTGGCGAGACTTAAGAATGGGGAGCTCGAATTCCTTTTTGAACGTAGCGTAGGTGCCAAGAATTCCTGGATTTAGAAAATCAACCATAGTAAAGAACTCACCTAGATCGTTTTGGATCGGGGTTCCTGAGAGAATGATGCGGCGTTGGGATGGAAGACTTAAAATGGCTTGGGCAGACTTGTTGTTTGCCGACTTTAAGCGGTGGCCCTCATCACATACAATCAAGTCTATGGATGCCTTTTTGAGATAGGGCGAAATACTGCGGAGTCGTTCGTAGCCAACGATGACGACCTGATAAACTCTGCTGCCTACAAAAGTACGGATGTTTGCTTTGCTGTCGACAACAAACACACCGATGCGCATGGGTCCGAGCCACTTACGGAATTCCTTTTTCCAGTTGTTGATGAGAGTGACAGGACATACAATAAGGGCACGTTGAATAGTGGGCAGATTTCCCTCGATGGGAGTTTGTTTGAGAAGTGTCCAGATGAGAGTGATTGTCATGAGAGTTTTGCCCAGCCCCATTTCATCAGCAAGCAACGCGCCGCGGCCCTGGAAATTACGATACCCCATAACACACTCGTAAAGAAACTGAACACCGGTGACCTGGTGCGGTCGTAGGTATTTTCCGAGTAGAGGATCGATGACCACGTCAATGACGGATTTCCCTGGGGGCGGTGCGGCTGTTGGTCGCGGCAAGACGTGGGCGTTAGGATCGTTAGGGTCGTGCCGCATACCGTGGACATTACCCTGGTTTGCTCTTGGGACGATTCCCGAGCGGGTGAGAGAAGACTGGTGAGTGGTATTGTTTGCGAGGGGCGAGTGGAATGTGTTTGGAGCGACTTTTGTTTTGACTAAGGGGAGCACTGTTTTAGCAAGAAACAGGGTATCTTTGTTTTGTGGGCTTACAACGGCTGAAATTTCGACTTCCAGATGGCCAACCTTGAGAAAATGGTCCACACAGAGCTTGCCTTGAACCCGTGAGCGTGCAAGCACACGGCCATTGCTTCCTTCGAGTGTCACGGCGCCGTCTGCAGCCAGGGTTAAGAGTCCATCTCCGTCCCAAGTTTTATTTTTCTTTGCTGTGACTTTACGCCAGACAACCTCAAAGTATTGGTTTGTTGACTCATCTGATGATGCAGTTAAGGTTGATGTTGAAAGTTGAGCTGAAGATGCAGGTTTAGTGATTGGGATGGATACTCGGCTTGATACAGGTCTGTGTGCGGGAGAAGATCCAGGCAGGGTAGTCTCTGATTTAATACGTTTTATAGGAAGTCCTGGTGCACGGGTTATTGCTGGTGATGGGTTTATTTCAGACTTGGTATCTACGTTTTCCGGGGTATTTCTCTTAAGGCTGCTTTGCTGTGGTGGTGCACACGAACCCAAGGTCTTAAGAGGTTCATTGTTGTTGGTTGTTGCTGAGGAGCTACTTGGGGGTCTAGAAATGACGGGTTTAAACGGAGCATTTAGGCTTGAAGCCGAAGAAGACGAAGATGAATTAGTCGGAGCCCTTCGCCGGTACATGTTTTAATGTTATATTTAATTTTGGTCAGATCAGATGAGGTGGGTATCTTTTGCTTGGTTTGAGTTAAGTTGATGGTGGTTTTTTTTTTTTCGTGAGAGATTTGAAAATTGATCTGGCCAATTTTTTTTTTTTTTTTCATTTTGGCAAAAAAAACTTAAAAGTGGCGTCGTCTACGCGCGTCTTACATAAGCTGACCAATACAAAACGTGCACGGCTATGAACACGGGGGAGGGAGTTAATAGTATAAGAGAAACAAGTAGCATGCCAGGTGGATTGTTGAAAGTATTGATTTGTTTCAATTTTTGTTTTAATTTATTTTTTAAAAGTATTTATTTTTTCAAATGATTAAAACTTCATTTGTTGTTGTTCTTATTGTAGTTGTTGTTGCTGCTCTTACTGGTGATTGTCAGTTTGGATAGACTGGCGACAGTGTCATAGGAGACTTTTGGTCCACACAAGTTTTCACTTTTTTGTTTCCCCCACTTGGACAATTCCCTTTTGGTTTTCTTTATTGATATTTCTCAAATAAACATTTAAATTGAAAAAGCCAAAATTGAATGTAACAGTTTTTAACTTTTTTTTTTATTTCATTTATATATATATTACTAATAGAGAAAAGGCAGATATCCGAAGGTGGGGGCTGTTTGAACTCAGACAATTGCTTATATACAAGGTACCTTTGACTTCCTAAGATCACAACCAACTACCAAAGGAAAAAAAAAAAAAAAAAAAAAAAAACAATTGAAACTTGTAAAGAAACGGGGTTTTTGGAGAGTTTCTATTCCATGCCGGACAACCGGTCGGGTTTTTTCCTATTAAAGGCGGATCGAAAGAGTTTGGAGGAGGAGGAAGAAGAAGAAGAAGAAGAAGAAGAAGAAGAAGAAGAAGAAGAAGAAGAAGAAGAAGAAGAAGAGGAGGAAGAGGAGGAAGAGGAGGAAGAGGAGGAAGAGGAGCCCCACTGCCTTTTTTTTTTTTTTTTTTTTGATTTTCAAGGCTTATCGTAAATTAGTAAGATTTAGCTAATTCCAGTTTAAAGAAAAAGCTTTGGTTTGTAAACATTAAAAGACTGTGTTGAAAAACCGTTGTGTGGGAATTTGAACTACTCGGTATTGTCCATATACAACAACAACAACAACAACAATTGTAACGACTATAAAAAATCCACACCAAAACAACTTCTTTTCTTTCTTTCTTTCTTTCTTTCTTTCTTTTAATTTCTATTTTCTTCTTTCTGTTAAATCAGTCGATATCTCTATTTCCCTCAATTTCTCTTATAAAACCCAACACTCATCCCCTCCCCCATCTCACCACCTCTTTTTATGCTCACAAAGCAATTCCGTCCGTTCTTCATTGTCTCTAAACTCCCATTCTTTGTTCGCACAATGTCATCTTCTTCTACTATTCCCCCCCGCGACAGCGTCAAGCGTCATGCCCATGTATGTATTTCCCAATAATAAGACATTATTGACTAATTGCCAAAATAACTAACCTTCTTGTGTAGTCCGACTTTGAAATTGTCCAAGAAGCTCGTCCCAAATTTGACGCTGACCACCACCTCTTCTACACAAAATCTCCCAATGCCGAGAACTGGAAACCAGGTCAAGGAGCCAACAGTGATGACTGGAAAAAGCATAAAAAAATTGACTTTGATCCATATGCCGAGGGCCGCAGCCCCATCAACAACTACAAGCTTATGGTTTCCGGTATCACACCTCGTCCTGTAAGTATTTGAAAAAAAAAAAATAAAATAAAAAAAAAAAGGAATTATGCTCAAAATCAAGACCACTAACTCATTACCAACAGATTGCCTTCATCTCAACAATCTCGAAAGATGGTGTCACTAACCTGGCTCCGTTCTCTTACTTTGAAGTTGTCAACAGTGACCCTATCATCTTTACAGTAGGTATCTCCAAGGGCACTGGCTTTGAGAAGGATACTGCATCCAATCTCAAGGCTACTGGCGAAGCTACCATCAACATTATTTCCGAGTGGTTTATTGAGTAAGTATTTTAACTTTTATTTCAAATTGTTTGTTTGTTTCTAACTATTATAAAAGAGCTGCCAACTTTACCTGCACAAATGCTCCTAGAAACGTATCCGAGTGGCCTCTTTCTGGTCTGACCAAAGCCAAGTCTGTCAAGGTTGCACCCGCGCTTGTTGCCGAAAGTGCCTTTTCCGTGGAGGTGAAGGTGCGCCAGGTCGTGGAGTTTACTTCGCATCGCACAGGAAACGCATCAGGCGAGCTGTTTATCTTGGAAGGCGTACATGTGCATGTTCGCGAGGACGTGGTTGATGAGGAACTGGCCAATGTGGATTTGGCCAAACTCAAGCCTGTGGCCAGATGTGGTGGCATCACTTATACCCCGGCCATCCAAGCCTTTGAAATCCCGAGACCAGCTTATGAGGTGGAGGTTGAGCCCAAGCCTGAGGTCAAGGCTCTTTTAGAAAACGAAGAAAAGTAAGAAAGACAAATAGAATCTTTATAATAATTTATTAGTACTTTATATAAAAGACTAAAATTAATCAACAACATGAATTGCTAGACTCTTTGGATCCTGAATTTTGACCAGCTGCGTCCATTGATAGTTTCACAAGCCTACCGCCACCACCACCTCCGCCACCTCCGGTTCCTACCCGTTTTGTTCCTGCCGCTTTAATTCCATGCGAGCGATCATTAAGATCGTACTGGCCGCTCACGATTTTGCGGTGGATTTCGTTTGATACGCGAGAATATGCTTCCAACACGTTGCTGCCGTCTTTTGCACTAGTCTCGACAAATGTAAAAATATTGTTTTCGCGCGCCCATTTGTTGGCTTCATCATATGTCACTTGTCGTGGAGCCCGGGCCTGCCGGGGAGATTGTATATTACTTGTTTTTGTGGTATCATTTTGTGATTGTTCTTCTTGTTCTCGTTCTTGTTCTTCTGGATCTTCTACTAAATCTGTTTTATTGCCCACAAGGCAAATTGCAATATCATCATCAGCCTGTGTTCGAATGTCATCGAGCCACTCTTTTGCATGGACAAATGTTGATCTGCGAGTGACGTCGTAAACAAGAAGACATCCAGCCGCGTTTCGGAAGTAGGAGCGAGTGACTGCACGGAAATGTTCTTGACCAGCTGTATCCCAGATTTGCAGCTTCATGTGTTCGCCTGCTGTGCCTACAGAAACGATTTTGCTGCCGATTTCTGCGGCGATTGTGACGTCGTGGACTTGAGAAAAGCGGTCATCAGTTAGTCTGATTGTAAGTGAAGACTTGCCGCAGGCTCTGTTTTAACAAAGATTGATAAAAAATGAATTGGATGATAAGGTTAGGTACTGAGATATTGGAGAAAGGTTATATAGTTAAACGAGAAAAAAAAGATAAACATACGAGTCACCAATCATGACTAAAACAGGATAGAAAAAGAGTTAGAAATTTTTTTAAAAAAAAAAAAAGAAAAAGATAAAAGAAAGTAAATACTGACCTATTTTGGCAATGTAGTCCCATGTTCTGGAGCTCATTGTGATTAGAGATGGGAGGTTTAAGATGGTTATTGAGTAATAGATGTGGGAAATGTTTTTGTGGTGGTGGTGGTGATGAAAGAAATATGTGGTAGTGGGAATTCACTGTGTGCGTAGATGCCATTTTAGGACAAGGCCGAAGCAGCCCCCACCCAGTTATGTAAAACTAACTAGACTTAATAATCATTTTTGGAGATAAAAAAAATCAAGAAAAAAGCTGATTTTAATAAATCATGAAGATATAAATGTCAGAGAAGTACCTAATATATAATATACAAAGTTTCAGTAGAATCTGGTAGTATTTTTGTTTATTTATTTGGCAATATTGTTGTTAAAAGAGAGGACCCTGAGGATTTGGACAACCAAGCAAACAGGCGAGCAGCCAGAAAAACGGCAAATGGTCAAAGCACGCGCCCGTGCGGCGCACATTATTGATGTGAAAAAAAAACAAACAAATAAATAAATAAATAAATAATGGAGAAACATTTTAAAGTAATTAAATATTGACAAAGAAAAATAAGATGAAAAATAAAAATCTATAAGTGTATTTTTTAAATAAAAAAAAAGGAATCATTACTCGTGTGCATAAAAAGTTGGATTGGGTGAATGGAAGGCATATTTTTGTTGTGTACGTGTGTGTGATGATGATGATGATGATGATGATGATGATGATGATGATGATGATGATGATGATAATCAGCCTGCTATAATACCCAAAATAACAGTCCAAAAAACATTGACCAGACTGTTAAAGGGAACTAGGAACCTAGGATCCAAAAAAAAGAATTGGATGGTCGATGCAAAGGGCCAAATTATGTAGCTTGTTTTGAGCATTTTGAAATAAGTTTGGTGAAAGTAGGATTCAATGTCTCTTCCGTCCCAATAGGAAACAAAAGTGAAAAAGATGAGCAAGTTGATAGGATTTCCTATTGTCTGGTCTAATAAAACACGCAGAGGTACATGCTCAACAGCCTCCATGAGGTTATCAGTCCACCACTTTGTCCAAAGCCCGTTAAGCACGCCATAACAGTAGTATTTGAGTAGACCCATGATGTGGAGTCTGCGATGAACAATGGCTTGCAATAGGCCTTGAGAAAAGCCGCAGAGAAGAAACGATACCAGAGCACAGCAGCCATATGGAGAGACAGAGTACATGGATTTATAGTAGAAAGCCATGAGGACTAGAGAGGCAATCTGGGCTATGACAACAGCTCCAATGATAAGTTGATTGTGTGATTGAAAGCGAGAAGGTTTTAATGAGGTACTTTTGGAACGACCTCGAAGACCTTTTGAGGAGATATTAGGTTTTTCATTGTTGACTGGGGTAGTGACGCGGGACACGGAGAGATCGTTTTCAGTGATGAGTCCCAACTCGAGCACCGAAGGCTCGACTGTTTCAGGAGCCATTAGAGAGGAATGGGTTAGAGAATAAAAACAACCGAGGGGAAAAGTATTAAAAGTTAATACTGAATGGGTTTACTCTTTATATATATTAGAAAAGAATTAGGGTGAATTAAGGAGATCTTTTGGGGGTTTGAAGCTACGGAAAAAGAAGGTAAGAAAAAAATTGATTAGGTGGTCTTCTTTTTTTTTTTTTCCTGTTTGTTTTGGTTTAGTATGAAAGGGAGAACACCACTGGAATGTCACCACAAAGGGGTTAGGGTAGGACTAGAAGTCTGGGGTAAATCTGGTTTTATATAAAGGTATTCATATGGAAAAGTAAAAGTGAAAGATTTGAAGTTCTTTTATATATATATATTTATTTGGAATGAGAAAATTTTTTCACTTTTTTTGTTTCATTGAAACAAATGAGAGAATTTACGTATGCCCATTAATATCTTAACTCTTGAGACTTGAGTATACACTTTATATGCATCAATGTAAGTAAGTTATAGTAAGTACTTTAGGTATACATAACTAACATGTATCAATAACATGAATGGTTTCTATATAACTTTCAAATCAAATCAAATCAAATTTAGTATAAAAGTAAAATAGAATTTTTTTTAAAAGTTCTTTTTCCTTTCTTTATTGTTAATAATTTATATCTGAATCTATAATTAACTGCTTATGCTAAGGAATTTTCATGTTTAGTCTTTCCATCTTCTTCCTTGGAAAGCTTTGAACATAATTATGTAGGTTTTATTTATTATAATAAAAACCTCTAAATGTTATTAACATAATATCTACCAAAAAATCTTTAATAAAAAAAAAAAACTTTGAAGAGTTTTAAGACTTCTTTTTACCTGTTCTGCAATCTGCTCTTCTTCTTCCTCTTATTTTCTGCCTATTTGCTAAATGCACACATAGTAGTATCAAAGCTGGCACGCAATTTTTTCCCTTTTTCTCTCTGGTTGTTAGTTTGATAAGCCTCTGTATTGTGCTTATATAATTCAATTTTTTATTTTTTTTTTTTTTATTTTTATTTTTATTTTTTTTTTGCTCCCTTCCTTATCACAAACCTTCTTTTTTTTTTTTTAATCACAACCACCAACTAACTACCTCAGCCAACAAACAAACAACAGCCACCGTAGTCAATCTCACGGTAGTTCTAAATCAACATTAATATAATAACTAGACATTACATCACTTAAATCTTCCCTCCTCACTTTTTTAATAGTATCAGTAATAGTTATTCTCACGGTAATATCATTTAAATTAGTTCTTTTTAATCAAATCTTCTTATCACACATTTCTATTTTTTTTTTTAAATGTTCTCCGAATGTACGTATACAGCTATTTCCATAAATCTTGATAACTAACCTCCTGTTCTCTTAAGACGCTTCAAAGTTCCTCTCCCACTCACAAGCTAGAATATCCGCCGCTGGAGGCAGTTTCTCAGCAAATCCTAACGAAGCCCCACTCTTTTACTCAGCCGCAGAATTTGAAGAAGACGATGATGAAGATAACGATAACGATAATGACTCTACAGTAAAACCATCCTCAAAAAAAAACAACCCATCTAAATCTTTCATCATGGCTGAAGGTCATTTAAGATCGGGCCAAAATAGTAGCGGTAGAGGCACCCCATCTCAAACTGGATCTTCTTCTTCGAGATACCCAAATAATAATAATAATAATACTCGGTACCCGTCATATCATCACCATCTACACAGAAATTCCAGTGACACTACACCTCCTTCATCTACAACAAGTCCAGTCGGCCCTTCTACCTCAAGATATCGATCTTCCTCAGTCTATGCAACAACTACAACCTCTTCATCATCTTCTTCTTTAAATAACAACCCTAAAAAAGGTCCCTGGGGGTCTTCCTTCATGCCAAAATATATCATGGACGGTGGATCAGCCGTCGCAACCACTTCTCCAGCAACTACTTCTCCCAGTAGATCTCTAATTGGAACAATTCCATCACGTTTTAAATCTACCTTCGATGACGAAGGTAGCAGCAGTAGCAGCAGCAGTAGCAGTAGTACTAGTGGCATAGAAGATAACGGAAATATGGACGATGAGGAAGAAGAAAACGATTACGACGAAGAAAATAATGCTAGTCCTGCATTTCTATCAATCGACGATAACCCTCAGAATCGATTTGCTTCAGCTTCTATGGAAAGCAGCATTTCATCCTTTGATGAAACCCCACAACCAAGCCTTTACATGGGTAATAATGGAATTCCATCCTCCATTCTCCATAATCAAACAGCAACAACACCTTCCTTTTCAGCCTTAAGACGTCCTTCATCTTTCCTTCCAGATGCCAGCGGCATCAAAAATAGCATTCTCAATTTGAAAAACATTGCATCCAGTTCCTTCCTCTCTTCATCACTATCTCCACATCAAATGGAGAGCATTCAACTCACTCCTCAACAAATCCCATTTTCTTCTGCAACCCCCCAATCCAAAAGCCAGCTCGGTAATACTCCCTTACAATACAATGATAATGACCCAGACTACGATGCCGAAGACCCTCCAGACGACATTGCAATCGAACGGCCCCTCCCATCATCAGTACTCCCAGGTGTCTCTATCCCATTTGACCCCTCCAGTTTTCTCCCAAGACAAACCGACCTCGAGGCTCAAGACGACGATGTCATGAGTCGCTTCATTCCACCAGAAACAAGCACCCAACAACAACCCTCTCAAGACATGCCCAAGTTTGATGCCATTTGGGCAAATGTCTACCTGGCATTGATATCCAGCATGCTGGCTACTTCTCTCATCATTTGGTTACGAACTGACGTACCCTCGTCCGCCCCCTTTAAAGATACCATGTACACCATGCTCCAAAAATCAGGTAGGTACCTGTTCATGGACATTTTCATTGCCTCCATGGCTTCAGTCGCATGGATCTTTCTCCTGCGCAGATACTCCATGGCCCTCTTTTACCTGTCCATTGTTGCTGTGCCTACAACTCTCTTTGGATTTACCATATACCCTCTTATTATGTCCTACCGATCAGCTTACGGTGGCAACACAACTCAAGACCGTGTCATGCGCTGGACAACTATTCTTCCGCTCACCATGGGCATTCTTTGGTGTTATTTTATCTACACAGGCCGTGCTGCCCTTAATAGAGCCCTTGGAATTATCCGGCTTGCATCCTCTATTCTCGCAGATAACCCACCTCTCATTGTTCTGGGCTATGCCTCAGTCGGTCTCTTTATTCTCGCCACCTGGCTCTGGCTTCACATGTTTATGCGCGTTTTCCTCCAAGGTCATGCAGTCCTAAACCATGGGACCACGGGCTGGGTCTTGGACCCCAAATCATGGGCGCTTGCCGCATTTTACATTTTTATGTACCTTTGGTCGTGGGGGGTCATTTCTGGGTTCCAGCGCAGTACTATCTCTGCCGTGGTGTCTCAATGGTACTTTTACCGTAACGCCCGGCCACAGCCTTCTCCAGCTGATATGACATACGTTGCACTCCAGTACTCACTCAGCGCCCAGTTTGGAACCATTTGTCTATCGTCGCTCCTCCGCTTAGCAGTACGTCTCCCGCTTTACATTCTCCCACGCCGCGCAGTCGGTATGTTCCAACTAGCAGTCTACCATTTTGCTCCAACATCTATCATGGCCCTCACAAACCCCTTGGCCCTGTCCAATGCCATCATCAATTCGCAAAGCTTAGTCGATTCTGCACAGGCTATTGGCAGCCTTCGGTACCTCGACCATGGCTATAACAACCCAACCGTCCGCAGTGGCCACTCATGGACTGCATACCGTCTTGCCAAAATGCTACTGTCTGCTGCCCGTGGTGTCATGTCGCTAGTCCTCGGGTACAGCGCTTGGGTCCATGCGGCAATGTATACTGACGGTAGTCTGTACGGGTACATGGCGGGACTTATTGCTGCCTTCATTGGGTGGTTTGTTTTAGGGGCTTCTGAGGGTATCCTTAGTATGGTTGTCGATGCCGCCTTTTTGTGTTTTGCAATTGATAATGCTGCCCGAGGCGGGCATTGCACCGAGGCTGACCGGCACTTTGGGGGAATATAGTGGTTGCGTGTATTATGTAACAAAGTTTGTAAAAACTGGGAACCTCATTTGTGTGTGTGTAACAAAAAAAAAATTCTTTTTATGGTCAACTTTTTTTTTTTTTCTTCCTCTCTCTCTTTGATTTGACCTCTAGCCATTCATCCTCATCTATTATTATTATGTCTTTCTTTAACCCGTCATTAGCCACCGGAGCCCTTTTTGGTGCCGGACTTGTGTCCATGTTTTGGGGTGGAAGTAACTCCAACAATGCTCCTCAAGTCCCTGTTGGCGGCGGTGCAGTTCCCGTCGGTTCCGCTGGGTCTCCCTTTGGTGGTCTCCCAGACAAGCCCCCTCCAGGTACTACAGTTTTTTCCGTCTATGATTTCCTACAACCAGTGTCACCTAGCTCTGGCGATGGCAATCCTGGTTCTGGGCTGGTCCCCATCAACGCGTCTGAGTTTTTTGCGCGGTACGGGCACCCGGGTCCAAGCTCCGACTTGGCTGTTCGCGACGAGTTTATTTCGTTTTATGACCGCCGCACGCGCAACCCTCATTACGTCGTGGAACACATTACCGCTGAATCCTTGGCGTTCCGCGCGTCAGATGGCATTGACCGCAAAAACTCCGTGTTCAAGGAAGACCCTGCTGTTCCGGATACATTCAAATCTAGACTAAGAGACTTTTTCCGCTCCGGTTATGATCGTGGACACCTGGCCCCAGCCGCAGATGCCAAGTTCTCACAAGGTGCTATGGACCAAACATTCTTCCTCACAAACATGTCGCCACAGGTGGGCGATGGGTTCAACAGAGACTACTGGGCCCATTTCGAGGACTTTTGCCGCAGACTTACCAAGGAGTACGAGTCGGTTCGCATTGTTTCCGGACCCTTGTTTTTGCCTAAGCGTGGTGCAGACGGAAAGATGCGTGTCACCTATGAAGTCATTGGTGACGGTGTTGCAGTCCCAACTCACTTTTACAAAATCATTGTGGGCGAACGACCCTTAAAAACTGGCAGACCCTCCGATGTTGCAATTGGCGCATTTGTGCTCCCTAATGAACGTATCGATAATAAGACTCCTCTTAAGGCCTTTGCTGTTCCAGTGTCCGCCGTCGAGCGTGCCTCGGGTCTCCAGTTTTTTTCTAAACTCCCACCAAATAATAGAAAAGAGCTGTGCCAGCAGGTGACGTGCGAAATCATTGTCCGTGACTTTAGCAACTCCGTCAAGTCTCTTCCTGCTCCCAAATAAAAAAAAATTAAAATTAAATTAAATTAAAATAAAATAAAATAAAATAAAAAAAGTATTTATTATCATTATCCAAATATAAAGTTTAAAGGGGTTTCAAGATTCTGGATCCTCTGGATCACCAATACCATCTTCATAAATGGCAAATACACACTCTGATTCAGGCAAACAGGGCGAGTCATAAATCTTGCAAATACGCTGTGGCCCACGGCCCTTACGCAGAGACAAGCGCGTAGTTGACGCGTGCGCAATAATGTTACCGCCAATAGGTTTCTTCGGATCCGCGTTAAACATACCTGCGGCACCATCTACCTGGGCCACAACTTGGTTTGTAATTACCACTGCTATGCCAAACTCGTCAGCCAGCCGCTGCAGCATGCGCATGTACTTGGCGACATGTGTTTGACGCGCACTGAGCTCGCCACGACCACTGAAATCTGTCCGGTACAGTGCCATGATACTATCGACAATCAGTAGCGAAAACCGTGACTCGGCCATCATGGCGGCTGCCTGATTCAACAGCTGTAGCTGATGGTCTGCGTTATAGGCGCGTGCATACGCCACGTTATCGAGCGCCACGTTGCCATCGAGTCCGTATCGCGAGCCGATCGACAGCAAACGCGACGGTCGGAACGTGCCCTCAGTATCAATGTACAAGCACTTCCCCTCGCCACCGCCCATGTCGATGGGCAGCTGGCACGTCACTGCGAGCGTGTGGCACAGCTGCGACTTGCCTGTGCGGAACTCGCCAAAAATCTCCGTGATAGACCCGGTTTCGATGCCACCACCAAGAAGAGTATCAAGCTGTTTGGATCCAGTGGTAATGGAGATGAGCTCCGATCGCCTTTGGTGAAACTCTGTGGCCGTGGTGAAACCCATGGGCACGTACTGCGATGCCATATGCAGAAGTTTATCTGCCTTGGCCTCTGAAATGCCTTTGACTGTAAGCAAAATGCGTTTGGGAGTGTATGCAATGCTCTCGACAGTGTTGTAGCCTGCTTCTACGAGCTTGCGGATGTCTGAGCTTGTGATACCATTTCCCTAAAAAAAACTGATTAGAAATTTTTGTTTTAATTAGATTTTTGACAAGAACGGGTTGGCATACTTCAAGCTTGGAAATGAGAACGGGGCCATAAGAAATTTCATCTTCGGCAGGTCCAACAATATCTGTCGTATTTTGTGAAGTGTGGGACTCAACTGCGACGACGTCTTCTGAGGCCATTTTATGGAAAATCTATGATGGGTGATAATAGTTTTGATTTAGATGGATGATTAAACGGATAAGAAAAGAAGGAAAATGAAGTTTAAAGAAAGAAGGGAAAAAAAAAAAAAAAAGTTTGGTGGTTTTTTCGTGTCACAAAAGCCGCCTGTGATTTGCCACTTAAGCGAAATTTTGGCACGGACTTGATAATTAGCATTCATAACTCGCCTGACGTGTTTTTATTTTTGATTGTAAACATGAGTCATCTTTATATAATCTTTAGTTAAGTTACTTTTAATAAATTACATTTAAACTACATACTGGGTAACTTTGTGCATAGCCTTGCATTTGAATTCCGCAGTCATCAACAACATCACCATTTCTTTTGCAAAACGCGCTCTCTTGCCGTTTGCAATTATTTCGGAGTATGACGCAAAAGAAATTTTCGAATTGAAGTATAAAAAGATCACCTAAACCCTTCTTTTCTCCTCCTCTTTCATTTATTAATTCTAACTTTATTCACAAAAACCATGTCCGTCAAAGATTTCTCTACTATTGTTCCCTCTCTTTCTTTAAACTCAGGCAAATCAATCCCCCATCTTGGCCTTGGCTTATACCTGACAGGCACCGATGTCGCACCTGCTCTAGTAAAGGAAGCCCTCGAAATTGGTTACCGTCATATCGACGGTGCTGCTCTTTACAAAAACGAGGCTGAGACTGCCCAAGGCGTTGTTGATTTCCTAGCTGCACACCCAGAAGTCAAGCGCAGTGAAATTTTCTACACCACCAAGGTTTGGGGTGATAACCTTGGATATGAAGAAACCAAGGCCTCCCTGGCTTCTTCTTGGGAAAAACTCAAGGGTCTTGGGTACATTGATCTTGTACTTGTGCACTCACCCATTGCACCCACAGACGTGACTCTGTCTAAAGACGACCCCGCATACTTTGAGACTCAACGAGCTGCACGCCGTGTCAAACGTCTAGGCACATGGAAGGCTTTGCAAGAAGCCGTTGAGCAGGGTCTTATTAAGACAATTGGTGTTTCGAACTACAACGAAGAGCATCTTAAGGAATTGTATGCATGGGAGGGTTTGACCATCAAGCCCGCGGTTAACCAGATTGAGGTGCATCCATGGCTGCAGCGCGAATCCATTGCGGCATATAGCCAGAAGCTTGGGCTTGTTGTTGAAGCATACTCGCCCTTGACTCGCGGTAAGAAGCTAGTGGAGCCACTTGATCCTCATCTTGTTGCCATTGCGGCCAAGTACAAAAAGACACCTGTGCAAGTATTGCTCCGGTGGTCAGTACAGCATGGCTATGTACCTTTACCCAAGAGCACTCATCGTGCGCGGCTCATTGAGAACATTGATATCTGGGACTTTGAGCTGACTCCAGAGGAGCTTGAGTTATTGGGCGATAAAAATGCGCATGACTTTACGAGCTGGGACCCGCTTACTGAGCCTTAAAAAAGGCGGACCGTTGAAGTTAGGAGTCACGCAATGTGATGCTGATGATGATAATTATTTGATCAGGAGTATTATTTAGCATTCTGGTATTAATAAATATTGTGATATTATAATATTATAATAATATAATTATAATAATATAATTATAAGGATATATAGATATATATATTCTTTGTACCAAAGGATGCTGTTTTTCAATTCATTCCATGAATCTGGGCTTATTAAATAATTGCTGTGATACATGGACTAGCAATTTTTCTTAAAAATTTTTTTTTTTATCCAGAACAAAGATTCAATTGCACGGCAAAATATCATATAATTATTGCATTTGATTCTAGGAATAATTGAAGAATGATAATTTAAAAAAAAAAATAAAAAAAATACGAGTGAGTGAATCTTTGGATGTTTACAGGTATCAAAATAATAAAAAAAATAGTATAAAGTTTTTTTAAAAAGTTAATGGACGACACCGGAGTTGAACCGGGGACCTTTCGCATGCTAAGCGAACGTGATAGCCAACTACACCAGACGCCCAAATAATTTAAAAAAATTAAAATCTAAAATATCATAAAATAATTCTATTTGTTGATTACGTAAATTTATAAATTTTGAAATGAGTAGATGGTTTTTTAAATTTAATTTAATGAATAGGAAATTGTTTTTAATAATAATTGATATTGTATTTATTTTTTTAGATTTTCTAAAGAGGAAAGCTGACTCTTTTGTTCAGTCTAATTAGCGTATTATATATGATTGTAGACTGAACATATAGGAGGAGGTTAAAAAATTCACGGGCGTCCATGAACACAAATAGAAATGGCAGGGTTGAGACCAACACACTGGTTCTCCCTGTTCCACCTAAACTGGAATCAGGGCCCATCTTTTTAGTTACCGGAGACGCTAGTATTAAAACAGCCTAGCTAAAAGGTAAACCAAATAGACAGCAGGTCACCCAAAATCTGGCAATTAAAAAAATAGCGTTAATGTTGATGATATATTTCTATTACTCTTGAATAAACAAAACAAATTGTATTAAAAATAGCGTGGATGTTTAAGTTCTACATTTTTATAATTTTTGAAAAAAAAAAACGAACAAATAAACAAACATTTGTAGCAAATTTGTTTTATGCATAAATATTTATCATTTTTTATTGATTTTCTTTTGAAATGTTGCTTTTGATTTTTTGGATACTTTACTTTTCCGGTTATTAGGACAGTGATTACAAATGTCAGCCCTATGTGTAAATATCCATCCAAGTAATTACCCGATAGGTGTCTTGACAACGCAGGTCACCTAAACAAAAAGAGAGAAGAGGGCAATGAATCGTTGCAGGGCAGCCAGTTTACCGGAGTACCTGCATGAAGTTTTGGTATATATATATATACAAATATGTAAATATTAGAGTGAAAAATTCATCTAGTCCAGATTTTTATTAGATTCAGTGGGGTTGATGGGGGGTTTAGTTAATTTGCACTAAACGAAGAGAAGTGTCTAAGAGAATTAAAGTGGAGAAGACTTATTTTAGGATTTTAGAACGAGTCATGGAAAGAGTTTTTGTACATGAATAGCTGTTGTTTTTTTTGACCGGAGAAAAAAAAAACAGCTTACAGGAAGAGAATGATGGTAGGGAAACGAAAGATAATTATTATTTGCTTGGACAAAATTTGTAATTTACGAAAGAAGAGAATGTACAGAAATTGGTTTTTTTTTATTTATTTTTTTATTAAATAAAAATAGTAGCATCGCTTAAATGCAGGGCTGAAAAGAAGCAATGAAAAATTTCATAAAAAAAGATAAAGGAATATATAAAAGAATATAATTAAAAACAGATAATCTTTATTGTCAGAAGGTGGTTATATTAAGGATTTTATTTTTAATATTATGAGATAAAGAATACAATTGTTTGAAAACCAATAAATGGCCATAAGAAAATAAACAAAAAAAAGCCCTTGTTTTAAAAGTATATAAATAATATTTACAATGATTTGCAATACTCTGATGAGAGCTAATCATAGCCAGCAGTACCTGACCTTCCTAAAAAAATCATCTGCAACAGAAGGAAAAAAGTTAAGATTCCACAGTTGTCGCAGAACGCTGGAAATCGACAATCTTAAGATGCGTTGTTGTCGATTCAAGTTATGAAGAAAATAATATTTTTTTCTTGTTCAAAAATAAAAAGAAACCCTCCCAAAAAAAAAAAAAAAGTAAAGATTGAATTTTCAAAGAAAAAAAAGGAAACATTTGAAAACTTTGTCTTGCATACATGCATAAATGAAGAATAGTTGTTTTATATGAGTGAAAAGTTTCAACACTATTTGTTTATTGCGTTAATTATCATAAACCAGGTTACAGTGAGTTTATTTTTGTTAAAACAAATGAAAATTACAAGTCACAAAGCTTGTTATAACCTATCAAAATATATGGAAAATTGGTATTATATTAAAAAAATACCGGCTTAGGAAAATGAAGAACTTGATTCTGACTTTTTTTTTTTCTCAAGAAACTGTTGATTTGATGTAAAATTTTTTTTCTTCATAGTCTATTAAAAAATAATTTCTATGGGACTTTTATTCTTTGATTTTTACTCCCTATTTTGAATCATTTCCTGTCACTATTATATAGCCACTATAACATTTTTCAGGAGACCTCCTTTTGTTTGATTGATAAGGGGGTGGAACATAGAGTGGTACATCAAATCAGGAGTATGAACAAAACCAACAAAGCAAAAAGCCAGTCTTTTCGCTAAATAACGAAGATTACTTGTTTTAACTATGGTTCTTGAAAAACCAAAGTTCTCTTTTTCTATCTTTGATGATTGAAACGAAATGAGAATGAAAAATAAAAAGCGGAAAGCAACTATCTATATCTTCTAATTACACGTGTATGAAACCAGAATATTGGATATAAGAGAAAACAACAACAACAAATAACAAATCGTTTCAATTATTTTAAAATTTTCAAAGAATTGAACATCTTTTTATATTTATATTTATTTTTATTTTTAAATTTTTTTATATTTATATTTATATTTATATTTATATTTATTTCAATATGCTTTTTTTTTTTTTTTTTTTATATAAAGGTAAGTTAGATAAAGTTAAAGTTGAAGAAGAGTCGAGTAAGACAGGCATTTGAGCCTATAATTCATCCAAAACCTTAAAAAACTTGTATGAAATGGCTGGACTAATATAATTTTATTTGAGTAATCATGGCATATCGATATGAAAATTTCGTTTAGCATACTAACTAATGCACAATTAGCATTAGCAAATGCTAGTTTGAGTTTTTAGTGAGAAAAAATAAGCCCCTAGTCGAGTAAGTCAAATTGCATTAGTTTTAGGGTGGAAAAAGAGAACAGGTGGATACTTAAAGTGTAATTGAAATCCTTGACTAATATATTAATTACGATGTAACCAAAGACTATTTCCCAGAAACCCATCTTTGGGTAGTGATGATTGTGATGATGTTGGCGATGACTATATACCAATCTAATCTTTAATTGTTATGGAGATAAAAAAATTTCGCATGGGGTTGTTTATTTATTACCAAAAATTTGTTTTTAATATACAAGCCAGTCAACGCCCATATCAAGATTTAAGTCCCAAATTCCTGGTTGAAACCTCGTGACTCACAAGCCTTGTTCTGATAAATTAGATGATGATGATGATGATGATGATGGTGATGATTTTGTTGTTACTGCTGTTGCTGCTGCTGACTGTACTGCTGTACAGATGGGGATGAGCGATGAGCGATGCTTTTGCTCCATTTTTTTTTTCAAGGGTCTTTTCGAGATGATTGAAAAAGTATAAATAAATGACAGACTACACCAGGACACAAGTATCATGAAAAAGAACAAGAAATAGATAAAGAAAAAGTTCAAATAAAATTTATTTTGAAGAGAAAGCAAAAGCAAAGAGAGGACTTAAATGGTCATAATTTCAAGTCATTGTATGATATGAATTTTTTTCTATAATTAAAAGCAGCCAAGGAATCGACAGATATCTGTGATTGGTATTATTATTATTATTATTATTATTATTATTATTATTATTATTATTATTATTATTATTATTATTATTATTATTATTATTATTATTATTATTATTATTATTATTATTATTATTATTATTATTATTATTATTATTATTATTATTATTATTATTATTATTATTATTTGATTATATTTGATTATATTTGATTATATTGGAAAATTTGTTTATTATTATTTTTTCATTTTGATTGAGTGGATGGATTCTTCAAGTTCACAACATTTTGAATTTTTTAATGTTGGTGCTAAACAATAATAATTATAATAATAATTATAATAATAATATAATAATAACACTTCCATATATAATTTTTGCAGCACATACTATTATTATTATTATTATTATTAATAATTTTTTTTCCTACTTTAGTTATTTTAGGCTTAGAAACTTTTCTTTTTTTTTTTTTCTTTATTGTTTATTATTATTTTTTATAATTTTTTTATGGTGCAGGGTAGACAAACGCGCGCGTGGTAAGAAACCTCACACTGCGTTTAAAGACGTCGGTGTTTCCGCAACTTTTTTTTTTTTTTTTTTTTCTACATCAAAAAAAATATATATCAAACCAACACCTTTTTTTATTTATTTATTTATTTAAAACTTCTTTTTAAACCATTTTTATCAATATATATATAATAGCAGTTTTTTTTATACACAGTTATTCATCTAATAATTTTTGATAAATATAAATAATGAGCGACCCTACTTTATTTGCTTTGGTCGACTCAACAGTAGTCCCTGCAGTAGCAGGATCCAACCATACTTTCACCAACAACAATGCTACTGCTCCAGCAAACCTTGTCGCAGCATTAACCTTAGAGGACGACGACGCTCCAGCAGATGCAGAAGATGATGACGACGATGATGAAAGCTTGATGCTTCATCGCTATCATAACCATCACCAATATGTTCACCACCAATCTCACAGTCATTCACAAGATCTTAGCGACACTGAATCATACGCGCGACCTTCTACCGAGTCTTTGCTCCTATCAATTTCGCCATACTCGCAACTCTCGCTTCGTCGTCAACGCACAAACTCATACTCCAACCATTACCGCCGTAAGCTAGCTTCTCGAGCAGAATCATCTTCCTATGATACAGACACAGATTTTGACACAGATGATGAGCGCAAACTTCAACATGACTTGCTATTACTAAATAATAATTACAATAATGACGCTAGCTTTGATACCAGATCTTTACATACAACCCCTCCTTCACCATCATCTTATTCATTTACAATCGCTTCTTCTTCTCTATCCGCTTCTCCATTAATGGGACCTTCAGCTTTGGGCCAACAACCGCAGCATCAGTTACGCACCACTCAAAGTTACCATCATATGCCTCGTACAGCTTCGGGCACTTCACTAAATCTTTCTTCAGTCCCTCGTATCCCCCTAACGTACCGTTCTTCATCTTCTCTTAGCTCGGCAATGAGTAGCAACTACAGCAGTGGAAGCTACAACAGCTACAGTAGTCATAATAGTCACAATAGTTACAATAGTTACAATAGCTACAATAATTTTAACAACAATTTTAATAGCAACAACAACCTAAACAATACTGCCAATGGAACTTTTACCTATACCAATATTTCGACCCGGCCTCGTGTACCTGTAACTTTCCGCTCTTCTTCTTCGCTCAGCAGTTATACTACAAATATCAGTTATAGCAGTTATTCCAGTCATGGTAGTTGCGCAAGCTGTGGAAGCAACGGCAGTTGTGCTAGTCATGGAAGCTGTGCAAGTCATGGAAGCTGTGTAAGCCATGGTAGCTATGATAGTAACACAGCTCTTGCACCATTTCCTTCTCATCAACGAATGCCTGTTTCGTTCCGGTCCTCTTCATCTCTTCGCAGCAACTTTTCGGCAGGTAGTTACTCGGACCCAGAATCACCGACCCTAGTCAAGGCTATGCTTGCGCAAACATCTGGCAATCCAGTTTACAATGATGACGGTGAGTTTATGAGCAATGTCTCGCTCCGTTCCGCCTCCCCAACTCAAACTGCAGGCCTCACGCTCACACTGTCACCAAATTTACTTGTGCCACTGGCTACTTCTGCTGCTTCTGCTGCTTCTGCTGCTTCTGCTGCTTCTGCTGCTTCTGCTGCTTCTGCTGCTTCTGCTGCTTCTGCTGCTTCTGCTGCTTCTGCTGCTTCTGCTACTTCTTCTTCTTCTTCGCAACCTCTATCCGGAGCCTTCGATGTCAACAATATGAATTCTTCGTCCAGTGTTGTTGTTGCACCGCGCGAACAAAAAGAAGCCATTTACACGTCTGGCAATAACAAAATCAAGCGTTACTCGTCCAACCCTGATTTTCTTCTTTTTGGCAGCCCACCGCAGCATCTGCATGGTGTTGTTGGTGCTCCCCCCAACACTGCAGACTGTGGTAATACAGGTGGTAACGGCAGCACTATTAAAGATTTTGCTGCAGGCGGCACTATTGTTGGACCCAAAAGCGACACCAACAACACCAGCACAAGCAGTACAAGTATGAGCATGAGAAATACTAACAGTGGCATTACTACGGCTGAAGAAAATTCGTCAGACTACATTTATAGTAGTAGCGATACTGACGGGGATTACGAAACTGATGGCAGTGATAATAACTTCAGTATGCGGTTTGAAATGGCGACGCAGAAACAATTAGATCTAGCGGCCCAGAATTTTCATCACCACCATAATAACCAGCACATCCAGCATAATCAGAATGTACTATTAAATCCATCAGATGACGTGACCCTGGCATCTACTGGAGATAGCAAAGCTTGCTCCTCGCTACTACGGGAAGATGGAGAAGATGATAAACAACTCCAAGACACAACTGCCGCATCTAAAGTTCCATTTGATATCGAGGCTAGTGGTACTTGCAACAGACATGACAGTGAACTACATCATTTTCACGGGCCGAATGTTTCAGGCCCTGAGTCTCATCATAATTCTCGCCACAACCATAATCATCTTCGCCGCAATTTCCCTCACTCACATCCTCTTCATTTAAAAGATCCTTCTTTTCTGGGCGATGCTCCTGGCACTCCATCTGCGGCTTCCAGCTTTCAGTATTTTTACCCTTATCCAGCTGTCGCACCAGCCTTGGGAGGCTTAGAAGTTCCTCAACCTAGTTCACCTGTTTCTATCAATTCCATTTTAAACGAATATGCTTCTTCGTCTTTTTCATTAATGCTTGATGAAGATTCCCTTCATTCTTTTAATGAGCAACTCGTATCCCCTCAGCAGCAGCAGCAGCAGCAGCAGCTTCAATATCACACTGATACCGATTACGACCATGACGAACAAGAATTGTTTTTTACTCCTTCACGATCACGACCGGCTTCGGCAGCTAGTAATTTGCCGTTAATAGGACAAGGGTCCAGCTATGTTGCCGATGCTACTACTACTACTACTACTACTACTACTACTACATCTAATACCGAGCAAGGGCTAGGGCTGGGACTTGTTTCAGGGCTAGAGCCTAAATTTACGAATCTGGAACCACTACAACAGCAGCAGCCACAGCAGCAGCAGCCTATGAGGGCGGGAGTACGTCTTATTCCTAGTGATGATTCGTTTTTCAACAATGGTAACAACTACAACAGCAGTGGCAGTGGAAGCAGCAGTTTTACTGGTAGCATTCGTGGAAGCCTTAACCGAAGCTTAAGTGGAAGCCTAAGTGGAAGTTTTACTGGCAGTCTTAACGGAAGCCGCCGGAGTCGACGCAACATGCGAAGTCCCTTCAGTGGTGGGGGGTTTAGTGGAAGCAGCAATAACAGCAGCAGCAGTAACTTTACGGACCACGAAGCTGATGGCGAAGCCGAAACAGATGCCAGTTTTACCGACGACAGTTTTACTGATGATGGTCTTGTTAGTTTTATGGGGTCTGGATCTGGATCCGGGTCTTCGCGAGCCTTTACAGTTTTTAGTGATGGCTATGAGGCGTTTGAAAATTTTGAAGATGAGCAACCACTCCAGCAATTTGACCATCAACCAGAACTACTTGAGCAGAATTTGAAAGAGACAGAAGCAAGAGAAGAAGAAAATGAAGAAGAGGAAGACTTTGATGACGATATGAGCAGCGTTGTTAGACCTGAGTCTAAGATGGAGTACTATGATGCTTGCCAATCTGCATCTGAGACATCAGATGAGGAATTTGACACTTTGGTACAACAACGTCAGCAGCAGCAGCAGCAGCAAGAACAAGAACAAGAGCAGTTACAACTTCAAATGCTTCAAGACTTTGAACTTCAGCTTCAACAACAAAATTTACAACACCGAGACTCGACGATTTCTGCCAGAACCCATTACTACTCTGTTTCTGATGTTCCAACTGATATGCTTCCTCAACAGCTTTCTCCTGTTCCTAGGATTTCTCATGCAGAAACTTCTTTTGACGAGGAGGACGCGACTGTGACAGTTCTTGGTTTGCAACAGCCCATGTTGCAGCAGCAGCAGCAGCAGCAGCAACAGCATTTTAGCGGCACTGTTAACGAGGCTCGTGGGTTAGGGGGTTCTTCTAGTTATGGTTTAGCGACAGCTAGTACACCTGAAGTTAGTAAAGTTGTTATGGAAACACCCGCAGAAACAGCCTCTTCACGCCAAAAAGACGCGTTTAATCTTTCGACGCGTCTAAAAGAAAGTTTTGGTCACCTAGGCAGTGGGGCCCATAATAGTCTGCCAGTGACACTTATTGATCAACAACAACAACTACCTCAACTAGTAGTAGCAGTACAACAACAACAACAACAACAAAAACAACAACACCACCAACCAGTACAAAAACAAACCCCTGAAACGTCGTTGCACCAAGACCAATTTTCTAAAAACTCTTTTTCTTCTACCACCATCAATCCCACGGGCCATTTGGAAAACTTGATCCAGCAGAAACAAGAGCTTCTTTATCAAGTTCCATCATCATCGTCTTCCTTTTCTTCATTGTCATCACTAGCCTCGCTTCATTCTGCACAATCCAGACCAGAAAGTATCTCCAGCCCTAGAGTCTCTCAACAGGAATCTCCCGTCAAAAACAATAAACTTCATTGCAAGAGCTCGGGTCTCCTCAAGTCTCAGCTAAATAAACCCCTTCCACCGCTCCCGCCTGCTGTCTCATCAAATACCCCGGCACCAGCAGCAGCCCCCAACACGGTCGTCGGGAATCTCTCTAGACGTTCCTCCGCTGCTTCACTTGTGCCATCTGTCTCTGCCTTCTCTACTGCTTCTTCATCGGAATCACTGCCGTCGACTTCATCGTCCTCATCTTCGCTTAATTCATCACCTTTTTTATCCTCATCCCGCCTTTCTTCCTTAGCGTCTACTCCTCCTTCATTGTCTCCAGCTCTGCGTAATAGTGATTCCCAGCTTTACATCCGCACTCGTACTCGCACCCGCAACCGTACTCGCACCCACCGTCATCGTACTCGATCAACCCGGACGTTTACGCCGCCATCATCATCTCATCACGGCATTGTTATTCGTGCGTCAACTCCTTCTGCTCTTTCGCCACGTTTAAAATCATTCGACGGTTCTTACCAGCGTCTCTCTGCAGCACACAAAAAGCGTAAACGCAGAGTTTCTTCTATTCTTGCGTCTCGCACTGCCGCACAACACTCACACCTGCACTCGTTTTCAGCACCGTCTCTTGGTTCTACAGTCTTTTTTTCTTCTCCTTCCTTTTCTTCTTTCTCATTGCCTTCAACTGCGGCAACGTCAAATAATTCTGCTAGCACTAGTACTAGCACTAGCACTAGCACTAGCACCACCACCACCACTCGTGTACCAAGGAAGAAAAATTCAGTCACTTTTAATACTCAGCCGCAAGTTACTCTTGCGAAAAATTTGACCTACAATACAAACTCAACATCCATGTCTCCTCTACAAGGAAATGCCGACGCTGGGTCTCTTCATCACAGAAAACATTCTGGTGCAAGTTCAGACATTCACCGGCCCCATTTTCTGCGCCGGCTTTTTGGTGGCGGGTCTAATTCATCGCTTTCACGGGGGTCTTCTGCATCCAAACATAAGACTATCCCGCGAATGGCTTCGTCTTCGGCCTCGTCCATAGTTTCCTCTTCTTCTTTAGCGGCTTCATCTGCAACCTTGGTAAGTTTGCCTAGTTTCCTTTATTTTGGTTCTCCCATGTCTTTCTTTTTATGTCAATCTCTTTCTCTTTCTCTTTCTCTCTCTCTCTCTTTCTTTTCCCTTTTTTATTTTTTGCGTATGTCTCTTCCAGCAAACTTATAATTGTGTCTTGAGCACATCTGAGACATTGCGATATACTCGACTTATTCATTTTTTATTCCTTTTATTTTTTCTTGAATAAACTTTTGCAACTTTTTTTTTCCATCCAAAAAAAGTTAAAGGGCGTTTTTTCCCATTTTATGAATAACTTTTTTTTTACCAACTTTCAAATACCCGATTTGTTCTCTATATCGCCCTTTTGATGCCCATTCTTGTTCTCCTCTCTTGATCTTTTATTGATCCCCCTTATTTTACGAAGATCTCCTCATGTCTCTGATTTTTTTTAAATAAAAAGAGGATGATAAAAGAGAATATATTTTTTTTATAACGTCATCTCTTACTTTTTACTTCTTTTAACTGGAAATATCTCCCCCTTTTCATGATTTAAAATCTCGACTTATTTGAGTCCGTTTTTCTTCTCCTATTTATCGTTTAAAAATTCCTTCATTTCTATTTTTTTTTTCATTTCTACTCGACTTGAAATTTTTTTTTCTTTTTCTTTTTTTTTGTCAGCTTTCTGCACCTGTCATCATACATATGCACAATTCTCTTTCTTGAAAAAGACTTTTAACCATAATTTTTTTTTTTTAGAATCAGACTAAGCGAGCTTTTTCGTCGTCGTCGACGTCAACTTCATCATCTAGCTTTAGCACATCTCCATCCACTAGTCCTATTCTTAATCATCTTGCATTAGATATTAGACCCGTATCGCCGCTATTTCCTTCTCGTCATAAAGATATTTTGGGTCTAAGCAACTTTGAGTCTCTGGAAAGTTCATCGCTAGATTTAAACGACACCCCATCTTCTTCTTCGCCTGCTCAAGAGTTTTCCACTCCTCCTTCTTCTTCTCCATCTTCCACTTCTCACTTTTCTACAACTACTCCGAGACCAGTGTCTTCTCTTTTCATTACACCTGCTTCGGGCACTTCTCTTTTGGCTGCTCATCCAACGACATCTGTCTCGCTTGTTTCTACAACAGCAACATCTACAGAATTCCTTCCAGCCATTACTCACTCAGACTCACCGCTTTATGAGCCTGCAGCTTCTAGCGACGCCCCAACACCAAGAGCAAGCCGAAGTCGCAGCAGTAGCCAACAGCTTTCTGCAATTCTTTTTTCTGCTACCGCCACTGGTCCTTTAAGCGTGCGATCCTCTCAGCACTCTCCTTCCCCCTCACTGGCCCAAGGGACCTTTACTTCTACTACTCCAGTTTTGCAACCACAGCAGTATTCACTGGCCCCACCTTTTCAGTCTTCGTCATTATCGGCCCCTTTGACGAATTCTCAATCTGATATGGGGTCAAGTGGTGAGAATAAAAATAACAATAATAACAGTAGCAGTGACAGCTCCACCCAAGATCTGCAGATGCGTACTACTTCGCTTTCGGGTCATAATAATAATATGGCAGATGCAGTCATCCATAAAGGTGCATTTTCGGGACTAAACTCTCCTATTTTGGCAAATCCCTTATTGGCGACTTTCGAATCCTCTTCACCACTGCAGCAGCAACAACAAAAAATTAATAACCACAGTGTTTCTACTGCTGTTGCTACTGCTGCTACTTCTGCCACTACTAATACTACTACATTGGCTAACACTAATAGTGCTATCTCGGCTACTGTCACTTCCCCTGAAACGCTTCCAACTCCCACTTCTCCTAAACCTTCTGAACTCGCTGCCGTATCTTCTTTCCCCCTAATGCAAGATGCTAATAACCTTACCCTCAAGGCCCAGCCCCTGCCTATTTCATCTAGCTCGTCTCAGCGCCAAACTATAGTTATAGTTGGAAAATCCTCGCCTTCTTCGCCTACTTCTATTCACGAAGGCCACTCTACTACACCTCCTTCTTCTCGACATTATCTCTCTGAACAATCTCCAATGACTGAAACATTTGAGGACTGTGCTGATGAAACTATTCAAGAAATTCATTCTTCAAAGGATGTTGAACAAGTATCGTCGGCTCCTCAATCCCCTCTAAAGCAGCAGCCACCATCACCACAACAACAACTGCCCCTGGAAGAAAACCCTCATGCCCTGGCTCTTGAGTTCTTCAACGGTGCTCATCCTTATCTCACAGCCGAAAATTATGCCAGCTGGATGGGTGACGATGGAACTCTTCGCGAGGCCACACGCACTGCTTATATGGATCTCTTCAACTGGACTGGCAAGTCCATTCTTGGTGCCCTGCGCGATCTTTGTGATAAGATTTATATGAAGGGCGAGTCTCAACAACTCAACCGCATCGTGGAATCTTTTTCTTCTGCTTGGATCAAGTTTAATCCTAACCATGGCTTTGCAGACTTTAACGTAGTCTACACTATTGCCTACTCGCTGTTGCTACTTAATACAGACCTTTATGCTCTTGACCACTCTACCTCGAAGAAAATTTCAAAGTCTAAATTTGTCCTTAATACCATGGACACAATCAAGACCCTGACAATAGAAGAACCCACCCAAACCTCTGCTGCTCCAACAACTTTGATAAGTCAAAGCCCCACATCGCCTGCCCCTACACAATCTTCTATCACGAGCAAATCCACGCTCTCAACTGATGCTAGCATTACCACGCTCCACAATGGTGCTGCTTCTCCAGCCGCCCTTACTGCCCACCCCATCACAACAACACCCACAAATATGTCCATTGCATCTAACTCTTCTACATCTTCCAACCATGTTCCTCTGCTCCCGCCGCCACCACCTCTCCAGCAACCTCGTAAGGCCGCATCTTTTTCGCACTCGTCGACTACTCTTGTGAGTCCCTCGTCGACGTCTTCCTCCTCCTCTTCTAAGGAAGACACAACAGCACTTGTCAACGAGTGCCCGTTCCGATTGTTCTCCAAGGAGTGGTGCCAGCAGCTTGAAACTGTTCTCAAGGTGTTTTATTCCTCGGTAGCTAAAGATCCCTTGGAGCTGTATCGTGCTGAAGAAATTGAGCGTCAGAAACGTACAAGCCATTTGGTCAGCATGTCCTCGCGTGCATCATTTTCTATTGGAACGGCAGGAACGTCACTTTCGCATCCCTATGCACCAGGGCTTGCGCCATCAATTTCTGTCTCTCCATCGGTTTTGCGCCAACAGCCATCGTGCAATGGCAGTCTCATAGCAAGTACCAATTCTGGTGGGTCGAGTTTAAATATCGGAGCATCAAACAGCAATAATAGCAGTCCTGCATCTAACTCGTCTTCATCCACAGCTAGCTCTCTGTTTGGTCGCTTTTCTAGTCGATTGCGACCAGGCCGTAGCCATGGTGCGTTTTCTACTTCGTCGCTGGAAAATAACTCAAACCAAAGCCGTATTGAATTTAATACTGGTTTATCCGGCAGTAGCAGCGGTAACAGCTACCGCAGCGAGTCGCTGACCCATCGAGACTCGCTTGGATCGTTGCTGTCGCTGGAGTCATCTATGACTGGAACCTATGGGCTGCATCGCAATGCAGTCGGGTTTACTGGCTTGCTCATGTCGTCGATTCAGCATGATGAAGACAACCAGATGCTTCAGCAGGTTGATTCCTCATCTTCCAGTTCCTTTGGCGATTTACTGAAACTAGAAGAAGATCTTGCCAAAGAAGTGGAACTCGAGTTGCAAGGTCCTCCATGGACCAAGGAAGGTCTTCTCAAATACAGACCTTATATTGATCCCATCAGTGGCAAGAAGAGCAAGAAAAGCGACTGGTTACAAGTATTTGTTGTTGTCCAGCGTGGTCAAATCAAGATTTTCAATTTTCAAAAGGCTTCATCATCATCTTCTTCTTCTGGCGAGAATGTGGGAGCAGGCAACTGGATGGAAAAGGCAAACATTGTTGATGGATTCCATCTGTGTCATACAATGGCCCAGGAACTTCCAACAACTACAAAGCGGTCGCGCGGGTACGCTGCCCTGTGGTCCCTTACACTACCACAAAAGGGCGTGCTGGTGTTCCAGGCTGGTACCAAGGACATTGCACGCGAATACGTCTATACATGCAACTACTGGGCTGCGCGTCTTTCCAAGGAGCCCTTTGAAGAGCCAGTCTCGTCCATGGACTATGGCTGGTCCTCGGCCCTTCTCCAAGAACTCGATACCACTCATGCTTCCTCCTCAATTATTGCACCAATTCATTCTACCTCTTCATCTTCGTCTTCTCGCTTCAAGGCTGCCTCCTCGCTATCATTGCACAATCATCACGTTTACCCCGGCGACAAACTCACTGGGATTCGCGAATGGCGTCCTACATCACAAAGCCTTGTTGTGGCCGATGTTAACGAGCCTCTCCAACTTGAAAATTTGCGCTTGTACGTGACCCGTGTTGAAGGTGAGTTGGCTTCTCACAACTCTCTCCGCAGCAAGATTGTTGTCGCGTACTCTCCCCGTGGTTCAAACACTGCTCGCGTCATGGCCAATTGGGATCGCAAAGCCCAGTACCTTTTACAGCAACTGGTTCGCCACAAGGTCTACGTTGACTGCCTGGAGCGTGCTTCTGCTGACAAACGGGCTGCTGAGAAAGCTCATTTGGAGCGTCGTCAGGCTCGCGGAGATTCTTCCTAATAGATATAGTTGTTTTTTTTTCTTTTTTGTATATTTGTATTGATTTCTTTTCTTGTGTTTTTCTTTTTATATATAATACAATACCTATAATCATTTCCGTATCGTTCATGAAAATGCACCATAAAAAGCCAGACTATTTTTAGAGGAACATGAATCTTTTGAAATAAACACTACTTGGAGGATGCCAGATACTTGATTAGGAGTTTTTGGCTCCGTAGACATCTCTGTAAACAGAGATTCAGCACGAATCACAATGGTAGACACGATCACTCAGAGACAAAGTTGGCTTTTACTGTCCTGCAATTGGTGCATGTCTCGCTGGTGCGCTCTTTACTTATTCTAGAGAGTCTTATACCTGTCAGTTGACACTTGACTCCCAAGAGCTACAAAAAAAAAAGCATACAGCTTGTGTAATGAACAAGAGTTACAGTGTTATTCTTATATATATAATGTACGTGTAGATTTACAAAATCATAAGTGGGTTTCTGTATAGTTTTTTTTTTTAAAAAATACAATATTAATTAACCTTAATCATTCAAATTTTTGATATCTATGCTCATGTAAAATAATAACGTGGAAAAATTAAATCAGGTCAAAACGTCAATTAAACAAACGATTTGAGCTCAATGTGTGCTGCTCCAGTGCTGCCATTAGTACCAGATCCGGCAGCTGAACCATCAGAAGCAGAATTTGCACTGGAAGCTCCACGTCCACCACCAACCATAATATACTCTGTCATCTGTCGCTGCCATGCCGACAATCCAGACTGCAAAACGTTCTTAAATTCAACACTGGCATGACCGGCCAATTCCAACAACCGCCCATTGACGTATACTTGGCGTTCCTCTGTCACCTCAGGTGCATCAGAGCTTTCCTCATCGTTGCCGCCACTTGCAAACCAGAGCAGCACGGGGATAGTCACAGACAGTAACGCACGGACGCGCTCAGCTTCTTCTGTAGGATCAAGGCTTTTCGTTAATTCCACAAGAACCTCAATTACGAGTTTTGGTACTCGCGCTGCTGCTGCTGCTGCTTCTTTTCTCTGAGCAATATCTGCTGCAGTAGAGCTTGTACGACGATGATGGTGGTGAGAAATTGCATTCCCATGATCAACAACCAAGTCCTCCTCATCATTTTCGTCATCACTATCTCGTGGTGCTGAAGACTTTGCCAAATATGAAGAAGATCCATCACCAGTAGCAAGAGCCACCAATGGCGGAATGGTTTTGATGATGAGAGCCTGGCCCACAGGCGTGCAATGAGCAGCAGAAAGCAGTCCACGTAAAGCCTCAGCAGCAACAATCTGCATTTGTGGGATAGCAATACATTCAACTAACAATTGGGCAAGCTCTGCAACAAGGTGTGGACCTGCAGGAGGACCAAGAAGATCTGCAGCGTTACGGAACACAATCACAATACCGAGAAGACTAAGCTCTTTTTGGGTGCGCCCAGAAGCTGTTGTTGCAGATGCATCGGCAAGAACCGCCACAAGCTGAGCAGTAGCCATGCTAATGGCACGGTCAATGGCTTCAGCATATTGAGAGCCGGTGCCAGCAGCCTGACGCGTGTGAACCATATTCTTTATAAGTTCCTTGAACTGAACAAGACCAACTTTAACAATTACATCGCCTATCAACTCGGTTTTTTCCAAAATTTTGCCGAAAACATAGAGCAAACATGCGTATAAGTCAACACGTACAACCGTAGGAAACATTTCGACCATTCCAACCAAATTTCCTAGAGCTCCATGAATAAGAGCAATATAAGGTGGTTTGGTCAGATTGTTTAAGGTTGATCGTGGAACAGGTTGATCAACCAAAAAGGTAAGCAGGTTCGTTAGTGCAAGCATTACAACTCGAACAAGCTCAAAAAGTTGATTAACGCGGTCCGAAAGATTATCTCCTGAGGATCCGTCTTTGGCCTCAATTGGGGAATTGTTTCCACTGTGCGACTGCTTATCAGGGTGATAGATGCAAAGCCTATATGCAATATCAACTACCAAAAGCTGTTCAGTAACTGTTCCAGTCAAAACAAGTCTGTCCAGTACATCAATTGTTTCAATAAAAACCATGTCACTGTAAATTGCAGTACCGCTAATTGCTGGATGTATGATACGCTTGAGAGCAGACAATATCTGAGCGCGGCGTTCAGAAGAATAGCCTTCTTCCTCTGATCCCAAAGTTTGCTGAGGTCTAATTAAGGATTCAAATAAAATGCCAAACAAAACAAAGAAAAAGGCAGCGGGTTCACTTCCATATTTCGTATTGGGACTGGAATTTCCAGGTTGGTCTTTATTATTAAGAATGTTAAAAATCTCATCAGGATTTTTCTCTACCATGGTAGCAATAGCATCAACAAGCTGAAGCCATGATCGTTGATAAAAAGGAAGAATGCTATTGCGAGAAAGAGCTGAATACATGTGATCGATAGAGCCTCCCAAAGATGAATTAGAAAGAGATGACGATTGCTCAGGTTCAAAGCGAAGTTCAGCAAATTCCCGAAGTGAAGTCAGCCACAGAGGAACCAGAATTGGAGTATATGGAGACACAACATCTTGAAGATATTCCTTGGTAGTGCTGGCAACCAGCAAATCGGCCCATGATGACAGAATTGCCATACGAAGCATTACTTGAGCGTTGGGACTTAAAGACTTCAAATCTCCCAAAACAATTTTATTGTCAGCACAATTTTCTAAAGAGGATATTAAAAGTTTCAAAATGCGGCCCATTCTTTCAATATTCTTTATAATTCCAATACCAATAAATGTAGCGCAAACGTTAATAGCTTGGGCAGCAAGTTCTGCAGAAGTGTCGCCAGTAAATGCTGGAGTAAGAGCAGAGCTAATTTGTGCTTGATATTGTTCCAAAAGTGCAACTTTATTAAACTCTGGATCTTGAATGTCTTGAAGATACAGTAAAATGTCATTTAAAAGCTTGACACCAAGAAGACGCAATTGCAAAACAGAAGCAGTGGCGGATGAAAAGGCCACACGAATAATATCACCAATTTTGGTGAGAATTGGTGTCTTTTCAATCTCTTGTAAAGACTTATCTTTAAAGTTTAAAGAAACAATGTCACGTAACGACTCCACGGCTAGAGCTCTTGTTTGCCATTTAAGTGGTTCATCAATAGCACCACTCTTGTCAGCAGGATCACCACCACCAGCAAACCCAGCTACTTCCTCATCAGCAAGATTAGTTTCGGCTTCCTTAGGCTTGGTTTCAACCTTCGGTTTAAACTCTTTCTTTGAATTAAACAAAATCTTTTGAACACCACCAATCCATTCCAATGCTTCGCTTTCAGCAGTCTGCTCAACCCATCGCTTGATGAATGCACGGAGAGCCTTGTCAGACGGATTCAAATCATAAGCCAGCCAAATATCACGCTTCAGTTCAGCTCCAGTATACTTAAACAAAGCATGTGAACTGGTTCTGATTAATTGGTATAAAGCGTCAATAGCGGCGGTTTTGACTGGAGTCTGATAAGGCAGCATCAAATCCACAAGTAATGGCTTGACAAATGTAGAAATATCGATAAGATTTGGGGCAAAAATAATAAGCTCTTGAGTAGACTTAATAGTTTCAACAATGCAAATATAATCATTTGATAATTGGAATTGTTCTAAAAGAAGCAAAACAATCTCCTGACTCTTTTCGCTTTCTTGAATATCGGGTCCCATTACATCAATCAATGCATGAACACATCGCGCAATTATGCGATAAGTTGAGAATTGTATTTCCAAATTGCTCGAAACAACAGAAGCCATTTCGTCGCTGTGAGACGTTTGAAGATAAAGTTTACTTAGGTTTGAAAGTGTGCTAAGAGAATAGTTTGCAAAATTCAATCCTACACCTGAGATGGTAATAGAAATAGCTTCTAAAGCCCAAAAATGAACAGTTGGATGAGGATCGTTAGCTAATGATGTTAAGATACCAAAAACTGTTTTCAAATGCATTCCGGCAAACATTCCGCCAACGTGCTTTAAAATGTATCCCAAGGCAACTGAGCAACCAGCCCGAGAGCTTGGATCAGTATTTTGAACAACTTCATCAATAAGATACTTGATAACCTCTGCAGACATTGAGAGGCCACCAATAGAGCACATTAAACCAAGAGCTTGGGCAGCAACATTTCGAACAATAGGGTCAGAGCTGCCTAAAATAGGAGTAAGTATCTTCTTAATAAGAGCTAAAATCTTAGTGCTGCTAATTCTATCACGAGAATTTGATGACGTGACATATTTAAGAAGGCTGTAAATAGCTACAGATGAATTGACAAACATTGCAGTTATTCTGTCCGACTTTTGAGAAGAAGAAGAAGGAGAATATAAATAACTACTAAGTTGTACGAGCAGACTTTCCTGAACCTTAGGCTGCTGAAGAGGGAAAAGAGTTGCAAAAAGTTCAATAGAAAGATTTGCAACCGCAGTAGTAGCAGGAACGGGTCCTACATAAAGCTGCTGTCGATCCAAAGAATGAATCAATACATCTGGATCTTGCTCAATCGCACCTAAAACAGGTGATCTTATTTGGTTTTCTAAAGTGTCGATCCAATCAAACTCAGAAAGCCAGTGGGATTCTTGGACATCCTTAATTGGCTCCATTGTAGAGTTGTGGATTTTGCTCTTGTCAATGACATGTTCCTGCTGAAGTTCAATGATGTTAAATCCATTGACATTAGTAGTGACACCATATGCAAAATTGTCTGCCATTTGCCAAATACTGTCGATAGAGCCGGAGTTAGTTGCAATAGCAGTGCTCATATTGACAGAGTTGAACATGTCAGGACTTCCAAACAAAGATAAGACCAGAGGCAAAAGATTTGCAGGAAATGATTCAAGAGTATGGGAATACTGAGTAAGATAGACATAACACTGAAGAACTCTGCGTTTGAGAAGATAATCGTAATCAGTAAGATTGATAGATTTGTCAAGCAGATGCGACTTTTCTTCATCAGCAAATGCTTTTGCAGGAATCGCATTCATAAAATGAGTAGCATTTTGTAAAAGTTGAATAATTCTTCCGGCAACATCAATTGTAAGAAGTTTGGAATTGTTTGCTAAAAAGGCAGCAATTGACCCCAATGCGCAATTTTTAACATGGTAGAGGTAACAAAGTTCAATTGTGCTCTTATCGGTAAATCGGTCCTTGATAAAAACTTTGGGAATTGAACTTTTCCATAAGATAAGAAGTTGAGATAAATAAACCTTAATAAAATTGTGCCCAAGAGGCATGACACCGCTAATAAGCCGCCATGCAACTTGTATTTGAAGAGCAGATGTGGGGGCATCAATATCGCCAGTAGCCTTCAAAAATGAGGTTGCAGTAGAAACACAACGTGAAGCAATATCAATCGAAGAATAAAGGGGATGTTCATAAGTGACGCTGACTAAGAGAGATATTAGCAAAGCAAAACCAGTTACCTGAGAGTGAGGAGCCTTTTGATCAGAAATCAATGGAAAAGTCTTGTGAATATGTGTAAGACTTTTATCTAAAAGAGGAATAATTAATGAAGGTGATGCTGATGTAAGTTCTTGGAAGCAAGCACATGCCGTTACTTGTACGGTATAACTAGGATGAACAATGACACGCAACAAAGCATCCTTTAAGGAGTCGACTAAGGAAGAAGCTGCAGATCCAACCAATGCCAAAAATTTAGTGATGCATTCTAAAGTCCCAATAAGTGTTTCTTTTGGAACTTCCTCTTGTTCCTTCAACACTTTAGGGTAGTTTTTTAAAATCTCGTTAATAAGGGTTTTAATTGCTGAAATTTGGCCAATCTCTCCAAGTACTTGGCGACCTATAACCTCAGTAATAATAAACTTGGCATGTTCACGAGCCAAAATAAACTTGTGTCGATCTTGAGAAATGTTTGGATCACTCAGAACATTGTACAATAACATATTTGAAATTTCAAAAAAGTTTGCCTCCGTGGTTTGTGTATCGCAGTTCATAATGAAAATTGCCAACGTTTGAGTGACACCCACTCTAACTCTGGTGGTTGCAGTAGAACTTGTGTAAATAGAAGCGAGAGCAAGGACACCATCTCTAAACGAAAGAGCAAATGGAAGCTTAACTTTTGAGCTACCAGATGCATTTGGTGCTGGCGATGAAGTGCGATTTGGTTCTGATTCGTCTACTTCAATTGCTTTGGAATACTTTTCATGAGTGGCCTGTGGTAAAGGTGAATTTGTAAGTAAATTCAAAACCGCTGCAAAGCATCTTGCAGCTGATTGTCTTGCAACCCCGTACGAAGAATCAAGTGCCTTTTGATACAAATTTTTTAGGGTTTCATAATCAGAAGAGGATTTAAAATGAGCTCGGTGAGTAACTAAACTGGTAAACAGATCAAACGCAGCAGCCACAACCTTTGCTGATTTGTCAGAGGAGTAATTTTTAGCAACCTTCCATAAATCTTTGTTGAGAGAATCCTCAAAAATGTGTCCCGCTGACTTTGTAATGGCAGCCAAAGAAGATACAATTGTAACTCTGTACCCGGTATTCTAAAATAAATATATCTGGTTAATATTCTCGTGTCTAAAATTAGATTAAAAGACATACCGAAGAAGCTCCTTTTAATGCCTTGATTAAAGTCAACACACTTAACGGTGCAACAGAATAAGCCTGCGTTTAGTTAGCAATGAAGTCAAAAGTGTTTTTTGAAAAATAAAATAAAAAAAATTTAGACATACACCATCACCGGCAGTTTCATATATGGAACCTAACGCGGAAATTGCCAGACTATAACTCAGTTAATGATTTTTTTAAAAAAAGTATTAATTTTAATAACGTACTGTTTCAAATCAGAATGTTTTTCTGCTTTTGATGCACTGACAATCTTAACCAGCTTATTGACAGTTTCAAAAAGAAACCGTCTGTGCGGGCCAGAATATGTAAGCTGGTAAGCATAATTTAGTTCAAGTCTAATTGGTTTGCAAAGAATTGAGGGAATATCTTTTGAGGTTTCGACATAAGACAAAAACCCATTTAGTTCTGTGACAATAAAAGACTGAACAGACTCCTCAAAGTTGGGATTGTTCTTGAGGTAATTAACAACTATGTTAATCCAGCTGAGAACCTGGTAAGGTAGTTTTTCAAGAGGAACTTTGTCAAACTTAGTCGGATCAAATTTTGTATTTACAATATCTAGGGATGACATTGTAAAACGCCTAAAAGGTTCCTAGAGTGTGATTATGGAAGTTGTAGTAGAGTCGGAAGGTCTTTACTCTATTAAGGGTGGTGGTGGGTGTGAAATGGGTAAAGAGAAAAAAGTTGTTACGAGAAAATGACAAGTGTAAATTAAGTTCTTGGTGCAACATATTCTTAAGCTTGATTATGAATAAATGTTTGGAGCCTTCAAGATTCGAACTTACACTACAATATTGTTAGTGTAATTTCTTTGAGAATTTTATGTTACAAAATCTTAAGAAAATACCATATTACTAATAGAATTCTTGCAAACATTGTTCTAATAATTTCAAAAGGCTGTGATAAAAAAACAAGTTGAGATATCAAATAAATGTAAAATTTACAATTTCTTTCTATTATATTACATATATACAGGTTCATCTTAAAACTCCCTGTTATTTTAATGAAATTATTTTTACAGGTGACATTTCTTTTTGTCAAAAAAAATAGAATCTTGTGGAAAAATGTCGTAAAGCCATCTCCGACAAAATAAAAAAAAGCATTTCGATTTTCATCCCACACACCCAAAAGAAAATAATAACACATCGGGAAAGATCTCCGACGGCATTATGACAAGTAAATTCTATTTAGCAAGAAGTCAAATTTATAAAAAAACTGAGATCATTGATTCAAATTAATAAAAAAGAAAAAAAAATCTAAGAAAGCAAATCAGGATTGTATACCACTCTTTATCAACCGAGTTTTGCTGATTAAAAAAAGGAATGAAAAAAGAAAAAAAAAAACAAAAAAACAAAAAAAAACAAATTTTGAAAAAATCGGCTATTGAAAGGTATCAATCGGTAATTAATTAATTAATTAATATGAAGCAAGACTTGAGATGAATACCAGTTCCGACAACTCAAGTTCTGGGTAAAAGCTAATTAGCTTTTACACTGGTTATAACCAGTGTTAGTCTAAAATAAATGTGAGCACGGGTCAGCTGACAGGCGGTTTTTTATGGGAGGTGTAAAATGAATAAAACTGGGGTGTTGCTTGGGAAACCCGACAGATAAAAGATAGGGTTAAGGGTTACGACGTAGAGATGGGCATGTGCTTTCACAAAAAGGCATGATCCAGACAAAAAAAATTTGAACAAGTCAAGTCTGGATATAAAATAAGTCCAATATCCGCTAAAATAACCACTTTTTTTTTTATCTTTTTCTTTTGATGCATCAAAAAAAAAAAAATCATTATTTTGTATTTGCTCTATTTTTTCTGATTTTTTATTTTTGTTAATATTCATAATATTTGGTTTTGAACTTTGACAATTTTGACAACAATGACCAGCAACTTGAACAATCGGGTTCGAATTTCCATTGGTAAGAATAGCACACTGAAAATATAAAATTGCATTTATTAACTTTTTTTAGATCGTGGTGGAACATTTACAGATGTCTGTGCTTATATTCCAGGCCCTGAGCCTCGTGATATCGTTCTGAAACTTCTTTCAGTCGACCCCGCAAACTATAAGGATGCTCCTGTGGAGGGTATTCGTCGAATCCTGGAACAAGTCACTGGCAAAAAAATACCTCGTAATGAACTAATTGATCTGGAGCCAGTAGAGTCAATTCGCATGGGTACTACTGTTGCTACAAATGCTCTTCTTGAACGAAAGGGTGACCGAGTTGCATTCATTGTCACTAAAGGTTTTGGTGATATCTTACAAATTGGCCAACAATCTCGACCCTCTATTTTTGACCTTTCCGTTTCTAAACTTTCCAGTCTTTATGAACAAGTCTACGAAGTAGATGAAAGGGTCACTCTTGAGGGTTATAGTGAGAATCCCTATCTAGAAAAGTTTGATATAGAAAATGATGAGAACTTGGTCATCGGTACATCTGGCGAGGTTGTCCGAATTTTGCAAAGGCCAGATGAAACTAAGATCAAAAATCTCCTCCAAAAGATTTGGGATACTGGAATACGATCTTTAGCTATTACTTTTATGCATTCCTACATTTATCCTGATCATGAAGAAATCGTCGCTAACATTGCTCGGGAAATGGGCTTCGACGTTTCGGCTTCTTCGGAAATTCAACCAATGGTATGGTACAACAGAAAAAAAAATTGATTTAATTTTTGCTAACAAAATACTTTCTTTCAGATCAAACTGGTTTCAAGAGCGAACTCTGCTACCGCCGACGCCTATTTGTCTCCTATTACTAAACGCTATGTTCAAAACTTTGGCAAGGGATTCAAGGGCGGTTTAGATGCTGTTGGCCATAAACTTTTGTTTATGCAATCAGATGGTGGTTTGACTTCCTGGTCAACCTTTTCTGGTCTTAAAGCCATTTTGTCAGGACCCGCTGGCGGTGTTATTGGCTACTCCCGAACATCTTACGAAGAAGATGAAAAGACACCCATTCTCGGATTTGATATGGGTGGCACCTCTACTGATGTATCAAGATATAATGGTGCTTTAGAACATATTTTTGAAACCACTACTGCCGAAGTAACAATTCAGTCTCCACAACTCGATATTAATACTGTTGCTGCTGGCGGTGGCTCAATTTTGTTTTGGAGAAAAGGTCTTTTTGCTGTTGGCCCCGAGTCTGCCAGTGCACATCCTGGTCCTGCTTGTTATCGCAAGGGTGGTCCTTTAACAGTTACTGACGCCAATTTATTTTTGGGTCGTATCGTTCCAGAGTACTTCCCACACATCTTTGGTCCAAACGAAGATGAACCTCTGGATCCTGAAATTGTCAAGGTTAAATTTGCCGAGCTTACTGAAAAGATCAATAAAGATAGACCCGGCCAACAGGCCATGTCTCCTGAAGAAGTTGCCATGGGCTTTCTTACAGTTGCTAACGAGGCCATGTGCCGCCCTATTCGAACATTAACTGAAGGAAAAGGTTACACTGTTGCAAGTCATCACCTTGCTTCTTTTGGAGGTGCCGGCGGTCAACATGCCAGCGCAATTGCCAAAATTCTTGGTATACATCGTGTGATTATTCACAAATATTCTTCTATCCTTTCGGCTTATGGTATGTCTCTTGCTGATGTTGTTCATGAAGTCCAAAGACCGGAATCTGTGGTTTTGTCTGAAGAATCTCTTCCTGGGTTGTCTTCTAGACTTGACGAAATTTCTAAGGAGGCTGTTGGTGCACTTGTTTCCCAAGGCTTTGATGAAAAGAATGTTGTTGTTGAGAGATACCTTAACTTGAGATACAAAGGTACAGAAACCTTCATTATGGTCCGCGACCCAGCTCAAGATAATTCCCAATCTTATGCCAAGAGCTTTATTGATAAGCATAAAACCGAGTTTGGGTTTTCTTTAGAACGTGAAATTCTTGTTGGTGATATACGTGTTCGTGGCGTTGGAATGACTCCTATGGAGACTGGTACTACCCCGGGATACGACATAAAATCAAAAGGGTCTGATTACTTTCCTGTTGACGAAAATGCTTCTATTGGTATAAAGAAACTTTACTTTGAGGGCTCTGGCTGGGTTGATGCCAAAGTTTATCCCAGCGACAATTTAAAGCGAGGCCAACAAATCAAAGGCCCTGCCATGATTATTGACAAGACCCAAACTATTGTTGTCGACACTAGCGCAGTTGCCACTGTTCTTACTAGTCATATTCTTCTCGATCTTGATAATAAAAAAAGGAGAGCGCTTAATGCTGAAGTTATTGATCCTATTCAGTTGTCAGTTTTTGGCCACCGTTTTATGTCAATCGCTGAACAAATGGGCCAAACTCTTCAAAAGACTTCAATTTCTGCCAATATTAAAGAGCGTTTGGACTTTTCTTGTGCAATTTTTTCCCCGGATGGTGGTCTTGTCGCAAATGCTCCTCATATTCCTGTTCATTTGGGTTCCATGTCAAGTGCTGTCGAATATCAAAAAAACCTTTGGGAAGGCAAGCTTGTTGATGGTGATGTTCTTGTGGCAAACCACCCTGCTCATGGTGGATCACATTTACCTGATATTACTGTCATCACACCCGTTTTTCAACCCGGAACAAAGACAATCATTTTTTGGGCTGCTTCAAGAGGTCATCACTCGGACATTGGTGGAATAACTGCGGGCTCTATGCCACCGTATTCGAAAGAGATCTGGGAAGAAGGTGCTATGATTCCCGGGTTTAAGGTTGTCAAAGCTGGGAAGTTTGACGAAGAGGGTATCGTGGATCTACTCTATACACAGCCTAGCAAGTACCCTGGTTGCAGTGGTTCGCGCAGTTTAAGTGATAGTTTGTCTGATCTTAAAGCACAAATTGCGGCTAATAATAAGGGTATTTCACTTCTCCATGATATTATTGAAGAGTTTGGTTTGGAAGTTGTTCAATTTTACATGTATGGAATTCAAGCAAATGCTGAGCTTGCTGTTCGTGAGCTTCTTAAAGGCGTCGCTAAAAAGTATGGTGATGGCCACGTTTTACGTGCCCGCGATCAGCTTGATGATGGAACTGCAATTGTTCTTGCCATTAAAATTAACCCTGAAGATGGAAGTGCGGTATTTGACTTTGAAGGAACTGGACCTCAGATTTACGGTAATTTGAATGCACCACGAGCAATTACTCAATCTGCCATTCTATATGTGTTACGATCTCTTATTTCCGAAAACATCCCCTTGAACCAGGGTTGTTTGACACCTATTACAATTAATGTTCCTGAAGGTAGTGTCCTAGCTCCTGGTCCCGAACGTGCTACAGTTGGTGGTAACGTGGAAACTTCACAACGCATTACGGACGTTACTCTTAAGGCGTTCGAGGCTATGGGTGCATCGCAAGGTACTTGCAATAATCTGACGTTTGGCTTCGGTGGTGAAACTCTTCCTGATGGTACTACCCGTCCTGGTTTTGGCTACTACGAAACAATTGCCGGTGGTGCTGGTGCTGGGCCATGGTGGAATGGCCAGAGCGGTGTCCAGGTGCACATGACCAACACACGGGCCACTGATCCTGAAATTTTGGAAAAACGTTATCCTTGTATTCTACATGATTTTTCATTGCGTAAGGGTTCTGGAGGTGATGGTCAGTTTGTTGGAGGTGAAGGTGTTGTACGCGACATTGAATTCCGTATCCCTGTGCAAGTTTCAATTTTGAGTGAGCGTCGAGCTATTGCGCCATTTGGCATCAAGGGAGGTTTACCTGCTCTTCCTGGTGAGAACTTGTGGAAACAATTGCGCGCTGGTTCCGATAAGAAGAACGATTACATTGTTGTATCGTTAGGTGGAAAGAATACTGTGCATATGAATACCGGTGATCATGTTGTCATCAAGACTCCTGGTGGTGGAGGTTTCGGAGAACCAAGCTTGAAATCTAGCCGCATAGCGGAGTCCGAAAATGCCGCTAGTAAATTCATTCCCCGCGCCAGTGGTAGTGTTTCTCAAAGAGTTGCTGCTGGTGAAGCATCTGCTTAGTGTGCTTTCTTTGTTTTAGAATTTTATTATAAATAATTTGTTCAATTGATTTTATGGTTTCTTTACTTAAACTTGGGCCTTGTAACCATTTAGAGAGCAACAGTGGGATCCCAACCTGTGATTCCGTAAAGCTCTTTGCCACCAATACTATTGGCGTCCTCCTCAGTCAATTCAAAGTCCCAGATATCGAAATTTTCAACAAGACGGTCAATGTGAACACTCTTGGGAAGGGTAATGAAACCCTGTTGGACGGACCAACGAATAAGAATCTGAGCAGGAGATCGTTTGTACTTTTGAGCAAGAGCGACTAAATCCTTGTCAATGGGATCCTTGAGCTTTTGACCACGAGTAAGTGGAGAGTAGGCTTCCGGAAGAATTCCATGTTTGCGACCAAACTCAACAAGTTCAGTGCGCTGAAGCCATGGATGAAGTTCAATTTGATTGACGACAGGCTTGATGCGGAGTCCGTCCCATGCCAGTAGCTCCTCAAGATGAGCCACACCGTAGTTGGAAACACCAATGGACTTGACAATTCCTTGATCAACGGCTTCTTGGAATGCACGCCAAGTGCCCAAGCGTTTCTCACGCTTTGCTGCAAGCTGGGTGGCCTCATCGGCCTTTTCATCAACGGTAATCGGAGCACGAGGAGAGTGAATGAGCAATAGGTCAATGTAGCCTAAACCACCAATTCTTTCAAGGGATTTTGCAATTGCAGCTTTGGCCTCGTCGTAGCCATGGTCAGCCTCCCAGACTTTAGTGGTGAAAAAAATGTCACTCCGCTTAATTGCGGGGTTTTCACTCAGAAACTCGAGAATACCTTGAGCAGCTTCAGATTCGTTACCATAGATGGCAGCACTGTCAACATGGCGATAACCAACCTCCAGGCCTTCCTTGACAACCTTAGCGGCAACATCAGTGCCGGTCAAATAGACGCCTAAGCCAACCTGAGGGATTGAATGACCAGAACTAAGCTTGATGAAAGGAACAGATGCGGAAGTAGCTTTGGGATAAGACATTATAACAATTTCAACAAAAATTTAAGGAATTAGACAACAATCAAATAATAAAGATAAAAAACTAAAAAAAACTGGAGATATGTTTAAGAAAAGAAAAATATTTGTAAGAATAGTTAAGAAAAAATCAAATATTAATAAAGTGGATAGAAAAGAAGAAGAATTGAGAAAGAATAAAAATGATTACAAAGACGGGACTTTCTTAATTGCGTAATGAACCTAAGCACTAAACATCATTTTGTAAATGCAACACGTAAGGTAGGGTAAATCACGCCACTTTTGATTGAGAGAACTAATTGAGTTATGTATTTGGAGATTGACTTGTGGGGTCGGGTTCGGGACATATGCATTAGTACCGGGTAGTCATCTAAACTCTTGTAACTGGAGGTTAGGGCTAAATTTACTCCTAACCAAGGGCTTCTAAATAATGGCCTTGATTAATGGCACGAAAAGCAAATTGATAATCAATCCATTTATTTTCGGAAGAATAGAAAATTTGTTAGGTAAAAGAGGATCATAATTTAACCCATTATTCTTATTATTATAATAACAAAAAAAAAAAAATATTAAAAAATATTTAAATAAAAAAAAGTTTGAAATTGCAAAAAATAACTTTAATTGAAAATTAAAATTAAAATGAAAATGAAAAAAATATAAATATAAATATAAATAAAAATAAATAAAAAACCGAGAAAAAAAAGTTTGGGTAACTTACCAATCTTGATAACAGTAAATTGAACATCTCATATTTCTTTAGGCATTGACCTTTTTTTTTTTTTTAACGGTTTAACGGTATGTCTGTAAATGTTTAACAATTTTATTTTTCAATTTTTCAAATTTTGATGGGCTCTGAGAATATTTTCTTTGCTTTTTCAAATTAAGATTTTAGAACTCTCTAAAGAAGGGAATTTTTTTTTTTTTTTTTTTCAATTGTAACATTATTATAATAATTTTAAAGCAAATGAGCTTATATTCAAAATGGTTTAAAAAATTCTTACGTTTGAATAAAAATTTCCCCAAAATTTCAAAAAATTCTTTTTCAGCTGACCATTGTGGGCCCACCTCGTGATAAATGAGAGTCGGCTGAAAAAACCCTGAGCATTTCAGAGTTGATATGGTATGACTTTTCAAAAAAAAAAAAAAGCTCAAATTGACAATTGATGCACTACCGTTTGAAATATCAGCTGAATTCATTTTATTTTTTTAAGTGACAATAATTTTAGAGAACATAATGGTTACTTAAAGGTAGGTAAGTTTACCAAGTAAAATCAAAAATAGAGACAACTTCAAAATTATGAACTTGAATTAAGCTTCAATTTGGGGTGTAATATATAAATTAAAGGCGATATCTAAACCATGGGGACTGATATGTTGAAATATCTAGTTTTCTTATTTAAATATTTATTATTTTCGTATAAATTCAACAAGATAAAAAAAAATTTATTTGAATACTCCTCTCATCGCCATCGCATCCTAGAATTTTATTATTATTATTATTATTATATTATATTATTTTTTATGCTTAATAAAAATAAATTCACATCATTATTATTATTATCCTCCTTTGCTTTGGAAAAGTACAGTAATAAATTTATTATTTCCATCTTTTTACTACCCCCATGCTCTGTTTCTTTTCCGTAAATCATATATATCATTTTCATTTTTCCTCTTATATTTGCTTTTTTATTGTAACCATGTACAACTTATATAAAAATCGGAAAAGAAAATTATTTTGAAATCCCAATTCCATGGTTTCTAGTTAAACGGTGCCAACCAGGATCACTGGTTTAGCTGTGTGTTTTTTTTTTTGCTGTTCACTCAGTTCTACACTAACAATTACCTCCCACGTGATTTTTATACCTTTATCATTGAAAAAAAAAGCATTGAGTATCAGTTCTCTTTTCAAAGACAATTCAATTGTAGTTTGCAGTAAAAATATTAAGTTAATGGCTTAAATTTTTATTCAATGAAAGAAAAAAGAGAGTCTTGTTAGTTTTAAATGAAAGTAATCTAAGACTTTATCCAGAAAAAAAGAAGCTGAAATGCTACATTGGAATAATACTAAAGTCTGTAACTGGATAGGTGCACCAAATCTTTTAGGCAAAACTGTCAAACAGTGCGGGTTCTGATATTACATTTATTCAACTTTGGAGGATTTCCAAATTTCGGCTAACTTGATGATGTACTGAAAAATCAGATAATGAAAAAAAAAAATTTGATGTTGGTGAAATTCTCTCATCATGATCTAACTAATGGAGGAAATAACTATTAGCACCGAATTTGAACTCATTATTCATCGAAGATACCGAACAAGTTGAATAAAGGAGAAGTTTGGGTGGGATAATCCGTAAATTATAGTGTTTTTTTTTTTCAATTTTCTTTCTTTTTAGAAACACAATTATACTACTCAAATTAGTTTGAACCTGGGTTTTGGGTATATTGAGAAGGAACAATATTATTTTTTAATTAAAAAAAATTACACCCATTTTACATCTTTACAATATCGTGATGACGATTCTATTTATTTTATTATTTTTTTCTTCGCGACGCGTATATTTCTAGTTCTAACGCAAATTTCAATTACATATTGAACGCGATGAAAAATAAAAAGCAATATATTATTCATTGTTTGCTAAATGTGGGTCCCTTGCGTCTATATTAAAATAAAAAAAAACAAAAAAAAAAACAAAAAAAACAAAAAAAACAAAAAACTAAAATGACAAAGATGATAAATTTCAAATTATGTTTAAAAACGAGGTAATCGAGATTTTTTTTTATTAAAAGTGTAAAATAATAAATCTATGAGTTCATAGTTCGATGTTGTTTTTTTCAGAAAAAAACAAAAGATTCACCTGTAGTAATCTTAAAATGATATGCATATGTTTATTTCAGGTTTGTTATTTGAAAGAGATTGTAAAAATCAAACCTCCTAAAACCTGGAAAAAATTTAACATCACCAACATCTAAATAATTATTGACTCTTTTTTTTTTTTCTTCCACAAATATGAATATAAAATCTAGGCTGGGACATTTTAAAATATTGAAAATGCTACACAAAAGGGACAGAAAAAGTTTTTTCATTACCCCTTTTTTCTTCTGTGATTTAAAATCGGTTATTTCCATATGGTTATTGTCTCTATTGGTGATTTATACGCTAAATATCTGTTACCTCAACTACTTTACCAAGTTTCACTGGTTTGTATACCAAGCAATTGACATAACTTGATGGTAGGTTGGTTCAGTTACCATCGCAATTATGAACTTGGGAAAACTTTTAACACTAAAAAAAAATGTCATTTACCATAGACCAACTATTGGCACAAAAAAAAATTTTTTTTTCCTCATATATATACTAAACAATTCTTTTCTCATTTAATTTTTTTTCCCCTCTTGGTCAAGAAAGACTCATAGAAGCTAGATTGAGTGAAAATTATAGGATTATCCCAAAATACTACTTTTGGAAGCGAGGATTAAGGGGGGGGACAAGAGGCCACTTGACAAAGTACAAAGTTGGTTTTCAGTAATTACTGATAATATCGTTTAAGATTTATTAGATAATTAGCTGCAAAACTATGAATTTCACTTAGCTTGGCTTGACTGTGAATCATATGGTTTTAAAATCACCTGTCTTGAAGAAAAAAAAAACAATTAAAAATATTTAAAAGGTAAACATTTGTAGATGAAGCTAACTGTGCCTGAGTTCATACATACTCCATACCATATTTTAACTCGTGATTGATCTGAATGTAGAAAAAAAAAATCTTAATATATGCTTCAAATAAAGATCTGCCGCTAGTTATTCGAGATTTTTGGAGCTCAACTTTTATGAGCCTTGAATCTGTACTCTTATAAACACGAGAAAGCGCGAGAAAAGGACTAACGCATGAAATTTCAGGAGCGGGAAAAGACAAAGGATAATAATAAAAAAAACATTAAAAAAAAACATTAAAAAAAACAAAATAAGAGGCAAATTGCTTTTAACATGTAATATTTTTAAAGGGTGTTCAGGAGAGAAGGCAAATGTTGAAATCAGGATATATTGACATAATATATATTTTCTTTTTTTCTGTTTTTTTTTTTTTTTTTTTTGAATTTTCAAAGAAAAAATAAATAAGTTAGTTGGGAAAATATATTCATTTCAGCCAGGGGAGATTTTGAAAATAAAACAGGGACTTGGGTGAACTGAAAAATCAGCTTATCTTTACATTTTGAATTAAATAAAAAATAAAATAAATAAAAAAATAAAATAAAACCGTTGCTTAGTGGATTAAACTTTTTTTTATTTTTTTTATTTTTTTGTTAAAAGTGGTTTGAGTAACAGTTCCTTTTTTTTTTTTTATAATTATAATTATATAATTATATATATATATTGTTGTCTATCAAAATACACATTTTAATTTAACTTTTCGGTTGTTCATAAAAAAAAAAAAGTTCTTATAACAGCAATCACGTGAAATAAATCACATGATTAAAATAGTTAGGGTTTAGAATCCGCAAACACTCTGCATAAATCACCCTTTTTTCCGCCTAATTTTGGAGAAGGACATAAAAAAAAAACCTTAAGATTTTTATCAGTCATGATATTGTTTTTTTTTTTTTTTTTTTTTTTTTTCTTTAAAAGTAAAAAACCGAAATAAGACATCAAAACATTGTCTTTTTTAAATTGAATTCGCTTTTATTTTTTCCTTATTACTAATTATAATTACTATGATATCAGTATCACAATCTTTTTTTTACTTTTGCTCATTGGAAATGACTTAAGGCATGACATAGAGTTTTGAACTAAATAGCTGGTTTTTAAATGAAACATCTGGAACAGTTTCCTTTAAGTTGGAAACTTGCTTTTACTTTTGCTCTATTTTTGTATATCACTTAAATATATATAAAAAAAATTTCCTACTTTTTGAGATCAGTGCCGTTTTCATTGGTCTAAAAGCCTTACACAGATACTCCCAATCTCAAAACCACATTGGAAAAAGCAACTAAGATATCGAAATCTCAAAAGACAAGTTGCAGCGTTATATGATGTACTAACGTACTTATACCTGCACATTTACCAGCAATCTGATTCTCATTCTTTTTATGCTATAATTTCTGCTTCTTCAAACAAAGCATTTGAAGTGATCTTGGTCAAACTACAGAATGATGTAGTATTGCTTTCTGTAATAAAGCTTTTGAGGTGGTCTTGAAATGTACGTAGCGCATTTTTGCTACTCAACATGTCAATCATGACTGCCAGTTTTTTTTTTTTTTTTCGTAGAATTTCCTTCATACAAAACCTCTTTTTTTTTTTTTTTATATGACTCGCTTCGCTCATATGGTGTAACCAGCTAGCTATTTATTTCAAATACAACTTAATACATACACTCTCCTTTAATGTAAAAATAGATGTTGAAAAGTTGTTGTTAAATGGTTTATTGGGGACTAGCGTCCATTGACAAAAATACGTCACTATAGCTTAATGTTATAGGTTTGGGCTGCCGCTCTTTTGCATAATACCGAGCCGCCGTGCGCCCGGGTGTTTCAGTTTCGTCTCTTGAAGGGACCGGTACCCTAACTACAATGTGCCCAGGGTGATTGAGGCTCCGGAACATACAAAGTAATCCGGGAACCTTGTCGACAAGATAGACAAACAATCAGACATCTATAAAGAAGAAATATATTCATTTGGAGTTTTTGCCATTTTACCTTTCTACATCATAAACTTTTATTTTCCATCCATATTCCATACCTGGTAATACAACTAGGTCTTGTCTATTGACATGCCCTTTAAACCTACAGCTATTTCATTGATATTTCTACAGGACTCAATAGCTATTCACAAGCACTGTGAAATCAATGGCTCATATCAAAATTATTTTCTTCCTCAGGTTCCTCAAGTTCATATCGTAATGTCTATTCTTGTCGAGACCCGCCTCTTCTATAACTTGAATATATATTCCTCCAAAGCCTCTGAATCGACCAGTAGTAGTTTAAGCTTACATGTAAAATATACATGCGTGCGTACCACGTTGGGACTTTTGGCAAATTCGTCTTAAAAGGAAAAAGTAGCTAACCAATGTTGTATGCGCAACCAACCGCTTTCTGCTGTGCGGTTAATAATAGGCGTGACAAGAGGTGTGAGTTTGGATTTTGGGTTGTTGCATAGATCTAACATATGAACAAGAAAAAAAAAAAAAAGAAAAAGAAAAAAAATTGAAATTATCGTCAAAAACAAAAAGTACGCAGCCATTAAAAAACATTCACCAATAAAGTTAAACATCAATAAGTTATAGAAAATATATTATTTTCTATTTGTGAATTTGTGAAATAACTTGAGAATTTATCTCTATTGTAATTTTAAAACTTCAAGCATAGCAATACATTTTTTTCAAGTCTAAATAATAATAAAAAAATCACATCCCCAATCTAGTTATAATCTAGTTATAAAATAAACAAATTCATCATCTTCATAAAAAAATAAAATAAAATAGTTCATCAAATTCATCAGTCATAAGCGAATGAGACACAAGGCTCAAATAAATATAATATAGCACACAAGCTCATGACCCTAGAGCTTTTTCCTGTGCATATAGATAGTATCATGGCATCATTAATTGTAGTTGTTATTGTTGTTATCACCCTCGTTCTTGTGCGAGATTTTCTTTGCAAGACTCTTAACACTAGAACCAATCTTTGCAATGCTTTTGATGCCCTTTGAATGATTACTGTTGTTATTGTTACCGTTAGCCTTAGGATTGGCACTACGGTTTTGAAACTCCGAAATCACAGGGCTTTCCGACGCGTCGCATAATCCTGCAGAATATAGCGCGCTGCCGTGATACTCAATGAATGTCTCATCAAGTACGCTAAAGTGTGGCCGGTCCGGTGTCTCAGGTTTTTCCATCCGAGTTGGGGCACGCATCAAGTTGTAAGCATTGTTGGTGTTAGTGTTATAGCAGCCAACAGTTTTGGAAGAGTATGTAGCAGAAGAGGTGATTGTAGGCGATCGGCAATCCACACCGTCATCTGTGGGAGTGCCCGTGCTCTCCACAAGCGCATTGTGAATAACCGAATCCAAGTCCAGGGTGAGATCTAAGTGAACCGACTCTCGCGATCCGTTAGAATTTGAACTCTCAAAACTTGTGCGGCCTAACAAATTAAGTTCAGGAGCTGCGTCTGCCGCATATCCACCCAAAAACGAGTTAGATGCTTTTGGGGGGTCTAAACCTCTTAACTTATCAAACGAGTGTTGTTGTGGGCTGATATTCTTGGTTCTTGATCGGTTAATAATATTATTATTATTATCCTCACTGGCATTGCAGCTATTTTCTTGAAAACCAGTACCAAACGCAAGCGAACTAGTGGGAAACTTCAAATTTTCATGACCAGACCGTGCCACATGGGTTCTAGTAAAACTGTCGCGGTCAGTGTTGCGTGTGACAGTCTCACTCGTTATAGTGCTTGAATCATTGGAACTGTTGAGAGTTAACGAGGAAGAATCGGGCTGCAAAATTCGAGGATCAGTAAGAAATGCTCTAGGCTGTTGTTGCGTTTGTGATTGGTACGAAGACTTGTAATTGAAAGAGGATACCGACTCAGGTTTGTTAGAATTTTTTAAAGCAGACAAACCATCTTTGTTGTTACTGGACATAAACAAACTATTACTGGTGTTGGTGTTGGTGGTGGCAGTGGTGATACTACTGAGACTATCAGTATTGTTAGATTCATCAGCACTTGTTGCATGAAAAGAAAGTTCGTCTTGAAGATTAAATGACATGTCAAGGTTTGAAAGTTTCAGACGTTCAAAAGACTTTAACAGCACATTAGGCGACTGTTCATTTGTGTCAGCTGGCTCGTCATCGGCAGATTCTTCAACCTTGAGGCACTGGCTAGGAATGGCGAACTCAGGCTGTTCTAAAAGAGATGTATGATTAGGAGCACCTTTGGACTTTTCAAAAAGTCTGCGAGAGCCCGAGCGACGATTGACATTTTCATCTGAGTCCAAAGATGAAAAAGAATGAACCGAGTTAGCTCCACCTGTACCACCAGATAAACTTCTAGCGGGAGAATGAAGATGCGAGCTACCAAGATTAGAAATATAGTCCGGATGGCTATTAAGGTTTAGGTGAAGGTTAGAGTTTGGGGGGTGAAGGTTGTGGTAGCCATTACTACTGGTTGAACTACTGCTGCTGCTAGAGCTACTACCCGTAGAAGAGCACCGGTGCTCAGAATGCACTGAGGCTTTTGCTGCAGCTGAGTGATAAATGGGTGAATGAGGAGGAGGAGACATTGAACAAGCTGTCGTAGTGGTATATAACGAAGGGTAGGACGAGAAATCTTTGGAGTCTGTTGAAGAGAATGAGTTTGTTGAAGAGGTCGTAGCAAACGTAGCAATGCTAAAGTGATGAGGGTCAACTCGGAAGTCGTCGCTGAGAGGCTGTGGCGGAGACAGAGCATAAACGTTTCCCGAGTCGACTAGTGGCATAGTTGAAATTGGGAATGAAGAGATGGGATCTTCGACGGCAGTTGTTCTTTGCGAAAGAGCCTTTTTGAATCTAAGATTATTGTTTGGAAAATTCGACGAAGCGGAAGCCGAGATAGTCTGCTCGCCTGAAATAGAAGACATTTTTGAATTATATCAAACTAAAGATAGGCTAATAGATAGAATGATATAAAGGCTGAACAATAAAGTTGAAAAAAATCTTTAATCTATCTAATAGTGCCCAAAGTTCATATAAGTTCCAAATATAAATAAGATAGAAAGATAGAAAGAAAGAAAGAAAGAAAGAAAGAAAGAAAGATAGAAAAAAAAAAATTTGCAAAAAAAAAACCTTTGGAGGGGGGGAGGCGAGCGAGAAGGCCAAATATATATAGGGAAATTTATAAAGGTAGGCTCGTCAAAAACCAGATCCTTCTGGTTCAGTGTCACTACTCCACAGACGTGCTCTCACCTGCAAGCCTCCACTTTGGGAATTATTATAAGTAGTAAATCAGAATTATCAGACTAGTCTATAGCGCCTTGTTATGCTCTGCTTTGGTAAGTTGACAATGCATCAACTTACCGAGGCGAATTCCACAGTAACCGTTCAATAAATCAAAGCTACTTGTTGGCAGTATTTACGGCACAAGAAACTCCAAAACCCTCTAGCAACCATTCAACTCCTGCCTACCACCAAGCCTAATTAACTAACTAACAATATTCAATCCCTAAACTAAAGAAAAAAGCGCGTATATGAGAGCAAATACCCCTTAATGAAGGTATCTTCTTGGTTATATCAGCCCATCTAATAGGTTTAACTAGAGCCTGGGGTTTCCTCGACAATAGGCCATCTTTTATTTTGCTACTGAATATCTTCAACTAAACTTGTTGTCTGCTCATCCTTTCCCGTATTTTAATTTCACATTATAGTTTGAGGGTTATCAGCATACCTTGAATGACCGCCTGGAATGGTGGCCGTTAAACCTGTAAATATTCCTTAAGCAAATTTGACGGAGGATGACAGCTATGTCGTGTAGCAATGCATCCCCGATATATCACTTCATCATCGTCATCAGCACCCTTATCATTTTACCTTTTGCCTGCTTTACTGCATTGTGAGTTTATTGATCAATTTCCATATTTTTTGAACATCAATCCCTAAATATTTCCTATTATTTGCACATTAATTTTTTTTTCTTTTTTTTCTTTTTTTTTTTTTTTTTTTTTTTGCAATTGCTATTAATGATAACACTAATATTTGCCAATTAACAGTTATCGACTAACAAACATTTAAAGATGTCAATATTTGACGATAAGTTTTTTTTCTCTTGTAATAAAAAACAATGTTTCCAAATCATCGTTTTCTTAGCTTCTAACTCTAAAATACTTATTTTTTGTTCTAACCACATTCCCTCATCATCCTTATCCGTTAAATTATTAAAACTTAACTTAACTTTGCTTCTGTTTTTTTCTTTTTATGGTGACTCCACTATGTAAATCCCCCTAACTTTTTGTCGTCTTTCAAGACATGTCTTATATTTAATCAAAAACAGTAATATGATCCAACTTTTCAAAAACTAAAAGAAGAAGCGAGAAAAGTAAAATGAAAAACAATAAGACCATGTCTTTAAGTTTTTTTCTCTAAAAAAACCAATAAGATGATTGTTTTTAAGGTTTGTATTTTTGTGTTAAAAAAATTTTTTTTTCCACCCTCAGGGATATTTTATTCGAATATTAAAAAGATCCCAGCTTTAACTTTCTGTTAGATTAATTATCACCAGCAGTTTGGTTATTACGTCTCCCAGCTTTGAACTTATGAAGCTAGTTATGCCCTAGAATTATATCAATTTTTAACTGATAATATTTTCAGTTAAAGAAACTCGAGACTGGAAAATCCCTAATCCAATTATAATTGTAATTACCAATAAAAAGAATAATAAAAAAAAAGGAGAGAAGAGGGGGGAAGTAGGAAAAGGTTTTCAAACTTAACATTGGATTAAAGCATGTTTGATTTATACATCAATTATGTTTTTTTCCCCCTAAAAGAATCACTTACTTTTCTTATTTGAATCATCTAGAGTCTGTTTTCAGAAATTAAAAAAAATCATAATAAATAAATAAACATATGAAATATTATTATTTGGTAAAAGCGGAACATATTAACTATTTATAAGCTTTTTTATATTCTTAAAAGCTAATAATTATTAATATTCAAATCCTTAATTAAAAAGCATATTTTCATTCAAAGATATGGTATATTTCCATTCATATATTTAAAATACAGAAGTTTGGGAAGACCAAAAAAAGCATTGTTTAACATGTCTAATGGTGTAAAACTAGCAGGTCAAATATATCCAACATGGGGTCCATTATCAAGACCTTTGATGTTTTTTTCTTTTTATAAGAAAAATCTATTTTGTAAAACATTTCCCTTATTTAGAATTTTTTTAGCACTTATATTGTAACTTTGAAAAAACTCAAAGCACTATTAATCTATCATTCTGATTTTGGATGATTTTCATTATTTTACTAATATATATATATATATATATATATATATATATATATGAGATATACTTGTTAACTTAACAATGGGTCCATCACATTTTTTTAAAATTCGAAATTCTTGACTAAAGTTTATGATTAGTTATCATTTGAAAAAAAAAAAAAATTAAGAAAAAACATCTTTATTGTACTTTGTATTAATTTGAAATAAATTCTAATGAGACAACCTGTTTAATAGAAAAAATTTTTTTTTTCCTTCTTAAAGAAGCAATCTACTACCTTTCTTTTTAATTAAACTATTCTTCATGTTGTAGTGTATCAGACTAGATTACCATTTTAGATACTAGACACCGTTGGGTTGGTATTTCCGTTGAGGATTATTTTTAACAGCTTTTAGACTTAAGTCTAAAAGTAGTCCTGTGCAACTTTAAACCGATTCACTCGCCTCCATTTTCCTCTTTAGTTTGAATTATAATAGGATAGTTATCTGTCTTTTGCCTTTGCTTTTTTTTTCTTCTTCAGCTTTAATCCAATTCAATAAGAACGTTCTTACGGGTTCTCTCTTGAATATTTCTTTGTTACCAAACACTGTAGTTGCTATATTAAAGGAGAAATTTTTTTTAGAAGAAAACGATCTTGTACTAGTTACAAAGTATATAATAATATACTTTATAATTGCTATGCTGTATTTTTATCTATGTGAGACCTATTAACAAATAAGATCTACCAACCATTCGGATACAATGGTTGTGTCCTGTGTTTTTGAAGATACCATGTGGTCTTGGAACTGCAGTATTCCCTTTTCTTTCGTTATTAACTGCCTCGGATCTTTTTGGGCTCTTTTTTTCTTTAGATGCACCCAACTGCAGATCAAAAAACTAATTAGTTTTGTAATTCACCATGGCCATGTAGTACTTGATTGCAAGCTTCAAACTCGTTAAAATGGTTGTTCAGATTTAAGCAAAGCTCAGTAAGCATAAATATTAATCTGGGGCATAGCTTGTTAATAAAAAAAATAAATGCAATAACAAATCAAAGCAAAGCTCTGTTTCGCTTTAAAAACTAGATTAGTTTTGGCCAAGAATAAACTACATATACATTTAAAGAAAAATATTATTTTCAATTTTCAATTTTGATTTTAATTTTTTTTTCTCCCTTAAATTATTACATTTCTTAATTAAGAAAATAATAAAAAACTTCTTATATAAGAGGTTATTTATTTAATTTTAATTTTTTTTATTTTTTAAAATTTAAATTTGGACAAAAATTTCATCTTTTTACTTATTTGACGAGCCACTTAACTAGTCAATCAGAAAAAAAAATTTTTTTTTTCTGTTATTTTAGAATTTTTTATCTATTCTACATCTGGTTACAATTATTACAATTACTAATAATTTGCACGTGACCATGAAAAGTTACCCTAACCCAGTGACAAAATAAATTCGCGATTTACGCGTAATTTTTCACTTTTTTGACGCGTTTTTTTTTTTTGTTTATTTACTTTTTTTTTTTTTGGTCTTTTTTCTTGTTTATACCCAAAATCACTATCACAGAATAAATACGGGATTATGTATTTATCGGGGCGCATATTATTGTTTACTTTTAATATTTCCCCTGGTTTTTTTTATTTATTTGTTTATATTTATTTTTTCATCAACAATTCTCTCAGTTTCCTAAGTATTTAATATATTTTTTGTCGAAATAATTTTTTTATCCTCCCCTTTTTTTTTTCACTTTTTCATCTTCTTTTGTTATCTCCATAATTTTTTATCAACTTTTTTTTCACGCTTTTTCTTTCCATAAATATTTTTTTTGTTTGAAAAATCAAAGTATCGAGCTTCCATGGCTTCGCATACAAACCTTCATCAAGAAGGTACTGGGCCATCACAGGCAACAATTGTGCCGATGGTTCTCAATAATCCTCCACCACGAGCTTTTCAAGAAACATCGGTCAGACCTATCTCTTCGAATTATCCAAGCCATATTTCGAATTCTCGGTTTGTTATTCATTCAAATCAAATCCCAAGTCTACCTCAGGGACCTGTCACTCCCTTTTATTTAAACCCAGCATTTGCACAACAAAATACGGCTCCAGAGCATACACTTCAAGCTATTCATGCTATCAACGAACACAATCCCGGTGTTGCTACTACTGTTTTGAATTCTGCTCCAACTGTGCTTGAAGCACAGTTTAATTCAACAACAATGTTTGCATCTCCATCTCAGCGACATATGCATAGCAACAGCCTGCTCAGCAACACTCATGATCCACATAATAGTTCATTTTCATCAAACCCCTTATCACATCACCACATTCAAAATGGTTCTATTCATCATCATTCCCAACCTTCTTCAATTCACAATAATCATTTTGATCATAGTTCAATTATGATTCAGCATGAATTAACTAACACAACTGACAAATCGTCTGAAATTTCATATGCGATTAATAAGGGTTCCCCAGAGTTTCTCAGTAGTCCTTTATTAACCGACACAACAAGTCCAAATGCATCTTCCAGTGATAACAATGGTTCTACTGAAATCAAGAACGAAATAACTAGTATATCAAATCCTTCGGTTGCTTTAAGTAATTTCAAAAAAGTTTCAGAGCAACCCTTGCAGGCAGCAAATCCTAAACTAGTCCTAGTATCAACTCCACAACGAGCTTTAGGACAACCACCAAAACTTACAAAAAAGAACTCTGTAAAAGCACCTTCCCCCACAAAGCGACGTCGCGCTAATACCAATGCAATAAAAGATTTAATCTTCCCATCATCTCCCGATAAAGCACTCCCTACAACCGAAGTTCGCGTTGTACGACTTGATGAAAAGGACAGTGAGATAGAGGTTTTATTCCATCACCAACTTTCTTCTGGTCAAGCAACACGTCCTGTGAATGTATCAATTGTTCCTTTGGAAAGAACTCAAATCAAAGACAAAAGTGTCACAATGGAAGAGTATTTTTTACGTGAAGCCGATCTTCGCGATTTGCGTGAGTGTAGCCGCAGAGTCCCTTACCGCAACTACTTTTCCTTGTTAAATGAAACAATTCAAAATTCACGGTCCCAACGTATGACAAAGTCGCTGGTAAAGAGCTCCAACTTTATCACACGCAAGCAGCGTAGCTGGATAGAACAGAAGATTGAGCAATCATTAAGCAACATTATTGAACAATCCGGATATTTGGCTCTCATTAATCTTTTTGGAACTGGTCTTCGAAAAGTTTATTTTTGTCCGAGATTTTGCCTTGCATTCACTGGCAATTTTAAAAGCTATACAATATGCCCATGTTGTAAATCTCCAAAAGAAGACACTGTTTTTGGGTGGTATATAAGCCCTATTTCGCAGATTGCAGAGCTTATGAAAGATCCTGAGTTAGCTCAAATCATTACCCATCCACATGAACCTGACCCAGATTACATTCGCGATGTTTGGGATGGTGACTTGTGCTCTAAAACACTGCCCTCTAGAGGATTCGTTCGATACGATGAAGATGGACAACGAATATTTGAGCTTGTTTTTGGTGCTTCAGCTACAAGTGGAAACATTTGGTCGTCCAAGTGCTTTGAATTTATTGACATAAATCTCCATCTTTTTAACCTACCAAAAAATGAGCGTAACAATGTCAAATACATGTTTCCAGTGTTCTCATACCCCAAAAAAAGTGATGATACTCAGCCACCTAATCACTTTACATTTTTTCAGCCACTAGTTGATGACCTCAATCTTTTGAACAAGGGATTTATTTGCTACAATGCTCATCTTCGTGAATATGTTAAGATGACTTGTTCGCTAGCATTCTACTTTGGAGATTACCCATTGCCTAACGATGCTTTTAACATTTCCACACATTCAGCCATTAAGGGTGAGAATGCTGACTTTAGTGGCTCGTTTGATTCCTCTGCAACCACCTTCACTCAATATCCAAAAGATGAACACTTTTTGGTAGGAACCCCTCCTCCCACAGACCATGATTTTATTTCGAGCTCAATTGATCCTGGCAACCTTAACGGCATTAATGGCATGAGTAACAGCTCAACATCTTTATCTTTTGCTCAACAATACAATCTTTCTGGGCCTTCGCCTACTAAAGACTCAATATCAGAAAATACTGTACCTCTTCCAACACTATGTTCTCCAGAGTCTTTCCCATTTGAAATAATTCAATTTTCATTTAAGGATATAACTACCTTCATTTTTACAAGCATTATTGGCAGCTCAGATAACAGAATGAAGGCTAAAAAGGCTGTCACTAAAGAGGGCTTTCCTCCATCGTTTCGGATAAATGATGCTGGCAGAACGATTTTGAAAAATATCTTAAAGTCTGCCAATCTCAACTTTTCTCAAAGCTGGTTGGGAATTACATTTGATATTGATGAAATTTTGGGTGGACGATTAAATGACCTCACTTACACGGAACTACGAGGACTTCTGGAGTTATTCCCAGTTTTTTGCAAGGAGCTTGAGGGATCGGGAAACGATAATATAATGAGAATTTTCCTTTGTATATCTCTCATCATCCGAGTCACTTATATGTCTGCAGTTCCGCGCTCATTTTTGGATGAGATTGAGAGCACTATTATATCCATAGTTGAGGACTTAAAAAAGGAGGCTACTGAATCATATCCCGATTTTTACGACACTGAGTGCCGATTCAAACTGGATGCTTTATTAAAAATCATCTATTACATTAAGAATACGGGAAATTTGCGCAGCTTTTGGTCGTGGTTAACTGATGGCTCTATTAAGGAGCTAAAGGAATCGTCAAAGGCTACTCGCTTTTATATTTCAGCTTTGGCCAATACCAAGCTTCGCAAATGGCATTTGAATCTTATTCTCAACAAACCATCCCCAGTTACTTTTGGAGCACATAAGCTTAAGGCACTACAGTCATCGTCATTTGTTCCTACTGCTTCATATGCCGAAGATAGTGGCGGTGAAGATGAAGACGAGTACGAAGACAGCAAAGAACAAATTTCGCAAACAGATTGCCTGTCATTTATTTCTCAGGCTCATTCATTTACTGCTTGGCGAAGATTCAAGGTTTGCAAGCTTCAGTCTAATGGAATGAAGATTTGCGTGGGAACATATGCCCGCATTAGCAATGCTGAAAATGATAATGCAACATTCACCAATTATGCAAAGGTGTTTGACTTAGTTCAGCTTACCGTTCCAACTTTGGTTCTCAATGGTCAGAGTCCTAACAATACCCCATTGCCGTCCAATATATCGAGGTCAAAACAAAAGTCATCTTTTTCTTCCACTACTGGCTACACTTCAAAAATTGAAGAGTATGCTATCATCAAGTATTGCCAAACCTCAAAAATGGAGGCTGTGAAAGACCACAATTACTTTCCATTCACAAAAGATGGTATGACCTTTATGAATTACATGATAGATGGCATTCACTTGGAAAGTAATTTTACTTTAATTCCAGTTGCACAGCTGGCAAACCCAGTACACTTGCTTCCTCTTCAAAAGCGGGATAGCACTGTTCGCTATTTTGTCGACCCTTATATTTTTGGTCGTTATAATACCAGCACAACATACAATCGCAAGCCCACAGAGCAGGTCTTTGAGCTGTCTACGTATGATGCTGAAACAGAGATAAACAAGGATCTTCGACAATACCATGTTAATAACAGAAACAAGAACAAAGTTTCGGCTAGAGATGTGCAATCTATTTATGAGCATTTTATAAGTAAAGGAGAAGACACAATTATTGATGAGGCAATGAGATCTTATACTCAAAGGGCACATCTTTGGAAACCTTTTGAGAGTTCCTTCGATGCTTGATTTATTTTTGGGATTTTTTTTTCCATTCTATTTGGAAATTTAAACTACATTATTTTTACCATTTTATCAACTAAAATTATTGGAATATTTTTTATCCAGCTGGTCAGTGATTCAAAAAAATTTTTTTTTTCATTCTTATTCGAGTCAAATTAGGTGACTTATTTATATAATTTAATATTTATCAATCGGTTATTAATTTCTTAAGGACATTGAGTTTCAAACCCGTAGTACCAATAAAAAGGGCATCAAAAGCATTGCAGAGTCTTGCAAAGAAAATCTTGCACAAGAACGAGGGTGATAACAACAACAACAACAACTACAATTAATGATGCCATGATGATACTATCTATATTCACAAGAAAAAGCTCCAGGGTCATGAGCTTGTGTGCTATATTATATTTATTTGAGCCTTGTGTCTCATTTGCTTATGACTGATGAATTTGATATACCTATATTCCGATTAGTAAATTTTAATTTTTTCAGATTTTTTACCGTTCATAAAAATGTACCATAAATGGAATGGACTTCTTTAGAGAAAAAGATAAACACCGATTACGGGACAAAAAAAGTCAACCTTTCTCTGGATAATAATGTCTACTGTTGTGATTCGTGTGAAATCACTGTTGACAGAGGCGTCAACGGAGCCAAAATCATCCTAATCAAATGTCTGGCTTTCTCCATCTAAACAAATTAAACAAAGGAGCGCGTCCATGCTAAATGATATTTGAGTAAAAGTTGAATGTTAGCGTTTTTTTCTTTTTTTGAATAATATTAATAAAACTTGTCTTATTTATATGATACACAAACCCCTCCAAAAAAGGCTTGGTCACACACATAATGGTTATCAAAAAACTTCTGAGTGAAAGACAATATTGGTAAGCATAATTGAATGAGAGAAAAATTTATTGCGTAAAAGACCAGATAAAAAAGAAAATATTAAAAGGCTAATGGTTTCAAAAAAAAATCTATCAAAGAAAAAATGATAGTGGGTATTTGAGGTAGTAGCAAGCGTTAAGTAATGGCCAATAAACCGGAAAAAAGAAATAAAAAATTACATAAAGCTTTTAAACTCAGAAGACAATTTCTTTGTGAGCAGAAAATGGTCTCCATAGTATCTAAAAAAGTGCAATTCTAAAAAAAAAATGAAAACCACAAAAATGTTTTTATTATAACTCAAGTAAAAAAAGCTGGAGATTGCTGGTTTTTTAAATATTAAAATGGTTAATTCAATTACAAGTCATTGTTTTTATTAAAAAAATAATAAAAATATCTTTTCAAGTAATTCCACCACATTGAATATATATACTTTCGATCAGAAAATTATTCATTTTATGCCCACATATAGGTATTTCTTTTTGTTATCAGTGAATGGTATAGCAAACTTGCAAGAATGAGACATCATCTGTTTTCTTAGGTGGATACATAAGCACGTGAATAATTGAAACACAGAAGCCTTTCTCTTTTCTTTTGAACATATGAGAAGTTTCTCTTTTTTTCCATATATTTAGTTTAAGTTGGCAAATATAATTATCAGAAATAGAAAACATAGTAAAAGGCAAAGCAGATGGCTGAAAAAGAAATGATCAAACAAACCCTAAATATAATAAATTATTTAACATAACAACGATTGTTCACATAAATTCACATCAGAAAGGACTCAATATGCAGGTGCAAATATGTGTATTTGATCAATTCAACTATGACAGTCAGTAAAAGTCATAATACAATCAATGATATTGAGTTTAAAAACCCCCACTCTATTGCTTTGCTGGCTATATTTCATTACATAAGCTTATCACTGTTTTCTTAGTCATATACAAACTGTTTGGCCAGCATGAAAAATTTTTGGTGGTAATCAAACTTTAATTTGTGACAAGCTTTTATGTAACAAAAAAATAATTAAGCATAAGCCAGTTATAACTTACAAGGCCTTTGATATTCTGCGATTTTTCTTCCAGTCTTACAAGAAAATTTCTTAAATACTCCAGTCATTCTACTAACAAATTTTTTTATATTGATAATTCACACTTCTGCAAACCATATATAAATCATATTCGGCCCCATCCCTTTAAACATATTCTATTTAACAACGCTCTATTACATCAAGCCTTTTGATTCCGACGTTCTGGGTGATATTTATTGCCTGTCTCTCTTATTATTTTGTAAAAATTTCCTTTTTTGTACTCGCCAAATCCCCCTTTTCTTCTTCCCCAAAACGAACAACAAGGCACTATCACTAATCGAGACCCGCATTTTGCTGACTGTCTGCCTACCCCATAATATTATTCCTAATACGCCTATAGCCCGCCCATTCTTGATCAAATTCAGAATCATCATCTTATCGCCATTTCTGTTCATTTTTAATTTTAATTTTTTTATGTGTGAGAAATAAAAAAAAAATTATATAAAACGACCCTTATTTCTTTAACCAACCAACCACCGACCTTTTGAAACAAACAATGGGTCTTTCTTCTCTAAGTCAAGCATTTTTGGCTTCCATAGACTCGAATCAAAATACACGTCTTGCTGCCGAAGCACACCTGGAGGCATGTTCATCTAATCCAGACATTCCATTAGCCTGCCTAACTTTGGCAGTGTCTTCCGATTCACATCCGGTAGTCCAACAATCCGCAGCGGTATTTCTAAAAAACCTCGTCCTCAAATATTGGGCCATATCATTAAGCAGTGCTAATTTTACTTCAAACAAAAGTTCACGGCACTCATCTCCTCCGCTGAATAGTTCAGGACCAGCTGATGTGACTACCTCAGCTTCCATAAACACACCCGATTTAAGCATAAACTCTTACGCACTTCAGACCCCTCTTAGCATAAACAAACCGCCGCCAACACCAACTGGAAACAACCCGATTCCCACTGGCCCTGTTGTCCTTTTGGCACGCTCTCCATTCACAAACTTTTCAAATATACAAATAAATGAGTTTAAGCAGCAGGTTCTGTATTCACTCCACCTGGCATCCCCCGTTGTGGCGAATTATCTTTCCACCATCATTAGCATATTCCTTAAGACCTCTGGGATTCCTCAGTGGCCAGACCTCATGCCAATCACCATAAAAATGCTAACCGATTCTGATCCAAATGTTATCTTTTCTGGTGTCTTGGTATGTTTGGAAATTATCCGCTATATGAATAATTTACCATTACAAAATCAATGGGCAGGTCAGCTAAGAATTGATATTGTTTCACTTCTATTTCCCCAACTTTTAAAAATCGCACTTTCGCTATCTTCTGAAACACACTCCCGGGCAGGTCTTATTCTTTGGAAAATCTTAAAATGCTACAAGCTTGCCATTCGACAGGATTTTCCTGAATATCTCCAACAGGAAGCTCAACTCAAAGATTGGCTCTCCTTTTTTTTGCATATTCTCTCCTCCACTTACACTTCAACTAATAATAACTCAGTTTCTTCCTCTGCTACGGTAACATCTCCATCAGCCTCTTCTACCCCATTGACTTCTTCACAGCAAGAATGTCCATTAGGTTCAAATAACAATAATAACCCTAATGATCATTCAAGTAATAGTTCATCGTCATCTTCATCAGCATCTTTTTCATCCTCATCCACATCACCATCTTCTCAGGATTCTTTTTCGGACTTTTCAAGCAACAAACTTTTAGATTGTGCAGCCAGATCATCAGTGTGCATATGGTCTAAATGCAAAAAAAATGCGTGCATTATTCTTTCACATTTGATGGTTACTTACACTTCTCACACAAGCTCACGTGTTTCCCAAATTCGTGTCAAGAAGAACTATGCCCGGTTTTCTGAAATTTATTTACGGTACTTTGGTCCAGACATTTGCCATGTTTTTGTTAAGGATATTGAGACGTGGGGCCAGCATTTTTCGTCTAATTCACGCACTAATAATGCAACTGATACTCCTTTAAACTTATCAAGTTCTCCATCAGCAGTGGAAGCAATTATTAACTTTTTTGAGATTGCTATTTCTATTGATACCCTTTGGCAGAAAATACTACCAAAGATGGAGGTCATTGTTTCACACCTTATTTTCGGGAACCTAATGCTGTCAGAACCAGACTTAGAGGCATTTTACTACAACCCAGAAGATTACATTTTAACAAACATTGAAAACTCAGATTTTTCAACGCGTGGCAAGGCTCTTAAGTTCCTTAAACTTCTCGTGAAGGAACGTCAAAATGACATGTTTCAAGGAATCATTATGTTTATCAACAGGTCCATCTCGGGCTACAATGAAGATCCTAACAATTTACAACGTATTTTGGAAAAAGATGCAGCCTTGCAGATGATGATTGAACTTAAGAACAATATTACAGATGGCACCTCACCTATATCTTCTCAAATTAACTCGGTCATTCTTGAACAGGTGATTAGCAATAGTCCTGTAAAGAATAATGGAAATACTCAAACAAACAAAAGTTCTGACAGGTCAGTTAACCAGCATCAAGCATTACTTCTTTCTCGATCTTGTGAAGTTATCACTAGCTTTAGCAATGTTGTTTATACATCTTCCGAACTTGAGCAGGTTTTCCGTCATGTCATGCGATGCTTTAATGATCCTGGAATCATTGTCCAATTTAATGCAGCTTTTGCACTCCGAATGCTTTTTACCAACTATGATTCTATTTGTGAAGTGTTAGGCGACGAAATTTCTCAAATTATGCAGAAAATACTTCATTTATACGAAGAAGTTAATTCTGAGTGCTTGGCTTCAGTTATGGAAGATCTTATTGATAAGTTTACAGTCCAGCTTGCTCCCTTTTCGTCACAGTTGTGCTCGCAATTATTGGACCAATTTTTCCGCATTTTGGGAGAGATCAATGATCATAACAGATCAAATGATGACGTTAATGATGATTCTGAAGGATTTTCATTTGTGGACGATCGTCAAATGGTTGCTGTTGGAATTTTAAATGCTCTTGGAACTCTTTTAATTGCTTTAGAAAAGTCTCCAACACATATTGCCAAACTGGAACCATATCTTCTTCCAATGTTTAAAACTATCATTGAGAATGCTAATTACACATTTTACCAGGAGGTTTTTGAGCTTCTTGACACCTGCTTGTATACGCTTCGTTGTATAACACCGAATATGATCCAGGTGATCGGCATGATGCGCAACGGCTTTAAAAAGAACCCTTCGCAATGCTGTGAGTACTATGGGCCTGTGCTTTGCAATCTTTTCAAGTTTGGGTTTTCTCAAGCAAAGCAGCAACAGGTTCAACAACAGTTTAATGAGTCTAGAAACCAAATCACTGCATATCCCCCAGATTTAATCGATTTATCTTTTGAATTTGTTTCTTACTTTTTGGCTCAAAAAGACGCTGTTACAGGTGAAGATATTTCACCTGAAGATACAGAAACAGCATGTACAGTTGCCCAAACTCTATTTTTAACTGCTGCTACTGTTGGCCTCCAATTCGATACCACAGAGCAAAAATACTTTTCTGAGATTATTGCCCGGTCTTTGGGTGCACTTTCGCGGGTAATTTCTTCCGTGGTTACATACCGGGCTTTTATTGAAGTGATTTTAACAGCTGCATTGTATAATCCTTCCCAAGTATCTGACATTTTGATCCAATACAATTGTTTTAATTGGATAATCGATGTTGCTGCTTCGAGGTCGAATCTGTTTAATAGACCATACGATAAAGCTGTTGCTGGGCTTGCTTTACTCAATATTGCAGGTGCATGTTCAGAACGCGGTGATGGATATGAGGAAGTTTTTCCCCGCGTTTTGAATCTCGTGTTGACGTACATGTCGGGTTATTACAAGCACCAACAGCAAGAACAGCATAAAGCTCGCAACAGAAAATCTTTTGTTTTTGCTCCAAACATTGTATCTTTGGAAGACCCATTTGTTTACGAAGCGCAGAATCAACACGAGTCGACAACAAATGGTAATGGCGCACAGCAGTTTACTTTTGTTGATGAATCAGCACAGAGCTATGGTATGTTTTTTTTTTTAATTTAAATCGTTCCAGCACTAACTTTTATTTAAGGATCTTCTCCGTGGACAGGAAACTCATCATACCAAGAATCTCTTGTTTCGGACCCAGCTTTGGATGCGGCTTTAGATAACTTGGGCGTTTTCCGCATGTACCAAGAAACAATGCTTCGTCTTGCTGGTCCAGATTCGATTGCTTTGGCTCGGATAAATGTCCCAACAACACCTGTTTCAGCACATCATACTCTTAACTCGCTTCCTTCGACATCTTCGCCTGGACCTGGTAGCGTTGTCTCACTGGCAGGAGCTTCTGCAACATCTGGCTCTGGGGGTCAGGACTCTCAGGGCGACCGAAACCGTGCCAGCAGCGGATTTTCGTCACCATACGAAGCTTCAGTGGCTGGATCATCGCCTGGCGGCGGAGCCGTGGGGCTTGCTGGAAGCAGACACAGTAGCTTTTCTGGAAGTATCGATGGCACGCATTTAGGGAACAATGGGCCCACTACCCCAAGTCAAGCATACTACAGCAGGGTTTTATCTGAAGTTCTTCAAGATCATGCTCTATTTTCTGTGCATCGAGGTATAATTGGCGCTGTGGGATGGTAAACAATGAACATTAAACAAAATCATGTATTTTTAGGTCCTAGAAAAAACATTGTAACATTAATAGTAAAAACATCAAAAACTATTATTTATTTTTTTATTTACAAAAAAAAATCTTTTTATATCCCATTATATATACATTGAGGATGGGGAGAAAGTGTAGGATAGTACATCGTCTAAAAAAAAGTCGTTACAAATTTATCGGGAAATCTTGTTGAGAAGATCATTTTCCCATTCAAAGGACTTGGTAGCATGCTGCTTGCCTTCCTCAGTCTTGGGCTTCTTTTCACCAGTAGGCTCAGTGGCCTTCTTAGACTCTGCCGAAGTAACAGAGGATTTGTCCAAGATTGGTGTGTTGGCGGGTCTGGTGAGTGTTTGCCAGTTGGCGAGAGACTTGTAGGCATTAATGTTGGAAGGCGCAACGCGCAAAATGTTGGAGATTGTTCTGCCGTTGGAAAGAACAAAGGTAAGAGGGTGAGAGCCAACAAAGTCAATGGCAGCGGCTTGTTCAGATTGATTCTCAGTCTGATTCTTCTCAGATTGTAATCGCTGGGAGGTGCGAGCAGCAATGGGGAGTGTGATGGAAGCAGGATCAATGTCGACGCCAAGAAGGCCGCTGATGTGAGAGGCGATGCGGGAGATCGTAAGAGGAGCTCTAAGGAAGCCCTGGCCGTTGGCCTCTGCTGAGATGGTGATAACCTTGGGAAGAGATTTAAGGGTGGTCTCGAGGAAGTAAAGAGAGGTGACCTGAGCCTTTTCAGTGGAATCGGGTATTATTTCAGTTTCTTCTTGTGCTTGTGATGCTGGTTCTTGTGCTTGTTGTTGTGGTTCATTAGGCTTTTGTGCAAGCGTGGGGAATGCAATGTTCAAGTCACCCAGACTTTCAAGAGCATTGAGCAGATCCTCGCGTGAGTTCTTACGGGTATTGGCCCGCTTCTGTAGCTCAAGCTGCTTCTCTTCCCAAACCTTTTGTTCGGCCTCCTTCTGAGCAGCTTTTTCGGCATCAATGGCGGCCTGGATAGTTTCGCGCTTGACAAGGGGGATCCGCAGTTCCTCGCCTCTAAGAACATAAGCAGCACCATTGTTGCGGTGCAGTTGGTTGCGCATGCGACCGGGAAGAACCTTGACAATCTCGCCTCTAAAGCCGAGGCCGGGGAAGTCCTTAAGGAGCTGGACAGGAATGCGCTTGTCGGCCGCACCACGCATCACAGCCGCCGAACTGGAAAATGAGCGGCGTGTAGCCATCTGAAAGGCGTTGGCTTTGATCATCTTATATGAGGTGTAAAGATAGGGAGGGGGGATGATGGTGATGGTGGTGGTGGTGGTGGTGGTGAAAAATAAGAGGGTGGTAAAAATAGTCCAGTCAGAGATTGGATGAAAAAAAAATTTTAACGACCGGTGGTGGTGGCTCTGTGAAAAATATATCTCTGATTGGACTTGAAAATACGCTTGCAAAAAAGTACATTATGTACCGTTACATAATCTAAAATAAACCTTGAGTCTTTTACTCCAAGTCAGAAGCTTTGACATGCGGCTTGGCCCGACCCACCACAGCAGGCTGTGGTTGCCAGAGCTGGCAAATGTTGTCTTCGGACACACTAGCAACAACCCATGGATACCGCTCGGAGAAGGAGAAATCAGCGACACCAGCAGTATGACCGCCGTGCATAAACAGTAACTCTGGTGCACCGTCTTCTTGGTCTTCCTGACTTTGTTCCTCGCCGACGCGCGATATATCCCAAAGGATGACACGTCGATCAGGGCCTGCACTTGCCAGCACACGATCGTCATGAGGCGACCATTGCAGAGATGTGACCATTTTTGAGTGGCCGAGTAGTGTGTGCAAACGACGCTTCATATTACGAAGATCTGAAAGAACCACTGCATGGTCACTTCCGCCTGTTGCTACAATGTATTCTGATGCCGGTGAAAAGGCCAATGTGTTGATGGCAGACCCGTGAATTTCGTGGGTGAGAGCAGGGGCAGTGGCGCTGCCTTCACGAATATCGTAGAGATAAAAGTTTTTGTCTTCAGAAACCATTCCAAAGACACTGGGGTTAGTGCGGTTCTGCCATGCAACGTCGTTTGCAATGTCTTTGGCATCAGTATATACACTAAGGGGGGTCGTCTTTTCTGTATCCCACAAAACAGTTTTATGATCATCGGCACTTGTTAGCAGGTATCCGTCCTTAGCTGTGTTCCAAGACAACCCGTAGCCGTTCTCAGTGTGTTCTTTAAGTTCGGACACAGGCCCATCTTCTTGTTTATCCGTATCGTAGAGATAGACAATACCTGTATTACTTGCTGTCGCAATAATGGAATTATTCTGGGGTTTTGCACGAGCACGATTAACTTCTCCTTGATGCTTAAACTTTCGGTCAATAGTAACTGTAGATTTGACAGTTTTTTTTTCAGAGAATTTGGCAGACCCAAGCATTAGATAGTTTTGCTTGCCATCTGATGTGTAGGTCCCCAGTACTAGATCAAGATCAATGACATCTGGCGAAGAGGTATCAGCAACTGCAGGGAAAACACCAGATTTAGGTAAAAACTGGACTGTCAAGCTTTGCCAATCAAGCACACTTTCAGAGAGATTGGCATACATCATTGGGGCATTTTTCTTCCATGTGTTGTATTCTGACGCAAAGTTAGAAAAATACTCAAAAGTGGGTTTATACACTTACCCTCAGCAATTTGCTCTTCTGTTTCTTCTTCCTCTTCTTCGTTTTCAGAGTCTATACAATTAATATTAAAACCCTCATTTCTTCAATTTCTTGCAAACATACCAGACGACTCAATTATCTTTTTCTTCTCGTCGGATGTAGTCATTTTTTGTTTTTTGTGTTTGGGTTTGTTTACTTTTGGTCAATATGTGTGGTGAAAAAAAAAAAAAAAAAAAAATATATATATATATATATCAGCTAGTAAAAAAATTTTTTTTATATACAAGACCCATTAAGATCTAATACAACGCTTCAGATAATGACTACAGCTGACGACGATTTCGACAAAAAGACAGAGGCTTTTGTGAAATGGCTCAAAAACCGTGGAGTCACTATTTCACCCAAAATCGCTATTCATGATTACCGTTCAGTTCACCAAGGTCGCGGCGTCATTGCGCTCGAAGACATTCCCGTAGGCGAGTCGCTTTTCCGTATCCCACGCACGGCCGTTCTTGCTGTTGATACCCTTGGAGCAAGCTCTGGTGCAACTACTGAAACAGACCGTGTCAAAGCACTTTATTCTAAGGCTGATGAAGATTTAAAATTATTGGACCCATGGATGGCTTTGATTTTCCATATGATGGTGCGCGCGCCAACCAAAAATGATAGCGACGCTGAATTTGGTCCTTATTACGATGTGTTACCACGCGAATTTTCTACATTGATGTTTTGGGATGAGAAGGAAGTGAAAACTCTGTTACAAGGATCGACAGTTGGTGAACGTATTGGTCGTGAAGAAGCCGAAGAATCCTATAATGAGGTGTTGCGTCCAATTTTTGAAAAGTACAAGGAAGACATGGAAGGCATTGATACTTCTGTTGAAGCGTTTCACCGTATGGGTAGTTTGATCATGTCATACAGTTTTGATGTTGATAAACGAGAGGTTGCTAAAGAAGAAGATAGTGGAGAAGATAAAAATGATGAACATGAAGATCACGAAGATCACGAAGATCACGAAGATCACGAAGATCACGAAGATCACGAAGAAGAAGAAGAAGAAGAAGAGGAAGAAGAAGAAGAAGAAGAACATGAAATGGAAGAAGTTGAAATTGAGATTGATGAAGAAGATGATGAACCTGCAGTCAAGGCCATGGTTCCCCTTGCTGATATTTTAAATGCCCACACTCGTCTTTGCAATGCTCATTTGTTCCACGAATCTTCCGGTTCTATTTTAGAGATGCGTGCTATCAAGCCTATTGCCAAAGGCACCCAAATTTACAATACATATGGTGATTTACCCAACAGCGATTTGCTGAGGCGATATGGCTACGTTGAGCTTGGAGGTAGTGCATACGATGTTGTTGAATTGTCGACACCTCAGATTGTAGAAGCAGCTGCAAAGTATTTTTCTGGGGAAGAGTTTGAGTACACGAAAAAGGACAAATCAGCATGCGCCAAAATTACTGAAAAAACGGTGGAAAGGGCACTCGAGACATTGGCCAAATGGCAGGAAGAGGCTGGGCTTATTGGTACAAGACTTGGTCCTAAAAAGAAGGAAGAAGAAAAGTCAGGAGAAAAGCATGATGAAGAAAAAGAAGAAAAAGAAGAAGAAGAAGAAGAAGAAGAAGAACATGACGAGCTTGGTGAGATAGTGGATGATTCCTACGATGTCCCAGTCTCTGGTATTCCACCTCCAGAACTTCACATTCTTGTCAACTTTTTGACCCTTTGGGCTCTTGATTTTGCAGCTTCTCAGAATCCACGCCTTAAGTTACGTTCTGTTTTTTCCACAGTTTTGAGCACCAGCAAACGTGCAGCTGCAGATGATACACCTGGCGATCGTACACAGCGGAAGAAGATGCGTAAGGCATTTCTTAAAGCTTTAATTGCGCGGGCTGTTGAGAGTAGTAGTAGTAGTGGTGGTGGTACAAAGACTTTTGGATTGTTCCCTGAGGCGCGTGCATTGTGGACCCATATTTTGGATGCACGTAAGAAGTTGTATCCGGAAAGCGCGGTTGCAAAAGAAAACAATGATAAGAATGAGGAACGTGATGAAAAAGATGACACCACTTATAGTTATTCACACAAGGATATGGCGGCAGAATTGATTTCTGGAGAACTGCGTATTTTGAACCGAGTTTTAACATTGGTGTCTGGAAATGAAATCGAAGGTGGTGAAACTGCAGACAAGTATATTACGAGTCTGCGAAAGGATTGGGATGCCTACGAAAAGGACCGCAAGAAGAAGCTCAAGCGTAGTGGTGGAAATGATGATACTGACAAGAAAAAGAAAAAGCGACGGTAAAGAGCATTTTTCATAAATGCAGGATTTTTTTTTTTGATCTATACATTGAAAAAAAAAAATAAAATAAACAAAAACATAGAAAACATAGAAAAAAAATTAAATCATTAAAACATGCAATTTCCTTTTTTTTTTTTTTAAAAAAAAACTATTGGTTTTGACTATTTACTGCCAGCTCCATAATCAACCGTGTTGCAAGGTGCAGAAACGGGTAAGCAGAAAAGGTATCAAACTCGCTCTTATCGCGACACACATTGGCGGCCGCGGAACGCGCCGCAGCCGAGCTCGCGGTTGTAGCGGCTGTTGGCGCAGAGCCTGCAGGTTTTGACATTTGCAAAGAGGATGGCACGTGCACAGATGCATTGGATTGTCGGCGCAGAGGTTGAGGCTTGTGTGCAGCAGCGTCTGGTGAAGGGTTGGGCTCCTCCCAGCCATCAAACTTAAAGTCCACAAGGTAATTGTTTTGCTCGATTTGGTAAAGTTGGATGCGCATCTTCATAAGCTCTGTTTTTTCCTCATTATTATTTGAAGACTTAGAGCTGTCCTCTTCTTCCATGGGCACGTCATTGTCCGACATTATTGTTTCACGCTTTTCATTAATGATTTCCGTATTATTATGACGGTATTCTGCGTCACCATCATCATCAGCCATGTCATCATCATCAGCACCTGTACCGGATCCTGACCCAGAGCGCTTGGCAGAATTGGGAAGAACGCACTTCCAACGAACATGGATGGTCCAGAGATCTTCTTCTGCAGGAATGGCCCATTCTGCGCCAAGATTCTTAAGAGCACGGTAAATCTCACCCATGACGTCAAGTGGGTAAGACCGTGATCGGATACCAAAATGCCAGCGGGTTTTGGACTTTTTCGTACTGATGGGATTCAGTTTGCGCATGGTAGCAGGACCATAGGCAATCATATTTGCCCTGTGATAGGCTGGTAGTGATGTTGGCAAAACGGCAATGGTGGTATGCGGGGTAGAGTGGCCTCCCACGTCCAAAGCAGAAGGCAGTTGCATACGATCAAATGTAAGAGCGGGAGGGTTATCTCGCGAGAAGGAAGAAGAGTGGCCGCGTCCTTGTTGCTGTCGTTGTTGTTGTTGTTGTTGAATGAGTTGTTGCTGTTGTTGCTGTTGTTGTTGTGCAAGCATTTGTTGATATTGCTGCTGTTTGAGACGTGCTTCTTCAGTGGAAGAGTCTTCAACAAGGTATCTGTCCATTTCACCTTGTCTGACGGCTGCATTACCCATCAAGCGATTATCCTTGACAAGTTGGTAAGCATCTCGAATTTCAGATCCATCGCCGTTTGTGTGGCGAAGAGCGTCGTAAACTTGTTCCTTTGAGTAGCCCATAGTGCGGCCAAGGGCGCCAACAAGGGAGTCATCAATGGGTTCATTAATTGACTCTTCCTTTTCTTCCTCCTTTTTGCGCTCTTGTTCCTCGCGCATATCAGGTGGGAGTAATGAAGGATCCAAGTTTACGGAAAACCAAGGATCTTGAATTATTTCCCGGACCGTTATACGGTTGAGAGGGTTAACAACAAGCATGCGCTTGAGAAGGTTTTTAGCACCAGGAGAAAGGTCTGGGGGGATGGTATAAACACCCTGAGAAATTTTCTTAAAAAGATTGGGGATAAACTCATCGTCAAAGGGGAGTCTTCCACAGAGCATAACGTAGAGAATAACACCACAGGACCAAACGTCGACTTCTGGGCCTGCGTAGAGCTTACCAGATATAACTTCTGGAGCAGCATAGTTTGGAGAGCCGCAACTTGTTTTAAGGAAATTACCGTCAGTCATAATGTTAGAGAGACCGAAATCGGCAATTTTGACATTGAGATTATCGTCAAGAAGCAAGTTTTCAGGCTTCAAATCACGATGGACAATTTTATGACGATGGCAGTAATCGACTGCAGAGATAATTTGTTGGAAGAAGCGGCGGGCCTCGTCTTCAGACATACGGCCACGCTGCACAATATAATCAAAGAGCTCCTTTCCTGCAAATTCAATTACCATAATGATTTCGTCTTTGGACTTGATTACATCGTAAAGTTTAATAATGTGAGGATGTCTGAGTAACCGCAGGTAAGAGATTTCACGTTCGACGCGACCTTGCATGTCGCTCTTGGCCAAAGTTTTGCGGTTGATAATTTTGAGCGCCACACGAGCATGAGTAGCCAAGTGGTACGCGAGTTTGACTTTGCCAAAGGAACCTTCACCTAGAGTCTTAATGATCTGATAGCGGCCGATACGGCCTGCGCCGGTTGTCGATCCAGTGAGAGACGGCATCACGTCAGGCTGGCGGCCATGGCTACTATCCTGTTGCGATTGGTCTGACATTGTGTAAAGAAAGACTTGGTGTTATATGGGGAGAGAAGGGAAAGTGGAGAAGAGAGAGAAGAAAAAAAAAAAAATTAATAATAATAAAAGATGAATAAATAATTTGATTTGACGATTTATAAAACTTGGCACATGAAACAATGGTGTAGAATTAGTAGTTGTTTTAAAATATATAGGAAAGATTCAAGAATATAATCAGGATTGGTTGTGGTTGTGGTGGTGGTGATAGTAGTGTATAAGTGTAGGTAGTTGTGTTGTTGGTGGTGGTAGTGATGAGGTTTTTTTTTTGGTGGTGGTGGTTGAAGTTTTGTAATGTCTTCGAGGAGAGGCGCTTTTCCTGGTTGTTTTTTTTTTTTTTTTTTTCAGACTGGCTGGCTGGCACCTTTTTTTTTTTTTAGGGGGTGGCTGCTCATTTATAGTGTGTGATATACGTTAAGGAGAGGTTGCCTGCATAATAATAATAATAATAAACAAATACAAGCAGAAAGAAAGTCAAACAAGCAGACAAACAGACAGACAGACAGACAGACAGACAGACAGACAGGCAGACAGACAAACAGACAGACAGAAGATATGGTGGCAACTTCTAAGATTACTCTTTTGTTACTAATCTTGACTCATTTTTATAATCTATTATTATGTAAATAAGTGTCATCAATTATGTAAAAAATTGTACAAAGCTTAAAAGTATATGAGGAAGAAAAAAAAAACCCTTAAGTTGGAAACCCGTTAAGGTGCACAAAAATGGGCAAAGGCCAAAATCAACAACTCAACCACGACGACAATGACAATGACCACGACCACGACGACCACAAAACTTAACGGCTTCGACTGCGCGCAGCCCGCCGCACGCCCCGAGAGATCCGATGATCCCGTGACTTGGATGAGCGATCTCGATCCCATCTCTCCTTCTTCTGCCCATCTCCTTCCTTAGTACTACTACGCTCTTCTGCAGGACTCGCGCTGCGGCTGCTGCCATTCGGACTTACACTATGATATCTGCCTCTACCACGACTTCTGCTTCTGCTTCTGCTTCTACTCCTGCTTCTGCTTCTGCTTCTGCTCCTGCTCCTGCTCCGACTCCTACTTCTGCCATGCCTGCGATGCTCGCGACTGGACCGGTGATCATGCCCACGACCACGACCACGATCACGATCGCGATCACGGCTACGGGATCTGCTTCTGTAAGAATCTTGTGGTGACGCACTGCGTCTATGCGACCGTCTATGGCGGCCTTCCTCATCCGTTCCTTCATCACCGTAGTAGTCACCTCGGGTATCTTTATTATCACCATTATGGTTGTCTTCATCATCATATTCCCACTTGATTCGATGGCGGTCATTATACCGGTCACGATATCTTCTACTGTTTAAATCGCGCCGACCACAGGTATCTCCTCTGCTTAGGCGCCCGCGCTGAAATTGTCGCGAGTATTCCCGATTATCGTCATCATCATCTTCTTCTTCTCTTTTAATCCGCCGTTGATTACGGTCCCACTCACGGCGCGCATTAGCTTCTCTTTTCATCATGCCTCTTCCACCATCACGCTGGGCCCCCTGTTGCTGCTGTTGTTGTTGTTGCTGTTGGCTTCTAGCCTCACGAGATTGGCGTGCAGCACGCGCCTCTCGCATCTCCTCACGTTTGGCTGCTACTAAGCTTGGTGGTACTCCAGCATTATCTTGTGCTTCAACAAGAAGTTCCCACAAATCATGACAAAAGCTATCGCACTCTGAGCCATCACCACCAAAAAACCCACGTAGTTGTTCACGAACGCGTGCAGCATCTGGACTGCGAACTGGTCTGCTACGTTCATCGTAGATTGATTTAGAAGAAGAGGTTGCGGCTGTGGCGCCTGTACCAAACACTAGTTCTAAGGCAAAGTCAATTACAATCTCATCATCAGGGAATCGTGCACTCAACTATAATAAAAAGGAAAGAAAGAAAGAAAGAAAGAAAATATTTGTTGTTAATTTTTGATTTTTTTTTTTTTTTTTTTTTTTTTTGTAATCACTTCATACAAACGAGTGAATTAAATGAAAACTTACCCGCTCAATGACCCAGCTTTTAAGAACTTGTTCATTCACCTTATTGAGATCAATAGGTTGATTAAAAATCTTGAAATTGGCAACCGGCTTGGTTACACTCATTTTTTTTTTCTTTTAATCTTTTCAGCTTACTCACAGTTTCTTCTGATCAAGTGGGTAGTAATAATTGTGTGGGGGTGGGTTATAAATGAAATGGATGGATTGCTTGTTTATTTGTTTCTTTGTTTGTAAAATATAAAATATAAAATATAAATTAAAAAAAATAAAAAATCTTCTTTAACGTTTTGAAACTTTTCAGGGCCACAAGAAGAAAGCTTTTTTCTCTTCTTGTATTTTTTTTTTTTTTTTTTTTGATAGAAGTTGTTTTTTTTTCCCCTAACCCAGATTCTGTCAGATTTGTAAGAGAGAGAAAAAAATTCAAAAAATTCAAAAAATTCAAAAAATTCAAAAAATTAATACCTAAAATACATAATACATAATACCTAAAATACAATAAATTATTCTTACTTTTTACTTTTTACTTTTTACTTTTAAAGACGGTGGTGTGCTAGTCAGTCCAACTCCATTGAAAAAGGCGCCAGGCCATTACTACCGCCCACCTCAATTCCTCCACCACCACCTATACCAGGTCCTGTAGACTCAGACCCGCCGATATCCTTTAGCCCCTGAATCGGGTTTCTTGCGGTATCAATTCCACGCAACACATCCGAACGTTTAAAAACAGGACCAAACCCATCACATCGCTCCTTTCCTCGTAAAAAGGTCATGACTTGTGCAATATCAATATCCTCAGAATCAGGCTGTTGTGTAATAATTTCCCATACAGCACCAGCGCCAAGCATGGTTTCACCAGCCGCAGCTTCTTCATAAACTATGTATGAGGGTGCAAGCATGCTGTCATTTTCGCTATGAAGATCGGCAATACCATATGTTTTGAGATTAATCTCTTCATCATGTTCCCGCAATAACTCAAAGTTGAACCGATGTACTGGGAACACAGCCTTGAGCGGCTGTTGCTTCTGGATGCTATACCGCAGTCCTGCCCGGGACTTTTTCTTGGTTACCGAAACAAAACCTACCTTGTCATCCCTTTTTGTTCCATTAGCCTCTTCCTCCTTTTCTTCTCCTTCAGTCATGACTTTATCTCCATCGTCTTCTACTTCTACTTTTACTTCTTCTTCTTCTTCTTCTTCTTCTTCATGGTACCGCCCAGTAGTTGTAGCCAGTAATACCTGATTTTCAGTCGCAATTACTGTGTTTTCCTTTTTGAGTCGTTCATTTTCATTAAACAGTCTCTTTTTTTCATTTTCAGACTCATTCAGTTTTTCCATAAGCTCACGCACACGTGCTTCTTTACGTTCACGAAATGCGCGCTGCGCAGCTCTGTTTTGGGCCTTCCTTTTTGTAATAATCTCCTCATCATCTTCCTGAGACGCAGAGGCAGAGACAGAACCAGAGACAGAACCAGAGACAGCTGTTGTTGATGTTGATGTTGATGTAGTTGTTGTTGTGGCTGTAGTGGCACTTGTGGCAGGTATAACACTTGATGTAGATCCCTTGGCAGTTTTCTTGGGAGCAGAACCTTTTTTTTTAGAGTTTTTCAAAGAAGAGAGGCTCAAGTCTTCATCTGAAGAGCTATTAATAAATGGAGGGGGTGATATTATTGCCTGATTTTGGACAAGAGTCGAAGATCCAGTGTGGGGGTAACTTTTGTTTTCTACTTGATTACCAGGAAATACAGGGTTTTGTTGATGCTGTTGTTGTTGTTGTTGTAAAAGTCGTGCATGCTGTTGCTGCTGTTGAATATACTGTTGCTGCTGCTGTTGTTGTTGTTGTTGTTGTTGTTGCTGTTGCTGTGAGTAGTAAAAGGGAGCCGTAGTAGATGGGCCAATAGATTGCGAAGGAGCAATAGTTGCAGGTATTGTAGAAGTAGCTGCATGGTGAGGTATGACCCAAACATCTTGACCATTAGTAGTAACAGGGGTAGGTGAAAATCCAATTGGAGAAGAACCTTGAGTATAAAATGAAGGTGGAGAAGAAGATGATGATGAATCCATAAGACTAGCAGCTGTTACAGTAGCATTAGATTGGATAGAAACCTGTTGATTCAAGTGTGGTTGTTGAGCATGAGAGTTTTGAAGACCCAATGAAGTAACAGTTGTTAATGAGTTGGTATTGTTGGTTGGTGTAGGTGTGGATGTAGAAGTGGATATGGCAGATGTAGTAGCCACGTTTGGAGCACCACCTACAGAGGAGATTGTAGTAGCATAATGTTGTTGTTGAGAGTCAGGGACAACAGGAAATGAAAGATCAGTCCCTATGATGGGTAGCATGTTAACATCATTAAGTTCACGTTCACAATCTTCCCATGAAAGAATGGGTAAAGATTGTGGTTGAGGAATTCCAGTCGGTTGAATGGCAGTAGGTGCAGAAGATGCTGATGAAGAGGACGAAGATGCAGGTGTATGCATTGATGATGATTGTGAAGGACCGCTTGAAGAAACAAAGGCTTGTGGAGCTGCAGTTGCAGCAGAATGGTTAATAGAAGTTGTAGAAGCTGGAGAAACAGAAGAAGAGGAGGTTGAAATATGACCTGTAGAAAGTGAAAGAGCAGGTGATGGAGTAGAATTCATATAACCAGGAGCAGCCAAACCAGAAGACATTCGTTGTTGTTGATGATGATGTTGATGTTGTAGTTGTTGTAGTTGTTGTAGTTGTTGTTGTTGTGGGTGCTGTGGGTGCTGTGGGTGCTGTGGGTGCTGTGGGTGCTGAATATGAGAAGTCTGTTGAGGCATTTGGCCATAGACTGCAGAAGAAGTGTTATAAACAGCCATAGGTAATAAGATATTTTGTTTGAAGATCTTAAAAGAGATAGTTTTTGTTTAATTTGTTTAATTTGGTTGTATTTTTTTTTTTTTTCTTTGTAAGAATTAGTTGATAGTTGTTACTTTTTTTTTTTAATTTTTGAATGGTGGTGATGATTAAAAAATAAAAAAAATAAAAAAAATAAAAAATAAATTTTGGGAGTTTTCTTTTCTTTTATTTTATTTTCTTTTCTTTTATTATATTTTCTTTTCTTTTATTTTCTTTTATTTTGTTCTTTTAAATATATTTTTATATTTTTTATATTTTTTATATTTTTTAAATATTTGAAGGCTCATAAATTTTCTTTTTTTTTTCTTTTCTTTCCCTCCCTTCTCCTCCCCTGTGAAATGAACAAAAATGATGAGTAAGCCATATAATAAAATTTATTAATAAAAGCGCCACATGAACGTATTTTTTTCTCAGTTCCGGGTCAGCCATATCATCATCAAAAAAAAAAAAAATGAAAATGAAAATGAAAATGAAAATGAAAATGAAAATGAAAATTAAAATTAAAATTAACTACTAACTACAAAGTCCCAGGGATTTCAAACAAATTAAACAACAGTTCAAAATAAAAAATAAAAAAATATTTATTAATAAAAAATAACAAAAAATCTCAAGACCAACAACTTTTTGTTATTACAAACAATTATCTCGATAATCACCATATATACACTTAAAAGACATCATTTCAAAAATGTATCTATATCTATTTTGCCCATGATTAAACTCAGGGTTTCAATTGAAACTTTAACTTGTTCCCCCACCTTTGTAATTTTTTTTTTCTTTCTTTTTATAATCCTAAAGTTCCGTTTTCCGTGTATTTTTTTTTTTTTTTTTTTTTTTTTAGTTTCCTCGAAATAATATCTTCATTTATATTTATTCCAATATATTACAAAAGATTTTTTTTTTTTTTAAACATCACTATCACTGCTCGTAGAAGTACTACTGCCGTCATCATTATCCAAGCCATCCACATGTAAATCAACTTCACCTCCGTTACTCGTACTGCGAAACCCGTCGTTGCCACCGCCACCGCCACCGCCACCGCCACTGACACTACTATCAATGTCAGTATCACCATCACCATCAACATCACCATCACCATCACCATCGGTACTACCACTGCCACTTCTTCTAAACACCATGACTGCTGCAGTTAAACTCTCACATACTGAGTTCCACATGCGAGCTAAAGCCCACGCAAATCGCCCGCGAGCCTTACGCTGTTCTTCATTCACGACAACTGTCACATCCATTTTGCATATCGGACACGTCCGTTTGCGGCCTAAAAGCCACCGCCGAATGCACTGCTCGTGAAACTCGTGCCCGCACGGCAACCGCAGTACAATACTCTCTCCACTCACGTAATCTTCAAGACAAATTATACATTCTCCTGAACTTACCCAAATCTTTTTAGGTGGACTGCACTCAGGAGCTAAAGATTGTGAATTGCTTGTAATTGCTGTTGATGTTGATGATGTTTGTATGTTGTTGTTGGTGTTGTTGTTGTTGTTGTTGTTGTTGTTGTTGTTGTTGTTGTTGTTGTTGTTGTTGTTGTTGTTGTTGTTGTTGTTGGTATTATCATTATCATTATTGGTATTATTATTATTATTATTAGATGTGCTGTCTCCAGTGTCTATTATTGTAGTTGATGTAGATTCGGTACTACTGGCAACTTGGGGTATTGGGGTTTGGTCTATCAGGCGAGAGCCTTCATCTGCATCTTCATCTTCATTTGCATGAGCCAAAGAAGTAGTTGGATTGGTATTATTACTGCTACTAGCAGCACCATTGTCGGAACCATATGGATTAATCCAAGTACGACGTGGTAAATTATCCACAACCCACTTGGGAGCGCGCTCCTTGACTCGCTTATATCGCCGATGAAATAGTAAAAGGCCATAAATAATTGTAAGTGAACATAGCGGCGACACAAGTAAAAAAAGCACGGGACCAATGATTGGTCCGGATGCATCTACCGTAGTTATTTCAACCATTGTTCTAGGCCCCATGTCAGTTTCAACATCAAGCAACACATCGTACGACGATCGCGACACAAACACAGCAGGGATTTCAGCCAAGTCTGGATCCGAAGTCGAATACATGGTGATGAGCCCACGCCGATACACATTGTCACCAACAATGACTGCTGCCGCACCCCAGCTTTGAAGTACAAGTACTTTTTGGTAAAAGGAGCAGTCACCACGCATGACCAGTGCAATCTGCCCAGACAGATCCTGATAACCCACAACAGGGCTACATCCACTACCAGCAACAACTGCTAAGCGACCTGTAAGTCCACGCTCGGCAGCCTGTACACCAGTTCGGTTGTATTGCTCATTCATGTATAAGAAATAATTAATGACGTTGCTTTCGTCGTCGTCGTTGTCGTCATCGTCGTCGTTGTCGACGTCAGCACTGCCAGCAGCGCCGCCAACAATAGGAGATTCTCCATCATAGTCATCACTATTTTCCAAGTCCGGGTCGTCAAATGGAGAAACATAGTGGTTTGTTTTGGGGTGAGTTCCATGTTTGGGCAAACGATGGTGTGGTGGAGGAGCAGGAGGGGATGATAGCCTGTGCCCCGCAGAAGGCCGTTGGAGGTCACTTGTATCGCTACTACTTCTACTGCTACTACTACTACTGCTACCATCACCTATTATTGGGATTTGGGCCATGGGAGGGTTATCTGAAGGTTGGGAAGCAGATTCTATAGAATCTGGTGTTGCGATATCATCAGAAGTGATTCCGAAAAGATCTGCAAGTACAGAGTTTTTACTCCATCCACGTCGTCGTTTAGAGGGATTTCTCTTATAATTTTGCTGTTTCTCGGTCGGCTCTTCGGCAATAGCCAGTTGCTCCTTTTCATCATCAGCATCACGGCGAACGGGGAACAAAGGCCCAAAAGCCGCTGGTCTTGCAGCAAGTGTGATGTTTGTTCCTGGGACAGTGACTACAGCAGCTTGTGGAATGAATTCTGGGACTGCTTGTGAAGGTTCGACAATATAGTTGCGGATAGAGTACATGATTGAAAGTAAAGTGAGAGATACGACAACAATAGCAATGAGGAAAGCGGGTCGATGAAATAAAGAGCGAAGGAGTGCAGTTGGTCTAAACCGTAATCGTCTATGTCTTCTGTGATGGTGATGAGGATGATGGTGAGGGTGGGTCGTGTGATGATAGTAAGGGTTTTCATGGTCATATTGTGAAGATTCTGAGTCTTGCTGGTCTTGCTGGTCTTGCTGGTCTAGCTGGTCTTGTTGGTCTTGTTGGTCTTGTTGTGTTTGTTGTGTTTGTTGTGTTTGTTGTATATTTGGCCTACTGGATAGTGATGATGAGTTTTGAGTATCATCACTGGAAATATCATGGTTGATATCTAGAGCTGACTGGTAGGCCTGAGAAGAGGCCATTTTGATGGAAATGGGTTAAAAAAAAAATAGAAAATGAAGGGTTTCTCTATATATGATTTTTGAATTTTTTTTTTTGTCCTTTTTTTTTAAAATAAAAATAAAAAATTAAAAAATTGAAAAATTAAAAAAAAATATATAAAAGAAAGAATAATAATAATAATAATAATAAATGAAGAAGTTTTTTTGAAAGAAACTGAGGCTATGTGTAATGAATTTTAAAAAAAAAATAAAAATAAAAAAATAAAAAATTTTATATGGAGAAAAATAAAAAAAAAAAATAAAAAAGAGAGAAAAATAAATTAAAATAAATTAAATAAAAATAAATTAAAGAGGGGTGGTGGTGGTGGTGGTTAGTGGTTGTAAATTTATTATTTATTAGATAATATACAGTAGGATTTACAACAAAAATACTACACACACATAATAAAATAAAATAAAAAAATACATTAGTAGAATAAAGATGTCAAACCCTTCTATCAAGATAAAATAAATAAATCTAAAAAAAAAAAAAAAAAAATATATATATATATATCAAAAAAAAAAAAAAAAAAAAAAAAACTATGAAATTTCAAAAGACAATATATATATATATATATATATATTCTAAATTAAAAATAATGAAAAAATTAAAAAAAATTAAAAAAAAAATTAAAAAATTTTCCTTCTTTCTCAGCTACAATTTTTTTTTTTTTATTATTCTCAAACTCGACCATCTTACGCATGCATTTTATTTTTTTTTTGAGCCTTTCCTCGTCTCATATATACAAACAAATAAACAAACAAAAAAAAAAGTGTCAACGTCGTCTTTTTTTTTTTCAACTGATAGGCCAAGTTAATAAGTTGGTTGGTTGGTTGTTCTTTGGAGAGAGGGGGGGGTAGGAAGGGTTTATTTTTACGCTTAAAATAAACATTGTTTAGTACTATATATATATATATATATATATATATCTTGATATATACTATCATATCAACTTCTACTCTTCGAGGTCATTCCAAAGTTCATCAAATTTTTCACAGAACAAACTCCTCTGTTTTTAAAATATACTATTATATACTATATATAGTATTTAGCTGCTTTTCTCAAGTTCCGATCTTTTGCATCTAAAAGGATAATTAATGTTCACATGCTCAAAAGCCGTTGCTGCTTAAACTTGCTTCTTCCACATACTAACAAATAAATAAATAAATAAATAAATAAATAAATAAATAAATAAATAAATAAACCCTAACCCTTTCCCATCTATTAACTTATCTAACTTACAGTAACCGTTAAAAAAATAATAAAATAAAAAAAGCTACCAGCAACCAGCAACCATCTCAGACTTACCCTAATATTAACAATAACTGGGTTTAAATTATTAACAACTATACTAAATAATAATAATAATAATAATAATAATAATAAAAAAAAACTCCCCGCCATTAAACACTCGAAACAATTTCAGCTGCATGACGAAGTGCATCAACCATCTTCTTAACCTCCTTGCGACGTTGCACAGTGTTCTCATTCTCCTTCACCAAATCAGCAAGTGAATCTGTTCTATACAAGTTCTCCAGCAACTCTCGCTGCATCTCCTGCTTCGAATATATAATTAGCTTCAGCATAATCGACTTGGGAACCATGTCTGTGATTGTTCGCTGTACAATAGCAAAATAAGAGTGAATCAACATCTTAATTACCTCTGTCTCCATCGTCTCACGTTCAGTCATCTGACCAGACGCCCGCAGAGTCGTTGGTGGAGGCTCCATTGCTGCAAGACGCTTCTTATTCTTGGATGCAAAAAAATTGCTGAAAAATCCTCCCTCATCGTCATTATTGGTCGATGGTACACTTACATGTTGATGTGGAAGAGGCTTGCCAGTCTTGGGATCCAGCTGAACAGGCTTCGATAGTTGCATCTTCTCAGTCACAATCGCCATAGCACTGCTACCCTTGATCAAGTCTGGGTGTGCCGTATTAATGTAAGCCTCCTCCATAGATACTAAATCAGTCACAAGCTTATTAGTAGGAATAAGCGACTTGCGCAAAAACCCAATAAACACATTGTTAATATTTTCCCTCAAAGTCGGGTATCGGTTAAACTGCTGCTTAGCCAGAATCTGACTCAGAATTCGCACAAGCTCATCGTAAACAAGAGTCACACACTTAAGTGCAGGCTCTTCAAACCGCTTAATTTGCTTCTTCACAAGAACTTCAAACGCAGCAGTCCCCACAAACAAATTCGGTGACGAACCTGCAGAATTGTATAAAATCGTTCGAATATCCACATCCTTAATTTGGTCAAACGGATCAAGAGCCTTGATACCATTAGAAAAAATCTCATGAAATACAAAACTGATACGTGCACCACCACTCAGTTCCAGCGATGAAACGTCATTCCCTTGACCATCCAAAATCGATCTATATTCGTTGCAAAACTCAGTAATGGTAGACAACACAATGTTGGATGGAGAGCCCAGCTCGGGAGGACCCAGCGTCGCCAGCTCAGCCTCGTACTTCTTAAGGGTATTGTCAATTCGTGACTTAATGTCAGGAAGTGTCGTGCGAATGTGGTTCAGCAAAATGCTATTGAGGCGCATCGACAAGTAGGGAGTGCCACAATACTGAGCCTTGGCGCGGTATGCAGGATGATTTTCGAAAAACTCCTTTTCAAACTGAAGAGCTGAACGAATCGACTTGTGAGATGTAATATCCTTTTGACTGCGATTAATTACAGGGACGTAACCATATCTAAGAGGAATAACACGACCTGCAAGAATATCAATAACGTCTGTGCCCTGGTCCATCAAATCAATCTTGGTAAGTACACCAATGGTGCGCGAACCTTCAGGATCAACCTCACGAGCCAGTTTAAGACCATCAGAGTTGGCCAAATCGGTATTAGCGGCAGTGACAGAAAGGATAATAGCATTGGGTTTGGTAATAAACTTCAAAATCATCTCCTTGATTTGAATCTCAATGTCCTTGGGTTGGTCTCCCACAGGCACCTTGGTAAGACCTGGCAAATCAACCAAAGTCAAAGTGAGAACATGAGGAGAGTAAATGCGAAGATTAATTGGGACTGATGAAATGCCGGCATTCTTTCCGGTCTTGAGATCTGTCTCACGAACAATCTCTTTTCTAATTTCATTAAAGTCGAAAAACTTTTGTCCGGGCTTGTGCAAAAACTCACCCCATTCATCAGGATTGGTTTCATTCACTTGCTCACCTACAGGTGCTAAGATTTCCTTGGGTTTTGCATCATCGGTATCTATTAATGAGCCATTGCTACTACTGTTGGAAGTGCCATTTGGTTTTGCAGCAGTGATGGTGGTGGTGGGTCTGCGGTTAATCAGTTGTAGAACCAATGGGCGTCGAGTAACAATGCCAGTTCCTCGAGGCAAAAAGTCACGGCCCACAATGTTCTCAAGAACTGAACTCTTTCCACTAGATTGAGAACCAACAACAGTAATTTGGGGGAGATCGATTGGGTTAGCATTAGGACCCAAGGTGGCTAACGCGTCCTAGTATATAACGTTAGAAAAAAAAAAAAATTAAAAAAAATTTCAACGTAAAGTTTTGAAATACTTCAAGCGCGTCAAATGAATAAGAAATCCTACCTGAAGACGATTAACAGTATTAATCAAATGTTGATCCATAGTTAATTAGGAAAAAAAATTGTATATGCAGTTTTGTTTCAATATATATTATGGTTTAGATTGCAATATCGGCAAGCACCTTTAAAGCCGGAAATATCGAATGGAGTTCCCTTTGGTTTTGTTTATAAAATTAACAGAGATTGCAAACAGTTTTGTTTAAAAAAAAATTAAAAAATAAAAATAAACAAAGGGAATCTGACGACAAAACGATGACGAAGAGAGAGAGTAGACGTGAGCTCAGTCTAATGTCGGTGGCGGTGAAAGTGTTGTTGTTGTTGTTGGTGGTGGTGGTGGTGGTGGTGAAGAAAAAAAAAAGAGAGAGAGAGAGAAAAAGGGGAAAATCCGAAGTGGAGGAGCACTTTTTTCCCCTTAAAGAACAGGTTGGCTGGCAGATTTGCTGCTGGCTGGCTGGCAAAATTGCTGGATGGCTGGCTGCTTTGCTACCCTGTGCGATAACTCTCCAATTTTCAAATATTGTAATTACAACACAGCACTGCAATATATTGTAACAACTAGGGCAAACTAATAGCTACGTGTATTCGCCTGAGTCTTTTTTTTTTTTTTTTTTTTTTTTTCAAAGTTCTTTTACAATGAAAAAAAAAACCTCTATATATATATTATTAAATAAATAAATAAAACCGGGAATTGTCACAATCACTCAACTGTCCAATAATCATTGCGTTTTTTTTGATTGTTAAAAGACAATGAATAATGCTCCATTAAAGATCGTTTAAAAGCGTATTGAAATTTCTTAGCATTTTTTTTATGCAAGCGAAAAATGTATCATAAATCATTATATTGATAGAAAAAAAAAAAAATAAATAAATAAATAAATAAATAAAAATAAAAGTGGGTTAGGGTTTAAAAATTACTTATCGCTAAATTCAATTGTAATTTTATTGTTTTAACAATGTTGTTATCTTAAAAAAAAAAATTAAGAAACCAGTTTAATTTGAAAAATTGAAAACAAAAAAAATATTGATATTTGCGTTTTAAAATTGAATAACGGATTTTCAAAAATAAGAAAGTGAAGAATAAAAAAAAAAAAGCCAGAGCGCAATATCAAAAAAATAAAAAAACTTTTTATCTCCATGGATCAAGATTTAACTTCTGCAAGGAACCGCTTTTCAACGTTTAAGGACATGACTGAAATGTGTTCATTCTTCAAGTACCATTCTCAACGTTTTTTTTTTTAATTTAATTTAATTTAATTTAAATATCCATGACAATCTTTTTTTTTAAAAAAAAACTATCAAAATAGAGCCTATTCCACTTAAACATAGAAGCTTAACAACTACTTGAGTATCAGGATGGATTGACTTAAAAAAAATTAATAACCAAACCCATAAGATGCCATGATCATACCAATGCACCAGTGATTTGATTCAAAAAGCCAGAATTATTTTGTGACAAGTGTAATAAAAAAAATACATTCATTGTAACAAGTTTTATTTACCTCTCTATCACTGCAAAGCTGGGGAAATAGAAATTATGGATTTTGCCGTTAATTTGGAACTTTTCGGAATTGACCGCGGCATCTCTAGCTTTTCTACTAAAAAACCCCCCATAGAAAATAAAGAGAGTTCCTTTTCTATGTTATCTTTCTACTGACAGGTGTAGCATCCATGGCGCCTTTTAAAAATCGAGGAGAAATGTTTTTTTTTTTTTTTTAGTGGCTTTTTTTTTTCCATTCTTTTATCATTATGATCATGATAAAAAAAAAAACAGCTAAGGGAAGGTCGGTCCCAGAATTCTGTTGACAAAAATTTTCCCAACCATTATTCCTCCTGCTTGATATTTTCACATTTTGTTCACTCTAACGTTAGTCATCCGCGAACAAAATAAATAATAAAATCATCGCTAAAACCACCCTTTAGAAGAATAGAAGATGAAAATTATTAACCTAAATAGAAAATAATAATAATAATAATAATAATAATAATAATAATAATGCTAGTTATGGTTACATCTCAAAGTCTCGTATTTTGACTTTGAATACCGAGGATAGCTTTTATATCTAGAACTAAAACTTAACTATATCAATGGGTCTACTTTGATTTTTTTCATTCTTCTGGGAGTTATCTTGATAGCAGATATCTTTCTACAAACATGTATTTATTTCCCGGTTAAAATCAATATTGAGTGGGGGTTTTTTCTTCTTCTGTTTTTTCTTATTTTTCTTAGCTACTATGTGGAACATCAAGTTTAGTATAGATGCGCCATTTTTCCAAGAATTAATTTTAGAAAGACCATTCTCTGATTTCTAAATCTAGTTATTCTGGAAACCATGGAATAGTCCTTTCTTTTTTTTTTTTTTCCATTTTTTTTTTCTGATTTACAACCAGTTAATAGGTACTACTTACGTTACTAGCATATTTTTCTTACTGTATAAAAAAAAATACAACAATTATACTATTCCGGTGAGGTCCGTGAATAGCCATAGAACTTATTTGAAACAGGCACTTGGAGCCAGTAAATAGCCGATATCAGATGAGAAGTATATCAAACTTGGTCTGTTAATATAATGTTCATTGGACACAGTCTTTATTTCAAAATGGCAGCAATAAAGTAAGAAAAAAAACTAAACCGAAACAATAGTTTCAATTTTAAATTTCAAAAAAAAAAAAAAAAAAAAAAAAATTGACTTTCAGCCAAAATATAGAAGAGATATTGGTTTGGTTTATTATCAGTATTGGAAATTAATCGAAAATCATAAGACTTTAAAAAAAAGATCATAAATCAAGTTGATATCAAATGCCAATTTGATTGGCGACAGGTAACGTGAGCAATGATAGAATAAAAAGGAATGGTTTTTTTTTTTTTTTCCTTTAACTCTCTGTGCAAGCGATTTCGCAGTGATATTAGAGATAGATTTGACAACTTCTAATTCAGTTAATTAAACGGTTACGAAAGAAGAAAGAATCATGATTCTTCTTTAGCAGTGGAGAAAAGAGGAGGTACTTTAGAACAATGATATCAATGGCGGCAAAAAAGAAAAAAAAAAAAAGAAAAAAAAAACCCCTAAGATATTAACAACAAGAATTTCTGTTTTCATTCATATCTACGTGTATTCCTCATCTTGCTTTCAATGTTAAAGTTCTAATTTGATTCTATGATTCACTTTGAATATTAAGATGAAATAGTAGTTTACACGGATATTTTTTTGTTGAATATATTTTGCTCTTGAAAAAGGAGTTGCTTTTATACATGCTTAATTTTATTTTCAATTTTTTTTTTTATTTCTCGCACTCTAAAGGCAAGAGGGAGAGAAAAAAAAAAAAATTTCGAGTGAGGGAAAACCCGCAAAGTGTAAAGGGCAGCCACAGCGCCAGCGAAATCGGAGAGGAGAGGAGAGGAGAAAGAAGAAGAAAAACAAAAAACAAAAAACAAAAAACAAAAATAAAAAATAAAGAACAATTCTATTTACATAATCATTAGCTAATCATAAAGATAGTTAATCCCCCCCCTCTTTATCTTTTTTTTTTCTCTCTTTCTCTCTCCATTTATTCACCATAGGTGAAGCACAAGCGAGCGCCAGTTTGAGGGAAATAGCCGCTACTAACCTTGACTACTACTACTAACCACTACGATGATAAAGGCACGCGCCATGCTTCTAGAATTGTATATTGGCAGGGAAAGGTTTATATAGAAAAAAGATCTTTTTTTTTTTTTTTCTATATAGGACCCACCCTTTCAGCATGTTATTGACACATGGGATGCAGTGTTCTTTCAAGTCCTCACAAAAACGGCTGTCAATTTTGCATACTTTATCCGTAGTATATATTCATCATATGAATGAACATTATACAAACATATGCTTAAATATATATTTTTGTTGGAAATTTGAATAGAGTAGGTAATTATTATAATGCACTCTATGAGCTGCCTTGAGTTTCCTGTTCAGGGCCAAACTCTTAATATGATTTGTTTAGATGATGCATTGATAATAATAATAATATCTTGATAAAATGATAATAATTATTATTTTTTGATATTACCCGCAGTGGTCAGACAAAACATCCCATTGGCGACTTTGAATTGTGCAGCCAGCAAAAAATTGAGCCTGCAAAGCGTGTCATTAGAAAGGAAACTTTTTATAGTGATAAGATGAAATTTGGAAAATATTAGAAAAAAGTTCCAGGTGAAAAAAAAAAAAGTGGCAAGACAAAAAAAAAAAAAAAAAAAAAATTAGAGAAGAAAGAAATTGGTTTCTCCTAGTTTATGAAGATTCAAAAGATATCAAATTTTAAAAAAAAAAAATGTGGAAAAGAGAGAGATAGAAAAAAAGAAAAAAGAAGGAATTTTTAATAACTAGGCTTGTTAATCAAAAAATATAAACAAACCGGAAGGTATCATTTTCATTTTTATTCCTTTTTGTTGTTGTTGTTGTTGTTGTTGCTATGATATATATTTTTTTTTTAAAAAATAAAAAAAGAAAATTAATTATTATAATTAATTATTATAATTAATTAATTTATATATATACACAAATACAACAATAACGAGAATGAGGAGCGGGTTTTGAAGCCGTCGCTAAGGTTTCCTGTGTGCTTATCAAAAAAAAAAAAAAAAAAAAAAAATGCTCCTCTCCATTGTTATTGACCATTTTAGGTAAATGCACTGAGGCGCGGTGCATGTGTTCAGTCATTGTTACAAACTCATGTTGATAAGAGAGATAGATATCTTAGCTACTGGCCAACTAATATTGTAGAACACATCATCATCATCATCATCATCATCATCATACAAAAATAATTAATATATCCCTATCATAACAATCTCCCCCCAAAAAATGACTATAAATACTCAAGCTTCCACCCTCCCCTCAAATCTTTTTTTTTTTTTTTTTAAATTAATCTATCATCTCATCTCATATCTTCTATCCTATTTAACTTTATTTTACACTTAAACCTCCTTTCCTTTTTTTTTATTTTATTTATATACACTCCCAAATAATAACTCATTATAAAATGTCCACTTTATATTCTTCATGCCCCCTTTCTGAAAACGGTATTCCTCTCATCAAGTGGATCCATGTTGTTTCTCATGAATGCGTTTACGGAAACCTTGAGGCATTTTCATGGGCCTCTCAATACATCTCTATATTAGTATGGGTCACAGCAGGAACATACCAAAGTTACCAGCTCTACAAAACAAAAGATGTCAACGGCTTTAGCGAAGGCTTTGTGCTGTGTTGGATTGCCGGCGCTTTCTTAAACGTCCTGGGATGCCTGTGTACAGGTCAAATGCCATTCCAAGTCGTTTTGGGATTCTACTTTTTATTCTCAGATAGCTTTCTCTACTTCCAGTACAAGTACTACTCCAACAGACCATGGCTGGCAGTTCAACAACTTGAAGAAGATTCACAAGTCATGGAAGAGCGACAAATCCTGATACCTTCCAGTTCAAACACCAACAAGCCCCGTCAAAGCAGCATTAGCAAAAATGACACTGCAACCATCACTCGATCTTACTCTACCTTCACACCTGGCGTCGTTCTTGGCCTTGCTTACGGCTCTTCCACAACTTCCGGTGCTCCTCTTCCCAGCGTTATTGCTTCGACCGCAGCTTCTGCCTCTCCTTCTCAAATTCTTCTCATTCTCGCCACTGTCCAACTCATTGTTGGTAACATTGCCAGCTGGACTTCCAACGCTCTTTACACTGTTTCCAGACTCCCTCAGATTAAGCGTAACTTTGACCGCAAGAGCTGCGAAGGTGTTAGCCCTGCTCTTTTCATTGCTACTCTTTTTGGAAACGTCTCTTATTGCTTCACCATTGGCTGCACTTGGAAATCTATTGTTGATCCTGTTGAGGCTCGCGAATTTTTCATTACTGAGTTTCCATTCATCTTTGGTGCCGTGTCTACCACTGTTGCCGATATCATCATCTTTATTCAGTTTTACATTTACAGAGATAATGAATACGAAACTCTGCAAAACATTGATTATAATGCTGAAGAGCGCATTATGGTCATTGAATCTCGTTCCCTTAGTGACGAAGACGAAGAGCCATATGCTAGAGGACCTTCCTCTTCCAGAAAGACCACATATTATTCAAAGAATTGAGGTTTTTTTTTCTATCTCTCTTTCTTCCTTTTCATTGGCATCCTCAAAGGTGTAGCCAACCGGTCAAGCCTTTTTTTTCCCCCTTTACACGCATAAAGGTTTTCTAGAAAACCTCACAAAGCAGTGGAAGAGCAGAATGGTGTTTTGACACTTTTCTCTCGAGCACTTTGAACTATCCTTTTGCATATTTTTTTTTTTCCCTCATTATGTTACGAGCTTTTCTTTGTATAGATTTTTTTTTTAGTTTATAAACACTTTAATGAATGATGACGAAATAAATTCACTATTTTTTTTTTATTTTTTTTCTTTTTGCATTAAAATCTTTTTAAAAACTTTATACGAAATTGAGTTTGAGTCTCGACCTATTCATTTAACCGCCCTTTACTTGGACTTTGAAAGTAAAGAATATAATTATAACCAGAAAAAAAAATAGGTTTTAAAAATAAAAAAAAACTTCTATTTTCGAATAGTCACATGAATAGAATAATTTTTTTTTTTTTTCTTTGAGAGTAGAATGAAATGAAGTTTTTTTTTTCTTTATTTTTCTAATTTTTTTTTTTTTTTTTTTTTTTTTTGAGCGATAGCGATGTTATGCGCATAGAGATTCTAAATTGGGAAATATTTGAATTTAGTTCACCCATTCAAATGACTTTTAATTTTCGCATCAGCAACAAAACCAAAATAAACAAACAAAATTTTTTTTGACACGATCTTTCTCTCATCAACACACTAGAACAAAAGAAACTCCCATCGCACCGAAATATAAAATCTTCATTTGAACTATTCTTTTTTTTTCTAAACAATCAAAAATTATTTTTTTTAGTATATGTACCTTGCCCCAGTATATTCTATCTTGTTCTTTCCCCGCAGATTTGAATGAAGTCTTCACGTGAGGCCTCCTCATTCTTTTTCTCTCGCCCCTTGTCAGAGCTAGTTTCCAGGGTAAACCCCAATATTATTCTATTAGATATTTTTGCTCTCAATTCTCTTCTATTTTTTTTTTTTTTCTTTCTATTTTGCTTTGATATTTCAATGTACCTTTAGAATATTTCAATCTATATTTACAAATATATGAATCTAGACAATTTGGTAATAGTTTGTAATTAGTTTGATATTGGTATTTACCGAGCCCAAAATGACATTTGCGGGGATTAATTGCTCTAATTGCTTCATAAAATAGATCATAAATCTAAAAATGTTTCTAAGAAACATGGAAAGATGATTGGTTTTGTATTAAATACGTAATTAACGAAAATAAAAGAACTTGAATACTTTTTTATTTTTATTTTTTTGAAAAAAAAAAAAAAAACTCGCAATAAGATTCAACTATTAGCAAATAATAACAATAAACAAATGAATATATAGAAAAAAAAAATAACCATTATCTTTCTCATTTTACAATACGCAAAATTATCAATTAAGTCATTTGTTCAAAATCGATTTTGCCGCCATTATGTAATTGTTTAAAGAGTTGCTTCGTTCCAATCATAATAATAATTATAACCAATAAAGCGCCAATCCCAGGTTAAATGTATATCTCTGTTTTGTTTTTCCATTCCTTATTGACAATAATCTCCTCATATTTTGTTTTATCAAAACAAAAAAAAAATAAAAAAATTTATAATTAATATATGGTGATTTATTGGTATATCAGCCAGATATCCCTTTCAATTGTAAAGCCTATCTCTTTATCTTGTGGCACAAGAAGTAACAGTCAGCTGGCCAGGTATCAAAAACAAAAAATAATAATAATAAACCAGAAGTCCATAAATTTAAGCGCACTTTAGAACATTCAGTTTTTTTTTTTCTTCTTTACAGATTTATTTCAATATTCAAAGAGTCCAATATTTAAAAACTTCAATTAAAAAAATTCTGGGTTTGAAAGTGGTCAACTATGTTTGTTCATTTAATCCCCAACTTCTTTAAAATATCTTCGTTTAATTTCTTCTTATTCTTCTGCAAAACTTTCATAGGTATCTTTGTAAATCAATTTCAATCGCAGCATCTATAATATAGCAATCATTCAATTCTCATATCTTATTTAAACACCTGTATTCAAAATATGGATAGCAAATATGAACTCTGTTCCAATTAATTAGCGTTTCTTCACAAGGCGTAAATTCGGTGTCTCTGAAAATGAAATTTGAAAAGTTACAACTTGGTATTGTTGCAACAAATTGGAAATGAAAATTTTCTTTTTTCGAATCATTAAAATTCTCATCACCACCACCACCACTACCTTCAACACTAAGTCTTATTAAGTTCTAAGTTTTGTTACAACTGTGGAAGTTAAGTTATTACAACTATATCAGCCATATATAATCATTTACGTTACTACAATCTCATCGCCTAAAAAACCCACACACATACACACAGACACACCTTTTTTGCCAGTAACTTTTTTTTTTTTTTACTCCCTCCTTTTTTTTTTTTTTTTTTTTTTTTTTTGGCTTTTTAATCTTCTCAACACTGCTCATCAATATTTCTTGCTCTTTTAACGCAACCTTCTTTTTTTTTAGTTCCATCTTCAATATCTTGTGTTCTCCTCTATCGACCTTCGTTTGAAAAAGGGACAAAGATATATAATTTTTTTTTTTTTGTTTGCCACAAAAGAACAGTTGGATTTCAAATCATTGCGTTGTTGACTGTTGAACTACTAGTTACAAACTCTGGATTGTTGACTAGATAATAGAATTTTTTTTTTGTTTGTACCATCAACAACCTCATCCATCAATTCTTCATCACCAACTTGTCGTTAGAATACCCCCCTCAATTATACTGCTTTTTTTTCGTTTTACTGATTCTTTAACATATTTGAATATTTTTGGAATCTATCAATTTGCTTAAATAGTCTTAAATTTTTTTCTTTTTTTCTTTGTGACAAGTCATAACTACTACCAACCATTCTGAAAAAAAAAAAATTTTTTATTCATACAAAATCTTTATCGATCCTAAAAAAAAAAAATCTAAAAACTTTTATACTAAAAATTTATAAAAAAATTAGAAATATTTTTTTAAATAATATATAAAAAAAACCCTCCTTCTCCTTCTTTTTTCAAGCTGAGTTTTGCTTTACCTGCAGTTCCCAGATCGATCACTTAATACCATCAACCTTATCACTATTCATTAGCATGTCTTCTGATTCAAAGCAAGCTCAATGGGGCGTCACCCCTCCTATTTCAGAAGCTGGTCCTACTGCCGCAGAAAACGCGCTCAATGATCTACTGATTGAAGAACTTAAACGACAAGGATCTTTTGAGTCTAAAGCCGAAACTGAAAAACGTGTTGAAGTGCTTAAGCTGCTACAAGAACTCACCGTCGAGTTTGTTCGACAAGTCAGTCTGCAAAAGCACATGACTGAGGGAATGGCTAAAGCCTCTGGTGGGAAAATCTTCACTTTTGGCTCCTACAGACTGGGTGTTTACGGCCCTGGCTCTGATATTGATACCCTTGTGGTTGTTCCCAAGCACGTGTCTAGAGAAGACTTTTTTACCGTTTTTGAAAAACTTTTGCGCAAACGACCCGAACTTGACGAAATTGCATCTGTTCCTGATGCATTCGTCCCAATTATTAAAATCAAAATGTCTGGAATCTCCATCGATCTTATTTGCGCAAGACTCGATGTCCCAAGTGTCCCTGCAGATCTTACCCTTGAGGATAAAAACTTGCTTAAAAACATTGACGAAAAGGACCTCAGATCCCTTAACGGTACTCGTGTTACAGATGAAATTCTTCGCCTCGTACCCCAGCAAATTGTCTTCAAACATGCTCTCCGTGCCATCAAACTATGGGCTCAAAGAAGAGCTATTTACGGAAACATTATGGGCTTCCCAGGTGGTGTGGCTTGGGCTATGCTTGTTGCCCGGATATGTCAGCTCTATCCTTATGCTGTTTCGGCTACCATTGTTGGAAAGTTTTTCCACATTTTAACTCGATGGACTTGGCCACAGCCGGTCCTTCTTAAACCTATAGAAGACGGCCCTCTTCAGGTTCGTGTCTGGAACCCTAAGCTTTATGCCATGGATCGTTCCCATCGTATGCCAATCATCACACCTGCTTACCCATCTATGTGTGCCACACATAACATTACTAGTTCCACCCAGAAAGTCATAATGGCTGAACTTGTACGTGGTGGCCAAATTATGGACGATATTATGGTTGGAAGAAAGTCTTGGGCTGATCTGTTTACTAAGCATGACTTTTTTCACAGATACAAGTATTACCTATCTATTATTGCTGCTACAAATGGCACTGCTGAAGACCATCTCAAGTGGTCGGGTCTCGTCGAGAGCAAACTGCGTTTACTTGTGCAAAAGCTGGAACTTTTGGGCACTATCGAAATCAGTCATCCCTTTGTCAAGTCTTTTGATAAGACATTTCTGGTTTCTGAGGATGAAGCAACAAAAGTTGCTGATGGCCAAGTAATACCTGGCTTGGAACCTCTTCCAAAGGAAAAAATTAACATGACGCCTGAGCCTGGAAAAACTATTGTGCATACTACTGTGCTATATATTGGTCTCAAGATTGTATTAGAAGGTTGGTTAAAAAAATTTTTTTTGTTTATTTAAATTATTAACCTTTTTTGGGACAACTCATGTTGTACCCTTCTTTTTTGTTTTTAGGATCATCAAAACAACTCGATATCAAATGGCCTTGTCAAGAATTCTTTGAAGCTTGTAAATCTTGGACCCATTACAATGAAAATACCTACAACATTTACATAAAAAACGTTCGAAAGTAGGTTCATTTTTGCTTCAAGTAAAAAGCCTTGGTTAATGTTTTTGTTTTTTCCCCTCCCGAAATACTAACATTGCATTCGATAGCTACGATCTCCCAAACGACGTTTTTGAAGAGGGCGAACAGCGTCCAGAAAGATCAGCCAAGAATAAGAATAAAAAAAATCTCAAGAGAAAAAGGGATCTTAATGGTCAGGTATGCCGCGAATCTGTTCCTGCCGTTGATGCGTGAAAGCATTTCTTTTTTTTTTATTTATTTTTTTTTAAAGACAATCAGGGCTCGTTTTTTTTTTTCTTTTTTTTTTTTTTTCCACCTGTATATTTTAGAGCCGGCCCTCATCCCTTCTATTCCCTCCAACATTTTATTTTACCCCTCCATGTTCATTTTATCCTTTAGGATAATTTGTTGAAGAGAAATAAGAGAAGAGAAAAGAGAAAGAAGAAGGGACACACACCAACTCGCATCATTTATTTGTCCTTTTTTTTGTTTTTGTTTTTATGATTCCACTGCAACGACCACAACTATGATAACTAATCGACTACCAATTATTTTGTTCATCTGCATGACTTTACATTAGCTTTTGTTATTATTTTCACGACAAAATACAGATGGTTCGGATAAATTAACTATTATTAAAGCTCCTGAATGAACCCTCTCTACATAATCCCAGTAATGAATAAAATGATACTCAAAATTTGCCACAATTTCACGAATTTGTCCATGAAAAAAGGAAACAATATCTCCAAATTTCAATTCACAGTAAAGCGACAGTATCTTCTCTCTCTTTGTCTTCTCTGAATTTAGCTTTTTATTTTTTATTTTTCATTTTTCATTTTTCATTTTTCATTTTTCTTGTTTTTTTGAAAATATCCACTCATCAAAGCAATGAAAAGTTTTCTTTTTTCAATGACACTCACATTAAGAATCGTTTTCTTTTTCTTTTTCTTCTTTTTTCTCTCTTTCTTTTAATCCCACCAACAAAACTTTTTTTTTTTTCAAGGTTATTTCAAAGCGCCCGAAGAGTTCTGAATCAGAAATAAACGACAATGAGCAAGCACCATTGTCGTCCACCTCGGACCCCACGACCGGGTCATCCTCGTCTTCCTCCGTTCAATTCTCCGTACCGATTTCCGGTGAAAGACTTCAACTTCCAGGTACAAATGGAACCACAAGCAGTACAGTCCTTTAATTAGATGTCGCAGTCTATGGTGGACAAGCGTACGTGATTTAAATGTTTTTTTTTTTTGAGGTGTGTGTGTGTGTGTGTACTACTTATTATGAATTTTTTTTAGGTATTTTTCTAATTTCTCTCTTTGAAAGTAACAGTAAAGGAACAAGTATAGTTAGTTCTACGATTCTTCAATATATAAGTAATAGGTTTTATAATAAGATAAAAAAAATAAAATTTTCATTTGTTAGAAACTTCGATTAAACCAAGTGAAGGCATTTCTAAGCCTTCACCGATATAATCAATAGATATTTGAATGGAGTACTTGAATATCGGTGATGATTTGTCGCGTCATCTTTTTAAAGTATATTCGTTCGTCACTCTCACGCAGTTTGGGCAAAGGATCATACAATAAATAGGCAGCCACTTCGGCAGGGGACTGTACAATAACTGGGCTGGCACTACCTCCATTGCTAGTATAGCCACCACTACCACCGTTGCTTCTATTAGCACGGCGATTTCCATTGCTACTAGTGGTTGCGTATTGATGCAAAGAAAGTGTCTGATATCCCTCGCGGATCAAAGCAGCCACCTGCTGAGCATTTAACTGTTGAGAACTGCTGGAACCCATAAGTTTGCTCTTGGGGAGTAAAGCAGAGTAATGATTGATGGCAGCTTGAAGAACAGCCATGGATGGGGAAATCGATGCAGTGGGTCCACCTGAAGTTGATCCCAGAGCGGGCATGAAAAACAGGGATTTGAGCTTCATTAGAACTTCACTTCCCTCAATTACCTTGTAAAAGAGATCGTCAAAATCTTCTGGTGATCCAAGAAAAGAATCGCCATGAATCAGTGATGTTGCAAGAATAAGAACAACTAATCCGGATATCTCAGAATAAGCTGTTGCATCTCCCGGGCTAACCTTGTTAGAGCCGTTAGGCAAGGATGCAGACGATGATGATGGTGATGATCCTGTGCTTGAAGGGTATGGGTGTGCATTTATAAATCTGACTAGTGACATTAGTGTTTTCCATAATTCAGACCAGTGATATTGAAGTTGGAACTTTGCTTGTCGCAAAGAATGAATGACTTGGAAAACATTGATTAGTGCAAGTTTGTACATTTCAGTATCCAGATTTCTCTTCATATTGTATCTAATGGCACATTGTAATGCATCTAAAATTCCTTCCATTAGCAATCGGCCTTCTTTTGGACCCCTAATATTTTCATCTAGATCATCATTTGCTGGTTTCTTCTTCTCATTTTTCGAATCAAAAGTAACAATTGGAAGATATGGTGTTCGCTGTTGTGCAACAATAATTCGTGTAGTCCTCAGGTTATCGTCTAGTAAAAGAGAAGGGGCTGATGAAGCTGAAGCAGATGAAGGGAAAATAGGTGATTCAATAAGTATTCTAAAAATCAATAAGCACAGCCGAGAGTAAATGGCAGCTCGTTGAGACTTATGTTGGTTTTGAAAAAGAAATGTGCATAGCGAAATAAATGTGGCAAAGGGTGGTGCTTGAAGGTAGAGTGGAGATTTATTGGATCCACTTGTGTCATTTTCTGAACACTCTAATAATATCTTTGCGTATACCTTATTAACAGCAATTGCTTCATATGTTGCAATTGTCAGCGACATTATTTCCAAAGGATTTTTTTGTGCTATGCTATCGTCACTGTTGTCAGATGCTGCGCCACTGTTTCCAATTCCTAGCCACGAAAACACAGACCACATGGCAGTACTTGTCGGGACTGTTGGCGATGTTGAAGATGTAGAAGCTTGTTGCGATGCAGGGTATTTAGCATTATTTCGATAGCTATCAAGGCAGATTTGCCAAACGTGACCAGACGCTTGTACTGTCTTGAGCATGCTTGTATGATCCACAAAGTCAGCAAGACGTCGACGGTAAGGGTTGGAAGCCTCCAGCTTACCATAAACCGCAAGTACTCCAATAAGCGAAAATGCGTCTCCAACATAAAGATCTGATTGTGGAGAATCAATGAATGCATTTATAGAAACAAACATCTCTCTATTCATGAAATAAGTTGCAAGAGATGTATTAAAAGCGCCTCCCGCAGCAACAAGTGTAGTTCGGATAGCATTAACTTGGGCTGAAAGAATAAGATTCGGTATAGAATCTGCCGACGAGCCGTTTTTTTCTTGTTGTATCTGTTCTTGTTTTTGTAAAAAGTTGCCACTAATGAGAAGCTTGAGATTATCCAAAAGCTGGAAAAAAAGTTTGTCTATGGCATCGTAGCCGGCTAGTACCGATATAAGATCAGAGCTTTGTGACATGAATTTTTTTGAAAACACACCCTGCAAGAACGACGATAGAATCACAAGCGTGTTGTTCAGCTCTGTAATATGCTTGACAGAGATGGGTGAAGAAAGTCTTAAAATACATTGCTTAAAAAGGTCTCTAGTAATCACCTTTCGTTGAAGAAGTTTGTCTGGGCTAACTTTAGCAATAATGTCTAAAAATGCACCTTTGTTACAGCGAAGAAGGAAAACTTCAGTCCAAAATCCTTCAGATTTGTGTTCAATGCGACCCTGTTGAAAAGTTTGAAAAAAAAAAAAAAAAGAGGTTATGCAAGGTTAGTTTATATGAATGCACAGATCGGATAACACAAAGGTGAGACTAACCGAAACGAAAAGGTTCTCATAAAGAGAAACTGCCTTAGGGACAAAAACTGCTGGGCGCTCTAACTGCACCAAAGGTTTCCCGTCTGGCCATTCAAGAGTTGTCATTAAAAAGTGGTGGTGTTGTAAGCTTAAATGCTGACGTTGTGTGAATCTGAAAAGTTTAGCAGGAGGAAAAGATTAAAGGAACGGAAAACCAAAAAATTAACTCAAAAAGGGATGCAACGAAATATTACGACGACCACAAGATAACCCGCAAAAATATTAACCCGCAAATTTACCAAAATAGATTTCCATATGATTCTGAAAGAGAAAAAAAGTAAATTTGGAAGGCTTATATATGTAGAATAAAAAATGATGTTTTTTTTGTCGAATAGAAAAAAAAATACAAAAAATGCCACGCGAGCCTGAAACTTAAATTAGACAACCGACCAAATAATTGACAGAATATTGAGAAAAAGAAAAAAGGCTGAACCCCATTGAACCCCTCATATTCAAATGATGATTTACAGAGTCAAATTTGGGAATATCTATCTTAGATTAAATCACAAGATATCCAATAAATTATTTACCAGTCTAGATGGAAGAAAAAAAAAACAAAATAAAATTCTATAGTGATCAAAGTTAGTAAAGCAAAAATATTATGGACGACACCGGAGTTGAACCGGGGACCTTTCGCATGCTAAGCGAACGTGATAGCCAACTACACCAGACGCCCTAATAATTTAAAAATGTAAATTGTGAAATCATTATAAAGTAATTTATATAAATTCACTTAATTTAAGATATTTTGGGCTGGATCAATATAATTAATGCCTTGCTAGCTCAATCGGTAGAGCGTGAGACTCTTAGTTAACATCAAACAATCCTAAGGGGGAAAGGGCTGGATGGTGTAAAGGATAACACGTTCGCTCGAAAGCGGAAGATACTGGGTTCGATTCCCAGAATACCCCCTTTTCCTGAGGATGTGTACGGGAGTATACACCTAGACTGAAAACCATAGGCTACCCTGGTTACAGGAATGCCGACTCTTCTGTACAGTCTAAATAGCCTGCAGGTGATTGCGGGCCGTATCTCTGACGGAAGAGATTAAGAAATACACGGGCGTCCGTGAAGATAAGTGGAAATGGGTTGGGAAGGTTTTGGGACCGACAGACTGGTTCTCCCTGTTCCTCGTAAGCTGGCATCAGGGCCCATCTTCCGGGCTACCGGAGACGCACAGAACAGAAACCACCCGTACTAAAAAGGTACAAATGAAAACCGGCAAGTCACATAGTCAGACAATAAAAGGATAGCGCAGATGCTGATGTTATATAGTTCTATAACCCTTGAATAAAAACAAACAAACAAACAAACGGCTGGATCAAAAGTTTTTTAAGCTTTATCACTACTTGGGGTTATTAAAAATACTATTTCAGCGTTGGTAAAGACAAATGGAGTTAAATTGCGAAGCTTTGGTCTCTGACACCCTGTTTCTTGTAAGCTGACATTAGGACATATTTTCTGGCAGTTGGAGATGAAATGTTAACGTTGAATTAAAAGTTTATTATAAAAACGAAAAGGTATATTGTTAGAACAAAAAGAATAGCGCAGATGCTGATGTCATATTATAATTCTATCCCTTGAATAACAGGGGGTGGACTTGAATAAACAAATCACATTAATTAGATGTCAAGGACCTCCTGTTTGAGAAAATCAAAAACTTTTAGCTCAGGGTATCTCTTAAATGTCTTAAGTTTATCATACACTAATGGTAGAAATATTTTTAATCAAAATAATGACCATATTTTGATTTGTTAAATTTTTTTCAAATTTGGTAGTTAATTCTGATATCTTAGAATTAGACCTAATATTAAAAAATCAGAAAACACACAAAAAAAAATAAATATTTCTCTAAATTTATTTTTTCGGTCATTGTACTAAATATTAGAATCTAACCTCTGTAATAATTAGAAACCAGGAAATTTTGATGCTTTTTATGTATTTAAAATCATTCTTTTCGTTTGATTTTGTGATGCACAATTGTGCAAACGTTTTCGCATTTGTGCATTGCAAAAAAAAAAGTTAACTGTCAAGTGTACGAAAATATAATCACACCCATCAATTAAACCTTTATTTTTCATGATTACATTAAATTTTTAATCTTATCTCATTTTTTTTAAATATAAAAAAATTAAACCAAATGACTATAATTAAAAAAAAATAGATTTTTCTTGAATAAAATGAATTGTCCATTTAAGCCTGGATTATGATTTTGTCACATTGTGTAGGCTATTAAAGTGGCATTTTAAAGTCCAATATGATGTAAAAGTAGTAAAAATCATCAACATATAAACCTTTAACTTGGTCTTATATTTTTTTTTGTATACACGATTATAATTGTATCAGCGTTGTATTTCCTCTACAAACATTTTTATAATTCAAGCTTTTTTTTTATCCTGTTTTTCCTAGCATTTGTTTTATTTTTTTTCTTTATCATTTTTATGTATAAATTTTACTTTCTAAATCAATTGTAATGGACCATTCAGACGATGACGATTCTCCTATTTCAGAGATACATTCAAAAACAAATCCAAATTGTTCGACTATCCAAAATGATTGCTCAGTTCATAGTGCTGGATTCGGTCTTTTTCAATCTCCTTTAAAATCTCAAAACACTGGAAGAATTTCCAAAAATAACCCTTATATACATCGGATTGGTTTTTCACCACCACCAACAAGCGATTTCGAATTTCAGGAGTCCAAGTATACAGCACAAGCGGCAGCAGTTTTTCAACCGATACCTTTTACTTCAGTTTCCCAGCATATTTTTGTAAATTCAGATGATTCTTGCACTATAGAAGATGTTTGCCCAAAGCCTGAAGATGGCACTGACACTCTCTACCTTCCACAATATTGTAAGTAAAATTTACACAATTTATTCAAAATTCCAAGTTTTAACATTTTACAGATGAATCATGTAATGCTAAAAGTTTCCAACAAGAGGAGAAACATATGATTGAAGCGTTGGCTACATTCTACGACCATAAGAATTTTGAAAGTTTATTTGCGAAAGATCTTGACTGCTTTCCCAACACAGTGGGTGATCTTTTTGTATTTGAAAAACTTTTAGAGACAACATTATCAAACCCTAAAGCCTCAAATATGGTGACGACTTGCCTCAATACTCTTATTCAACAGAATTGCGGAAAGTCAACTTGTGATAACTTTATTAAAAATATGTTAGAAGAACAGAAAGATTTGGACTCCACAATAAATACATCGTTAAACAAAGATATTCTGAAATATTTGGTGGATCATTCCGATTCAGCAACAGCTCCCAATTTATTTGGATCAGGTTCAAAAAAGGTTTTCTTCTGCGTAAACTACTGTTGTGCTTTTACTGGAGATCGCAAAGATGATGAGTGTTGCTTTCAATGCTCTACTCCAAGGTCACGTCACAATTATGGCTGGTATATTTCTCCAATTATTATGATTCGCAAGCTTTTTTTGGATTCAAAATTTTGCGAAATTCTTAGGTTCACCCACAGAAAGGATGACAATTACATTCGTGACGTTTGGGATGCGGAATATATTCACGAGCTCGAAGACAAAGGTATCAAAACCAGCCCTTATAAAACTATGTTCAATGGTAAAGAAATGGATGTTGTTCCTCTTTTTTTTGGACTAATTGCCGACAGTGGCGACGTATTTCAGAATGGAAATTTTGAAATCATGAACACTTTTTTGACACTATACAACATTCCTGCTAGTATGAGAGCTTTGACCAAGTATTGCTTCCCGGTAATGCTTTACCCCAAAAAAAATTTTAATAACAAACCTCCAAATTATTCTACTTTTTTGCAGACTATAGTTGATGATTTCGATCGTATGAAAAATGGTTTTATAGTGCGTGTTGGCAGCAACTGGAAATATATTATTGTGACATGCCACTTAGTTTTTTTTAATGGAGACATGACTGTGCGGTCTGATGCTTCAGGCATTGTTGCTCCCTCCGGAAACTTCAGTTGTTTAAATTGTTATGTGCCTACTTCAAAGCTTGGTGGTAAACCTTCTTTTATTAAGCCTGATCCCTGCGATCCGGAGCGATATTTGCAGAACGTTAATGGTCAATTTCCAACTCGAGACAATCAGACTCACCAACAGGACTTGCAGAAACTCAATACTTTGGACTTCATTTCTGAGGCCAACAAGGTCATTACTGGCATACGTGAAAAATCATCTTTACTTTCACTAGATACTATATCTCTTGAAGATTCTTTTCCTCCAGATGCTTTTCATCTGTTGTTTGAAAATCTCGAGCGTGAGTTTCTCAACATTCTCATAGGCGTTCCTTCAGGAAATAGGTTACGCCCTTGCAAAAATTTTCCAGAGAATCTTCTGCTCAGCCATGAAGCTCGGGCCATACTTGAAGATTTTTTTACCAGCTTCAATGAGTTGGGTATTGCTTCTAACATGATGGGTCAAAAGTTCAAACTAAAGTCTTTTTTTAGTGGGAAGCTTTTTAACTTAACTAGTATTGAACTCAAAACTATTTTGGAGATCTTCCCAGTTTTCCTTGTTCTTTTGGCCAATGAACTAACTCCGGTTCAACATCAATTTATTCAGCTTTGCTGCGATATGTTTTGCGTTTTTCGCGTTGCTTACATGACAGCAATTCCACGCACTGTTTTGAAGCAGTTGGAGCCATGCATCAAAGACATGGTGAAACGATTTGAAAAACTAACTACGTCCAACTACACCAATAGTAGCGTCTGTTGCACTTTGCCCTTACATACGCTTCTTCATATTGTTAAAATAATTGAAAGAACTGGGAACCCAAGAGTTCATTGGACTTGGGACGCTAAGCGCCTAATCAAAATTATAGATGGAGATGTTAATGCATGTAACAAATTTCTTACTGCATTTAACAATTTAAAAATGTGGGAATACAGCTACTCTATTTTTTTTGCTGCTGCACCTGAGCTTTCATTTGGAGCCATTGAGTTGAGACATCCGTATACAGACCAAAATCTCGAATCGGTTGATAGTGATGGAATTTTTCATTTAGACCGAAAAAAGATTGAGAATCTTATTAAGCATAATGCTAAGAATCCAACAGCATTTACACAGTACAATGAATGTCATTTTAAAACCTCAAAAATGATTATTGTATCGGGTAATTATGCTCGACTGGAGCCGGCTCATATTAACAAATTATCGTTTATTTGCCGTGTTTTGGATTTTATCTCTTATAGGAAAAAAAATGGGCGTGTTGTTAAGATGGCTGTGGTTAAAAAGGCCAAAGTTCGTGATTTGAATCACGTTAAGGGCTCTAAAGAGAGCTTTCCATTCACGGAGAATGGGGTGGATCTTTTGGCCTACGGCACTGGCTGCTTGAAAATGGAGAATCCTATGTTGGTGAATATATCTAGGTTGTTGAATCCCGTTTATTGCATTAGTTCTGATGTGATTCTTCCGAACAATAATGGAACTTCTTCAGTCAAATTCTTTCTGGAAAAAAATCGGTTCGCAGCGTACACTGAACCAAAGGGAATGGTTGAACTTTTCTCTTACGAGAAGGAGGATCAGGTAAATAATGCTTATAAAGATATTTCTTACTCCACTCCTCCTACGACTAAACGAACATTGTATAATCGCCGTAATGATTTGAAAAATATTTTAACGCAGTAAATTTATATAAATAAAAAACAATTTTTTAGAGGCCTTTCCAAATTTACAACAATGTGAATTACCCAAATTTTTTTTAATTATAACGAGTGGATGTATTAAGCTTTTATTTTCTTTCTGATAAAGATCATTCCTTTTTTTCAATATCTGATTCATCCAATGTATATTCTTGTGAGTCGACAGTAGAACCATGATGGAGTTTCTTTTTGTTTTTTGTTTGCTTCGTTCATCATTATCCAAAAGTATTTACAAAAATTTATGAATCTCCTTATAAAAAATATGTGATTAAATTCTGTATACTGAGTAATTGAATTGAAGGCATACCATGTATAGCATTGATCATTTCTGAATAACATCAATACTGCTTAGATAACTTGGTTTCTGCTAATTATCACCCCCATTCACTCACTCCATAAAAAAATTATTTAAAATTACTTAAACACAATATATTATTTCATTGACAAATTTTTTTTCCGATCCAGCCATATTTGTTTGTTTTTATTCAAGGGATAGAATTATAATATAAAAAACTGAATCTGCCCTATTTTTTTTGTTTTAACAATTTATCTTTTCGTTTTCATGATAAACTTTTAATTTAACGTTAACATTGCATCTCCAACTGCCAAAAAATATTTCCTAATGGCAGCTTACAAGAAACAGGGGGTAAAAGACCAAAGCTTCGCAATTTAACTTGATTTGTCTTTAGCAAATCTGTAATAGTATTTTTAATAACTCCAAGCAGTAAATAAGGTCAAAAATTTTCTAATTCAGCCCGTTTGTTTTTTTGTATTCAAAGGTTATAGAATTATATAACATCAGCATCTGCGCTATCTTTCTGGTCCATAAAATCCAGCCCGAAATGTTTAAAAATTAAGTGAGTTTATATGAATTACTTTATAATGATTTTACAATCTACATTTTTAAATTATTAGGGCGTCTGGTGTAGTTGGCTATCACGTTCGCTTAGCATGCGAAAGGTCCCCGGTTCAACTCCGGTGTCGTCCATAATCTTTTTGCTTTACTAACTTTGATCACTGGTAAAATAAATATATAAAATTTTTGTTTATCTCAATGGGGACCTCTCATGGTCTTCACGTTTAAGTACCGCAAAGAAGTATTTGTCATATGCTGTGCAATGTAATTTTACATGTATTTTCTATTCACCCCTCCAACCTAACTTCTTTCTGAGAGTTGGAGGTTTTCTTTTTTAGAAGGGGATTTGTTTCGTTTATATTTGTAAGGTTAGTGACTGAAATCAATATATGTTGTACACTCATTAAAATAAATAACACAGGTTTACCCCCTTAGATTGATTAATATAAGCCTAAGTTTATCAAAATCTAAATTCTTAAGTTTTTTTTTTTTAAGTTAAGGCTAGAACATATCAATCTTTAGAAACGAATAGTTTATGTTAAATGTTTTACTGTTGTAGATCTTCTTTTTCAGTGGCTGAAGTTTTCCAATCGTAGTCTGATTAGATGATCACGATTATCGGGTAGGAAGATGGAAAATCCATTTTTAGATAAAAAAAAAGTTTTTTTTCTTTTTTTTTTTTTCCCCGGAATTTTGAATTCCACAGCTAGCAAAATGGTAGACTACCACATTACATTAACACCCAAGCATCTGCAACGTTTATAATTCTTGACTAAAATGTTGGCTTTCTGCTTGCCAAATCTTTATCTGTTTAATTGATTGTTTTATATATATTACTTTGTTTCTTAAATTCTAAGAATTGAATTTAGTCTTGTCGAATTCAAACAAATTGTGAATTTTCCTTCTTTCCAATATTTAAAAATTTCAACTAGCTTTTTTTTTTTTCTACCGCTCCGTCCACTTGTTTTCAGCCAATTATACATGTTTTCCAGACCCGTACATCGGGGGGTCTATGGTAGATGACAGTAGTAGTCCTTCCCCCCTCTTCTCTTTCTTCCTATCCAAAGTCGAGGTGAGAGTTTCCTCGTTTAATCCCGACAGTTGTTTTTCCAGAAATTGATATTAAGGATGGAGTTCTTTATTTGGACAAAAACGTGAGTTAACTTTAGTAGTGCAATGGAATGAAAAAAAAAAAATTTTTTTTGTAAGCATATATAAGAACAATCCACTCTCTTGTTGGGAACTGGCAATATACACGATAGAACCCATGGGCTGCTGCTACTCTTGTTACCGCCCTCCGCTATTACTGGTTCAAATAGTGAGTTTATTGTTACATTTAATAAAAAAACTATAAGTTATTTCTTTCTACAAAACGACAGCATACGACTTATCAATAAAATCCCAAAAAAACCTGTGTCGAGAATTTTCAAGCCAAGGTTCTTAGGGTTTCTGTTTTTAAACATTATATGTATATTTCTTTTTTCCCCCCTTGTTTGCAATTAATTTGGAATTTCAATATCATAATTTATGCCCGTTTTTTTTTTTTTAAAAACGTACTGAAAAAAAAAAAGAAAGTAAAAAATCATAATAAGCCGACGTATATGGATAGCTTAGACTAAGTCTCGATGAGCATCTTATAGTAATTGTTATAACAAAAAAAAAAAAAAAACCCTAGCGTTTTTGATTCAACTTCTTTTTTAAAAAAAAAAATTTTTAGGTAGGGCGAAAAAGGAGAAAATCACAAATCAAGTCAAATCGAGCAGAGTTTTTAAAAACCCTTTCCTAAATAGGAAATGAAGAATGCTGATTGATATGCCTTAAGAAAACTAATGAACCAGGATGTTATCCCCATCTTTGAATATTTTTTTTTCCATTCAGTCATTTATTTTCTTTCTCACAAAATGTATAAATAGATCTACAATTCTTTTTAAATTGTATTTTCGTTTTTTTTTTCTCTCTTTTCATAAGTCACAATCATCCTAATCTTAGTCGTTCGTTTAATTGTCGTAAACACATCATCACATAATCCACAATGAAGGTTCAATCTATTCTCTACTCCGCCCTTTTTGCTGCTGTTGTTATGGCTGGTGACGGTGATGGTGACGAAGATGACATGACCACCGGTGCCTCCGCTGCAACTGTCTCTGGCTCTGTCGCTCACAGTGGTCGATCAGGCCGTGGCTCTGCTGCTACTACTGCCTCTGGCACTGCTGCTGCTACCACCATGTCAATGTCTATGGATATGGATATGGGTTCTTCTTCTGCCGCTGCCTCTTCTAGCGGCCACTCAGGTCGTGGTTCTTCCTCTGGTGCCGCTGCAGCCACCGCCACTGCCGAAGCTACTGCTTCTGGCTCTTCTGGCTCTGGCTCGGGACGTGGTGCTTCTGCATCTGGATCTTCCGGCTCAGGCCGTGGTGCTTCTGCATCTGGATCTTCCGGCTCAGGCCGTGGTGCTTCTGCATCTGGATCTTCAGGCTCAGGCCGCAGCGCTGCCTCCGGCTCTGCTGCCGCTTCCGGCTCGGCAGCTGCTTCCTCTAGCTCCAGCTCCGGTGCCGGCTCTATCGTTGTCAGCGGTGGTCTTCTTGGTGCCGCTGTCATTGGTGCCGGTATGCTCTTCCTTTAAGTGGTAAATTGATTTTTTTTACCCAATAAGAAAGTTCATATCACAGCTCCGCTTTGGTATGATTATTATGTGCCTTTTTTTCATGTCTTGTTTTTTTAATGACTAATATAAATTTATAATGAATTCAATGATCTTTTGTATGTTAACTTTTCCAGGTATCATCTTTTCTTTCACTTGGCCTTAAACTTTAATGTAAATCAACAGTTATCAGCATTATTCGTTTTTTTTTTCCGGCTCATGATTCAGTTAAATCAACCTGTTGGTATCAAATTTTTTGTTAGTTCAACTATTTCTCGGCATTTCAAATATATTTATATACATTCAACAATTTGTTCAATGTTCGGTATTACCGGTTTGGAACCCGGGAACACCGTCGGTATTTTGTATTTGTTTAAGTTTTTCAAGTTTGCAATTTTGCAATTTTGCAATTTTGCAATTTTGCAATTTTTCAATTTTGCAATTTTTCAAAAAAAAAATGTTCCAATTCTAAAAAAGGAATAAAAAAACATCCAGCATAACGATTCAACCATCTATTTCAATAGTAATTTCAGCAATTGTCAATAAAGCAATCTCAGTTTTCACTTGCACAATAGATTTATTAGTTGGCCTTCTTCTTTTCATCGCCCCATTTCTTTTTAGTGTCACCGTTTTTTTTATCAGTCATGTAATGAAATATATGGAGGTGTGGAGCAACAAACAAAGAATAATTTCTTTTTTTTTTTTTTTTTTTTTCCTTTCTCCATGTGTTCAAGACATACAGGCACTTTGATTATTTGCTGCATACACACATGAATACACAGCCAACATCTTACTATTTTTCGTTTGAATTCAAACTGTCGACTTTTTTTTTCTCCCTCTATTAAGATAGGTATGACATGTTGCTAACATTTTACAAAAGAAAAAAAAAAAGTTGAAAAGAGTTTGGATATCTTTTTCGTCATTCGCCAAGCAAAAAAAAAAGAGCCATTGGTGTTGGAGAAATCAGGCACAGGAGAGGGGAATCTATTTTTTGTTTTGTTTTTTTTATTTCTAATGAATTGTCATCCAAAAATCGCACGGTTCAAAGTTCAGTGGAATAAGCTTTTTATTGCTATCAGTCTTTGGGAGCAATGGGCAAATGAAGTTTGCGGATAAGCCAAAAAGAGAATTTCTATGAGCCCCAAAAAAAAAAAAAAAAAAAATAAAGGGTTTAAAAAAAAAAGAAGAAGGTAAAAACAATAGAAGGAAGAGAGTGAAAAAAAAAATATTAGGCTATGTCTAGTCCAATAATTTTGAATTGTTTTTTTTTTTTTGCAGGTTAATCTGTATCTCTTTATTGTTTTTTCTTTTATCATTGTTTTATTCTTCCGGGAAAGAAATTTTTCAAAGATATTTCTGGAAGTTATATTTTATCAAAAAAATTCTTTATCTTACCAACTTACATTGAGTAAAAAAACAAGACGATGAAATCTTAGGTTTAGACAATTAAGCAATTATAAGAAAAGAAGGAAAAGTCTAAAGTCTTTCCAGTTTTTTTTTTTTTAGTTTCTTTTGTCTTCCTTTTTGGTTTCTGATGAATTTTAAGGGCGGTACTCAGAGCTGTTTATAGGAAAAGCCCCATTTCCTACTTGGGGTCAGTAAGATTTTCACATTGACTTTTTTTTTTTTTCTTATTCTTCTTCTTTTTTTTTCTCTTTCTCCATAAAGAGTGGGGGTGGAATTCTTTATTTTTTTTTATTTTTTTTTCGGTGGAGAAAAAGAAACCAGTTCAAAACTGTTTGCTCTTTTTTTTTTTTAGAGAGAGGGGGAGAGACCTAAAAAAAGCCCTCAGATCTATTTATTTCTTTTTGACGTAATGAATGAAAAATTAAAAAGTTCACTTACTCTCTCACATATATATTTATTATTAATAATTGTTGTCAAGATATTAAGATTTCAATCAATTGAAGATAATTCAAAGTTTACTTGGAGAGTCAATTAGGATTGCTAACTGCGAAGATCCTCCGTCTATTTCGCCATTTTGGTATCTTTTAGAAAAGTATAAATATCTCGAAGATTTCCCCAATTTTTTGAATTCAATTCTTTTTCTTCTTTTTTTTTTCTTTATCTTATAAGGATATTTTCAGCAAGTTTTAAAGAAACCAATTCGATCAATCTTTTTTTTTTCCCTCCCTCTCTTTACATTTATTGACCAACATTAATTTACTCCACAAACATTTTTGTCTCAAATAATAAAAACAAAAGAGCATAATGCAACTTAAAGTTCTGACCGTTTCCCTCTTGGCCGCCCACGTTCTGGCCCAAGAAACTAGTACCTCAACAGCTGGTGAGACTGGTGCTTCCACAGTAACCGTTGGTGCTTCCAACACAGGGGCCTCAACTGTGACTGTTTCAGGGTCTGGCTCCGATGCAACTGTATCTCCTACATCGACAGTTACTGCTGGTTCCGGAGAATCTGATAGCAGTGCCAGCAGTGCCAGCAGTGCCAGTAGTGCCAGCAGCGTTAGCAGTGCCAGTTCTGGTTCTGAATCAGCAGTCTCTACAGAAACCGTTGGCACCAGCAGTGGCGATAGTGCTTCTGGGAGTGGGTCAGCCGTATCAACTGAGACTGTTGGTACCAGTGGTAGTGCCAGTGCAAGTGAATCTGGAAGCAGCATTTCTGGCTCTGGATCAGCTTCAGCATCGAGCACTGGTGGTTCTGATGGAGCAGCTGCCGGAGCTGGAGCTGGAGGTTCTAGCAGTAATGGCTCAGCTTCTGGTAGTGCTTCTGAGACTGGTAGTGCCTCTGGTAGTGCCTCGGAGTCAGGGTCTTCAGCCTCTGGAAGTGCTTCTGGAAGTGCTTCTGAATCATCAAGCATCACGAGTGGCTCTGGGTCTGCTTCTGAGACTGCAACAAGTGCTTCTGGATCTTCTGGATCTTCTGGATCTTCTGGATCTGGGACTGGTGCTTCGGTTACTTCAAGAATTGCCTCTGGAGCTAGCAGTGTTGCTTCTGGAGCATCAAGTGTGGCCAGCAGCTTAAGAAGCCAAGCTACCAGTGCTGCATCCACATCAGCTGGCGCACCAATCAACTACGTGTTTAATGGAGGTATCATTGGGGCTGCTGTTGGAGCTGCGCTATTTCTTTAAACATTTGGAGGGTAAAAGTATATTTTTATTTTTTTTAATTTTAATAAAAAAATATATATATATATATAAAACGTGATTCAGAAGAGCAATATTCTTTTTTTTTGCAAGTCACGGACGGTTATTTTTTTCAACACTTTCTAATTGATAATTTTAATATATACACTTAAACTTTATTTCTAAATTTTGAACATTAAAAAGAAAAGAAGGAGTAACTCTACGTATACATGAATTGATGTTTTTTTTTCTTTTGTTTTTTTAAAGTAGGCATGGTATAAACTTTTGGGTATATATCTTGAAATGGAATTTGTGGTGGTATTTGTGTTGAGGGAATTGATTGAATTTTTTTTTGTTTATTTATTTATTTATTTATTTATTTATTTTTTTATTTTATTTATTTTATTTTTTTTTTTTAGAATTTGAAAGAAGGTTTAGACAGGAGAGTAAGTGTCTTGAGCAACAAAGGTTGAAACAAACGCGAAGAGAAAGAAAGAAAAAAACGAAGTAGAAATTAAACAAAAAAATATATATATATATATTTATGTTCAAGTTTTATTTATAAATTTTAAAAGGGATGTTTTTTTTTTTTTTTTGATTTTTATATTTTTATATTTTTCTAACATGTCAAATATTAAATTGACATTTTATTGATTGTTTGAAAAGAAAGAAGTTGCGGTTATTGCCGCGGTGTAACACAATTATATATATATATATATATATATAATTATCTCATCGCTAAAAGAAAAAAAAAAAGAAAAGATAAGGAAAAGATAGTCCGTTTTGTTCTGATATATACGTAGACATATGGGTACATGTGAGTCTGGCCCACTTATGCGACCCTGACATAAACGTTAGTAATTAAGTGAGTAAGTAAGTGTAGTGAGTGACTCAGAAGCCAATAAACCAACTGGTGATAATAGCTAGATGAGTTTTTTTTTTTTTTCTTTTTTTTTTTTGAATAGTTTGAATAGTTTGAGGCTTTCAAGATGCATTGATCACGGTTATTAAAGGGAATAATAATCAAAAAAAATGGTTTAAACAAAGCGAGATGATGAACATTGTGTTATTGATTTTTTTTTTTTTTTTTTGAATAAAGACAAAGTTATAAATTAACTATAAAGGTATAAAGACTTTGGAAGGGGTGGGTTAATTAAGTTTAATAGATAGGAATAAGATCAATAATAAACTAACTAAAATAATAATAAAATAATAATAAAATAAAAAATGAAGTCCTTTGGAAGTTTTGTTGATATATTGAGATTTGACATTTATTTTATCCCCTTATCATTGAAGTAGCCGATTTTTATTTTTTTATTTTTTTATTTTCTTATTTTCTTATTTTTTTTTATTTAATCACCAAGACCAAAAGATCTTAAATTCAAGAATACGAGGCAGATTTACCGCCTGAGGTTTAAAAGTAAGCAAGCAAGTAAACAAGAATATATATGAAGCGGCAATTAAGAAATCTTTTAAATAGTATAGTATATATGATGGTATATATATCTATATATATATTAATTCTAGAGAATATTATTAAATGAATAAGATTTTTTAAAAATTTTTTTTTTCCTTAAAGAAAGAAAGAATAAAATGAAAAAGAAGGATTTGAAAGAAATAGAAGAAGATATTATTATTATTATTATAATAGTAATTACTATTATTATTATAATTATAATTATAATTACACAATGATAGAGCATGACCCAAATAAAAAATAAATAAAAAATAAAATTTTTAATCGTCTCGTTTGTGAAAAGAAAATCTGTTAAACAGTGCAGTCCGCCGGCTGATAAAGAAAAGACTTTTGGTAATAGTACCTTAACGTATTTAGCTTAGTACATTTAAATATCTGGGAATTTTGGGTCTTTGGGTAATTTAGGTCTTTGGGTCTTTGGGTCTTTGGGTCTTTGGGTCTTTGGGTAATTTAGGTCTTTGGGTCTTTGGGTCTTTGGGTCTTTGGGTCTTTGGGTCTTTGGGTCTTTGGGTCTTTGGGTCCTTAAGTATTTTAGGTCTTTGGGATGTTAATGTTTAATGAAGCTATTGGCCCCATTGTAATGGGCAAAAATATAAAAATAAAAATCAAAATTGTAAAAAAAAATAAAAATAAAAATAAAAAAAAAAAAATAAAAAAAGCCCCCGAGGCTCATTTAGAAATATGTCTACGTGAGAATTTTTTTAATTTTTTTATTTTTTTTTTTGGATAAATTTATATAAGATTTGTAAGAAAATATATATAGGGATATAATTGAAACGAATATTTTTTTTATTTCTTATTTTTATTTTTATTTCTATTTCTATTTTTAATATTTAAAAATTGTTATGAAACTCTTTGTGTAAATATAAATCAAGTCGTTTAATCAATGCACCCAACTGTAAAATTAAAAAAAAAACCCTCCGAACCCTCTTCTCTCTTTTATTTTATTGATTTTATTTATTTATTTTCTTTATTTTCTTTATTTTCTTTATTTTCTTTATTTTCTTTATTTTCTTTTCTTAATTTTTTTTTTTTTTTTTTTATTTTTTGGGTATTTTCAATATCCCGCTGGTATCCTTCCACTAATAATTCGCTCACATTACTTTAAAGGCATATAATAATTTGATGTTTTTTTTTTTTTTTTTTTTTTTTTTTGGTTGCCTGAGAATCCAATAATTTTTTTTATTTTTTTTTTTTTTTTGATGAGAATAGTTGTTTTTTTTTTTTTAAACCATCAAAAACAAACAATCGCACTAAAGAGATATGTAGAGATAGATAAATAAAATAATAATAATAATAATAATAATAATAATAATAATAATAATAATAATAATAATAATAATAATAATAATAATAATAATAATAATAATAATAATAATAATAATAATAATAATAATAATAATAATAATAATAATAATAATAATAATAATAATAATAATAATAATAAATTGAAACCCATATATATAGTAAAAGTAAATATATTGGTATACAAGAATGTGGGGAGAAAGATGAAAAAGAGAATGAAAATGATATGCATTTTCTAAAAAGATTGATTTATTTATTTTTTGGTAATAACATTTGTTCGATACCATTCTTATAATTGTATCAAAATAATAAATTAAATTAAAATTCAAGATTAATTGAAAAGCAGATTGTTAAGAATCAAATCATGACTTATCAAATATCATTCTTTTAAAGCATAACATTAAAAAGTCCTTTATTTTTATTTTTTTTTTTTTTGAATGTATTTAAGATGATTTAAGATGAGTAAAAAGGTTTATTGTTCTTCCCATACAGAATGATATAGTCATTTTCAAATACTACTAGAGAGAGAAATTGATGATGGATGATATTTATGTTAATCAGCTTTAGGAAATTTTTTTAATTTTTTTTTTTTTTTAAATTCAATTTAAATAGAAGTTTTATATATTTCTATTTCTATTTCATATATGAAAATATGAAAATATGAAAATAAATAACAAAATAGCTTAAAGTAGCTACTAAGCTAGATGCTTATATTAGGTTGAATATTAATAATAACGCCTTCAAGATGATTGGTTAAGTAACCCTTACCCTGGTATACCTTAAAGCAAAGCAAAAAAAAAAAAAATTTTTTATTTTTTTATTTTTTATTTTTTATTTTTTATTTTTTATTTTTTATTTTTTATTTTTTATTTTTTATTTTTTATTTTTTATTTTTTTATAGCTGTTTTAGGAAAAGGTCTAATTCTCCGGAGGAAGTTCGCGAGAGAATTGAGGAAGAAGAGGGAGAAGTTAGCCAAGATGGCAACCATTTTTAGTTTTCCCAAATAGGAAGTAAGCAGCTGCTAATCCAAATACAATTACTTTTTTAATTCTATTTTTAGTAGTAGTAGTAGTAGTAGTAGTAGTAGTAGAAATAAAAATTCTGTTTCATCTAAGCCATGGGCTTAAAAAGAAGCCTCGTTTTTATTTTTTTTTTTATTTTTTTTTTTCATAGGATTTTTATAACTTTTATATAATTTTTATATAATTTTTATAAATTTTTAAAATAATAATATAAGAAAAAAAAATTTGAAATTTGAAAATTGAAAAGTCCTCAAATACATTTTATGGCACGCGTAGATATTTTTAAGTCCCAACAAGAAACAAGAGACTTTTTTATTGGAGGGGGAAGAAGAAGGGAAGAGAAGACTTTAAAGCCTAAAATTTTTTTTTTTTTTTTTTTTAATTAAAGATATTTCTAAACTGCACATGTAAATTTTATAAATTTTATAAATTTCATAAATTTTATATAATAATAATAATATAAATCTTCTATTACCGTAAGACCAGAAAGAAAGAAAGAAAAAAAAAATTTTATTTTATATTTTTTTTTTGGGAAAAGTGGGAAAAAGGATGTTGATATGCGTGAATATCTCCAAAATTTTAGGGAAACAATTGGTATTTAATTAATAATTAGTATTTTAGTAGTAGTAGTATTTAAATTAATAATTAGTATTTAATAGTATTTAATAGTATTTAATAGTATTTAGTAGAGAAGCGAATTAGTTTGTATTTGTTTGTGTGTGTTTATGACTGTTTTTTTTTTTTTTTTAAGCTACAGTAATTTGCTGCTAATGCTGCTGCCTTTACAAAAAAAAAAAAAAAAAAAAAAAAAAAAAAACTAATCCTTATCTACGCATACACGGGACATATCTGGAAACAAAAAAAAAAGAATTTCTTTTTTTTTCTTTTTTATTCTTCTAAGTGTGTGTGGCAATACAAAAGAAAAAAAAATTTTTTTTATTTATTTTTATTTTTTTTTATTTTATTTTATTTTATTTTTGTTTTTTTTTGAATATAAAAACCCCTTCTTGTCCCCTTTTTTTTTTATTCTCTTCTTTTTTTTTTTTTTCTTTTCTTTCTTTCTTTCTTTAACAAATTTGTTCATCAAAGTCATTCGCTAACATTTATTAAAACGTTAACATAACAAGTTTAAACAACTATTTATTTAAATCACAAAATACACACACACAAATAATTCACAATGCAGACTTCCGCCGTTATTGCTCTTGCCCTCGCCTCTTCTGTCGTTATGGCTTCTAACAAGACTACCAACTCTACTGGCAACACCACTGCCACTGCCACTGCTTCCGCTCCTGCCACCACCAACGGTGCCGCCATTCTTACCAACGGTGGTCTCCTCGGTGCTGCTCTTGTTGGCGGTGTTGCTCTTTTCCTTTAAATGTCTTCACCTAGTTTTGGATGATTTAAGTTCACCATCATATTATCACTTATACTCATCTTCTTCACCTATCCTCTTCTTTTTATTTTTTGAATCCTTTTTAATCGGACTCTAATTTTTTTATTACGACTAATGACCACCCCAATTCTTACCTTACATCTTTACAATTTAATATAATAACATCCATCTCTGTTACGAATTCATTTTTTGATTTTTTTTTTAAAAAAAAATAAAGGGAAATAGATAAATAATGCTGTGTTTTTTTTTGAATTTTTTTTAATTTAATAGATTTTTATATGAAATCTTTAATGTTTAATTGATTTTTTTTATTTTATATTTTAATGATTTTGTGTAAACGAAAAAAAAAAAACGTGCCGTTGGTTTTTTTTTTTTTTTGATAAGAAAAGAGTATTTTAAAATTCAAGATGTCTTGAAGTCTTGGCTTTTTTTATTTTATTTTTTTTAAAAGCCGTAAGAAAAGTCTTTGTTGTGATTATAAAGACTTTGATTTTATTTGTATATAAAAAAAAAAAAATTAAAAAAAAAATCACTTAACTCAGCCTTGTGCCATAAAAAAAAAATTTAAAATAAAATGAAATAAAAAGTCCCGATTGCGCCAAGATTTGATTTTTAAAATGGCTGGCGTTGCCACCCAACTGTAAACATTTTAAACTCTTTGTTAGTTAGTTAGTTTTTTTTTTTTTTTTTTAGGGGTTAAAATGGAAATGGCCATATAAATATAAATATAAAAAAAAACCTTTTAAAGTCGCGATTTTAAAAGCTCGAAATTAATAAATAAATAAACGTTTAATATATATATAAATTTATAAAATAATAATAAAATATCATCATCATAATATTATGAAAAAAAAAAATTAATAATCTCAAAGCAACTTGGTTTGTTTATGAGATTATAAAAAAAAAAAAAAAAAAAAAAACAATCACTCCATATTGATCTTTTCATGAAAAAAAAATTAAGATAAAAAATAAAAAAAATAAAAAAAAAACGCGCGTTGTGGTACCCGGGATATCACTTTTTGATTTTTCCTTTATTTTTTTTTTATTTTTTTTTATTTTTTTTTTTTTATTTTTCTTGTGACAATTTTATTTAAAAAATTAAATAAAAAAAAAAAAAACTCACGCACACTACATACCATTAATTTGTGACTGAATTAGATTACATAATACGGAGATCTGCCCACGAAAAAAAAAAATAAAAAATAAAAAAAAAAAAAAAAAAGAAACAAAAATACTTTCACGTTTTTTTTTACAAATGGCATCAAAAAGAAAAAAAAAAAAGGACTTTTTTAACAAAATATAATAAAATATTAAAAATTATAAAATTATTCTAGTCAAAGTAATAGTTACTTAATTAATTTTATAAATAAATTAATAAATAAAATAAAATAAAAATAAAAATAAAAATTCAAAGTTTATTATCATTCTTCTTTTGTTTATATATAAACTAACTAATAAACAAACAAATAAACAAACAAACAAACAAACAAACAAAAAAATAGTCTACCAAAAAAAAATTAAGTTACGAATTGAAGAAAAAAATACTTTTTTTAATAATGCCCGGCGGCAAAATAATTAAATAAATAAATAAATAAATAAATAAATAAATAAATTTTGGAAAGAATAAGTACTAATTAGTAATAATTTATAAATTATTATAAACACCCCCCTCCAAAAAAAAAAGTAAAATAATACCTAAGTCATAAGTTTTAAAAAAACACGCTATTTTATTTTATTTTATTTTATACTTGTTTTTTTAAAAACAAAAAAAAAAAACACTCTCTCTCTCTATTGAAGCTTACTTACTATTAAAATTATCATAAATATATATTCATTCATTCATTCATTCATTCAAACTTGTATAGATAGTATATAGAATGATTCATTATTATATATAGAAATCTCGTAAAAACCTGCCGTTTATTTTAAACTCCATGTGCATATAAAAGAAAAATAAATAAATAAATTCAAACCTATCTTACAAGCACCCCTTTCTACATATATCCATCCATCCATCCATCCATCCTCCTTCTCCTCCTCCTCCTCCTTCTCTCAACATCTTCAAACATCAACTCATCCTTCCTTATCCCTTTTGTCTCTCTCTAAAACGCGTAGCAATTAAGTCCTTTCTTCATGCTAGATTTATATAATGTTCACCTTCTTGTTCCTAAAAAAAAAAATAAAAAAAATAAAAAATAAAAAATAAAAACTGAGCTCATTGTCTAATAATAAATATAAAGTTATCCCTTGAATATATACTAAATAAAAATAAAAATAAAAATAAAGGATGAAAAGATGTAAGGAGAATTGAAATATTCTGTCTTGTCTGGTAATTTAAGTAAACTACCTACCTAACTAACTAACTAACTAACTAACTAAATATCTTTAATATTGATGTACACAACATGTTGGTTAATTCCAAAATCAAACATCCTCAATCCCCACCTAAACCTTCTCCCCCCTGAGTCTTAAATTCCAATCAATATCTTCCAAAAATCATCATCATCATCATCATCATCATCATCATCATCATCATTATTATTATTATTATTAATAACTTACTTTTAACGTTAAAAAAAACTTGTAAACTTTACTATTCATACTATCTATCCTTTCATTCTATATATATATAATATATAACGGTTTTTATTTTTTATTTTTTTTTTTTTACTTTAAACTTCTAATCAATTGAAAACAAACCCAAATATTGGTACCGGCTGTTTTTTTTTTTGTTCTTTTTTTCACTAGGCTCATAACCGAGCAATGTAAGAAAAGCTTAGAGCAAGCCATTTATTTATTTATTTATTTATATATTGCATTCATTGAAATTTTTTTTTTTTTTGGTTTTTAGATTTTAATAATAAGGGGCCCTTCCGTTAATGTTTATTTTTTTTAAAAGTAAACAAATAAAAAGAAAAAAAAATATTATTATTATTATATATTAATATATAAAGTTTATTTATTTATTTTTATTCTTCAATTAATATTATTAATGAAACTTTTAGACTTTATATATATAAAATAATATTTTCTTTTAAAGTGTCAGCTACAAACTTGTTGCAAAAGAATGAAAAAATAAAAATAAATAAATAAAAATAAAAATTAAATTCACAAGTATACTTGGGCTATTTAAACCTCTTAAAGAAATTTGTAACTAGGGTGCTCTTTTGAAAAAAAAAAAAAAAATTAAATTAAATAAAATAAAATAAAATTTAGTGTGGTCAATGTACCCCTGTCTCTCATGATTCATAATTACATTATAATGTCTCGGAAAAAAAATAAAAATAAAAAAAAAAATAAAAAATTTAAAAATATCTTTAAATTCCAAAAATACTTTTAAAACATGATTATATTCAAATAAATCATTTCAACATTGTACAAGACATTGAACAATATATATATATATATACAATATCAATTAACTAATCAATAACTTAACATCTTTACTAATTAGTAAAAAATAAAATAATTAAAAAGAAAAGAAAAAAAAAAGTAATTTGACAACTGTGGGATTTGAACCCACGCCTCTTACGAGATCCGAAAACACTGTTAAGCGAAGCTTTCACTTGAGTCGGACGCCTTAGACCAACTCGGCCAAATTGTCAATTTTATTGAAAATTTAAAGGTTACCACATACAAAAGGTTAATAAATAAAATGATGTAAAATTTTAAAATATATTGGCAATTGACATATACTTTTATAATAAAATTAATATTTTCAACATTAAAATTTATATTTCTTAAAAAAATTACTAAATTCACCTCTTAAATTCATAACAATTCTTAGTTCTAACTTGAAGAGTAGTAAAATTTAAGTAAACACTGAAAAAAATTTCAATTCTCAAATATTATACTCGGATTTTTTTTTTTTTTTTTTTTTACAATTGAACAAAAGTTTAAATTAAACCCATTATTAATAAATATTATATTAGAAACACACAAACTTTTTTGATATTGTAAAACTTTAATATATACTGTTATTTATTTAATTTTATTTTTTTTTTTGTCGGTCATAAATTATCATGAATAATAGCCAGTACTATTCATTCAAAAAATATCAACAAAAAAAGAAAAAAAACAAAATTAAAAAATAAATGGAACTCATGCTGTTTAAAGAACAAGAGCTGCACCAGCAACAATGGCAGCACCAAAGAGAGAAGAGCTGATGAAAACAGTAGAACCGGCACCGGTTGCAACCGAAGAAGTAGAGGATGAAGAAGCAGAGGCACTGGCAGACTTGGAAGCAGAAGCAGTAGAAGAAGCAGTAGAAGAAGCAGTCTTAGTAGTGGTAGCAGTAGAATTAGAGTGAGAACTGGAAACACTGGAGGTAGAGTTGGAACTGCTATGATCTTCGCCGTTGTGGGCAAAAACAGTGGCGGCAAAAATGCTGACAGTCAAAAGTTGGAACTTCATTGTAATATGGTGGATTAAGTTAAGTTAAGTTAAGTTAAGTTAAGTTGTGTTGTGTTGTGTATGTCTAGATAACTTGAAAACTTTTCGGGGTTTTCAGGTTCAATGTCGTGAATATATAATTGGAATATAAAACGAATGAATATATATATATTGAAGAATAAAAAAAAAAGGAAGAAACAAAAAAGTATAAAAAAAAAAAGAGGTGAAAATCTAGGCGAAATCAGCCTCTATTTATACTTTTCCTTTTTTTCAATCAATTCAATTCATTTATACAATTATTAATTTATAATAAATAATAATAAATAAAATAATTAAATTCCAATTCTTGGCTTTATCTGATTGAAATTTTTTTTTTTTTTTTTTTTTTTACATTTATCAAGCCAAGATGGGTTCCCTTTCCCCTTTGCAATTGTACATATATCTTTTACTTTTTACTTTTTACATTTAATCCTTTCTTCAATTCACTAAACAAATCAACTTTCAATTATAAATTCCATTATATCTAATTTTGATATAATGAAAAAAATTTTTTTTTTTCTTTTTTCAAAAGGGGACCAGAAGTCTACGTATAATTGAAAAAAAAAAAAGTATGTCAAATAAACGTACAAAAGATCTCCTCACCCCTTTTTTCAATAACGGTTTTTTTTTTTTTTTTTTTTTTTTCACAAAATTTAACAATTTCTTAATTACAAACTTTAGATTTAACCTCCGCGGCTTCCTTAAATTTTTATTGATTTTTTACATATTGATAACATTTGGAGAAAATATGGCGTATTATTATTATTATTATTATTATTGCTTTGTAAAATCAATGTGAGCAAATTAAATGTCCAAATTAGGAAATGCATAGCCTCTCATGTAAAAACAATTTCATTATTCTATCACTTCTCATTTATATATACTTTGTTATATTTCATATTTTAATTTTTAATTTTTAATTTTTAATTTTTTTTTAATTCCGAGGCCTTAAATCTTCAAAAGTAGTTACTTTTTTTTTTTATTATAAAATAAAATAGTAATTATATTAAAACTTTGGGGGAAAAAAAAAAAATTTCAATATTTTCAAATAATTGTCCCATTATCGTTTACATAATTTAACAAAATGTCTTCGTATAACTGCAACCATCATATACGTAACCAAATCTACTTGATCAAGTATATCAAAATTAGGTAGTTATTCATATACTTTTGAACCAAAAGATTGAACAAAACTATTACCACTTTTTAAAAAAAAAAGAAGCAATCTGAGTAAAAAAAAAAAAAAAAAAAAGCTAAAAAACCAATCCGAAGATCGGATCAACGGATAACCACTAAAGCATTGACTACATTTGCAGAAACATAAACACAATACACTCATTTCAATTAAACCTGCTTCATGAAAACAATATGTTAAAAAAGTTCAAGGTATAGCAAAAAAAAAAAAAATATTATCAATTCTGCCTTTTTATTTTAACCTTGTGGGAGGTTCCCATAAAATTTAGCTTATTAGTTAATATTAAATCTTATTTTTTCTAATCACCAAAGGTATAAACATATTAAATACAATGAAATACAATGAAATACAATGAAATACAATGAGAAAAAAAAAGCCAAGATCTCAGGGTAGTTGAGTCAACCTAAAGCCAAGCCTCATCCCCAAAAAAAAAAAAATCCCAATATCCAAGGTTCTTGGTTAAAAAAAAAATACAAATAAGATATTAATTATTTCATTTACTTAGAAACTTCCCTTTTTTTTTTTTTTTTTTTTTTCTAGAGAGTATTCAATGAACTTTGGCAAAGTAAACCCTTCTTCTATATATGTTTTTTCCCAAAACACCGCAATTACCAATCAACTTAAATGTTAACTTCCACATAACCACTTATCCTTTGGGATCCTCTCCTTCATCATTTGTATCTTTTGCTACTTCTCAATACATCCAAGCTAGAAGATCCTTTAAAAAAAACACCCCCATCTTATAACATGGATTCCATTTCCAACACTAAATGTTGCCTGATTCCATGTATATAAAATTGTTTAGCTTTTGGGGATCAACCTCCTTTACTTCAACAAGATTCCCCTCATAATCCCGGACCCCCCCCAAAAAAAAAAATATCCTTGATTCCAAAAATAGAGCTTTGTAACCAAACCCAAATATGCTTGATGTAAAACCAATATTCATTATAAAAAAAGCTTAGGTCCCAACATGGTTTTAATTTCCACATAATATCCACACTCTCTCGCAATTAATTTTTTTTTTGTCTCTTTTTATATCCCTTGATACCAGCTTGATTACATCAATCTCAGCACTCATGGAAACTTTCATTCTTTAAAAATATTTTTGCAGTATTTTTTCTATCTTAAAAGAATTTTCTTGATCTTTTGGGATTTCAAGATCTCATACCATTTTGGAGATTTACCAGAATATTATTAAGAAAAAAGTAACTATAAAAGTAACTATAAAAGCAGCTCTAAAAATAGGGGGAAAAATTGTTTGTAGAAACATTGTTAACAATTGATGATTAAGACTAAATTTTTTCCAATATTATTTAAAAGACCAAAAATAGTTAAATAAATTACAATTATGATTTAGTTTTATTATATATATTAAAAATAACTATTGTTGAAATTGCTTTTCTTCCTAAATTGATGTCACTTATAGAACTTTCATACTTTAGATAAATCATTATACCAAAACTGTTTACTTATTTTTAATTGAATTTCTCCAATCAACAAACTGGGGTGAAACAATACCTTTTTTCTCATAAGTTTTTTTCAATACAACTTTGTTGTCCTCTAATTGATGATCGAGTTTCCAAATAACCAACATGTCGTTGGGGGGTTCACAAGTTTTTTCGTCTTCTGTAACCACATTATAGATCCATTGTAAAATATGTTGAAAAAACCCATTCAATTCATTAGGATTCCATTGTTCCAATTCTAAATTATTTAACTTCAAGTAATCAGGATTCCATAAATGCTCGGTTTGTTTGCGATCAACTTTAACCAAGTTATTTGAATAATCTCGAAAACCAAAGATAATATCTTCAATACCCAAAATAAAACTCTGTGCCCATATTTTTGACATCCTATTATAGAAATGGATACCATTATTGTAATGAATATCTGGGTCTATTACCAGCTTGATTTCCACATACTTTTTTATAGGATTTGGATCTTGACCATTGGTGGTTAATATTTTATGGTCTATGCAATCAATTTCTGCACTCATAACAACATCGACATCCCCAAAGCTTCTTTTGGTTACCGTGTAAAACTTGGTCATCTCATAATTAGGAATCTGGCTTTGTTTTGCTTTTTTAATAAATGTACCTTTTGAGGGAATGCCATCATTAGTTACCATATTTTCAAAATTAATACCTAAATATTCGGGGATTAGTAAAGATTTAGATTTCTTTTCGCCCTTCCCCCCCTTTTTTTGCAATTTGTTTTTAACTTGAAACCTTTTTTTTTAAGTTTTTTTTTCAATTTGTCCTGATTAATCTTTTCAATCTTTTCAAAATATTCATTTTTAAGAATTTCATTTCTTTTTTCATCAACTTCAATGAAAACCTGACCATCAAAGTACTGAATTTTTAACGAGAGATCCCAATATTTGGCATTGTTATAAGGTATCATGCATAAATTTACTAAAGTTCCTCGTTGGGCTATAATTTGTGCCTCAATGGGTTTGCCATCATTTTCATTATTTTCATAATACATTATTGCATTCAACAGGTTATTTAACGGAGTTTGAAATTTGATGTCTTTATAGTTTTTCTTGTACAAACGAAACCCGAAAGCTAGATTAACTTTTTGATTTAACTCACCAGGACTTGGCTCATCTAAATAACGCAGTGCAAAAATTTCATTAATTTTTTGTTCACCAGTTTTTTTAGTAGAGTATACCACTAGTTCTTCTGGAATTGAAACTTTCTTAGCAATATGTGACTGTTCTAGAGAAAGATATAGTTCTTTGCCATCTTCTAAAGATAATTCCAACTTTTTTGAATTAAGAGCCCTCTTATTCAGTTCTGGTGCTGATGATGGAATTGTTAGAGGTGGAGCAACAGTTGTCAAAGCATTTGAAGTTCCAATATTCTTTTCATTGTTGTTTACAGATGAAATAGTTTCATTTTTAAAAGTTTCATGTTGATTCTGAAGTGATGTTTTGTTATTATTTGGCTCCTTATTTTTGGGTTCAATAGGATTTAATTTAGTTTGGGGGGGGGTTTGACTGGGCTTTGTCTAGTGCTTGATGACTTTTTAGATTTAACAATAATAGAAGCAACTACTAAGATTGCTAATAATAGGGAAATTTTTGAAGTCATTCTTATATATATTCTTAAATTGATAAAGTGAAATGGGGTTTAAAATCAAAAAAAAAGAGGAATCATTTGACTTTTTAATCTTTTTAAAAAATTGATGGCTTGGTAAAGTTTAAAAAAAATTGATGATACAAATGTTTTTTTTTTTTTTTTTTTTTTTTTCAAATCATATCTATTTACATTAAACAATATTACTATACATAATCTTGCAAAGATTTTCTCCATTCAATAAACTCACGGAGAAGAAACCCTCTGGATTTAAATTTTTTGATTAAAGTCATTTCGGAAGTTCTTTTGTTATAATGAAGTGTCCAAATGATGAATTTCCCATTATTCATATATCCATTATCGTTTGCTTCGGACAAAATAATATCTTTTATCCAAAGTAAAAGGTTTTCATAGAAAACAGCCATTTCTTTTGTTATAGTATCGGAGCAATTTACAACATCCAGAAGAAGCTTTTTCAAAGAAAAAAAATTGTACTTTTCACCTTTGTAAACAACATTGCTATTTACATATGTATTTGCATAAAAAATATTCTCTGCTTTTGCCATTGTAAAAAAGGAAAAAGTGTATGGTACAGTTTTTGGATCTAAAAGTCTCAGTAACATCCCATTTCCATCGCTATCAACACAATCAAATTGAAAATTTCCAACAGTGGAAATAGTACCTATACCACCTCTATTCAAATTGAAATATTTATATTCATTTTTACTACTAGTTGTACTAGTTGTACTAGTTGAAAAAAATTCCAGAAAACGCTGTTTCTTATAGTTCTGAGAAGAATCAGTGGTAGTTTTATTTTTATCTGCAGGCTCCATAAAAATCTGGTCATCAAAAACCTGTATGTTTAAATCCAAAGTTTCTATAGTTCCAGAAGGAATTGCATACAACCTTGCAAACAATTCTCCAGGCGCAAAAAATTGGCCGCATGTTTTTTTCATGTTTGTTTTCTCGTGCTGAATAAGTGCTCTTAATAAATCATCAATATGTGCGCCATGTGTACGTCTTGAAAAGGTTTCCCTATTGTAACCTTCCATTAGATCAAGTTTGATCGCTGGATCAGTTTTTAAAGGGTTAATAAATGTGTTCTGTTCTATTGCACTAGCAAAATGAAGACTGTTTTGATTATCGATAAAGTAGGGCAATATGATCTTTGGTGTATGACATTTATTAACATAATTTTCGGGAATAGTTGGCATAGTACTAAGTGTATAAGAGTGCTTATTTTTCATGTATACGCTTGGGGTATTTTCATTGAAATTTTCTGTTGTGGTTGGTATTGATTCATCAATACTTAGCGGTTCTTGATTATTTTCAGATGGGTTAACTTGAGAGTTGGTCGTATTTTTTTTAAGTTTTTTAGGCTGAATGCTTTCAGGTAGCTCTTGCAGTGCATTTTGAACACCATCAGACTGGAAATTTTCTTTTAATGATATGTTGCCAGTTTTTATAATGGTTTTTAGAGGTGAAACAGCTTGACAGTCAACATTTTTTAAGGGTTGATAATTGGATGAAGCAATGTTTTCCAGACGTGGTTGATTATTTTCATGCGGTAGTTCACTTAGACTTTTATTTTCAACAGGCTCAGATTTAATATTATTAGAAGTTGCTAAGGATAGGGGATGGGCAAATCTAACACTTTTCTTTGGTTTCAAGGAGTTGGATAAAGTAGAGGCTTCATTTTGACTGATCAAAATCTCTGAAGACTTTCTTAAAATCTCATCTTCTCTTTTGTAAGACTTTTTAGTTTTATTGATTATGGACTGTCGCTTTCGCTTTTTACTTTCGCTGAAAGTTATGCTTAGTCCAGCTATTGCTATTAATGTTGAGCAAATAACTGCAATCAGAGGCATAACGTTTTCAAAAAAAAAAAAAAAAAAAAAAAAAAAAAACCAGCAGTCTATAGAAAGAGAACCTTTTAATGGAGATATTTAAAAAGAAGAAAAAAAAAATAAGACAGAAAGGAAGAAAAGAAGAAAAAAAAACGAGATAATTTTTTATCAGTTTAAGAACACCAAGATGCGGGGCTTCCTTACCCAAGAAATAGGGTTTCAAGTCACTGAAACGGGACAACAGCAATAAACTTTAAACCAAAAGGATATTTTAATGGTGAATATTCAAAAACAAAAAAACAAAAGATAAAGCAGATAAGACAATTTTTTTTTTAATTTATTTTGAACAAACAAACAGTGATAATCCACGATACTGAGGGAAAAAATGCCGCGGGTTTGATAGACATTGAACAGGTTTCTTTTTTTTCTTCCCTGTCTCGTGTTTGGATGACACGAAAGTATGTTGCTATTCGAAAGCCGCATTTAAGCGGCTTTAAAATATATATATATATATATATATAAATGACATATACGGTACGTATTCCTAAAGTTCTAGTTCTTACAAACCATAGATGTTCACCAAGTAGAACCACCAGAAATATCTACATATCAAAAAAAAAAAAAATTTCCATCTCGAGGTAGGAAAACTTTGTGGAAAAAGATAATGTTAGTTTTTTGTATGCAAGAATTCATGCTGATATCCTCCATAGAACGGCTGAAGCACCCTGTTTGCGAGGGGAGGTTCTTTCGTTACACACTAATACCTAATTAGGGTTGAACAATGAAAAATGCCATTTATTTTCCAAGCACGTACTCACGAGCAAGTATAAAATGAAAGAAGTATATCATTTTTTTTTGTTTATCATTTTATTTTTTTTTATAAATACAAACAAAAAAATGCAATCTACATTTGAAGAAGAAGAATCGCTGCTGTTTTTAGGCACTGAAGTGTCTGGTGCGGGTCATCAGAGCATATTACAATCTGGATCATCAGTCAAGTCCTACAATTCTTGCAGTGATAACAAAAGCACCGAGGAAGAAGAAGAAGAAGAAGACAGTGATGATGATGACGAATACGTTAAAGAATACATTCCTTCTATACCTTGGTATCGAAGACCGTCCATTCTGTTTATCTTACCAGTTTATCTGGTTGCAGCCATTGAATCTTCCATGTGAGTGTATTGCCCCCAAATTTACAATGAAAAACGCTAACATTTAACAGGTTGAGTCCCGTGGAAATGAAACTCAGAGCACAGCTCATATGCATGCAAAATCCCAAACACCCAATTACAGACCCAGAGCTATGCTCATCATCAACAATTGCACAGACCAGTCTTTCTCTTTTGCTTACTTATTGCAAGTTTGCAACTGGACTAACCAGTCTTTTTTTCATTCCGTACCTATGCAATTTATCTGACCGAATTGGTCGCAAAAAAGTTCTGGTTATTATCCATATTAGTTTGTTTGTTTCTGTGTTTATTGTTTATACCAACTGGAAACTTCAAAAAACACTCAACTATCATTTCCTAATAATTGGAGCAGTTTTTGAAGGTGTGGCCAACCCTATTGTGGTAATGAATCTTTTGTCAGCATATGTTTCTGATTGTATCATGCATAATCATCGTACAAAAGCACTAGCCCAGATCTTTTGTGGCACAACGTTGGGTTATATTTTGGGACCTATTTTAGGAAGCCAAGTGTATGAACGTACTGGACACAACATTATTGCACCATATACTGTATGTTTGACGCTGATTGGAATTTCAACTATTTCAGTATTGTGGGTTTTCCCAGAATCGATAAACCCCAAGGTTCAAGAGCTGGCCATATATCGATACAAATGGGAGGAAGATGCTTACAGTAGACAGACGACTACTGGAGTCAAGAATTTTGCTAAAAAGATAGCCAGAACAATCAAGTCTGCCATCGTTAAACCATACCAGGATATTTTTGATATTTTGAAAAGATGCAAATCTAATACTGATCGCACAAACCTTACAAATGTTGTTATTATTGACGTATTGTTTGCCATCCTATCGTACGGAATCGATGCAATCACCATCAACTATTTAATGTACAAGCTTAAAGTGACTGTATCGCAGCTCGGAATAGTTATTGCTGTTTCAGCAATTCTCCGTGTGGTATCACTTGGGTTATCGCCACACGTTGGCGACTTTTTAGGTTGGGTATCTGGGGCCACAAAGAACCAGAAAGATGGAAGTAACAATAAAATGAGAGTACAAGATGTATATGTGATGCGTCTGGCAAATATAATTGAAACATTTGGTCTTATTTGTCTTGGAATTTCTGGAGATAGCACTCGGTGTGCGTTTCTGGGGATTTGCTTAATTGGGCTTGGAGTCATGTCGCGGCCCAATGTGCTGGCAGCCATGATCAATGTATGCCCACACGGGGACATTGGCCGCTTCATGGGTGCTAAAGGCCCATTAGAAATCCTGGTAGCTGTATTTGGAGCATCTTTTTTACTTTGGGTATATGGTCAGCTTGTTGCATGTGGTGGGGAATCTTCTGTATTTTTTTTGGCAGCTGCCATGTACTCGGTGACGATATGGATTTCATTTAGAATTGAACCCTAACCACTATTGAATTTTTTTTTAATATTAATTTTTTATATTAATTTTTTTTTTTCTTCTTCTACACCCTTGCGTATTCATTTGATATATACAGTTTAAATAAATAAAATTCCAACCATACACACTAATGTCAGCTGCTGGGTTTACTGTTGTTAAAGAATCATCCAAATCATTTGCGCGTCATGGCGTGTACTCCTTTGGCTCTGGTTCCAAAGCTAAGAGTATTGAGACACCTAGTTTTATCATGCCTACTTCTCGAGGTGTGATTCCGCACATGACACCAGACCATATTGAGAATAAGACGGATCTTTCTGGTATTACAGTTGGTGCCGAGGATTGTATGTGATTAGAGCATCGTATTAGAAAAAAAAGAAAGGGCTTTGTACTAACACGTCTACAAGGGCTAGAGAAGCTTCCTGAGGAACCCCCATTGCTCAAATATACTGATGGCCCCTGCCGCGATCTTATGAATATGCCGACAGATCTTCCAGTTTTTGTTTCGGTAAGACGATCTGTTCCCGTACAGCTTGTAAAGTCGAACGGTGATAAGTACGTAGGTATTATGACATCTGAGGGTGCACGCGAGCTGAAGCTACAAGACTATTTCCGTTTTGTGTCAAAGTTTGAGCCCGATGCTGTGATCTCGGTGGCTGATTTGCCTTCATTCTCGCAGCAGAATCATGGTGAATGTGGAAATGGAGAAGATATTGCGCGTGGGCTGATTCCTCGACCTGGTGGGAACCGTGTCAAGAAGATGGTTTTCAGAACTGAGCGATGGATGGAGAACTTACAAGAATACCTAACTCAGCACTCATACAAGCCGGCAGTCTTTGCACCAGTGTTGCCATATGTTGATTTGAGAACTCAGGGTGCATACATTGATTATGTTCAAAGTCTGAATGAGAGTGGGAAAATTTCAGGGTTGACACTATGGTCATACTTTGGCAACTCCAAGGACCGAGAGCCTTCGAATGGGGAGGGAGCAAGCGAGGAAAAGCAAAATACTTTATGGAGTAACGTTGTTGATGCATTGAAGGAGCGTGGGCTGGATAAGCTTGTGAGATACAATAATGCTGTCTTGGAGACTCCACACGACTTGCTTGATCAAGTTATGCGGAATGGCAGTGATTTATTTAATGGAGACCTTGTGACTCAGTATACCAATGCTGGAGTGGTTCTTGATTTTGTTTTCCCAGCCAAGCCTGAGGATATTGCGAATGGAACTATCAAGGAGATTGGTCTTAATATGTGGGACGCAAAGTATACGACAGACATGTCATTTCTTGGAGAAGATACACCCAATGTTACAGGGACCCACAACCGGGCGTACCTTCACCATCTTTTGGATGCACATGAGATGACAGCATGGGTTCTTTTGCAGATCCATAATCTGCATGTATTACGGATATTTTTCAATGGAATCCGGGCATCTTTAGCGGCTGGGACTCTTGAGAGTGATGTAGCTGCGTTTTTACAAGTTTACGGAGATCGAGTATCTGCATTACAGGTCAAGCAGAGCATCCATGGAGAGGAAAAGTCTCGGATGCCTAAAGCTCGCGCATACAACATTGGCCGGGAGGAGCTGATTGAGCGGACACGGGGGTCATCTGAGGGCCAAAAGTTGAATTCGACTCGGTGGAGCAAAGAAATGTAGATTTGGGGTTAAATGATGGAATAGATTTAGATTTAATAGCAAATTATTCAAGCAAAGCCGGGTAACGAAATTTTAATTTTTTTTTTTCTTTTTTTGTAGGAATACTAGGTTATTAATTTTTTTTTTTTTTTTCAACAAATTAATTATAATTAATAACAACATTTAAAGGGATCCTAATCACGACATTTAACTTTACTTCCACGTTTCCTCAAAAAAAAAACATTTAACATTACATTCATATATATATATACAATCACACAAATAAAAATGGTTGTTTTAGTTTCAGCAGATGATGTCAAGTATACGGTCGACAATAAGACGGCCTCGCGAAGTGTACTTATTAAGAATATGATGGAAGGTGGGTAAAACGAAAAAAAAAAAAAATAAAAAAATAAAAAAGTTTAGGAAGCAATATTATTATTTTATTTTATTTATTTTTTTTCAACTAGATAAAACATATGCTAACATATAAATCAGACCTTGGAGATGATACTGCAGAGATTCCACTGCCAAATGCTACTTCGAACGTGTTGAAGAAGGTGATTGAATACTGCGAGCACCACAAAGATGACCCCATACCCCATGCTGACGAGGATAGCGAGCAGACTAAGAACGCCACTGACATTTCTGAGTGGGATGCCAAATTTTTCCAGGTAGATCAGGAGTTGTTATTTGAGATTTTGCTGGCAGCAAACTACCTTGACATTCGGTCGTTACTTGATGCTGGGTCCAAAACTGTGGCCAATATGATTCGTAACAAAACCCCCGAAGAGATTCGCAAGACGTTTAACATTTACAATGACTTTACACCTGAGGAGGAACAACAGATTCGGCGCGAAAATGAATGGGCTGAGGACCACTAAGTAAAGGTTTATACTGGATGGTTGTATTTAGGCTTTTATATTTAATGAATTACGACGATTTTCTCTTTTACAATGGATTTCAAACGTACTGAATTGATTGATTGATTGATTGATTGACTGATTGACTGATTAATGATGATGATGTTTGGGTAGAGTGGAAGTGTCGTTGGAAGATATTTGTGTGACATTACAACTGTAGCGGCTTTGTTGTTTTTTGTATGACAAAAAAAAAAACAAAAAAAAAGCCAGATGAGCCTTTTTTTTTTTTTTTTTTTTTTTTTTACCATCGTACAGGGCAAAAAAAAAAATATTATTATTATTGTTATTGTTGTTGTTGTTGTAAGGAGGGGGAATTTTCTGAGAGACTTTTTTTTTTTTTTTTATATATATGGACATTATTAATTAACAATTGTATTCATTCCAACAACTACACCAACGAACATAATCCTCCTTTTTTTTTTTTTTCACTCAATACCACCAAAAAAATTATCTTAAATATATATATATATATAGGTGTATTTAATTAAAGAATTTCAAATTACACCTCAAAAATAAAAATATAAAAAAAAAAAAAGATATTCAGCAAATATCTTAACAATGTCGGATCTTTCTCAGGTGGCCTTTAATTCAGCGCGCGATCTACGGCCTCCCAAAGAAAGTAGTGGCTCTGGAGTGTCTGATAAAATCTCTCGTCTCAAGTATGTGATATTCTTTAAATATAGACGTATAACCATGATATTAGGTTATATAGTAAAAAATAAATATATAAATATATATATATAAAAGCTTATCACCAATTGGCAATAATTCTTTTTTTCTAACAATGACTTTAAAGAAATAACCATCTTTCCCGAGTCAGGTCTCATGGAAATAATAATAGTAGCAACCACTTGGCAACAATTGTCAGCAAAGACGGCATAGACAGCTTAGAAACAGACACTGATTTGAATCAGAATGATGTTTCTGGAGACACTCTTTTAGGCACCCCACTGAAAAAGTCCAAGTCAAACTCAAGCTACATTTCTGTCAAAGAAGCCTCAAGACCTCCTATGCCTCCCCTTCCAGCAGCTACTCTGGCCCCACCAGATACTGGAACTTCCTTTTTCTCTTCTGTTCTTTCAGCTGCTGGGAACGTTCTTCGTGGCACTTCATCTTCTCACGGCTTAGAACATAAAAGGTCTCTTTCGGATGGTACTTTTTTCCGTCTCCACGATACTTCTTCATATTACCACAACAATGACTTGAATAAGCGTTCTCTCGATGATCTCACCGACTCAAGCATGCGTACTACCGCAGAGTCAGATACTGCCTCGGCTTTCTCTGGAGTGCCTGAGCTGCGTGTCGAGCCTGCCCCTGCACGACCATCCATTGATACAATTGGTCATGGTGAATTGTCGTTAGAAGCATTAGGTCTGACGCCGGTTTTAACTGCGCCGCCTCAAGCCGCAACCATGACATTTCCCTCTGCTTCCGCGCAACCAACTGGAATTCCAATTCTTAATCTTCCAGGGCGCGGAGCGGATGCAAACAATTTTGGTCAACAGGGGGGAGGATTTTCAAATACTCAAACTTCCGCGGGTAACCGATCATCCGGGACATTTATTCCTCCGCCAAACCATGTTGTTTCTGGTGGTGGTGGTGGTAGTGGGTCAGGACCTACAGTTATGAGCTCCATTCCAGTTGCTCCTCCTCCTGCAGCTGCTACCGCAATCTCGGCTACGCCTAGCCAACAATACTACCACAGCCCCCAACTACAAGGTGTATCGTCTTCATCAGTACCTCCAATCACAACAGCACCGGGTTCAGTAGGAACAACAGCCGGAGATGTAGCTACTTCGGATATTCCAGTACTTAATATTCCGGAACTTGTTGTTCAACAACCGGAACGCACCTCAACTCCGCAATTTACTGTGCAGAATCCGGATGCCAACCTTTCTGGCTTGAACCTTAATGTCACTGATGCATCAGCTGCTGCGCCCAAGAAGCACGACGACTTGCCACTTTTGAATCCCATCACTGGGTTGCCTGGCCCCTCTTCTTTATTTTCCCCCGACCAACAACGCCAACCTATTTCTTCTTCTTCCACCATATCTCGACCAACTTCTCCAGCTAACCCTTCTGGAGGTATTTCATCTGCTATCGCTGCCTCTTCTCTTGCAATGGCTTCCGCAGCTCTCCCTATGGCTACGGACCAAATTACTCACAGCAAATCTTTCAGTGGTCCTCACACTCATTCCACTCTTGCTACCAGCAACTCATTTCGTCGTTCTGCTCGCGACCGGTCATCGCTTGACGGAGCGATTGTTCCTGGAACAGTTACTAGTTTTTTGCGCTCCCCCTCTGGATCTCTTCGTGGTCGGCGTAGACGCAAGTCTAGTGATATTTCACCTATACGGTTGAACACTTTAGTCATGGATAATGAAAAATCAGATGGAGACGATGTCGTCAACAATACTACTTCTGCTATGCAACCAGTGTCAACCAATACAATTCTTGGCAATCGGCGGTCAGCATATAAGGGCCATTTGGTGGGATTTGCATATGCCAACAAACGACGCAATCAAGAATTTCACCGCTTATTTCGATCCTTGCCACCATATGATCTTTTGCTTGATGATCACAGTTGTGCTCTCAGCAAGGACATTTTAATCCAAGGTCGCATGTACATTTCTGAGCACAATGTGTGCTTTAACTCCAACATTTTGGGCTGGGTGACAACGCTTGTCATTGGGTTTGACGAAATTGTTGGACTTGAAAAGAAAATGACTGCTGGGCTATTCCCCAATGGTATTACGATTCAAACTTTGCATAACAGGTACTCATTTGCAAGTTTCATATCTAGAGACAGTGTCTACGAATTTCTCATGTCTATTTGGAAACAAGCTGGTTCACGTGCTGAACAGAATGAATCAGGGTCGGGTGATGGCAATCAGTATTTGACTGAAGACAATGACTTTTCTGGAGACAGTGATGATGATAGTGACAGTGAAACTGATGATGACAATGAAGATGATGACGAAGATGGAGACTCTTCTGGCTACGAGGAGAGTGGATCTGATTTGTCATCTGTTTCATCGGTTGAGTCGGAGGATGAATTTGGAGATTCTGTACGCTCGCCACGGACCGCTACTGCTGGACACGAGGGTCCTAATGGTGGCGGGCGCAAGTCTTTCCATGATGGGAGGGAAAATGGTGGGTCTGAAGGTGCCAATGGAGGAGGTGAAGATGGTGGCAGTGGTGGTAGTAGTGGCGGTAATGCCAATGGAGGAGCATCTGGTGGTGGTGGACCAGGAGATGATGGGAATGGTGGTCGCAAGTGGCCTGTGTCCAATCTTGGGCCTGAAACACATGCACCTTCCAACCCCAATTATGATTACAATGCAGCTGGAGAAAAGCTATTATTGACTGAAACCATTAAGGCGCCGCTTGGGGTTGTTGTTAATTTACTTTTTGGCAATGACGTCACATGGCTGACCAAGTTTAACACTGACAATCAAAAGAATTTTGACCTGGCACATTTTGGCGCGTTCAGTTCTCTTGCGCCGGAGGGGTTTCGAAAGTACGAGTACACTAAGCCAATCAATGGGTCGATTGGACCGAAGCAGACGCGGTGCATTTGCACGGACAATATTGAGAAGTGGGACTTGGAGAGTCATGTTTCAGTGACGACATCTACACAAACTCCGGACGTGCCTAGTGGAAATAGTTTTTCTACCAAGACTAGATATACGATTTGGTGGGCAGGCAACAACCATACGACATTGATGCTAACTTACAAGATGGAATGGACTGGGCGCAGTTTGGTGAAGGGACTGATTGAAAAGGGGACGCAGGATGGTCAGATGGAGTTTGCTAAGGCACTTGTTGAAGAGCTTAATGGAACGGTCAAGGCTGTTGCTGGTCCCAAAGTTGGTGGAGCAGCGGCAGCTGGGGGCAAGAAGGGTAAGGCTGGGAAGAAGGTCAAGACCAAAGGCAAGAGCAAGAAGGCTGGTGCTGGAGAAGCGGAGGAGACTAGCAGGAGAGAACGGGAGAAGGCGGAGCGGGAGGCTAGAGAAGCAGCGGCTAGAAGGGCAGCAGCAGAGAAGAGTTATGTTTCGATTGTGCTTGATATGTTATTGTCGAATCCGATTGACATTGTTCCGATTCCCACGTGGGGGTTTGTGTTGATTGGTGTGTTTATTTTGTGGTTATTTGGAGCCTTTAGCAGTGGAGGAAGTAACAAGTATGGTCAGTATGACGACTTGGAAATTCCATTTTCGCAGTTTTTGGATGCTCGGTCTGGGCAATATGATATTGAGCCTGAGGGTCAAAGCCGGGCTTCATCGTGGTCATTTGGGAAAAAGACGAAGAAACAAGGTCGTGGAGAAGATGCTGGAGTCATGTACCCAATAGGTGCTTATGGAGCGAGACTTGCGCGGATCCGGCTGGAAGAGGAGTATTTATTGTGGAGTTGGATTGAGGACCGGTCACGGTTTTTGGGGCATGACAGTTCGCGACTTGTGGATTATGACAAGTTTGTGAAGCAGCAAGAAGAGGATACGAAGAATGGGGGTGGCAGTAGTGCAAGTGCAAGTACAAGTACAAGTACGAGTACAAGTAAAAGTAAAAGTAAAAGTGCAGTTGGTGCCGGTAGTGGTGGATATAGCAAGGATTTGAGAGTCAAGTACCGGGACCAAACGTTGAAGGAGGCGGTTCGGTTGACGGAGCTTCGACTTGCTGAGATTAAGCGGCGGTATGAAGTTTGAGAGTGTTATATACATATATAGTGAAGTCTATGAATGCACCAGGTGACATTTTTTTTTTTTTTTTTTTTTTTTTTAAACTTACTTGATGGTTATACAATATACAGAATACTTTGGAAGAATAATAAATAATAAATAATAAATAATAAATAATAAATAATAAATAATAAATAATAAATAATAAATAATAAATAATAAATAATAAATAATAAATAATAAATAATAAATAATAAATAATAAATAATAAATAATAAATAATAAATAATAAATAATAAATAATAAATAATAAATAATAAATAATAAATAATAATAAGAAGCAAAAAAAAAAAAAAAGAATAGACTATTAAGCTATGAGAGGATCAGCAAGTTTCAAATATGATTTTAGTCGCGAAAGTAGTTTTGCTGGAGTGGCTGGCGCTTGCTGTTGTTGTTGTTGTTGTTGTTGATGTAGTGAAGAGAAGGCCGAACCGAGCAAAGAGCCGCTAGACGTTGAATTATTTGAATCAACGTTATTAATAGTATTTGTTATTGAGCTGGAATTTGAATTATCCGTGTCACTTGCACCAGATGTGATTTGCGCGGCTCCTTGTCGCAGTGTACCTTCAGATGTACCGATAGCCCATAGCTGCCCCTGCCGCTCCAGTCTGCGATTAGCGTTATTGATTGTGGTAGAAGAGGAAGGTTGGTGACTACTACTGTTATTACTACTGTTATTACTACTACTACTACTATTAATACTGTTACTAGTGTTAGCTGGATCGTCTTGTGTATTGGTGGCCACGAGAATAGGCGACCGGGACCGGGGTCTTAGTGCCGACACGGTTTGTCTTAAAGTTTGAACAGGTGAGCTTGATCTGGAAGAAGTGTTATTATTGTTATTATTGTTGCAACGGGTCCCGCGGCGGCTAATATTACCATAACCGCCAATGCCGGTGTGACGAGCACGTTGTGCGCCCGCGGGCGGGTAATTATAATAAGAGGGCGGGTAAGGCTGTGCGTTAATTGTGCGGCGGAGGAGGTTGTTGTTGCGAGAAGATCTTGTACGTGGAGGTGGGACGAGTGTTGTAAGAGAAGCAATAGAATCTGTAGAGGAAGAACGATGGAGTGGTGAAGATGAAGAGATGATTATAGAATCGACTAGAGTTCTGAGAGTATCTGAAGAACGAGATGGTGTGAGAGTTGAAGTCATTATAATGAAGTGAGGGAGGGGTTTATTTATTTATTTTTAAAGAAAAGAAAAGAGAAAGAAAGAAAGAAAGAAAAAAAAAAAAAAAGGACGAGGATTATTTTTGATTTCTTTTATAATAAAAAAAATTTTTTTTTTTTTAATTAAAATAGATTTTGGGGAATGGAATTAATTAATTATTGTATATATACCAAAATATGACTTTTATTTATATATATATATATATATATCGGCAGGCCCTGCCTATGATAGAAACTAAACAAAAATGTATTCTTTTTTTTTTTTTTTTTTTTTTAATTACGAAATAAATGTATCTTTTTTTAAATAAATAAATAAATAAATTTATTTATATATTAATGAAAATATTAAATGGAAAATATTTGCAATTTCATCATTTTTTTTTATTTAGAAAATCTCCAAAATTTCTAAATTTCCATTACAAGAAAATAATAAACGAAATCAATAAAATAAAAAAAAAAAAAAACGGTTGAATTTTAAAAAATTTAAAAAATTTAAAAAATTTAATTTTTTTTTTTTTTTTGTCACAAGCGAGTTTTTTTTGCTTGAAATTTATTTATTTTTTATTAAAAAAAAATACAAGCAAAAGTACTTCAACATAAATTTATATATAAATTACCCGTTTATTTATTTTATTTTATTTTATTTCCATCTTTTTTAACAGATTTTAAATCCAAAAGCAAGAAGCAAGAAGTAAGAAGTAAGAAGTAAGAAATAAAAAGCAAGAAGCAGTTACTAACAAATATAAAATAAAATAATAACAAAAAAAATAAAAAGATAAAAAAAAAAAGATCATCTGCTTTCTTTTCTTTTCCTTTCCTTTCCTGTCTTTGCTTGCTTTTAAAACCGTTAAATCTCTTTTTTTTTTTTTATTTTTTTGTTCGCCTTTTCGGGCTACCCACATCTTGCCAATTTTAAAGCCAAGCCAAGCTTAAATAATTATTTATATAATTATATTTTTTATTTAATAATAATAATCCCGGAAAAACCCTTGCCGCAATAAAATAAAATAAAATCCTCATAATTATAAAATTATAAAATTATAAAAAACCCCTAACCCACTCTAACATCCCGCAGCCCTACAAATACTCTCTACCCGTGCCCGACTACTAGCAATGTGTCCAGCACAATGCTCCAGCTCGGCGTCCCGAACATCAAATACCCTCCACCATCCTCTGCAAACCATCAATGATTCATCATCACCATCACGAATACCACCACCACCACAAATACTATCCTCTCCAACTACACTCTCAATAGCAGCACATGCTAGTGTTCGTCCACTATGAATCCCAGTTGCCCACAAACTGCCCGCGGCCGCTTCTAAAATTCTCCCCACCACACGACCAACCATATCTCTGCTCCTTCTTCCCTGTTCTTTCTCCTGCTGCCGTTCGGCCTTCTCCTTATCTCCAACATCAACATCAACACAAAGCCCAATCATCGCACAGTATGCAATAGCAAGTGTCACCGCACTCGCTCGCCCAGAACTCATATCGTACCCAAGTGCAGCCAGTATCCGAGGCTCCGCTTGTAAAATTGCACTTGAAGAAGGACGATTCCACTGAAAATAAGGCTTGATTGTAGATTCCCTCCCATTGTTAGCCTCACACAAGTGACCCACAGCAAGACTCACCGCCTGCGGCGAGGCACCGAGCTCTGGTGTACAGCCTGTAACTGTTTTAGCGGCTAGATATAAAGATGCAGCTGCGCGGGCTGCAACATTGTTTCGAATGCTCAATTCATCATTATTAACCTGCTCTTCTTCACTCGTAAACGGCCACATGATGACACCCCGATTAAATATAATAAGCGCCCGTAAAAGTGCTTCAACAGGCATTCGTAGAATTATTCCTGCTGGATACACAAGTTGGCAACTAGCTGCAACGCTTTCTTCTTCAAGCCTAGGGTTCACCTTTAAAGCTTCCCAAACGTCTTGGGATGTCGGAAGAGCCTCCGTAAACATGTCTGGCAACTCCTCTTCCTCATTGCTACTCATCATCACTTGTTTATTTTGGATTAAATCCAGTTTAAATATTTGATTGTTGTTGAAATTGTTGAGATTATTGAAATTTTTTAAAAAAAAATATATAAATAAATAAATAGAGATCCTCTTGTTAATTACAATTACAGTTACAAAAAAAACTTCACACAACAGCCATTTCCATCTTCTTCTTAGCCCTCTTCATCAACCTCTTCGAGACCTTACGCTGGTGTCGCACCCAACTCTTACGCACATACCTCTTCAAGTGCCGGTACCATTCAAGCACAGATGTAACCATCACCAGCAACAATACCCCAAATGCAAATGGCACAGCAATCTTCCAATACAAAGGTGTCCCAGCCTCCAATAGCGTAAAGTTCTCAAAGTTCATTCCAAAATACCCCGTCCAAAACGATAAAGGCATAAAGACTACCGTAACAAGTGACAACTGCTTCACACCATCACTGCTCTGAATCGATATCGTATTGAAAATCATATCAATCATATTCTTCGTATTGTTCCTCATCAAATCAAGATCCTGTGTGTATGATAACAAGTGATCAGAAACATCCGCAAGATAAACCTTGGCCACTGCCGAAATCCGACTGTTCCCAAAATATGAATTATTATCTTCATGGACTGTTGACGATGATGACCCCGTAGATGTAGATAATAAAACTGCTGCTGTTCCTGTAGAATTATCCCCCACCTTCCCCTCACCCTCCTTTTCATTATCTCCTCCTTCAATATTGTCTACTCCTCCCTCCATAGCCACTGGCCCATTCCCCACAACCCCAGACTGCGTGTGGTCTCTTAACGACTGAATCAGTGACGTAATTGGCACAATATTGTTGCGCAACAATGACAACTCTGCAGCCATCAAGTGCAAGTCCTGAGTATGCGACATGTTGGGCATCACCATAACATCCATTTCCAATTCAGTCAGCCGCCGCCGGTACGCCGTAATTATCGGCTGAGCCTGGTCAACAATAATATCTATAATGGCCTGCAGCAACATAGACGGGTCGCAAGACTCTCGTAGCATCGTAGACTTGGTCGATAACCGTGCAAGTAGCGGTCGCTCAATATCCACAGCAGAGTGCTCGAAAAATGAAATCACCGTTTGTTGATCAGTCAAAAATAACGACACTTGCTCAACACCAACCGCTCGTCGATATGCCGCCAGCGGCCGCTTCTTTTCAATGTAAACTGGCTTCTTCAAACTTGCAACGTACGGATTGTTCCAGTCATAAATTGTATTCGTAGGCATCTCAGCAATCTGACTTGACAATGGCTTATCGCTGCTCGCCGTAGATGAGTCGCTATCTCCGTCATCGCTAATAAACCCAGACCCTCCCACATCTCTTCGCCGGCCCATCGTAGACACTCGCGACCTAATTGGCCGCACACGAGATGAATTTCCTCCAGTCGTTGTCCCATTCGACTCAGCACTTTTTCTAAACCATCGTAAACGCTTGGCTTGCTCAGAGGAATCGTCTGGCTTGTATGAAATAAGCTTATGCAGTGGCAGCACGCAGAACGTGTGTGTTGGATACATGTCCACCTTAGTTCGCTGCGGAATGTCAATCATATCTTCAATCGCAAGACGATGCAGTTGGTACCGCTGAGAAATTGCAGAAATTGTTTCCCAAGATAATCCATTCACTGAAATCCAACGAACAGATGACCACTCAGGTCTATTGTCAAGATGATCATAAAAATCCTTGTTTTGTTCATCCACTCGAGATGATGGCGCCCCATTCACTCCAGGAGTCGTCTGCGCACTATTCTGCCACCATTGAGCATACAACGGAGCACTGCCAGGAGTATGCCCATCTTCTTCTTCTTCTCCATCTGGATGGTGCTCAGGAAGAACCTCAGTCTGAACAATTCGGTACCGAGACCCATTATAATCAACAATAGTAACACACGATCCAATGCTCTGCAAAATAACATCCGTCGTGCGGATATCAACACCAGGCTCCCACCCAGCTCGTCGTCGAGCTGCTGCTGCTGAAGCCATACTTGCAGAGTATCGACGGTGTGACTTTCTCCGCTTCCGGGTCTTCTTGCGCCTATTCCCATGCTCATCTTCAGCCCCACCATCACCTCCAGCTCCTCCCTCACTACCACCATTTTGCTTCGCATGTCGCCGGTGCCGTCTGTTAGAATCGCGCTCAGGCTCTTCAATTACAACATCACCATCTGTAGATGGTACAACTTTTTCATTCACCACTTCTTGCTCAATCACTGGGAACGCATGTGTTGACTGATACTCATGTGCATTTTCCCCAGGAATTCCATACGGTTTATTGTTTTCTCCTCCGGACCCACGCATCACTTCAGCTGACTTTCGTCGGAAAATCGAGTTTTTCGGGGGCTCTGCAGACCCTCCATTGGTAACTATAACCTCATCCTCCTCATCATCTCCATCTCCATCGCCATAACCTGAAGCTATGGCCTCGTCGTCACCATCATTCCCATCGTCCTCCATGTCATCAAATAAAACACGCGCATCACTGGTGCTTCCACGACTCACGCTTGAGCTGCGACCCACTGGCACAACATCCACATTGACATCCTCCTCATCATCTGTAAACTGTTCCTTACCACCCTCTACTTCTAAGTATTTTTCGTCCCCATCACCCGCTTCTTCTTCTTCAATAACAGTGGAATCATTATGAGTGCGCTCACGTTGTGCCCGACGAGCAAGAAACCTAAAGCGTTCACGATGCTCTTCAGAGCGCGATGCGGGTGGCTCTATTCCGCGGCGACGCCGTTGACGTCTTTGTCGTGAACCCAAGTTATCATCATTTGTGTCAGATGTGGGCGAAAGCATATGTGCAGCTTCAATCACTACACGAGAAAAGGCACGTACAAATCGTTGGGTGCCACCACCACCACCACCACTGTTGGGGTCCTCTGAGGTATTCTCGTTTGCAGCAGCAGTTAGTGGTCCCGGTGAATTTGGGCTCAACGGAGATGGTGAAGGCTGATGATCACCAGAAGATGCAGTAGCTTGGTATCGTTGCTGGTTGTTGATATAAAACGCAGTTGCACGTTCGTCACGAGTATAAGAAGCCGAGCCCGGTGGAGGTTGGACCGAGGCTTGTGGGCGATAAAAGCCATTATCAGAACCTCCGCGGGGGAAATCCTGGCTGCTTCTGCTGGCGTGCTGAGATGCATCATCGTCAGAATCGGACGACGATGATGGAGATTCTGAAGAAGTATCAGTAGACGAGAGATTTGAATACGAGTCGTCTGTTGAGTAAAATGTTTCCTCAAAGTCGCGATCAAACTCTCGTGCAGAGTCAAAGACAAACGTGCGTGAAGATGGAGCTGCCATGGTTCCGACTGTTTCTCTTTTTTTCTCTTAAAGGGTTCTTCCTCTTCTTCTTCTTCTGGTTCTTATTTTTATTTTTTTATACGATCAAGCCCCGGAGACTGAAAATCTTGGGCACATTGGTAGGGATTTGAAAAGATTCGTTGTTTTGTAGTTTTAATTATATCTACATGTGATAGTTTAAAGAAACAAAAAAAAAAAAAAAAAAAAAAAAAAAACGGGAATTATAAAAACAAGGGGCTTTTTTTTTATTTTTAATTTTTTTGGGTAATCATAAAAATGCTATTAGTGTGTAGTGGGAAATTTTCTGTTTCCACACTGTGGGAAAATTTTCATACACATACACACGCGAGGCGCACTGACATGTTTGCTTAAAATAGCTAAAATGAAATACATTTTTCCTAATTGGGAAGATCGCCGCACGCTATCCATGTGAGTCAAACAATTGGCTTTGAAGCTTTAAAATGTTATAACTGAAATTTTTCCTTGTTTTTTTTTTTTTTTTTTTTTTTTCAAATAAACAATTCGTTCTATTAATAAATTATATTTTACATTCATTTCTATATTTGATTATTATTTAAATAATAAGAAAAAATAAATATAAATTTTGCTCAAACTGAAGAAACTTCCTTACGACGAGCACGCTTGCGCAACCGCTTCTCAATCTTGTGTTGCCGACGATGCCATTGCTTGCGCAATCTACGTAGCATCCGAAGACAAAACTGGTAAATAGGCCAAATCATAATGATTGCCAACATTCCAATCGTAAATGGAATCGAAATGATCCAAAATAAATTGGTACCCTGTCCCAACATTGTAAAATGCTCAAAGTTCATGCCAAAGTAACTGGTCCAAAACGTCAACGGCATAAAAACAACAGTCACAAACGTCAACTGGTTCACACCTTCTCCACTCACATAAAAAATTGTATTGAAAATCATTTCAATCATGTTTTGGGTGTTTTTCCGCATCATATCCAGATCCTGCATGTAGGAAAACAAGTGATCACTAATATCTCCAAAGTACAGCTTAGTCAATGGTGTTATTCCAACCATGGAAGGATTCGAATTAGAAGTCGCCGGGTTCTTGGGAGCTTGCGACAATCCAGCTGCAATAAAGTCCCGCACATTAACTTGAGCATCAGAACTCTTACCCAATGCATACCGTGATGGTGACCGCTTAGCCCCCTGAGAATTGGGCTTCTCGCCAGCAGCCTCCAGAGCATTAATGGCTGCGCTAAGCGCCGGGTTTGTTTTGTTACCATGATTAGCATGGCCATGATTTTTTGTTGTCCCCTTGTGTGCAACTGCAGCTGCAGTATGATCACGTAGAGACTGTACTAGTGTCGAAATCGGCATGATGGTGTTACTCAGCAAGGAAAGCTCAGCCGCCATCAAGTGAAGATCCTGAGTATGTGCCATGGTGGGAGTTACCATAGCATCAACTTCAAGCTCTGTAAATCGGCGCCGGTAAGCAGTAATGATAGGCTGTGCCTGGTCAACAATAATATCAATGATTGCCTGAAGTAACATTGATGGATCGCAAGATTCACGCAACATGGTGGACTTGGTAGAAAGACGAGCAAGCAAAGGTCGCTCAATATCCGGTGCAGATCGCTCAAAAAAGGAAATGACCGTTTTTTGGTTCGTCAAAAACAATGAAACTTGCTCAACGCCCACCGCACGATGGTATTTGGCCAATGGTCGCTTCTTTTCAATAAAGGCAGGTGTTTTCCCGTGTGAGGTTTGCTTCATGTACGTATTGTTCCAATCGTAAATTGTCTTATCTTGCTGCTTTGATAGCCGCCAAGTCAATGACCGAGTAGAGTCATCACCCTGATCACTTGAATCACTTGACGAACTATCACTATCGTAAAATGTAGCTACTTGCTTCACACCAGAGGCAACCTTATGAGTAAACTTGCGCGACATTTTGGATACTCCACTATTGAGAAATGGATTAAGAGTGGAAGTATGAGCACGCTTATGTCCAGGAGATGGGGGTGGTTGTTGAGAAGACATAGTGGTAGCTGCTCTATTTGGTGTTTGAGCCGGTGTTCGAGTCGGTACCCTTGTTGTGGGCCGTGAGGGCTGTGAATCACGGTTCATAATTCCATTCATATCTTGCATTTCCACTCCAGGATTAACAACAACAACTTCTTCCTCATCCTCCTCCTCGTTTTGATCACGAGAAAACCAGCCCTTAAAAAGCCGCGGGAAATGCACATTATGATCAAGCATCCACTCGGCAACAGACCAAGGAACCCAGTACCAAATCCATGACGGCTTAATAGGCTCGCTACTCAAACTCTCCATAGAGTTGCGTCGATGAGAGTGATGGTTTTGTGTACTGTGAGTACTAGCATTTGTTTGTGATCGCCGAATGTGCTCATGATGATCGTTTTTGGAAATGGTCCCCGTCCCTTGGCCACTTCCCTTTGTATTATCTGTAGGTTTGTAAAACACAAGCTTGTGCATAGGCAGCACACAAAAAATATGACTTGGATACATATCGGCTTTAGTGCGTTGAGGGATTTCAACCATATCTTCAATAGCAAGACGATGCAACTGGAACCGCTGCGAAATGGCAGAAATCGTTTCCCATGAAAGCCCATTGACAGAAATCCACCGCACTGAAGACCAAGCAGGCCGGTTATCAAGATGAAAATAAAAGTCGGCATTTTTCTGTTGCGCGCGTGAAATCCCCGGAATTTCAACAACCTCGCCATTTTCGTCCTCGTACTCATAAGTCAAGTCTTCACCTTCCGGGTACACCTCCGTTTGAACCACTCGATAGCGAGTCGCATTATAGTCTACAATTGTCACCACAGATCCAATGCTTTGAAGAATGGCCTGTGTATAACGAATATCAATACCAGGGTCCCATCCAGCACGTCGACGAGCAGCTGCAGCAGATGTCGATGTCATGCTGCGAGAGTAGTATCGGTGCGACTTGACGCGTTTAAGTCTATTGCGCTGTTTTTTGCGCCGAGGGACTTGCTCGGCCTCCAAGTCCACGCCTTCTTCTTCTTCTTCTTCCTCACCAAGAGTATTTGATAAAGCAATAGCCGCCTTGCGTGCCTTGCGTCGTTCCTTTTTAAGTCGGTGAAGCTCAGATGACGGTACAATAGGTTCCTCAATCTTGACAGGACGAGAAGTAGTGTTTTTGGCCCTATTCTCAACAAGATTGGCTTCGTCATTCAAAGTTTCACTGTCGTCCTTTCGGTTCATCATAATTCCAGGCGGCGCTGGAGCGCCATTCCCAACGCTGATTTCCATACCACCGTCATCCTCAAACTCACCTTCATCTTCATTATTAGCTCTATCGTCGCGTCTATCATTGTTGCTGCTACGGTCTTCACCCAAAGAGAAGTAATCGCACTCGCTAGCATAACCCTCGCTCTCATTATCAGAGTCTGAGTGCATGGCATTTGCATGTTTTTGAGCCTGGGACTTGATAATTGATTTGAGACGATACAAAGGATCTGCGCGCCGCTGACTTTTAGAGCTGCGCACGCTGTGCAAACTACTGGACTGACTATTGACACTGTAAAAACTGTGCGCACTAGCAGCACTCAACCGACGACCACCAGGACCTAAATGGTCTGTGTTTTGCGCAACGCCCAAAGTCGATGAAGAGGAGGATATAGTAGGTGCAGTATTTGATCGCAGTGGCACTCTATTAGGGTGAACGTCATGCGCTGTAGTTCCATCTAGAGTCTGGTTGCGGGTACCACCAAACCCAGCGTTGCGGTGGAAGTTCCCAGTGTTGTTGCGGTGCCCAAAAGTGTGCCGAGACTGATTGTTATTGTTATTATTGTTGTTGCTATTACTGGTAGTTTGCTGCTGCTCAGCCAAGTAGTGTTGCTGCTCACCTTGGCCCAAATGGTTGTGGTAGACGTCATTATCTGAGTCTCCATCCGAAGGAATATCCAGAGGACCTGAAGCCGAGGAGGAGGATGAAGATGAAGATGTTGACGACGAAGATGAAGTCGTAACAGACGAGTCACTATCATCCGACGAAAAGAAAGTGGCCTCAACGTCGTTGTAACCGTCAAGCACATTATTATCGTTGGAATCGAAAACAAATGTTCTTCCGTGCTGCTGCGAGGGCGTCATGGTGTAAATATGTGTGGGGTATTATATTCAATAGTTTCTCTTTCTTTCTTTCTTTCTCTCTCTTTCTCTATGAAATTCTAATGAAAAATGAAAGGGGGGGGAAAAAAAGTCTGTTCAGCCCATTATCAGAGATTTTTTCAGGATACCAACATGGTCTGGCTAGTAAGGAAAGAAAACTGAATGGCGCTGGAAGTTTTTTATTTTATTTTTTTTTTTTTTTTATGGTGGATGGTGAGTGGGAAAATTTTCCCGGTAGGTGGTGGACATGCACATGCAGCATCACAACGGGCAGGCTGCACCCATATATAGCATAGAATAGAGGCATCAGATAAACAAAGCAATCAGATTCGAAGAACTAGGATAAAAGCAATCTAGGAATTGTTAATGTTTTGATTATTTAATTAATGAAAAAAAAAAAAAAACATTTACAAGTCCTCTTTACAGATTTGATTATTTTTTTTCATTAAAAATACTAGATCTATGCACAATTTTACCGGTTCCCAAATTTCTGTTGAGGCCCAAAAACATCTTTTTTTGTACCAAAAAAAAGAGCATTTCAAGTCTATTTTGAAGCCAAGACGACATTTTAAAATAGCAACCAGGCTCCATCCGTATATCTAATTGTATATACTTTTAAAAGAAAAATTCCCTCTAAAGTAGCCCATTACCACACGTGTAGCCAGCCAGTGGACTCCTTTTCTCTGAAAAATGTTGTAGTTTAGCACTCATGTTAGTAATGAATGTTTGAAAAAAAAAAAAAAAAAAAAAAAAGAAAAACTCGCAGGTACGGCTAATAATGCGGCTCTGCCAAAAAAATGTAAATTTCTATATTTAGGTTTTGGTGATTTTGTTCAATCGATTCAAGTACGAATAGAAACTCTTGAGTAAATCCTTGAGCCCACCATTCTTGGCCTTGGTCAAAATGTCTGAGGCTTCTCCCTTTGTGATATCTTCAACCCATTCTAAATTATCCTCTGGAGTACTGGTTTCAGGCTCAGTGTTTTCTCCCCCGCGTCTTTTGTTGCGCTCTTTAAGAAACTTGTTGTGAAGACTCGTAATCTCGCGACTCTCAAGAGTTTTTTTCAGCAACTTCTTTATCAAATCAACTTGAGCACTGCTAGCAGGTTGATTGCGCCATGGCGCTCGTCGCTGAACCATATACGGGCTCTCAAAATATTTCTCCGTCAATGAATCAGCAGCTCTTAGAGCCACCTTGTTTGGTAGTTTCTCGGCAACAGTTTGTTTAATTGTGTACTTCTTTTTTCTAGAATCAACCTTTTCAAAATCTTTTAACTTTTTAATCCCTTGTTTATTTCCATGCTCATTAATTAGATGCTCCAAATAGGTGTATTGGTCCACAACTTCAAACTTTTCCAAGCGCCAGGTATCTTCCTTGTCAGGTTCATTAGGCTCCAAAACTAGATTTAGTTGTTTTTCCTTACCTGTAAGAACATACATGTTGTCTTTAATAGGAACCCAAGCATATGGACTAGTAAAGATATCCAAACGAGGCTTTTTGGACTTGGACTTATTCTTATCAGGTTTCATGCCCAAAAAATCCACAATTCCCTCGTAAGTTTCAATTTTAATTTTATCCACATCAATACCAGGAGGAACATTTTCAGGAATATTCTCTTCTTTTTCTTTCTTTTCCTTCTCTTCCTTTTCTCTTTCTTCCCTTTCCCTCTCTTTCTTTCTCTTCTCTTCATTCATTTCCTCAATTTCCTTCAAAGAAACATCTTCAACCAAATCATTTGGATCCAATCCCATAAGTGTAGGAGTCGTATACATGCCACTCTTTTGTGCAGAAGTGCTTCCCACAAAATCAATTAAATGACAGTGTTCTTTCCCAGGGTGTAACCTTAATCCACGGCCCACCATTTGTACTAATAAAGATTCCGAGCGGGTGGGTCGCAGAAGCATTATTGCGTCAATATTGGGAATATCAGTTCCTTCTGTCAAAATAGCACAATTGATGAGCACGGGTGTCTCTCTATTTTTAAACCGCTTAAGAATGGCAGCACGTTCTCCATCAGGAGTTTTGGAAGAAATGTATTCTGCAGATATATTATGTTCTTGGAATTTTGTCGCAAGATCTTCGGCATGTTTAATGTCGACACAAAAAATTAAAGTCGAAAGATACTTTTCCAAGCATATCCGTTTCCAAATCTTGACCACAAGTTCATTGATTTCGTTTGTATTTAAAATTTTGGAAAGTAGCCCAGAATTGTAATCACCACGCTTAGATGGTGGTTTGATTTTTCGAATACTGGGGCTTTTTAAAGTATTTGTCATGAGTCTCTGTCGCTCTTGTTCTTCCCATTTTGCATTTTCTTCATCAAGAAGCGGCTGCAAATCATAAGAAGCTTTGATAGTTGTAAGTCTTAAATCAGAAAGAAACCCATCTTTAATCATTTCCATCATGCTTCGGTGGTATACTACATGGTCCATGGCAGACTTTAAGCTTAATCCATCGAGCCGCGAAAATGTAGCAGAAAAGCCAGCTACATAAATTTTGGTTTCTGGAGTTCCTGCTCCAAAAAACTTAAGGATCTTTAAATATGTAGGCGCCGCGGCATGATGGGCCTCATCTACAATAATTAGTTTAAATCTTTTTGGATCAAACTGAGGGTATTCTAAGCGTTTTAAAGATTTGGTAGTTAATGTTGGCACGGAAGCTACAATAACATCTGCATCAACATCTGCACATTCCTTCCCCATTTCAATCTGGACTTTTAAATGCGGGCAAACCCGTTGAACTGTATCACGAGCCTGAGTTGCGAGCTCGCGACGGTGTACGAGGATCAGTACGCAAGAGCCTTGGCCTGGCTGTGGAGTGATTTGAGATAAAAGATGGGAAAAAATAACTGTTTTTCCTGAGCCCGTAGCAAGTGAAACAGCGATGCGGTTTTTCCCATTGGCAAATGATTCAAGGCATTCCTTGATACACTCATTTTGGTATGACCGAAGAGATATTTTGTGTGAGTTTTGGGTGAGTGAAGAATCAATGTTTAAAAAACCAACTGAGGGTTCAGTTAAACGACGAATAAAAACTAGACCAGAAGTACATTTTCGAGAACCAGGCTGTACAATAGTAGATCGTATCAGGCATCCTTTTGATTGTTGCAGATACCGGAGCAAAATCATGTCAGGTCTTGGTAGGTTTGATTGAAAGAAAAAAAAAATAAAAATAAAAATAAAAAAATGAAGAAATTATGGTTAAATCAGTGAGAACATTCTTTAAAATACGCATGTTACGGGTATCTTTGGGGCCGGTTTGTAAAATATTAGCAACAAGAGTTTGTCAGCATTTTCTTTTACAAACACATTTTAATAACATTACCCAACAGTCACCTTGGATCAACATCCCTGGAATTAAATATAAAAGAGCACATGTTTTTCTAATATTAATTGAAATACAAAAAAATATAAAATAATGAAAACTATTTTCAGGGTGATTTTACTATTCCTGGCGGTGCTGCTAGGGGTGGTTCAAGGCGAGCATACAAACAACTGGGCGGTGCTGGTATCAACATCGCGGTTTTGGTTCAACTACAGACACATGGCCAACGTGCTGAGCATGTATCGCACTGTCAAGCGTCTGGGTATTCCAGACTCGCAGATCATTTTGATGTTATCTGACGACGTTTCGTGCAATCCTCGCAATCTTTTCCCCGGAAAAGTGTACAACAATGCAGACCGTGCGTTGGACTTATATGGCGATAATATCGAGGTAGACTACCGAGGTTATGAAGTGACAGTGGAGAACTTTATTCGCCTACTGACAGACCGGTGGGATGGAGACAAGCAGCCGCGATCTAAACGACTTCTTACGGACGACCGGTCTAATATTTTCATCTACATGACGGGACACGGAGGGAATGAGTTTCTCAAGTTTCAGGATGCGGAGGAGATTGGAGCTCAGGACATTGCAGATGCATTTGAGCAAATGTGGGAAAAGCGGCGGTACAATGAGATTCTATTTATGATCGATACATGCCAGGCCAATACTATGTATTCGCGGTTCTATTCGCCCAATATTTTGGCGGTAGGGTCGTCGAAGCTTGACGAGAGCAGTTACTCGCATCATGCAGACACAGATGTTGGTGTTGCGGTGATTGACCGATTTACGTACTACAATTTGGAGTTTTTGGAGAAGGTTGACCGCCAGTCGAAAACGACGATTGCGGATTTGTTTGCGTCGTATAACCCGAAGGACATTCACTCGAATCCAGGGATCCGCGCGGACCTGTTTAAGCGGGATCTCAAGGACGTCCTGGTGACGGACTTTTTCGGGAGTGTGCAACATGCTGAGGTAGACAACAGCACACACAATGGGACTGACGTTGACACCATTCTCAAGAACCTGATGGTTTCCGAGGAGCTTAGAGACAAGATTGTTGGGCGGGGGGGGAACACCACGGAGGTTGAAACCCCAGAAGTTGCATCATCAACAGCAGCAGCGGCAGCAGCAGCCGGACCTAAGGAAGAGACTGGGAAGCCATTGCCCGAGGCTGATGACTCTGCGCACGGCCCATTGTCGGTGCTCGGTCCCGCAACCATAGCCGCAATTGCAGCAGTGGTTTTCATCGGGTCATCGCTTGTACGGTTATAAGTAGGAATAGAAAGAAAGAAAGAGAGAGAGTGAGAGAGAAAAGGGTTTTATATATATAAATTTTACAGTATAAAAATAAAAAAATAATTAATTAATTGGCGTATTGAATACGTGAGCGCAGACACACACACACTATTATATATATACATATATAACTTCCACCCGCACTCACCCCACTCTTTTGTTGTGTATGAGTGTATCCAGTCTAAAGATGATTAGGGCAATTAATTTCTGCGGGTGGCCAACACTCTGCCGAAGGGTCTCAAGCAGCCCATTGTAAAGCTCAAGTCTCCACGTATAAATAGCCCGGGTTTTCCCATAATTTCTCTCTTCCCCTTTTTTTTTTTTTTTTTTTTTTTTTTTTACTTTTTAATATCTATTTTGAGACAATATCTTATTATATATATAAATTCTCAATTCCAACCTTTAATTCCTACTCAATTCTTCCTTTTTTTGTTCTTTTTTTTTCCCCTCCATAACAATCTTCATCTTTTGTAACAAAATTATCACAATGGCTACCAACTACACTACCTTCAACCAGGCCACAGACCTCCCCACATGGTCCAAGCTCGAGGAACTGCACGCCAAAAAGGGCAAGAGCCTTTCTGTAAAGGAAGAGTTTGCCAGCAATCCCAAGCGCTTTGAAGAGTTTACCCGTACTCTGACCAATTACGACGGTAGCAAGGTTCTTTTTGACTTTAGTAAAAACATTGTGGACGAAGAGATTTTGGCCACTCTTTTACAGCTCGCCAAGGATGCAAAGATTGAGGAGCTGCGCCAGGCTCTGTTTGCCGGTGACCACATCAACTTTACCGAAAACCGTGCTGTGTACCACATGGCGCTACGTAACACTCAGGGCCGACCCATGAAGGTCAATGGCGTCGACACTACCAAGGAGGTCCACAGCGTACTTGCACACATGAAGGAGTTTTCTGACTCTGTGCGCTCCGGTGAGTGGACAGGTTACTCAGGCAAGAAGATCACTGATATTGTCAACATTGGCATTGGTGGCTCTGATCTGGGGCCTGTTATGGTCACCGAGGCTCTTAAGGCATACTCTCAACGCGATCTGCATGTCCACTTTGTTTCCAACATTGATGGTACCCACACTGCTGAAACCTTACGCGGACTCAATCCTGAGACTACATTATTCCTTGTGGCCTCCAAGACTTTTACGACTGCCGAGACGGTGACCAATGCCACCTCAGCCAAGAATTGGTTTTTGGCGACTGCTAAGGACCCCAAACACATTGCAAAGCATTTTGTTGCGCTTTCTACCAATGCCGAAAAAGTCAAGGAATTTGGCATTGACACCAAAAATATGTTTGGTTTTGAGGACTGGGTTGGTGGCCGTTACTCTGTGTGGTCTGCCATTGGCTTATCTGTTGCCCTGTATATTGGCTACGAGAACTTTGAAGCCTTTTTGAAGGGTGGTGAGGCTGTTGATAAGCACTTTGTCGAGACCAAGTTGGAGGACAATATCCCTGTGATTGGTGGTCTGCTTTCAGTGTGGTACAATAACTTTTTTGGTGCTCAAACACACTTGGTTGCGCCGTTTGACCAGTACCTGCACCGATTCCCAGCTTACTTGCAGCAGCTGTCGATGGAATCTAATGGTAAGTCTGTGAACCGAGCCAATGAGTTTGTCAAGTATGAGACAGGTACCATTTTGTTTGGTGAGCCTGCAACAAATGCTCAACACTCATTCTTTCAGTTGGTTCACCAGGGCACCAAGCTGATTCCCGCAGACTTTATTCTTGCTGCTCAGTCGCATAATCCCATTGAGGGCAACTTGCACCAGCGCATGTTGGCTTCCAATTATTTTGCACAGGCCGAGGCATTGATGGTTGGCAAGCCCAAGGCAGTTGTGGAGGCTGAAGGTACTAAGCCTGAGCTTGTGAACCACAAGATTTTCCAGGGCAACAGACCCACGACATCGATTCTTGCACAGAAGATTACACCTGCAACATTGGGTGCGCTGATTGCATACTACGAGCACGTTACATTTGTTGAGGGTGCCATTTGGAACATCAACTCGTATGACCAGTGGGGAGTTGAGCTGGGCAAGGTTCTTGCTAAGGTTATTGGTGAGGAGCTCAAGGATAAGAAGCCTGTGTCAACACATGATGCGTCTACCCAGGGTCTTATTAACCAATTTAAAGAATGGTCTATTTGAGGTGGTTTTATTATTATTATATTATTGTTATTGTTATTTGGCTTTACTATTTTTGCGTTTTATTTAATTGAGTTTTCAAAAAAAAAAAAAAAAAAAAAGTATTTTTTTTTTTTGTTTGTTTGTTTTGAATTGATTGATAAGGTGGAATTGACTTAAAAAGGAGGACTAGGAGGAGTAGAAGGAAGAAGTTATTGTGGGCAACCCTTAACCTGTTTTAATAATAAGTTGTATACTTTAAAGTGTAAGGTTTATGTCATATGTGACAAGTTGTAGATACTATCTTAGGTCAGATTGCACTCTCTTCAATTGGTCTTTTTTTTTATTCTCTCGTTAGTGCACGCAAATCACTTAAAAAAAAAAAATAAAAAAAAAAACCGCTGAGGTTTCATTCAATCGTTGCTTCTCCTCTTTGAACAAAAAAACAAAAAAAAACCCTCCAGATAGATAAAAAAAATTTTACAATACTTTTCTTTCTCTGTTTTTTTTTTTTTGTTCTTCTTGAAATCTATTAAAACTTCAAGAATTTCTTGTTACTATTTATTTTTTTTTCTTTAATTTATAGAAAATCCAAAAAAAAAAAAAAACGAGTTTCAATTCAAATTACTGGGTGCGAGATAAAGACTTTCATACAAAAGACTACAAGACTTAAACATCACCATATATAGTTTATTAGAAGAAGAAAAAAAAAAAAAAAAAAAAAACTCACAAACACAAAAGAAATGCCCGCAAGAAGGCTCTCAAGAGCCGTGCTGACCACGGTACTCCGGCCCGTGGCTTCAGCAACCGCAATTCATTCGACAAGTATTAATAGCAATGTATGTTTGCCAGGCTCTATTTCTGCAGTAGCTACACGCCGACAACAACAACAATGCATTGCCACAATGGTACCCGGTTCATCATCTGGACTTTATTCGGAGAATACGACTCCGCACCGTGAAGTCATGGATGGTTCTGAGGCTGAGTATCTTGAAACAAGCAGTGGTGGTAATGGTGGTTGTGAGAAAGACAATGGCCACAAGAATCGCAATAACAGTAGCAGTAACAGTAACAAGTTTATGGACCAAGATACGGTGTTGTTGACAGAAGACGAAACTCAGGTGCTCCAGCGATTGGGACTGACAAGTAATGCAGGAGAACAATACCAGAGACTAGGAGCGCAACATGTTACAGGCTCTGGGTTGGCGCAGGTGTTAGGCGCGCTTGCAGCTGCTGCCGGGCTTCGTGGCGCTGATCTAGTGACAGGTGCAAACCCCGGGCCCGAGTCTCTTTTTAGCAACGTTACTTGCAACACATCTAAGACTACGACGACTACAGAGGCCTCTGCCCATGCAACCACTAATAATATCAATATGAGCATTCGCAATGGTAATAATAATGACCCAGGAAATAACAACCGTGGTGGAGGCAACGGCGGTGGCGGTGACGGAGGGTCGTACATTCAAAAACTGGAGAACCTGGCACGTCTGGTGGCCGATATTGATGCACGGGTCCCACACATGCTTCACTCTGCAAGCACGGCATCACCAGTGTCCAACAAAATGGAATTGTCGCCAGATATTGTGTTACGGTTGTTCCCTGACAGCCGTCAGTTTTATGAGACGGAGGTTGAGGATGAAGAGAGTGGAGATGGTGCGGCTGCGGGGTCAAATAAAGATGAGGCTCAAGGAGAATCTTCTACATCTACATCGTCTTCTACACATAAAAAAAAAAAAAGAAAACTGCACCTCAAAATCCCATTACCAGGAACAGGATTCGGACCCTTTTCGCACGGTGCAGGGTCAGCTCCAGGTCTTATGAGACCTTCCTTCCACGGCGGGTTGTCCGGATACCCTCAGTTGGGTCGTGAATCGTCTTCGTCTTCATCTGCATCTTCATCTTCATCTTCTTCCTCCATCAACGACAACAACGACGGGTCCAACGGCAACAGCAATGGTAATAATGGAATGTATCTTTCAGTGCCGATTCCACAAATCATCAAGGGCCGTGTTGCATATTCAGCAGCCATTCGGGCAGTTCAGTTGGTGGCAACGACCCTATTTGTACGTCCTGAAACACAGTTGCATGTCATTTCGTCGTATTTTGTGGGGCCCAGTGGTGAGTTGTTGTCACTTGGCGGTGGCTCACGGGCTGGGGTATTTGCGCCTGTTCGTGGAACAGATTTAGAGCAAGATGGAGATGAAAGAAATAATGGTGAAGGGAATGGGGATATCAATGAGGGAGAAAATTCAGGAGATACCTTGCCGCCACCGTCATCGTCACATAATCATAATCATCGTCATCATCATGATCACAGACATGCAGGGAAAACAGCAGCACATCAGGTTGCAGAAATGCTTGAGGGTGAGAGGGCTTCTGTTGTGCCCAAGAAGTATGTTATCAAATGGCGGACATGTTCTGAGGGGTGGTGTCATCATGGAGAGAGTAGCAGTTCATTATCTTCGTCTTCTTCTACGTCTTCTACGTCTTCTACGTCTTCTACGTCTTCTACGTCTTCTACGTCTTCTTCTTCGGTTCCTCTTTCGAGCCTAAAGTCTGATTCTGAATCGGCTGTAGGAAGTTCTGATGAAAACCCATTTTCGTTAGTAGAGAGGGTTATTCGTAAAGCCATGATGACATTAAGTCCACGTGCGGGAGGTGGCAGTGGTAGTGGTAGTAGTAGTGGCAGTGGGAATGGTTCTGCGTCTTATCTTATGGGTATTTTCGAATTTGAATTTACAGGAGATTGTACTCAGATTAATGTACATACGATCCAGGATGTGGAGCATTTGCGGGATGCGGTTGAAGATGATGTGGTGATAAGTCCAGCCTCGACTGCGTTTTTCTGAGAGAGAGAGAGAGAGAGAGAGAGAGAAACTTGGACAGTTTTTCTAAGGCTTGAATTTTGTTTATATGAATGAAGAAATAAGTAAATAAATGTATATAATAATAATAATAAAATCTACTGATTTCAATATCATCGTGACCTTTTTTTTCTTTTTTTTTTTAATCCTCACCCCCCATTTGTATATACGCCAACCTTACGTTTGGATTTCTTTTATTTTCTGTTTTTTTTATTTGTTTTTTTTTTTTTCTTCTTCTTCTTCTTCTTCTTCTTCTTCTTCTTCTTCTTCTTCTTCTTCTTCTTCTTCTTCTTCTAAATTACTTACTTTAAACAGACTTTTTCTTTTTCTTTTTTTTTTGTTGGGAAACGTTTTGGTCATCACGAAGAAGAAGAAGAAGAACGAAAAGGACTCGGAGGTGGAGGTGGAGGTGGTGGATTTTTATATGTGGAAGTTGCCGTTTTAATTTGCAATTACTGTTTGCAACAACAACAACAAAAAAAAAAAAAAAAAAAAAAAAAAAAAGGATTGTGGGGGGGGAATTAAGAAATAAAAAAAAATTTGGAAGTTTAAAGATTTTTATTTTTATTTTTATTTATTTATTTATTTATTTATTTATTTTTTTTTTTTAGTTAGCTTTCCGGAATGACGATCGGAGCGGGTTTATTAGTATATAAATATATAGTTAAACACAATGTTATATAACAAGTTATAACTTGTTGCACAAATAAATAAATAAATAAATAAAATAAAAAGGCATTTTCAAAATGAAAACCTCGGCTGGTTGATTAACCTTTTTATTTCCTTTTTAATTTATATATATATATATATATATATATAAATATATATTTTTTTTTTCAAAGTTCAGAGAAATCTTATTGTTAGTATATATAGAAGTCTGTCTCTCCGGTTTTCTCCACCTTAACCTCCCCGCATTTTCTTAAATATATTTATATTCATCTACTAAACACAAGACATGTAAATTTTTATACACACAAAAAAACAATTTTTTTTGATACAAAAAAGAAAATATATATATATATATAAAAAAAAAGTATATAAATAAATAAATATATATAATAATAATTAATAAGTCATCACATCATAAAAATATAAAAAAAAAACAAGAAAGGTTTTTTTTTGTTAATTTTTTTTTTTTAAATTTTTTTTTATAATTTTATTATTAAGTCCCCAAATTTGTTATTTTTTTTCTTTTTTTTTCATAAAAAATATTTCTTTTTCCTTTCTTTATTTTTTTTTTTTTTTTTTTTGGTTTCTTGTATTTAAAAAAAAATGCAATAAATATCATGGTTCTTCGTATATTCGTGATGGCGTTTGAAAGGCGTTATTAATATTACTTTAGGCAATTTATTTCAAATGCTGGTTTAGTTGGGTTTGCTGCTGTTTCTTTTTTGCTATAAAGCAAAAAAAATCTTTAAAAAAAAATAAAAGTCGTAAATGCATCAAATCTTCAAAAAAAATAAAAAAATCATCAAAAGTAAAAAAAAAAAACAAATCTATTGCTTTTTTTTTTCTCTCTCATATCTCAAAAAAAAAAAATTCCCATCAAGGCTTATTTTCTATTCTATCATCCCTAGAAAAAAAGGGCCTTTTTAACTTTAAAATATCTTCCTAATCAGATAATATTTTTTTTTCTCTTCAACTCAACGTAGGAACAGCCCAGTTATTATTGCGCGACGACATCATGGGTGGAACACCAGTCCCACCAGATCCAAATTTCTTGGGCGCAAGCTTTGTGGTAGATGATGCATTGTTGTTCTTCTTCTTCTTCTTCTTGTTATTATTATTATTATTACCCGCACTTGCAGTCGTAGCACCACCAGTGGTACCAGAACCGTTTGTGTTCCCAAAATCATCAGTATTCTCTTCAAGAGCCATCTCGCTCCGGAGCGGAGATGTCACGCGAACTTGCGCACCAGTCTTGGAAGAAGAAGAAGATAGAGACGAGGGAAATAACGGGGTACGCGAAAATGAGTGTTCCGTCAAATCCAGCATGCGCTGAACCTCATATTCATCAAAGTCGTCATCGTCAAAGTCGTCATCAAAGTCGTCAAAAGCGAACGAGTTCCACAAAGCATTGTTTTTGGGTATAACAATCGATGAGGGAGTAGGTGTTGCCGTGGCACTAGAACTAGGTTTGGTGGAAGAAGAAACAAGAGGTGAGGTGATAGTCGTGGCATTGGCGGTGGCTGCGGATGTAGCTATAGCTGAGACTGTTGTTGGGGATGAAACAGTAGCAGTTGCAGAAGCCGCGGCATGAGTAGTAGTAGTAGTAGCAGCAGCAGCAGCAGCAGCAGCAGTAGCAGCAGTAGCATTACGGCGAACAACCGAAGAGTAACCAACAGGATTACTAGCACCTATGACAACACTGCGACGACTACTATTGACGCTGCTAATGCTATCGTCATTAGAAGGAACTAACGAAGGTACAGAGTAAACCGATGACGTGTCATCAATATGGGCGCCATGCATGTTGCGGCCAAGATCGCTAAGAGCAGATCCAAGCTCATCCATAGCAAAGACTTCATCATCGTCATCATCATCATCAACACCATCATGGTAGTCCTCTTCTTCAGTAACAGACTCCATAAAGAGACGGCCATGTTGAGGAACAAGAGGGGTTGTTGTTGATGATGAAAACACTTGTGAGACACGTTTGCCATTGTCATAGTAACGGGACTGAGACACACCGCGGGAACTTCCAGAGTTGTTTGAGGCGGAGATACCATTGTGATGGTGGTTGGCAAAGTAGGAAGGGTTTGGTGGGGTGAATTGCATTGTGCGACTCCAAGAGTGGCTGAGCAAACTCTCACTGAGAATTTGGTGCGACATGTTAAGAGGAGTGCGCAAAGGTTCACGGTTATTGTTAGTGGGGACAATCTTATGGAGAGTAGCAGAAGGGATACTGGCAGTACCAGTAGCCAAGATGCTTGCAGAGAGGTGGGATGGGGTTGAAATGCCATTAGTAGGCGTATTATATGGGGGTCGTAACAAATTAGTAGGGGGTGCTGTAGTAGCAAGGGGGTCATTAGTGGTCGTAACGTTAAGACCCGAGTCAGGCAAAGCAATAGGAACAGGTTCGGTGACAAGGGTTGATTTGGTGGTGGCTTCAGTAGATGCATTAGGAGTGGCAATAGAAGCAGTAGCAGCAGTAGCAGTAGTAGCAGTAGTAGCAGTAGTAGCAGTAGTAGTAGCAACGGTGACTGCTGGAATAGTAGCAGTAGTAGCAGCAGAAACAACAGCCGAAGCCGAAGCCGAAGCCGAAGCCGAAGCATCAGCGGCAGCAGAAGCAAGAGAAACAACAGGAACAGCAACAGGAGCGGCGTCAACCTTTATAGGGATGCCAGCAATCGGGGCACTGCTTGTTGTAATAGGAGTAGAGTCAAGTTTGGAGGAGGCAGCAACAGAAGGAAGACGAGATGAAGATGAAGAAACACGCGAGAGAACAACTGGAGTGGGAGTAACAACAGTAGCATTTGCAACAGTACCCTTGACAGATTCATCATTGACAGAAACATCAGAGAGAGAAACCTGGCTAGATGTTGCAGCAATAGCATTGTTGTCGCCATAATAATAATCATCTTCATCTGTGGTCCAAGACTCGACTTGAAGAAGACTCTCACGGAAACGGTCCAAAGAACGGTTATCCGGGTCGAGGGTTAAAGAATGTCTGAGGCAAACAAAGGTGTCATCAGATAATGTTGGGAAGATGTCAAAAAGGGCTTCACGGTCAGACGCAAAGTCAAGAAAAAGCTTATCCTTTTGGCATGCAGATGTAAAGGGGTTGCGTCCAAACAAAATATTGAGAAGGCAGATACCCAAAGACCAAATGTCAACCTTTTCAGCATCGTATGAGTCGATATTGTTTTGGTCGAAAAGTTCTGGGGCCATGTAGCGCTCTGAGCCAACGCCAAACTCCGAGTTGTAGCGTTCAGTAGTAGCAAGCCCCCAGTCGGCCAAGCGGACAGAGCCATCTTGAGCAATCAAAATGTTTTCCGGCTTGATGTCTCTGTGGTAGACGCCATGGTTGTGAGCATACTTGACAGCGTCAATTAATTGGAGCATAAATGGAAGGACTTCGTTAGGACCTGGGCCTTTATCTGCACGGATGGCTTCGTAGAGGTCACCTTCAGGGCAATATTCCATGACTAGATAAGTGGCTTCATCATCTTCAAATGAGTCAAGAATAGAGCAAATGTACTTGTAGTGGCCGAGGTGCTTATGAATGGCGATTTCTTCTCTGGCTTCGTCCAAAGCCGTGGGATCGTCTTTCTGCTTGATGATGCACTTTATGGCTACAAGAGAGTTGCGAGACCATGTATCTTTGGCAAGGGAGACACTGCCAAAGGATCCATGGTTGATTGCAGCAACAATCTTGTAGCGGTCGTTAATAAACTGGTTAGGCTTGAGATTTGAAGAAATTGTCATTGTAGTAGAGTAGTTGCAGTAGTAGCAATATATGTGTTTAAAATATTATAGCCTTATTAAAGAGACAGTAAGAGGAAAGAAATGCAGAGAAAGAGAGGTAGAAGAGTTGCCAGAAGCGAGCCGTGGCTCTAAAGGATGAGTGAAGGAGGAGGAGGGTGGAGGAGAAGGGTGGAAAGCAAGTGTTATAAAGTCAGCAGAATTGATTTTTTTTTGAATGAATAGCTGACGATAAGGTCGTTTATGGTTGAAAAAAAAAGGGAAAGCCGGTAGAAGGGAGTTTTATAACAGTCGGTCGGCGAGGATGGGTTTGTTGATATTTATTTTGAAAAAAAGATGATGGTGATGATGATATTGAATGTTATAAAAGAAACCCCTGCTTTATATTTTTTTTTTGGTTTTTTTTTTTTTAATAATTTTTTTTTTTTAATTTTTTAAAAAAAAGATTTAGTAGTAGCTGGATATTATAAGATCTTATGATTCAGTACTGTATGTGTATGTGGGATGTTGTTGTAGTGTAATGATTTGGTTGGCTGGGATTAATTGGAGAGTTTTTTTTTTTTGTTGGATAATTTATATATATATATGCTGTGTGTGTATGTGTATGTGTGTGGTGGTGGTGGTGGTGTTTGTTGTTATCTAAAGATACGTTTTAGGCATAGAGTGCGTTTGTGTGTTGTTGTTGTTGATAATGTACAAATGGCAAATAAAAGTTAAGTTTCTATGAGGGGTTTTTTTTTTTACTGACAAAAAAAAATTAAAAAAATGAATAAAAAAAAAAAAGGTCTTCTAATAAAGATGCGAAGATGATGATGATGATGATGATAATTTTATATAAAAATAAATGAAGGTTTATAAAAAAAAAAAAAAAAAAAAAAAAAAAAAAAAAAAATAAGGAAATTTATAGAAATATATATAAATATAAAAAAAAAAAAAAAAAAATAAGATAATAATAATAAAAAAAAAAAAAATTAAAGAGAAGGCGGGAAAACCGGCGGTTTTATATGAAGGCAGTTATTTTCTTTTATTATTTGTTGTTGTGACTAAATAAATAAAAAAAAAATAAAATCCATTACTGCCAACCTTTTTTTTTTATTTTTAATAGCACACATTTAATATTTCTCTCTCCACTCCCCCCTCCTCTTTCTTTACACCAACAAAAAAAAAAAAAAAAAAAAGTGCTGCCAACATTTATTACTATTACTATTACTACTACTATTAATACTATTATTATTATTATTATTATTACTGCTGCTGCTGCTGCTGCTGCCACACCTGCCGTAGCCGCTGCTGTCAACTGCAGTATATGTGATTACATAATTTCTTACTTGTCTGGCCCAAAAACCCACATACACACACACACACAAGTACGCGTGATTGGTTACGTAATTAATTTAAGTAAGCTGACTCACCTGCCGTATCATTTCCTTAACATTCTATAATTAACCCAAATAAACCCAAACCCAACCAACCAAAAAAAAAAAAAAAAAAGAAATGTTTTGTGTGTTTATTTTTATGTTTTTCCACCAAGTTCTAAAAGTCTCCAGAAGATTCATGAAATAAAATAAAATAAAATAAAATGAAATGAAATGAAATGAAATGCCACATTTAAAAAGAATAAGAAGAAGGGTTTCTGTCTATCTATCTATCGTTAGGTCCATAATGAAAATCTTTTTGAAAAAGATAAAAAAAAAAAAACCAAATTAAGAAATAAATTTAGAAATAAATTAAGAAATAAAATAAATAAAGGGTCTCCATAGTTACATACACCAACTCATATATTCGGAAGTTTTGTCGAAAATAATGGCGACGATGGCGATGATGATGATGATGATGATGATGTGATGTGATGTGATGTGCAACTTTTCTTTCCTTCTTTTTTTCTTTCTTTCTTTCTTTTAACAGGTAAGCCCTTACTTAAAATCTCATGTGTTTATTATTATTATTATATAAATAAAAAAAAATAAAAATAAAATAAATAAATAAATACTCAGCAGCAACCGTTTTTCGTATTTGAGTGCTGCAGCAGATGTTGTAACAGTGCACATTTTTCAAAAGAAAAAAAAAAAAAAAAAAAAAAAACTAATTACTTTAACAGTTATGTAGAATTATTATTATCATCATTATTATTAGCAGATGAAGAAGAATAAGAAGAAGAATTTAATGATTATGAATGAAACGCAAGTAAATTCTCCCTAAATGAATAAAAAAAAATCTCGCCATTGATAAATAATAAGAGATTTATTATTTTTTTCAAATGGACTTTTTTTTTTCAAATATCATATACGCGTTTTTTTTTTTTACAGTTTTAATACAGGACTTGAGAACTTTTTACTTAATTATACATAATTACTTATTTACTTAACTACTTATTCCAGTAACTTGTTAAGACGACGATAATCATTATCAATCAAATTTCATTTTTTTTTTTTAAAATAATAATAATCATGGTCCATGTGGGGAAGCAAAAAAAAAAAAAAAAAAAAAAAATCATCCATCATAA